GGGGGGGGGGGGGGGGGGAAGAGAGGGGCTTACGAGGAGATTCAGCAAGGACCTGGTTGAGGCTGCTATGAGAGCTCTGCATGGAGGGGGTAACGTTGCGGAACGGGTCCCCGCCCCTGAAGCTGGCGCTGAACGGGCTGGGGAGCGGCTGGCTGCCTGTGATGAAAGTCCCCCGTCTCCGGCTGCCATTTCTGTTGGCGTCTCTGGGCTCGACCTTCTTCTCTTCGTCCTTGACGCACGAATTGACGATCTGCTCAACGTCTCCGACCTCGATGAAGAAGTTTTCAGGCTTGAAAACGGGGGGGATGAAGCCGCAATCCCGGGGCAGGGAGTCTAGGCCGAGGAGGACCTGCTTTGGGATCTGTTTGACGAGGGGCATGGGGATGCCTCTTGGGTTCCCACGCTTGGAGAGGCCCGACAGGTTCTTCCCCAGGACCTCGAAAAACATGCAGACGTGCACTCCGTTGGGACCACGGGGCTCCAACAAGTCGAGCAGGCTGAAGACATGCTTGCGGCCCCGGTGGTCGGGGTTGGCGCTGTTTATGCGGTTGAGCAGCTTGATCTCGCCTATGGCGGTCTCGGGGTAGTGGGCAGCTGAGCGCACGACCTTGAGACCGACGTGCTTTCCCGTGGTTGTATCGCGGGAGAGCCAGACGGTCGAGAAGTGGCCCCAGCCCAGCTTGCGGACGACGATGTACCGGCCGCCGTTGTAGGACTCGCCCACGGAGACGGGGTGGTAGCCACCCTTGCAGTAGTCCTCGGAGTCTTCCTCGTCCGCAGCGTCGACTTCTTCCTCCGACGAGGACGACGAAGCTCGCGACAGGGGCGAGCTATATGACAGTTTTTGTCTACATAAATGTTAGCAAGTTTTTCTTCTTCTTCTTCTTCTGCTTCTTCCTTTTTCATCCTTTTTCTATTAATTCAAAGAGAGAGGGGGAGAGGAGTACATAGACTGGGTGCTGGACATGGCCGAGGGATCAGACTCTTCGTTGGTGATGATGGGCTTGAGATCAGAGGCCTTCCTGCGTTTCTTGCCCACGGCACCGTTAGCAGCAGCGGCAGCAGCCTTCTTCAAATCGCCGCCATTCATCGTCGGGCGCAGAGTTTGAGTATTACGGCGGATGGAGGACGGAAGACGGACGTGCCCAGGCGAATGCCCAATGGTGGTGGATGTGGAGGTTGTGGTTGTAGTGGTGATTGTGGTGGTGGTGGCTGTGGGAGTGTGAGAAGACGGCGAGGCGGGACGACCGTAGCCAGCGACGGGCGTTTCGAGCAGGCCAATTCTACACGCGGGCCGGGGTCGAGGGCGGTCGAGCGAGCATCAGGAAGCAGACGAGACGAAGCTGGTGCCGGCGAGCGTAGAGAGTAGAAGATGGCGGCCCGTCGAAGGCGAGGAACAGACAGTCAAGCCTTCACCTTCAGGTGGTGGGGGGCGCTTTGCTGCAGGTATTTAGCTAAGGAGTGGCGCAGATCACAGGAACCGACGGGCAGGAAGACGCGGTAGAGTTGACGACGCTGTAGATGTGTAGATGTGACAATGCTGTAGATGTTGACGATGAGCTGTAGATGTTGTAGCTGTCGCAGCTGTTATTGTTATCGTTGCAGTTGGTGATGCTGTTTCTGTTGTTGTTAGTGAAGTTGTAGATTTGGTGAGAAAAGTTGGCGGAAAAGCCGAAAAAGGCAAAAGCGACAACATCGAACTTTTATCTGTGTCTCTAAGCGCCGGCATTTGCATACATATACGGGCGGGCAGACGGTTTCAGACAGCATCTACGGCGGCTAGGATGGAACAGCCCGGCGAGTGAGATAGAGCTGCCTTACGCTGAGACAGACAGATACCCTTTTGCAGAAACAAGAAGAAAGACGAAGACGAAGACGAAAGAAAGAGAGAGATGCCGCCGTGGGATCCTCCGTCCGCGGGCACGCAGCTGCTGGCCTCGCCCCTGATATGCGTGCTACGACCAGTCTACGGGCTGCTGTCTGCCCTGCGCGCGCCGCCGTACACTCGCTCGCCGTCGCAGCGGGCCGTCCGGGTGGTCTGTCTGTCGGACACGCACTCGCAGCACCGTGCCGTGGGCGAGATACCGGACGGCGACCTGCTGATACATGCCGGCGACCTGACGGACCTGGGCACGCCGGCGCAGATCCAGGAGGCCGCAGACTGGCTGGAGAGCCTGCCGCATCGGTACAAGGTGGTCGTGGCCGGGAACCATGACGGGTGGCTGGACGAGAGCGTTCGTGGACGCATAGCCGAGATCAACGACATAGACATGGGAAAAGCTGGGGCTGATATAGACTGGAAGGGGATACATTATCTGCAGAACTCGTCTGTCCGGCTGGAGTTTGGGTCGCGGACGCTGACGGTGCATGGGATACCGCAGATACCGCAGCTGGAGCCGCACGTCACCATCCACGCCTTCCAGTACCCGCCATACCACGTTGGCCTGCCGTGGCCGACAGCTCCACCAGCCGAGACAGACATACTGGTGTCTCACAGCCCGCCGCTGCACCATGGCGACCTGTTTCCGAGCAGCATTGGGTGTGCTCACCTGCTGGAGGCGGCGTGGCGGGTGAAGCCGGCGTTATGTGTGTTTGGCCACACGCATGCGGGCCGTGGTGTCGAGCGGGTGTACTACGACGACGCACAGCGGGCGTGGGAGATGATGCTGCATCGACGGCGGGAAGGAGGGATGCTCTGGTGCCGGGGCGATCGGGGATGGAGCTGGTGGCTGTTTCGGCGGTGGGCGGTGGTGCGCGACCTGGTGAGCGTGTGCTGGGCGTGGAGGGATGCGGTGCGGGTGGTGTTTGGCTCCCTGGCGGCTGTCATCTGGACGAGGATATGGGGAGGAGAGCGGCCGCTGGGCAGGGAAGGGTGGATGGTCAACCCGGCGTGTATGGACGTTAGGGGCCAGCGGATCGTGGCTGGGCCGGTAGTGGTAGACTTGTAAAGAATCTATACATATGAAGTACCTAGATCTGATATATATACATTAAAGAGAGAACCATGACAGAAACCAGAACCAGAACCAGATAAAAGAGGAAAAAGGAGAACCAGAACAGCAAGAACCAAAAAGATAAAAGAGAAGGGTATTGTATTATAGCTTTGAAACAGGCAGGGTCATCGGGTCGTAAACGTCGCGGGAGAGGTTGTCGATGGGCCCCGAGACAGTATGTACGGAGAGCCCCCTGGTGTCGAGCAGGTCGGGCCCCAGCTGGTCGATGCTGGTGCAGCCCAGCAGACGCATGTTCATCTCCATCTCGTCCTTGAGCAGCTGCATGGCCTTCTCGACGCCCGCGGTGCCGTAGGCGCTCATGGCATAGAGGAACGGCCGCCCGATGCCGACGCCCTTTGCGCCGAGACAGACGGCCTTGAGGATGTCTGTGGCCCGTCTGACGCCGCCGTCGATGTAGACCTCTATCTTGCGGTCCCAGCCGCGGGCACGCAGGGCGGGCATGACGTCTGCGAGCAGCTCGATGGCCGAGGGGGCGTACTCGAGCTGCCGCCCGCCGTGGTTGGAGAGGACGACGGCGTCGATGCCGGCCTCCACGGCGCGCAGGACGTCGTCTACACGCTGCACCCCCTTGAGGGCGATGGGCATCCTGGTGAGGGAGCGGAAGTAGGGCAGGTCCTTCCAGGTCAGGCTGGGGTCGATGAAGGACGAGATGGCGCGGGCCGCCCCCTGAGAGCGGTCGACGGTGCTCGTAGCGGTGGCCGTGGCCTGGACGCTGGAACCCTGTTCGGCGAACTTGGAGCGCATGTCCTTCTCCCTGCGGCCGAGCTGGGGCGCGTCGACGGTGATGAAGAGCCCCCTGCAGCCGCGGGCCTCTGCGTGCTCGACGATGCGGCGGGTGATGGCGCGGTCCTTGTTGACGTAGAGCTGCAGCCACTGGGTCTGGCTGTCCGTCTTTGCGTCCACGATCTCGTCGAAGGAGCAAGAGGCGAGCGTCGGGATCATCTGGACGACGTCGTGAGTCGCAGCGGCGCGGGTGAGGCAGACCTCGCCGTCTGGGTGGCCGAGCTTGCCCAGGGCCGTCGCCGTGACGTAGAAGGGGACCGAGACGGGCGTCCCCAGCATCGTCGTCCGCGTGCAGACCTGCTCGACGTCGACGAGGATGCGCGGCCGGAACCAGATCTTGTGGAATGCCGTATGGTTCTCCCTCATCGTCTAGACACCTGTTAGTATATATCTATGTATATATATGTCAAGGGTACGGACCATCTCGTCTTCGCAGCCGGAGGAGTAGTAGCCCCAGGCGGTCTTCTTCATGACGCGGCGGGCGACGGCCTCAAAGTCCATCAGGTTGTAGCACTGGTCGAGCGACGGCATCGTCCTGACTCTCTCGAGGCGCTGCTCCTCCTCCGGGTCGACTGTCTTTGCTTCCTGCGCCATCGTCGCCAGGTCGACGGGCCCGAGATGCTTCGAGCGGTCGAGGTACTTGTCCAGCGTGTCCGGCGGGTGGACGGGCTCGAACTCGGCCGTGGCATCTTTGCCCGCGTATCTCAGGATGATCTGCTGTCCGCCGGGGTGTTCTATCCTCGTCAGTCTCTTCTCTCTTCTGTATCCTGTGTCTGTATCTCGTACCTGGGAGAAAGTCCGTCACGTCGTATGCCTGGCCGTGCAGCACCACCCAGCAAGATGCTGCTGAATTGTGCCTGGCAACCTCTGCGCCGGTGAGCTTGCCCATCCTGTCTCTCTCTATCCCTTAGTCTTCCTATCTCTGTCTCTGTCTGTATCCTCTGTCTGCCGTGAATGTGCCTCTGTCTACTCTGTACCAACCGTCAGCAACCACAGCTTTTATAACCACCAGACATCGCCGTCTCGCACGAGAAACGCTCGGAAAAGAAGAAGCAGAAGCAGAACGAAGACGAAGACGAAGACGCAAGCCAGAGACGCAAGAGACGCAGACGCAGAAGCAAAAAAGCAGCAGCCGAAGCTTTCGTCTTCATCCACTTTGCGTCTTCCTCGGCTCTTTTCGTTGCTTCTTCCAGTCCGTGTGCTTTACTTACAAGAAGACGCGACGGCGACAGTAGAAGAAGAAGGATAGAAGATAACTAGAGGAGGAAGAAGAAGAAGAAGAGGAAGAAGAGAGGAAGAGAAGATGCGCTCTTCGTCAGGTCTTCTGTCTTCTATCTGTCTGTCTTCTCGTCCTCATGCGACCGACTCGACTCGGCCCTGCGGACAGCGACCGACGGAGAGCAGCCGCCGTTTCATCTTGTAGAAGCCGGCCAGGGATGCGACAGACTCACTCCTTATTAGCAGCGATATTATTAGCCTAGACTGCGTTGGAGCTGGGACAGGCATCTTTGTGCCCAAGTTATGCTTATCTGAGGATCGTCTTAGCGGTTTCATCTCAGGCTTCGCTGTTTACTCCCAGTCAACTTATAATAAGTACACACTACGGAGTCACTGATATTGATATCGCGACATGTAACATGAGCAACAGCCTGGAAGCAAAGATAGTCGTCCTCGGGGCCCAAGGTAGGCTCCCTTTACTTGTGCTGCTCAGAGACGGTTATGCTGACCGCCGCAGGAGTAGGAAAGACGAGCCTGGTGCAGCGCTACGTCCGCAACTCGTTCAGCAAGACGGCGCCTGCATCGACCGTCGGCGCCTCGTTCGTGACCAAGCGGGTGCTCGACTCGACCTCCGACACCATCGTCCGCCTGCAGATATGGGACACCGCCGGCCAGGAGCGCTTCCGCAGCATCTCGCGCCTCTACTACCGCGGCGCCCACGCGGGGCTGCTCTGCTACGACATCACCGACGAGCGCAGCTTCGACGAGATGCGCGGCTGGCTGCTCGAGCTCAAGCAGAACCTGGGCCCGAATGCTAGTGCTGCTGGCGGTGCTGCTGAGGATACAGACGGCCTGGTCATCCACGTCGTGGGCACAAAGTCGGATATCGTGGCGGACGACCCGGCCCGCCGACGGGTGCCCTTTGAGCGTACCATCGCCTACGTCGCCGAGCAGCTGTACCCGTCCCAGGCCTCGACGCCGCCCCCCAGTTCCGGCATAGGCAGCGCCGGCAGCAACACCAACAACAACAACAACTACTACAGTGGTAGCATGGCCCCGGACAGCAAGCGGAACAGCGGCTTCTGGGCCCAGGACATCGGCTGGGACTGCTGCCACGAGATCAGCAGCAAGGACGGCGAGGGCATCGACGAGGTCTTCCGCGTCATCACCCGCAAGCTGGTCGAGCAGCGCAGTCGCCGGGAGCGCCATGGAGACGCTTCTTCCGGCAGCGGTGTTGGTGGTACTTCTGGCGGTGCTTCCGGTGCTGGTGCTGGTGCCGGTGCTGGTGGGCTTGCTGGCTCGTCTTCCATCCACTCGCCCGGCAGCAACGGCAGCATCAGAGCCAGGTCCAGGGCCGGACGCACCTCGGGGGACGCAGACAAGCGCCGCAGCTGGCTCAGCTTCCCGCCGGCCCTCGTTGGCGATGCAGACGACGACTACGAGCACCACGATGACAGCGGCCTCGACCTCGCCATCCAACGCAAACGATGCTGCTGACTTTTTCTTTCTTCCATTTCTTTCCTCTTCCTTTACTTCTTTCTTTTTTCTTTACTTCTTTATTTCTTTCTTCTTTACTTTCTCTTCTCATTCGGGCACGGAGTCTCAGACGGAGCACCACTGCATGGCGGATCAGGCACTCAACTTGAATACAGCGAACACTCGGGCATCTCAGGCGCACATCTCTCTGTTTCTTTTTCTCGTCTCGTCTCTGCTTCTTCTCTTTTCCTATCGTCTATCACTCTAACTACTTACCAGGATCTTGCATGTATCATGAGTTAGCCATTCTAGCCACGACTAGTTACGCATTCGAATGATAATCTTCTTCCTACCAACACTTACCAACACATATCAATATCTACATATCTACATGCATATACATATATACTTGCGATAGACAAGATGAATACCGAGATAGAACTACAGCCGGCTGAAGCAGGCCATGATGAAGTGCAAGAAGAGAAAAAGGCCACCAGGATCGCCGCAGCCGCCTTTTGCTTCCTGGTCGCAGGCGTCAACGACGGCAGCCTGGGGGCCCTGGTCCCTTACCTGCTGCGCTCCTACGGCCTCTCCTCGTCCTCCGTCGGCCTCATCTGGGGCCTCTCTTTCGTCGGATGGCTTCTCGCTGCTCTCACGGGCAGCTGGATGCGCTCTTCGACGGGGCTGGGCGGTGCTCTCGTTGCCGGTGCTGCCGCTCAGCTCGTTGCCCACCTCCTCCGTTTCTGGGTATCCCCTATCTATCTATCTCTCTCTCTCTCTCTCTCTCTTTATATATATATATAATACTAACGTGATAGATGCCCCCGTTTGCTCTCTTTGCGGTGACGTTCATCTTCGCAGCGCTGGGCCAGGGATACCAGGACGCCCAGGCAAACGTCTTCGTGGCCGGGCTCAAGGGCGCTCACCGATGGCTGGGCCTGATACACGCCAGCTACAGTGCCGGATGTCTCGTTGGGCCGCTGCTGGCTTCTCTCGTGGCCACCCACACCGATGAATGGATGTACTTCTACCTGGTGCCGGGAGGACTCGGCCTGGTCAACTTGCTGCTTGCATGGTGGGCGTTCAAGGAGCACGTCTGCATCTCGATATCATGGAACAGCAGCAGAGACAACACTGCATCTACCTCTACGTGGACGGAGATGAAGCTCACGCTGCAGTGTAGACCCGTCTGGCTGCTCAGTCTCTTCTACTTCTTCTACCTCGGTGTTGCCATTACCGTAGGAGGTACGACCACTATAACCCCTTAACTACTATATAACCAAGTCTAACGGTAACATAGGATGGCTAGTTGAGTATCTCGTCCAGGAACGCAATGGAGAGCTCTCCCGCGTCGGATACGTGCCCACAGGCTACTTCGGCGGCATCATGCTCGGCCGTCTCCTGCTGGCTGAACCCGCTCATCGTCTGGGTGAGAAGCCGGTGATACTCGTCTGTTCGCTGTGCTGTCTCGCCCTGCAGATCGTCTTCTGGCGTGTCAATAACATCATCGCTGATAGCGTCGTCGTCAGCGTCTTCGGTTTCTTGTCAGGGCCGTTCTTTGCTTCAGTGGGTTTTCTCTCTCTCTCTCTCTATCAACCATTCAACCAGCAACTTGTCATAGCCATAGTTGATTAACTATGATAATTAGGGAATGTCGGTGGCTTCCAAGTTGATACCAACGCACATCCACACAGCTGCTCTCGGTAAGTCCCCAACTTGATAGAGGCTGCATACGTAAGTAACTGCTTTCTAACATCAGCAGGACTCATCTTCGTCGTGGCCCAGGCCGGCGGGACGGTCTTCCCTGCCATCACCGGTGCCATTGCTTCAAAGGCTGGTGTCAGTGTTCTGCAGCCCATCCTGGTCGGCCTCATCGCTCTCATGGGAATCAGCTGGGCTCTTGTTCCAGCCGTCGACAGGAAAAGAGACTAGCCGTATTTCTCTTCATTATATGTTTGTATATACATAACTAGAACTCATTTATGTAACAGGGACTCAAAGACACCAAGCCCCCCAGGCATCTCCTCAGGGGTCAGCATGAGCCATGGATCACAGATAATTTGATCTGTTGTAGCTCGCTCATCTGGATCCCATGTCAGCATCCTTCGAATGAAGCGGAGGAACAGCTCTTTCTCTTTCTCAGACGAGATGGTCGTGACAAAGTCCTCCAAGCTGGCCTTTGGGATTGGTGCCTCGCCTATATATTCCCCTATTTTCCAGTATAAGTTACAATGGCCATCAGGAGAATATAGAAAGGGCACAATCATACCATCATCGTTATAATACGTGGATCTTACTGGACTTTTGTCTAGCATCTTTTGTGGAGGATGGCCAAGGTAGCCTATGTACTGCGCCATCGCTATCGGGTATACATACTGTCTATGCTCGTGATCCATCGGGTCAAATAGATTTCGGCCTTCGATCAGCTCAAGGATCTTGGAGTTTCAGTCAGTTTAAATAGTTTCTTCTTAGAGGCCACACTTTGAAGAGGTTGCCAACTCACCATTATGCCAACAGACCACATATCAACTGGACAACTCCAGGGAAGCTGCAACAGGATTTCCGGTGCACGGTAAAGATCAGGCATCCACCAGTCGTTAAACTCACCGTCATCTCCTGCGAATCGCATCTGGCCAAAGTCTGTAAGGACAGGAAAACCCGTATGTTCCAGTCTAGTAGGTTGAGACTTGTAGACTATGCCCGATACAGCTCCGTTCTTGTCCTTGGTGATAATAGGCACACTAGGGTTCTTAGATTCCTGTTCCTCAACTTCCTTGAGGCCAGTAGGGTCATAATCGCCCATAAGGATGTTCTGGGGCAGTATATCTAGCGTAGTCAATAACCAATCAACTAGAGTAGAAGTATGTGTTTGAGGCCTTACCTGTATGCACAACACGACCGCATGCATGTAGCCAATTGAGCCCAAAGAACAGTTGATGGACAATTGATTTCACTAGAAGCCTAGGTAGGATACCACCTGGGAACTCCTCTTGCAATGTGCGGACACTGTTCCCTTGCGGTTGAGACACAATACAGTAATGGTGGCCACCTGTGGCTGGATTATCAATCTCCAGAATCTCGTCGGCAAGGCGTATAAATTTTAAGGCCGGGTTGTTGGCTTCTTCCTCATCTGCCGCAATCGGCATCAGGTGTTTCAGCATCTTAACCTCATTGAGCACAGGGGAGGTCGAAGACCGCAAGGCAATGTCACTTTGTACAGTAACCTTAAGTGTTTTGTATTCTTTTGTCCTGGCTTTAAAATCAGTATAAAAATGAATAGCTAAGCATCCTTCAATCCCGGAAATGGATAAACACCTGTTATCTCTTGCAAGCCAGACGGTGGCGTATCCACCATATCCAAGTTTTGCAATCACTTGATATCGATCATTGAAGACCTCGCCAATCTTGACGGGATAGTAATTCTTGCGATGGTAGAATGAGAGAGTCTGCTCTTCGACTGGTTCTTGTTGCTGTGCCATTCTGTGAGTCCAATGGCGGTAGCTTGGTGTATGCGATTGTATACAGCAGCGAATGATTGGAGAAGGGTGGAACGGTGAGATCCTGAAGCGTGGCCTCATGAGTATGCTGGCAGCCATGGCTACTCAGCTTCTTCTTCTTCTTCTACCTGCTTTTTCTACCTGCTCCTACTCCTTTATTTTGCATCTCGAACTCTCGGAAGCAGTAAGTTTTGCTTGCCGCCTGCCAAGGGCGCTTAGCTGAGTTACTTTCACGTGATAAATCTACTTCCCACTGACATGGTCAAAGCTAGTTGCCGCCAAGGTTTGACTTGCCGCCAAGGTTTCGGCTATTTTTATTTTTATTTCATGCCGTCTTTTGCTTCTTCCTCCTCGTCCCCTTCTTTTTTTATGCTGCAGCTCAACTTCTTCCCCCTCTACGCCGCACGCACAAGAGATGCGTGGGAACACCCTAACCAAGGTGTGGGAGGTTCCAGGACAGCTCTAATAGGATAGATACGTTGTCAATGCATTCTCAACATTTACTGCATATAGTGAACGGGCTACCCGCGCTCCACAAAACGGGCACGGAACATCCGGAAGCTTGCTCGAAAAAGCAGCAAAGTATGCATCGTGCATATAGATCAAAGAGCAACGTTCCTGATATATATTAGATTATTTTTGGTCGAGTTATTACCATGAGCCTCAATATTTTTTGGCTCAGCCGTTTTGACACATATATATCCCAGTGGCCTGGGTCCGGCGTTACGCCAGCTTCCTAGCAACCTACGCCGGAAATGTTACCCGTGAGATCTATGTATGGAGTCCAACTTCTATACCCGCCTTGCCATTCTGCCAGTGGATGGATGGCAAACAATAGATTCTTGAAACAGAGATGCTTCATAATCTGACATACACCGTTGAGTCATTGGTGCTCAATGATCTATACCCAAGCGCTGATTTATTTATAGGCCGACACACTACAGTGGTATGGGAGTTAACGAGACGGTGTTCCTAAGACTTGGGCTATCATGCCCTGCTCAGGGGCCTTAGATCTGAGGTCAAGTCGGTTATAAAAAGGTGTGCATGCGCCCCAGTGATATCCTCCATATTTTCCAAGAAAACCTCAACCATCATCCCAAACAAATACTATCGCTGCATCTAAGCCTAGCAATCTCCTGATACAACTCCCCAAGGCCCTTCTCATCGTTATTGCTGCGCTGCATCTTGGCTTTTTAGATAGCATTCCACCCCTTGCCTACCTATCAGTTTAGCTTCTAAACCTCACCCAAGATGGCTGCTAGAACGAAGAAAATATCCATTGAAGTGTTCAACGCTTGCTCAAACATATTCCAAGGTCATATCAGGATGATTATGGAAGGGAAGAATCCACACGTAGGCTGACACACTCTCGAATTGGTGAAATAGCCGCTAACTGTCTTACAGGTTCCGTTTACTTTCAAATCTATCCAGGTTCCTAGGGGAACGAAGGAACATTGCCCTTTCACTGATCTGGAAGAAGTACGCAACTCCATTACTCTCAAATTCCTCGGTACCCCCTACGGCAATATTACAGCACACCTGTTCAACGACGGGACTATCAAAACCTCTACGATGATGCACGAGGAGAATAACCGACGCAGGGAGCAAGAAGCCATGTTGCTCGCTGAAGAAAAGAAGTTCCCGCAGCTCAACCAGACACCTTCGCGCACTGAAGCGTACAACAGGAAGATAGCGAAAATTCGAAATGCACGGGATAACACAACGTGGAACATTATGAAAAAGCAGCTGGAGAAGCACAGCGCAGAGGAGGAGTATAACCTGTTTCTTCAGGCACAGGCAGCGCAACGAGCTAAAGCTGCTAAGAGATAGGGAGTCAGTCTCTGAGACGAAGGGTCGATTTTTGGAATGGAGAGATGTGCCTGTGTGGCTATGGTGGTGGAGGAAGAGAAGATGCCAAAACGGCTGAGCCAAAAGAGGTTGAAGCTATATATTCGACAGAAAAGCGTCGCCTGTCGTTTTCCCCAGAAAAATCCAAAAAAGACCTGCCATTATTTCTTATTTTTGGTTACAGATCTTGTTTATATTTGCTTTACTATAACTAGCTATTCTCCTCTCCTCAAGCCCAAATCCCACTCTGTTTTTCTTTGCCCACTACACTTCTTAGCCCTCTGTACGGAGTATGGTACCGGTAACTAATGAGTTAGATCGCTACAGGGAGCGAGCTGGCATAGGAGAGCTCGGCTCGCTGGCTCGATCTCGATCTAGACTATGTCCCTGTTCTCGCTATCCAACCGGATGGCAGGCATAACAGTTGGACTTCGTCCTCTTGAGGCCCTGGCATGATATGAGAGAGTCCCTGCTCTTTTTATCCTTGTATGCTCTCGGAGTTGCTCTCTCTAACGGGGTTTTCCACTTCTTTTCTCTACAAACTCCCTAGTCAGGGGCACATCCAGGATGCATCCACATACATGCATACATATACAACCTCCACACAAATCGCCGATCAACCGGGCTTCAAGGTCTTTATGACGCTTCTTGACTAGTTATCCAACGAGGGAGTAAGTTATCTCATAGGCCAGTCGCGGTATTATCTCCAAACAAAGACCCGGCGCCGGTCGAGGATCTCGAGCTATATAAACGTCCCCATCAACTCCGGAGTTTTGACATTCTCCATATATAACTAACTAGTTAACGAACTAACCAGTTCACCAACAACCGGCCTGGTCCCTGTCTGCCATCCCATGCCATCGTCGCAAAGATAACACTAAGGCCCCGCGAGATAACAACCATCGCTACCCGTCGCCTCTTATACGCTGCATCGTCGCATGGCTAGCGCCGCCATCCCGCAGCTCGTATCCCCAGAGCCCAGCGGAGGCTTGCATGCGCCGAGATGCCCTCCTCCTTCCAGCGTATGCAAGCAATCCGATCCTTCATCCTCTCCTTGTGTCTCCTTCTTTTTTCTCGATTCTTCTTCTGTGCTTCCTCTTGTCTTGTCATGTCTTGTCTGCTTCCATGGCACTGCATCTCTCCTCATACGCTCTACCTTAACTGACATATAAGTATAGGTCGCTTCTGCCCAGCGCTGGCAGGGACTCGCAGCCATGTCGAGCATCATGTCCCAGCCCCAGATGGACGTCCGGTCCGTGGGCAGCTGTGTCGCCGCAGGTAGACAGACTCCTTATCCTCTTTTCTCAGGCATCCATATGGATCTACTCAGGGCCGACTGACTGACTTGGCTTGTTATAGTTGTGGCCGCATATCATGATGCTGCGAAGCTGGTCAAACGTATCCAGTCGACCGCCTCTACTACGGCTGCATCGCCTGCCACTGCTGCCGCTACGTCTCCAGGCTCGCCGGTGACGGAAGAAACGAGCAATAGCACAGCTCTAGCAGACCTAGGCGACTCGCTCATGCTGGGTCCGCCGATTGTACAGGGCCAGTATGAAGAGAACCTGATGCGGCTGGGCAATGCATACGCCAACGGCGACCAGAACGCTCGCGAGACGCTCAAGGATGTGGTCATCAACCTACAACTGACGTTGCTGGCGACCTTGCGCATGGCGCTGCTGGATAACCTGGAGCTCGACTTTGAGGCCCTCCAGCGTGCTTCGGACGAGAGCAGAGTGAGTGCGCTGGTCTGTCTGTTCCAGCTCGGCCAGCGTCTCAGCCTGGGAAGCCCGTCTATGCATCCAAAGATACCTCTGGCCGCCAGTACATCGCCGACTCGGCCAGCTGCTCTCAGTGACCCCGGCAGCAGCAGCGGTCCCTTCGCTAGGCCTTCTTCCTCAGCAACAGACTCAATGAAACCTCCTCCCATCCCTCCCATGTCCCCTTCACGGGCTGCCTCAAACTCGATATCGTCTGCAGATCTAGGCAACCGAATTTCGCGAGAGAGCGGCTACACCAACCCTCGTCCACCCAGCAGCATCAACCCCGTCTCACCACCTCTAAAGCCGCAACCGAACTACCCTCTTCCTAAACCTCCTTATAGTCCCAGCCAGCGTGTCAAGACACCGCCTGCGCGCCTGGCCGAGTTGCAAGGCTCACAGCCCATGATAAGGGAGGAGTCAAACAAGTCTGCAAGCATATACAGTGTGCTTTCGTCCAACAACTCTAGCACCAAGGGCGTCGAACCGCCAATGGACCGGTACAGGTCAAACCCAAGCAGCGGCGACCCTCACATAGAGCCAGACCAGAGTGCCGTCGAGCTGAGTGCCGGCATCTTCTCTCGCACCTCATCATCCCGATCAAGCTCCAATGACCCTCGAAAGGCTCCCCATCCGGGCACGGAAAAGGTCATTTCTCACCTGTCTTCCTCACCGGGTACGAAGACCCTACCTATGTTTAAATGGAAGCCCTTTAGCCGCTCGACAGGTAGCCCTTCCTCGAGTAAAAACAAAGGCGCAGACCAGCCCAACCCCCCTCCGCCGGACCTGTACCTCCCCACAGAAGAAAACAACTACGCGGGATTCTGTAAGGGGGCCTGGCGTCTGCAATACAGCATGAAGAACTCGTTCCGTATCGACAACCGCCCTGTCGGAATGTACATGCTTCAAAGCTCATGGCACTGTTCCAAATGCTCCTTTGAAGGAATAGTGCAAGAATCCAAATTCAGCGGGAAAGCTCCTGTCTTATCGTCCATGCTTGGACCTGTCAAAACATGCATCATCCAGGGTATGCGTGTCCTCCAGATGTTTGACCAGACGGTCCATCTGCATGGACCAAGCGGGAACAGATACAGATGGATCTTCCTGGCTAAGTCGCATGTTGAGTGCAAACCCTCTAAGCCAACTGAGAAGGCAGTCTGTGGCTTCGGGTGCATTTTCTGCAGTTCGCAGAACCATGGGCCGGCTCCGATATATGGCAATTTAGACACCTTTATGGAACATCTGCGGGAGCATGGAGGGAGAGGGTACGCCTGGGACAGGAAGAAGCCGAGCCAGCCCCTTTTGGACTGGACGAGGTGCATTCTTGGGCGTATTGCTGATGACTCGGAGGATTTCGATATTAATATACCCACGGTTGCGGAAGTTGGAGGTTAGTTGACGATACTTGGCTATGCTTGAGATGTCCATATTTTTATTCCTGTGCTTTTTGTTGTCTTTTTAAATACCATTGATGCAAGCGTTTAGCTGGAAAATTCATTGTTGTTGTTAACTCACTTAGCGACTATACATATTACTATATATATGCCGTTTAGTTAATCCAAGAAAACATATTCTGTTAATGGAGTGTCTCAGCATGCAAGTTCAATACTTGTCATTATTGTATTAGAATGAACGTCAACATTATGTAGATCATGAGATATGTAGCTGATACAGCCTATGCAAGGGCGAAAACGACAGCAAGCAGCAAATATTAACAACCACCATGGGGAAGGAAACCAGCAATACCTTTCTGGGAGAGCCATGATCGTAAAAATAAAAACGAATGTAACCGTGAAAAACCACGCCGATGTAGCAAGTTCATTTACATAACAACGCAGCAGCTGTTCTGCTTCTTGGCCTGGCCGTAGAACATCTTACTCTGTGCGCTTAGGCCGTCACTCTTTGCAACGCTGTTTAAACCGTTAGACCGTTGAACGCTCTGCGAGGTATGTACCGTAGATGGAGAAACTCACAGGCTGTCAATCTTCTCCCCTCTTTCCAGGACGCTTTCAATAGTTTTGTGAAGGACGATCTTCGTCTCGTCTAGCTCCTTCTGAATCTTCATGATGCTATCTGCCTGGGTGGGATCCTGGTATTTGACGATATACTCCTTCAACTCCGGGAAGTCCAGAGGACCGCCTACTTCCTTGCCAATAAAGGATGTGCGAGGGTGCTTGACGAGGAACTCATCGACGATCTTAGAGAGAAGCTGATGGGCGACGAGAGCAGGGTAGTCTGCGTCTGAGATGATGACACCTGCTATGCCTTCGGACCGGCCGTAGACGTGGAATGTGTATGATTTCTCTTCGATGTCCTGTCTCTGGCCTGGACGTGTACGCTCGGCAACTGTCTTGCAGAAAAGGGTCATGAATTCACCGTAGCTATAGGCCGTGATATCGTTAGCTGAGGCCGGGAACCGAAGGCGCAGCAGGGTGAGCGTCATACTTGTCCCTGGTGAAGCGGGAGAAGCTGCTAAGGTCCATCTCACGGCATAGCTCGACAGCAGGCCGGTCTTCGTTCCGCAGGATCTAAAGCATTTTGTTGTCAGCATCGCGCCGGCCAAGCCTGTTTTGCTGCTTCGTCACATACTCCGATATAAAAGAGCTTCATGTTGATGGTGTAGTGGTTTCCAGGGGCGGCGGGTGGGCGTTTCGGTGTGCGGTTATAAAGTGGTTATTGGGCAACCAAAAAATGTAGGTGATGTTATCGACCGCCTAGCAGTTCGTAAAAAGACGCTCTAAGGAGGAAAAATAGCCCAAAGCCGTGAAACTGCAGTTGATCCCGAGTTGTTGTTTTGTCGCTGTAGACGAAGAGACGAGATGTTCATCTTCTTCAGGCTGTCGCATTTTCCACTACGAACCCCGGATTATGTAAGCTGGGGGTGCGGGAGTCATAGTTGTTTATCTTTTTTTCAACCTCGTCTCTTCAGCTACATCTTCACCTTTATATTCTTCTCCTGTTTGAAGACGCCGTTCTTTTACATTATATTATACAGGGACAGGTAAAGCAGCGTGTTTGGCTCTTTCACATTTTTTCCCTTTTCACCATGTCTGGCAATTTGACGCCCGCAGAAAGACAGTGGCTCGACCAGCTGACTGCTATGCGGCAGGAGATAGAGAAGCTGAATTTGCCAGACGAACTTGAGCCTGTTCTCTATGGCTCAGACTTGAATCTGAGTGATGATGAGCTCTCCTCTCAGCCGGAGTCATCCGACGATATCTGGGACTTGATTAGTGATAGTGGTGAAAGCGACGATTTTGATGATATCAACGGAGTCGCTTTGCCCATCGAGCCTGTTCATGATGGACAGAAACAAGAACATGACCGCCGATGGCTTGCAAAGAAATGTGAATCCATTGCTCAGCTCAAGGGAGGGCTCAGCGGGCCGGATTTACAGCAGCAGGTAGAAGCACTTCTAGCCTCTGACATGTCTTCAGACGAACTGCAGATTGCTTTGGCGGAAGTTATCGGTTTTGATGAACTAGATTTCGTCATCGAGCTGCTATCCCACCGTCAGGATGTTCTCTCTGGTCCTGCTATACCGGATTCGCAGCCTGCGCCAGCCATAGGGCGATTGCAGACCCGGGCGGAGAGGGAAGAGGCCCTCCGCCGTCAGGATTACGAGCATAAGCATGCACAGCTTGCTGCAAGAGTCGACCGTGAGGGACCTCAGTATCCTCACATTTATAAGGCCTACCAGGCGGGGAACACCTTGTCCGTAAATGGTCGAAAATATGGGCTCCCAGTTGGAACTATCCACAGAGAGGAGCCGCTTTATACAGAATACGCCGTTCCTGCCTCAAAAGTCGGGACTTTAGGGGCAGGCCACAGGCTAGTCCCGATATCAGAGATGGATGCTCTCTGTAGAGGCACATTTCCTGGATACAAGTCCCTGAACCGCATGCAGAGCTTGTTGTACACTGTCGCATACAAGACTAACGAAAACATGCTTATATGCGCACCAACGGGAGCCGGAAAGACGGATGCGGCCATGCTTACAATCCTCAATGCCATAGCTAGGCACACTACTCCCAGTCCACTAGAAGACCCTGATGCCACCGACTTTGTGGTGCAAGTGGAAGATTTTAAAATCGTCTATGTTGCTCCTATGAAAGCCCTCGCAGCTGAAGTGACAGAGAAACTCGGCAAACGTTTAGCGTGGCTCGGAATTCAAGTCAGGGAACTGACTGGCGATATGCAATTGACAAAGCAAGAAATCGTACAGACTCAAATTATTGTCACTACCCCTGAGAAGTGGGATGTAGTCACAAGAAAGAGTACTGGTGACACTGAGCTAGTCCAGAAGGTTCGACTCTTGATCATTGATGAAGTGCACATGCTGCACGATGAGCGTGGTGCTGTGATTGAATCTCTCGTGGCTCGAACTCAACGTCAAGTGGAAAGCACACAATCCTTGATTCGAATTGTTGGGCTCTCTGCCACTCTCCCTAATTACCTTGACGTGGCAGACTTCCTCAAAGTCAACCGCATGGCTGGTCTTTTCTTTTTTGATGCATCATTCCGCCCAGTCCCACTTGAACAACATTTCATAGGAGTGAAGGGGGATGCTGGCTCCAAGAAATCCAGGGATAACCTAGACAAAGTATCATTCGAAAAAGTACGGGAAATGCTTGAGGCAGGGCATCAGATCATGGTGTTTGTCCATTCTCGAAAGGATACAGTCAATACCGCTCGCCTTTACGCAAAAATGGCCATGGATGAGCAATGCAGTGACTTGTTCTCTCCCGTAGACCATGAGAACTATTCCCAGGCATTGAAGGATCTTAAGGGTACGCGTGCTCGAGAATTAAGGGATCTAGTACCCAAGGGAATGGGCACGCACCATGCTGGCATGTCAAGATCGGATCGAAACCTAATGGAGCGTTTATTCTCGCAAGGTGTTATCAAAGTTCTATGTTGTACGGCTACTCTGGCTTGGGGTGTAAACTTGCCAGCCGCAGCTGTTATCATCAAGGGCACCCAGATATACAGCGCTCAGGAAGGAAAGTTCATTGACCTTGGAATTCTGGATGTCCTCCAAATATTTGGTCGAGCTGGTCGACCTCAATTCCAAGATACTGGTATCGGATTCATATGTACCCCCCAAAGCAAGCTACAGCATTATATATCCGCCGTCACCTCTCAAGAACCTATTGAGTCTAGGTTCTCCCGCAAATTGGTGGACAATCTTAATGCTGAAATATCGTTAGGGACTGTTACTTCTGTCACCGAAGGTGTTCAGTGGCTTGGGTACTCATATCTGTTTGTTCGCATGAGACGGAACCATTCTGCCTATGGTATCGAATGGAGCGAGATTCGCGATGACCCTCAGCTTGTTCAGCGGCGTCGTGATCTTATTATCAAGGCTGCCAAAGTACTTCAAAAAAGCCAAATGATCATATTCAACGAAAACACAGAAGAATTGCGCGCAAAAGACGTGGGAAGAATTGCAAGCCAGTATTATGTCCTTCAAACCAGTGTGGAAATTTTCAATTCTATGATGAACCCCAATGGCAGCGACGCTGATGTTATGAAAATGATAAGTATGAGTGGAGAGTTTGACAACATTCAGTCAAGAGACAACGAATTCAAAGAGCTGGACAGGTTACGTGAGGAAGGCCTACGAACAGAGGTCGAAGGTGCCAACGATACTGCCCACGCGAAAACCAATATCCTTCTTCAATCTTATATCTCTAGAGCTAGAATTGAGGACTTCGCCCTTGTCTCTGATACCTCTTATGTTGCTCAGAATTCTGCCAGAATTTGTCGCTCACTCTTTATGATTGCGTTAAATCGACGATGGGGTTATCAATGTCAAGTTCTTCTATCGACTTGCAAATCTATCGAGAAACAGATTTGGCCTTTCCAACATCCATTCCATCAATTTGATTTACCGCCAGCCATCTTAAAAAACCTTGATGAAAAATTCCCTGCCTCATCTATTGAATCAATGAGAGAGATGGACACTGCGGAGCTTGGCCAGCTTGTGCACAATACACGAATGGGTGGGACCTTGAAAAAGCTATTAGACAATTTTCCAACATTGAGTGTCGATGTTGAGATATCGCCTCTCAACAGAGATGTGCTTCGTATCCGGCTCTATCTCTATGCGGATTTCCAGTGGAATACTCGACACCATGGCACATCAGAACCATTCTGGATATGGGTGGAAAATTCAGAGACTGCAGAGATATACCATCATGAATACTTCATCCTCAATCGTAGGAAGCTCCATGATAGTCAGGAATTGAATTTTACCATTCCACTAGCAGACCCTCTACCGACGCAAATATACGTTAGAGTGATTTCGGATAGATGGCTTGGTGCCGAAACCGTGGCACCAGTCTCCTTCCAGCACCTTATTCGTCCAGATACAGTGAGCGAATACACCGATCTCCTGGAGCTGCAGCCTCTACCAATAACTGCTCTAAAGAACCCTTCACTTGAGCATGTATATGGGAAGAGATTTGACTATTTCAACCCAATGCAAACCCAACTTTTCCATACTCTCTACCATACTGATATGAACGTCCTTTTGGGGTCCCCAACTGGAAGTGGAAAAACCGTGGCCGCAGAGTTAGCTATGTGGCAGAACTTCAAGGATAAGCCAGGGTCCAAAGTTGTCTACATTGCTCCTATGAAAGCCCTTGTCCGAGAACGTGTTCATGACTGGCGAAATCGGCTTGCTACACCTTTGGGCTTGAAGCTAGTAGAGTTGACTGGTGATAATACCCCTGACACAAGAACTATCAAGAATGCGGACATTATCATCACTACCCCAGAAAAATGGGATGGTATATCCCGAAGCTGGCAAACTAGAGGATATGTCCGCCAGGTTGGATTGGTCATCATTGACGAAATCCACCTTCTTGCTGGTGAACGTGGTCCCATCTTGGAAATTATTGTTTCCAGAATGAACTATATCGCATCTCAATCCAAGGGTTCTGTTCGGTTATTAGGCATGTCCACTGCCTGTGCTAATGCTCGCGACCTTGCAGACTGGCTTGGGGTGAAGAAGGGCCTGTATAATTTTAGGCATTCCGTTCGACCCGTGCCTCTTGAAATATTTATTGATGGTTTCCCGGAGCAAAGGGGGTTCTGTCCTTTGATGCAGTCGATGAACAGGCCAACTTTTCTTGCGATCAAAAATCACTCTCCTGATAAGCCTGTGATCGTGTTTGTGGCATCTCGACGACAGACGCGTCTTACAGCAAAGGATCTAATCAATTACTGTGGGATGGAAGATAATCCCCGAAGGTTTGTTCATATGTCCGAAGAAGACTTGGAATTAAACATGTCCCGAGTGAAAGATGCGGCTCTGAAAGAAGCCTTGAGCTTTGGAATTGGCCTCCATCATGCAGGTCTCGTCGAGTCGGATCGACAGTTGGCTGAAGAACTGTTCGCTAATAACAAGGTCCAAATATTGATTGCAACCAGTACCCTGGCATGGGGTGTCAACTTGCCAGCTCACCTAGTTGTGGTGAAAGGAACACAGTTCTTTGACGCAAAAGCAGAGGGTTATAAAGACATGGACCTCACCGATGTTCTTCAGATGCTTGGACGTGCCGGCCGTCCACAGTTCGATACGTCGGGTATTGCTCGTATTTTTACCCAAGATGCAAAGAAAGCATTCTACAAGCACTTCCTTCATACTGGATTCCCGGTAGAATCAACATTGCACAAGGTACTTGATGACCATTTGGGCGCAGAAGTCAGCTCGGGCACAATCACAACCAAGCAAGATGCGTTGGATTACTTGACCTGGACATTCTTTTTCAGAAGATTACATAAGAATCCGTCATACTATGGGCTCGAGATATCTGCCGAAGAGCACAACTCAGCTGCTGCCCGGGAAATAGTGTCTGAGTTCATGGTTGAATTGGTTGACAAATCACTCGGTGCGCTGGCTGAATCTTCCTGTGTCTTGTTTGACACGGCTACTGGATTCGTCGACCCAACCCCTTACGGGAAGATCATGAGTTATTATTACATTTCACACAAGACCGTTAGATACTGGATGACACATGCCAAACCTGATCCCACGTTTGCTGATGCTCTCGGATGGATGTGTTCCGCGACAGAATTTGATGAGCTTCCCGTCCGTCACAATGAAGACCTGGTCAATGCGGAACTTGCGAAGAACTTACCACTACCCACCACGGCAATTAGCGACCATTTGCCGCTTTGGGATCCGCATATAAAGGCATTCCTGTTGATCCAAGCGTTCATGTCTCGGGTTGAGCTACCGATTTCGGATTACGTTGGTGACCAGACATCGGTCCTCGACCAAGGTATTCGTGTTATTCAAGCCTGTATAGACGTACTTGCAGAGCTAGCTTACCCTAAAGCTTGCTCCATGATGATGACGCTGCTTCAATGTATCAAATCAGCACGCTGGCCAACTGACCACCCACTATCAATATTGCCTGGCCTTGAACCAGATAGTGTGATAGACGGTAGCATCGACGCGGCCAAGCTTCCAGTTTCGCTTACAAAATTGGTAGCTATGACAAACCCTGCGGTATCTCGCATGCTTGATACCATCCAGCTCGACAAGCCCTTTGCTTCGCAGTTCTCCAAGGCCGTGGCTCTTCTCCCGAATCTCGATGTCTCAATCGCAGATTTGACCCTTGACGGTTTGACGGTGGTTTTGAGACGGAAATCGAAGGAATCGGACAATCAGAGACAACCACGCTCTCATGGAGCTGACGGGTATAAAATCTATGCCCCACAATTTCCCAAGCCACAGACCGAAGGATGGTTCGTCCTCGTGACGGCAGCTAAGGATCAGAATAATGGACGAGAGGAGTTGTTAGCCCTGAAGCGTGTTTCGTTATCACCGCCGGCTTCGGGAACCCGAGGTTCTGGTCCTCGTGGCAAATTAAACGGAGATTCCTTTACCAGAACAAAGGTCCATTTCTCAGGGGACATTGGGTTTGGAAGCATGGATGAAGTCAAGGGTAAAGTGACGGTGAGGGTCATCAGCGATGCGTATATCGGAATGGAGTGGATGGCTGTCAGTTAGTTAGCTTGGACGAGGATGAACGCACGGAAACAGCTCCCGATCCAAACCCGTGGCATGAACGGAGAACGCATCACATCAGGGAGTTTGATAATAATTAAAAAAGCCGTTTAAAAAGCGCCGATCCCAAGACTCGGGACTCCGGCTAATTGCCTGGATGCTAACTGTTACCTAATACATTCTGGCATGTAACTACACATTTCCTGCTCCATCCGAGCTATCTAATAATCTGAAGCAAAGGGTACACCAACCCATGAACAGCTTTGCATATTTCCCGTCAGGTGTTGTGGGACAGGACATTCCAATAATCCCAATAATACAAGCCATAATGCATTCCACCCTGGCATTTCTAAAAGCCCAGCAATGTTCTGTTGTTAAGGAATATAAAGGGGAGGTGATCCTTCCATACAGCATCGACCCTAGGCGAGAATACTAGCAAGATCGCTGGATGTGCCCCTGGAACCAGGGCAAGGGTCTAAGATTGAAAGCTAAAAGAGCTCGTTCATGCTTTCGGGAGTGAACAGACCGGGCGAATTGCTCAACTCCTGGCTTCGTTTTCGCCTCGCTCTTCTCTGGGGAAACCCTGCATAGCTTCTGCAATGGCAGATGGTCATGGCTGATCAAGTGAGTCGGACTTCGTATTTATGTCTGTCAGTATATAGCTTTTCCTGCCCAATGGAAGTTCATATGGATATACGAACTGCATGCATGTCAGGTGGAAATGACAAAATCTAAAAAGGTTCTATATTTTTATACTCCAAACATCCTGCCGTGATCGCTATAGGTACTCCATAACTACACAAAATGCAAAGAAGGGACAACAAGAAGAAGCATTGAAACAGAACTCATCCCTTACTCCATCTCCAGACATTGAACATTGCTAAAAAAAAACAAGACATCGTGAGAATCGTATGTATGTATGTATAGATGGAAGACAAAGGAAAGAAGATGGGAAATGGGAAACAAGTAAAAGCGGGATAAGGCCTGGATCGCCGGGTACCGGGCCGAATAAGGGTTTCGGGGGGATGACGATTTCGACAAGGGGATGAGGTGTCAATGTATAGAGAGATAGAATATAGGATGGGATATGATAAAAGGATTTAAGCGAACGCGAGATTAGAAGAGAAAAGGGCGCATGCAGAAGAGAGCCAGCTGACAATGCGGTGTGAGAAAGAACAGGGGTAAAATATAGCGATTGCTATATGTTTCTCGTGTTATTGAGAACGAACGAAAGAAAGCGGCACGGGTAGCCAAGTGGCTGATAAGATATTGAAGGTAAACAAGAGACTACCTAGGCATTCTCGATCAAAGCGTTTCTAGACTTTTCGTAGCGATGGCCTCGTTGAACGGCCAGCTGGGTCGGGATACCTGCGGGTTTTTCGACAAATCGCTCACCAGGCCTAAGGAAACCCGTTCTTGCACCAACGGGGACGAGAACCTTTTTCTGGCCTTTGCTTACGGATACGGAGCGTGCAATCGAGATTTGAGCGGTGTGGATATCACTGTGTAGGTCGTCGGACATTGAGTCTATTGATGGGTTTGGTTGGTGGCCTGATCTTGGAGGAGGGCAGGAAGAAGCAGTCTTGGGCCTGAAGGAATCGGCTTGGGCATGTTGGCTGAAGCCATGGTTTGCAGTACCGTTTAGGGGAGGTGTCCGTGGACAGATAATTTGAGGGATCGACCCGTTTGCCTGCTCGCCCGGGTCGGATAAATTGCTACTCGGGGTTGGACTTAGCAGCGGATAACGGTTCTTTGGCGGTTTTTGTTCGTTCATTTTGTTGTGGCCTGGTGTCACCATCTCCCAGTCTGGCTCGACCAGTTTGACCGGAGGATTGACTTGTAACCGCACAGGGTTGAGATATTCCCCATCGTAACTTGAAGGTGAGTATAAGGACCCATCGCTAGCGTCATCCGCATTGGGAAAAACGGGAGGCTGTAGATCGTGGGGAGAATCTAAGTCACCTCTACCGTCGCGGCCCCAACGTTCAAATAGAGCTTTGTGCGGAGATGGATGTGTGTTTGACCTCTTTTGGCGTGGTGATTGACGTGGGAGACAATATGACCCCAGTATTTTCGATTGCTTATCTGTCGGGGTGGACGGGAAAAGTGAAAAGACTGGTGATTTGGCAGGCCCAGGTGAAGTAGCACGCCTTGGAGGGGGTAATGGACTATCATCTTTCTGTAACAATAAAGAAAAAGACAAACTGTTAACAACTGATAAAATTAGGAAGATAAAATGAATTGACTGACTCACCTCTTTATCAGGGATTTTAAGCTTGTTCAATGCTCTACTCCGTCTAGCCAGTAGAGATGGTGCATTATTATCGATCAGCCCGCCAAACATCACACTATATCTCTCCATTTCGATACTGGGTATATCCACCGAAAGATAAGGAGAGCTACTTTTTGCAGTTTGGAGAAGATCTGGGGCTGATTCTGGCTCGTCTGAGGTTGTGTTCCAATACCTCCTTATCTCGGAATTCTTAACCAGTTTGGCCGGAGTCCGCTTTCTGGCCTGTTTAGGAGATTCCTCGGGGGAAGAAGATCGTCCTGACGACGGACATAGGTCTAGATGTGATCTACTAACGGGATCTGAGCCGTTGGCTGTGCGTTGGCGTTGATGGCGATGGTGGGTGCTCTGGCGGGCTTGAGATCTGGAGTCCAGACTTGTCTTTGAGGAGTTCACAGCATCCATGGAGTTCGATGGATATTGATTGCCGATGTATACCTGGGGCTGGAAATTAGGGCTCTTTGCGGGACGAAGAGGTTTGTCGTTGACCTGGACCTGATAGAAGAATTCATTCTGCGGGGACTCGGCCTGTTTTGCGCGGAAGAGGCCTCCAAACTTCTTCCACTTACTAGGCTTCCGCTGCAGTGATTTTTTGGCAGTGACTGTGTTTGAAACCACGCTTGACACAGTGCTTGGAGCGGTGCTGGCACGGGGCTGTATCCGACCACCACTGCCCGGGGGTACTTCCCTTTTATCTGCACTTGCTGGAACACCTTTAGTGGTGATGGCAGACATGGAAGTGACTTTGGTACTGGGCGGCACAGGGAACAAGTCGACGGTTGGGCTGCTCAGGGCAACCCCAATCATCTCGTTCCATCGAGGGTCGTTGTTGGGGTGTATGGAGCGAGCCTGCCCTCCACGAGCTAACGGTTCTCTGCCAGCAACTGGAGTCAGTCGCCTGGGTGCATATGTTCCGGCACTGCGGCTGCGGTTGGCGGCTGCTGTGTTACTTCTTCTGGGCTCACGTTGAGAACCGTTATTTTCTGGACTGTGCACATTATCTGGCGAGTTGTAGGTTGCTGCACGGTGATAGTGCAGGTTGCTGGGCCGTGGCGATTCGTGGGGCTGCTGCTGTTTGGCTGTCCCGGCGGTCGTGTGAGCCCTCGGTCTTGATGAGACAGTCTGCTTCCCCATATCGTCACTTAGCTATCCAGCATAGTACACTAGATACACACACACACAGAGTCCAGTCTGTTAAATATTTAGTGATCACAGAAAATCCGCTTAGCAGCAGTAGACTGGGTATATAAGCAAGATCGATCAGATAGTAAGTGAGATATCTAACGGTAGAAGTACCAACACTGGCAAATTAACAAGCAGGCAGCTGGTCCAAAGCCTGGGGGGACCAGCAGAGCCAGAACAGAAGGGAAAACCGTGGGGTTTAAAGCGAAACACAGGAAGTACAGAAAGTAAAAAGAGACGAAACCTGCTTAACATAGGCTGTTAAGAGACGGGAAGGGATCAATCAAAGCAATTTGCGTATATTGATATGAGGCAGCCTCCTGAAACAAGGGCTAAAAAGGTTCATTTTAAAGATGGAGACCAACGGAGTCTGCCTGTGGGGATGAGGCTAGGAACATAACGGGAGCGCGGCCAGGGAGAGCGTTTCCGTTAGCCAGAATAAGAATAACAAATCTCATTCCCATGGCGCTCTGCAATTTCACTGGAGTTCGACTATGCCGTCAACCAGCACTAAAGTGCTCCATTCTTCGTATCGATCAGGCAGACTCTTTCCGATCGATATCCGTCATAACCAGTTAGTTAACTAGTTAAAATGATGGATGGAGCAAGGAGGTTAAAACAGAGAAGTCAACTAGCACGAGCTAGTTGGTCCCTCCAGCGACTTAATCTCCTTTAACTCGCCTTGTTTTGTGCAGCTTAAATAACCGCAGCCTCGCATTGATCTTGGTTGGGATCCCGCTACACTAGTTCACTAGTCAGCGAGTGAGGAAACTGCCTGGGCCAGGATCCCAGTGCGTCAAACACGAAGCAATGAAGGGCCGATGAGGAGGCAGGAAAAAAAAAAAAAGAAAAAGAAATTTCGTGTCCATGAGGCGGTTAACCATGATGTGCATATCGAAGGCAGCGTTCCCTGTTCATTTCAATGCCATCTTGGCCATATTTAAAAGCTGTCACTGCTGCTGCTGATGCCGATGCTTCTCTTGCTGCCGGTTGCTGCTGGCTGGCTGGCCCCCTCACGCTGTAACCGTTGGCCTTCAGCTGTTTTGTTTCACCGACAGGCACCCGCGACGCCGTGCGATGCGGTATACGCCAAATATGCACCTCGTTGTCAGGTCCTGCATCCATCCTGCTCTTCCTTCTCATCCGGCCGGGGGTGGGAGTTCTGTGGCGCCTGGTTGAAGATTGCAGGGCTGTCCGTACCTCCACCACCAGGAGATGAGGAAGCCTGCCGTCAAGACTGCTCTAGACCTGCTGATGCTGCTGCCGTGTCTATCTCTATCTCGTAGCCATCCAGGCATCCTCCTCAGAGCGAGTTAGTCCCGGTGACCTCATCGGCGTCGGATGTCGATGTCGATGTTGACGTTGTAGCTGGTGAAGAGAGAGAGAGAAGTTGCTTAGTGACTTCTTGCCCCCCACTTTCGGCCTGAGGTCAGAAAGTAAAAACAATAAATAGTTACAGTAGAGAGAAAAAACATCCCACCACAAACAAGCAAAAGCGCAGCAACAGCCAGACTTCACCGACAACTTCAGCCATCGCCGTCGTCGTCTTTGCTACTGCAATCTACAGCCAGCAGCTAACTATTCCAGGCTGCTCAGACTGGTTAACCACAGCTGCTAACCGCTGCAGGATAGCGTTCGCTGTCTGACTCCAGCTGGCCACCCCGCCGTTGTTCTCTCTAGCAGCAATCAACACTCACACACACCATCACCATCACCAAACATCATGTCCTGGCAAGGTATGTCTATATCAGCAGCTATCTATCCTATAGACGTGTTTATAGACGTATCCCTGGTTCTTACACACTGCTAACTGCGATTGTTAGAATACGTTGATAAAAGGTACCCTGCCTCTCCCCCCCGTCTCTTGAATTGGTAGCCTTGGATTCAGACATACCCCCCTAACACATCAACCCTACAGCCTTGTTGGCACCGGAAACATCGACAGGGCCGCCATCTTCGACAAAGATGGCACCAGCGCATGGGCTTCGTCTCCCGGTTTCAAAGTATGCTTTCCGCACTGGCTTTGACGTTGTCTCGTTGCTTGGTCTGACCCCGGTCTAGGTGAACCCCGAGGAGATGAAGTACATAGTAGATTCGTTCAAGTCCAGCGGTGATGTAAAGGAGATACAGGCCAAGGGCTTCCACGTCGGTGGGGAGAAATACGTCACTATCAAGGCTGATGACACCAGAGTCTACGGCAAACTGGTACGCTTTCCTCATGTTCTTTTTGGTGCACTCTTTGTGATATATATATCTATGTATATCCCCATCATCATACTTACTTACGATATACAGGGGAAAACCGGCATCGTCATCGTCAAGACTAAGCAGGCCCTTCTCCTTGCACACTACCCAGAAACCATCCAGCCAGGTGCTGCTACCAACACCGTAGAGGCCCTGGCAGAATACCTCCTTGGTGTGGGCTACTAGACAACAATCACCCATACCCTCTTCCCCTCCACATGCATCCTCCAGCAAACCAGCCGACCTCCAGTTCTGCCGGATAGTCTGATCCCTCCCTTGCCCTTGTAAGCAGAAAAAAAAGACGGAGAAGACAGCTCGGTACAAATGTCTGCGGTTTTCCATTTCTTGCATATACTTTTTTTTTATTCTTTGTATGAGATACCATCCAAGGGATTCGTCATCAGGAAGAGAAAGGGAAAGAAAGCAAAACCACTGTACATTCCCTCGATGAATGGCATCTAGTCTACTACCCTTTTTTTTCCCATTTCGGTTCGTTTTCATCCCTTGTATAACATTTGTCGAGAATGGTAGGTGCTCGTGGATCAACGGGTATATCATGATAGCTATAATACATAAATACAGTAGTAAAAGTGGCCACCGTGGCCATTCACCTCTGTTATCTGTTCTTATTGTTGTTGTATCTTAGGACGTTTCCATCCAAGGACGGCTGTTTTATACTGGTAGGTCCTGGTTTGGCCTTCTGCCTCCCATGGTACCCAGCCAGACCAACGCCTGTCTCAGATACGGCCCTACAACCGGTATGCTGCCCACAAACCCACCGAGAGTGACCAGGAAATCACCAAACAGGACAAAGAGACCGTATAGCTCGACACAGAAGCCTATCAGCGGCCAGCGGAAGAGGATAAGAAAAATGCCCAGGGCGAACGTAACCGTTCCCGTGAGCTTCTGTCGGCGCGCGAAGAAGGCGAGCGTCTTTTGCGGACCGAGGATGAGAGGTAGGCCGATTAAGAAGAGGATCTATCTCGTTAGATCCAAAGGTCAAGTAAAAATAGACGCGATATTCCTTACATTTCCCATAGCAAGTCTATAAGCCGTTAGTAAATCGAGGATCGGGCAGGCAAAAGGAGACCAAAGGAAAGAAAGGAGAAGAAAGGGGCTGCCTACAGTGACCGGTCGAAGAACATGAGAATCCCCAGGAAGAGGAATAGACTACCTGTGATTCCATGCCCATGTCAGGTCCCATCAAACCTTCAGCGTAAACCGGAGAATCAATTCAAAGCTCTCTCACCTACCACCAGAGCAGAACACCACCCCAACCTCTACAATCACACCTGTCAGTCTCACATACACTCATGTCTAATTCTTGTTCCGGTATCCGACTCACTCTGTGTATCTGTCAGCCACATGGACGGCATGGCTGCGGCTCTCTTATCAGTCCCCTTGTAAAAAAGTAGACGACTCTCAGAGCTCTAGCTCCAGCTCCAGTACCAGTACCAGCTCCCAGCTCAAGCTCTATCCACGTCCAGGTATATGTAGAAGCTATCCCGGCCTGTGTATCCGAACAGTCGATCGGCCAGGTGAATCGGCGGGACCAGGACTAACCAGACACCGGCTATCGTCTCTCTTAACTACGGTAGATGGTCCCTCCGTATACGTAATGAGATTATCAGTCGGTCAAGATCGAGCTTTGCTTCCTGGTTGATATATTATTAGCCGGGGAACAGGTTCATGAAACGCCCAACCACTCCACCAGGGACACACCACACGATCGGGGGAGGGATCAGGGAGGTGACGATGTCTCTGCCCACCAAGCTCATGGCGATCCACTTACTGGCTATATAGATTTATATCACTTGGTGTTAATTATCCGTAGATTGATTGCGGCGGGAGTCGAGAGTTCTTAATTGGAGAGAGGCCAGATAAATAAACTAAGCCAGCCAGCCGGTTCAGGAGTAAATAGCTGGCTCGATCGCGGCCAGGGAATAGCAGCTTGCGCGAGCTCCAAGTCCTAGCATCCCCTGACGCAGCCTGGCATGATATCCGTATCCGTTGTAGCGAGGAAGCTTTAATCAATATAAAACGCCGAATTCTCTCGCAAAAGTCGAGTTCTTCTTATTTTTTATCTTTTTATTTTATTTTATTTTACTCCGTATTTATCGTCGTTTTGCTAGATGATCCCACGCTAACCCCTTTTGGGTCTCTCGCACTTCTTTTGCTCCAACTTCAAAACTTCAACTTTTGATTTTGATATTAACGTGAAAAAAAAACGACCACGAAAAGCGACTTGAAGAAACGGTAAAAATATGCCAGTTATTCCACAATGGCACTATGATGAACAGTCGAGCTCAGTGACAAAGAATGCAGCAAGATGCTAACCGCGTAATTCTATTCAAAAGCTACCATATACACGCCATGGCCACAGTGTCCCTCGTTGGCACTGTAACTGACCTTCCCTCTCTCTCTTCCATGGGAGGTCGGTATCCGTCAAAAAACTGTCCTCGGACAGGGCGCAGAGCAAAGCAGCCTGGCAGGAGGTGCACACTCGCTGTGGTCTCTCCAGGTCTGGTCCCGATTAAGCCGGAGCGTTATTCTGAACTCGTCTCGAAAGGGGCTGCGTGGATGGATAGGGCTTGACTTTGTGGGCCGAACATATATCTATACCGGCGTTTGAGGCGCGATACTGTGGATATGGGATGTTCCCCGTCGTAGCGTTTAACTTGTGTAGTAGGAGTAGGTATGTAGAGCTGATTTTGGGTCTACTTGAGCACGGTGTGAGCTCCTCGGGCTTCTAGGTAGTTCTCTGCTACTCCCGGGCCCAACGACCTGATCACACCAAAGACCTCCTTGTTATGGTACCGTAGTCGCGTCTTGGGGTCAGTGTAGGGAGCTGGAAGACCCGTAAGGTCGCAGTATCGTTTCTGATGGCTAGGATACAAGGACGGGGCCGCATCAATGTTGGTGTATGTCACGGCTGGACCTGAGGGGGCACCAGCTCGGAAGTTCTTCTCCAGCACAAGGGTCGACAGGCTCTGCGCTGCCTGAGCAATATTCGGTGGTTTGACGCCGCCTTGCTGCTGCTGCTGGTGAGCGTGGGCGGCAGCTGTAGATGCCACCATGGGAGTCTGCGACCCCTCTGCTGTCCCCGTGCCAGTACCAGTAGCCGAGCTAGCAGCTACGGCAAAGGGAGTAGAGCTGCCACTGTTGGTCTGGCTGGCGACTGCGGAGGCCTCCTTTCGCGACGTCTCGGACAGTATCTGCTTGACGTTCTTATTGCGGCGTACAGACGGCTTCCAGTTGGAGTTGCGGAAGGGCTTCGGGAGGCGCGCGATGTCAAGCTCGTCGAGCAGCCGCTGGTGCGAGTCGTCCTGGACTGCTGCTGGGGGCGCCATCTCGTTTATTGCAAGTATCCTCGTTGGTATTCCAGCTGCTGCTCCTGTCGATGTCGCCGTCGCTGTCCAGCTTGTTTGTTTCTTCTTTCCAGCTTGTTAATCGCGGATGCAAACAGAGCAAACTTGACCAAAGAGGCAACTTTTCCTCTTCCATTTCTACTTATTTACTTCAACTTCAACTTTGTGTCTTTCATAAAAATTATAGATATTATAGAACTCGATACTGTCGAGAGGCCTCTAGACGACGAGATATCATGGTAAGTGATGATTTCTATGCAGTTATCTACAGACATCTGCTTACTCGCGTGAAGGAGAGCCCACACGAGCATCAACAGAGCCAGCTGCTGGCGCGCATCATCACCAACGTTGTCAGTAGACTCGCTCCTTTCTTATGGATCATGGAGATCTAAAGCTGTTTGACCGTGTTTCTGGTCTTTTGAGGGATGCTTATGCTGACGGCCTTTGTAGGAGAAGCTCAATGAAGCCATCACGGTGCTGAACAAGGGACTCCAGGTACGTCTCCCGGAATACCACCTCATAGCATCCAGGGGTAGTCGATGGCTGATCGGATGATAGGAGGTCAACGTACAGAATATGAACGTCGAGCTGGTCGCGCAGATGTTCAAGAACTACCAGTCAAACGTCCTCTTCCATCTTGAAGGTTTGTCTCGGCTCTTTTCTTTCGTCTGATTGTCGCGTGGCTGACCGGTGTACATACCATTATAGCTACGGAGAACTTGAAGGACCCGTCATAGAGATGTATAGATGAGGATGGCCATGATTATGAATTAGCACCCACTAACGAAGTCACGTATCTCTTACCTTTTTCTACGTCGTTTAAATATGTTCAACCGTAGAGCTTTGTTACTTGTAGATGTAACTAGGTAGTTAGGAACTTCCGCCGGCCAACTTTCCGCCTCAAAACCTCAAGAAAAACCGCTTCAACGGCTTCGACAGCAACATCACCAACATCACCAGCTTGCTGATAACATGATACCGCCCGTTCTCTCGCCCTAAACCCTCTCGCGACCTTTGTGCCAGCTAGAAATCTGCTATGGGAGCTCTTCCGAGCCTTGTCCGATAACCACTCGCCGCACCTCCAACCCTGATACCTACCTACCTACCTACCTACCTACCTACCTACCTACCACAGCTTCAACCAGCTACCATAACAGCTACGTCAAGATGGTCATCTCTTCATCACAACGCATTCCGGGACCAAACGAAGCCCTGACGATCCAAGAACGAAGAGAAGCAAAGCCGGCTCCTAGGATCTTCAACATCGCTGAACCGCCTTTCAAGGGCTTCCACCCCCCGCAACCAGATGGCTATGAGCAGAGCAGACACGCTCCCGAGACAAGTGCAATTGTAATAGACAACGGTGGGATATCTTATTTATATTAAACACGTTTGTTTTTGATTGAATGTCACTCACACATACCCGATAGGTTCACATACGGTCAAAGCAGGCTGGTCCTTCGACAATTCTCCGCGACTGGTGATCCCGCCTGTCGCCTCCAAGTACCGCGATCGCAAGCTAAACCGGGCGTGCCAGTTTGTTGGATACGATGCCTACGCTGATGCGACTACGAGAGGCCAGATGCGGAATGCGTTCGACGCCGGGACGGGCGTGATAAGCAACTGGGACGTGGTTGAGAGTTTGTTGGATTACATCTTCATCAAGCTCGGAGTGGACGGCGCAAACGGTGCAGTCGACCGCCCTCTCGTGCTTACGGAGACGATAGCCAACCTGGGATATTCTAGGAAGAGTATGCATATGGTGTTTCTTGAAAGTGTTAAAGTTGGCTCTGAGACTAACTGTTGGCAGTGATGAACGAGATACTGTTTGAGTGCTATTCTACACCATCAGTCGCATATGGGATTGATTCGCTCTTCTCATACAAGTATAACAATGGAACAGACGGGTTGGTGATCTCGTCTTCACATTCATCTACACATGTCATCCCGGTGCTTGGATCAAAAGCACTACTGTTCAATTCGGCCCGTCTCAACTGGGGCGGCCATCAGAGCTCCGACTACCTGATGAAGCTGCTTAAGCTTAAATACCCAACATTCCCGTCTAAGATGACGGATAGTCAGGTAGAAGACATGGTACGGCAGCACTGCTATGTCTCTCTGGACTACGACAACGAGCTATCCAGATACCTAGACTGGACCGGGTTGGAGGAACGTAACCATGTTATCCAATACCCATTTACGGAACACGTCGTGGTTGAGAAGACGGAGGAGGAGCTGGCCCGGATCGCAGAGAGGAAGAAAGAGAGCGGACGACGGCTTCAGGAGCAAGCGGCCAAGATGCGGCTCGAGAAGCTGGTGAAAAAGGAGCAGCAGCTAGAGTACTACAAGGGGATCCAGGCTCGGTTTGCCAATGAGACGAAGAAGGAGATCCGACGGCTGTTGGATGCAGAAGACTTGAAGGACGAAGCAGCATTAGAACGGACGATTCGCGAGCTGGAGAAATCCGTGAAGAAGTCACGCAACAAGGATCTGGGCAACGAGGAGAATGACGAGGCGATGGAAGAAGCGTCGTTCCCGTTGCTAGACGTGCCAGACGAAGAGCTGGACGAGGCCGGACTGAAGGAGAAACGACACCAGAGACTGATGAAGTCGAATGTGGAAGCGCGGCAGCGTGCAAAGGCAGAGAAGGAGAGGGAGAAGGCCAGGATAGCAGAGGAGCAGCGGCTTGATGATGAGAAGCGAGAGAATGAATTTGACACCTGGATCGAAGAACGCAGACAAGCTCGTGAGGTAAGACCCTTACATTATCACATTATATATATTACCAGCCAAAAGCAAGTATGCATAGTATGCAGTTGATACTGACGTGAGTATCTAGACGATACTGCGCAAGATCAAGCAGCGAGACCGACTAAAAGCCGATGCAGGCAACCGCAAGTCACTCGCGAGCCAGATCCGAATGCGCACGCTGGCCAACCTTGCCTCCGACGGGCCCAAGAAGCGCCGTCGCGGCGGTGATGACGACACCTTTGGCGCCAACGACGACGACTGGGGCGTCTACCGCACCGTCGCCACGGGGGACGCAAGCGACGAGGAAGAGGAAGAAGACGTCGACGGCATGCTGAAAGCAGTCGAGGCGCAGCTACTTCAATACGACCCTGAATTCACGGAGAACCATACGCTCGAGGCGCAGACAGACTGGACGAAGAGCATGATACATATGTTCCTTCGAGGGCCGTGGCCGTTTGATGCCGAGAGCCAGCGTGAAGCGCACCAGCTTCACTTGAACGTGGAGCGTATACGGGTTCCCGAGGTGATTTTCCAGCCGTCAATAGCGGGTATTGATCAGGCTGGCCTTGTCGAGATAGCAGCGGACGTGATATTGCAGCGGTTCCCTGCCGTAGAGGACCAGCAGCGGTTGCTGAGAGATGTGTTTCTGACGGGCGGGAACACGCTGTTTGAAGGGTTCGAGGAGCGGTTCCGAAGGGAGTATAGGGGTGTGTTGCCTACGGGGGTGGAGTGTAGGGTGAGAAGGGCCGGGGACGGGGTGCTTGATGCGTGGAAAGGGGCAGCGAGTTGGGCGGGCAGCGGCGAGCTGAGGACTGCGTCTGTCTCGAGACAGGAGTACTTGGAGAAAGGAGGTGAATATCTCAAGGTATGTCTGACTTGAAATCCTTTTATTTTTTTGCATTGGTGTTGGTGTTGTATATTGTATGACTGACAGTTGAGTAGGAGCATAGCTTGGGCAACGCTGTATGATGTCAAACATCAGAGCGCCAGCCAACCAGTCAGACAAGACAGAGACAGAGATATGGATAGATAGACAGTGTATGAATGAAGAACCGTCGGCGCTTTTATGCCAAAAAAAGGGGGAAAGAAGAAGAAGATATAACTAACGTATACAAGCCAGCGCACAAGGTAAATACAGACACGAAGAAAAGAAAGAACGAGACAAGCAAGATGACCGGACCGGACTCCAGAACACCGTCCCCCCTTAGGCCCCCTAGGCCTGCCCATCCGCAACATTCTTTATCAATAATCAATGCAGTGAGAAGCAGTAGAAGCAGCAGCAGCAGCAGCAGCAGCAGCAGCAGAAGTAGAGTAGGAGTATACCAGCTCGTCAGGAGTCAGACGAAAAGAATACACAGATGACCTAGCCATGAGAAGAGCGAAAAGAAAGTAAGAAAACGAGGACAAAAAAAAAGCACAATCATACGAGTCAAATGACATGTCAAAGCAAGTACCGAATCCGTCTCCAACACCAACGGGGGTAGTAGTAGAGATATAAAGTGAAATTTAAGAGGGAAAGAAAAGAGAAGAAGGAGGAAAAGGGAGGGTAAAAAGTGGGATGACTAGATCTGTTCCGTCTTGGACTGTTCTCCGGCCTGGGAGTCGTCCTGGCCGTCCTGTCTGGTGCGCTTCGAGAAGTTACCGCTCTGGCCCAAGAAGGCGGCCTCTTCGTGCTGGTGCTTTCTCATGCCTAGGCCGGCAACGGCAATGCGGTTGAGAGCGTTGAGTTCGGACTGGGAGCCGGAGTTGACGTGCTGGCCTGCGCCAGGCTGACCGCCGGCGGCATTACCTTGCTGCTGCCCCTGCTGTGGCTGCCCCTGCTGGCCCTGTTGCTGCTGTCCCTGTTGGCCCTGCTGGCCCTGCTGACCCTGCTGCTGGTTGGCAGACGAGGCGATGGCGGGCTCCGGACGAGGCTGGCTGAGGTCGATGTTACCGGGCAGCTCGGGCACCTCGTTCTGGGAGTCGATGAGACGTGACTGCAGGCTGATGATGTATTCGCGTAGCTGGTAGTTTTCAGCCTGGATGGCCTTGTAATTGTCCAGCAACATCTCGTATTCCTTGACCTGCTCCTCGAGCTTACGGATGTACCCTTCCTTGCGCTGACGGAAAGCGCGCTAAAAAAAACAACGCGTTAACACTAAGACCAACAACAACAAAAAAACAAAGACACAAAGACACAAAAGAAAAAGAAGACAACCCACCTGAGCAGCACGGTTCTGAGCAGCGCGTTTGGAAGAGGAGAGCTCGCGTTTGCCGTAGACCTTGCGCGACTCGCCTGTCTGGTCCATGCCTGGGGGAGCACCGGTCATGTCCTGCTGGCTGACGGGGACCTGGGCCTGCGGGGGCTGCGCAAGCATGGCAGCGGTGGTATGCACTTGAGGAGCAGCCGTCATGCCCGAGATGGCCGGGTCGATGTTGATATGGTCTCTCTGCCCGCCAGCGCCGGCAGCAGCAGCGGCGGCCTGGAGATGCGCGGCGACACCTGGCTGCGGGCGAGGCGGCGGGGGAGCCGTGTGAGCTGCCGCGGACTGGAGATGGGCAGCAAGCAGCTGCTCGCGTAGAACTGTACATGCAAATACTCCGTCAGCCGCTGTCACACTTTGTCTTGCTTTACTTCTTGTGCCTCGAGAGGAGAGTGTAGTATGGTATGGCTGGCCTACCTTGTTCTGCATGGTCCTGTAGACGGGTAAGGGCAAAGGCAGACCGCGCAGCGCGTCCACCACCCACCACCTGGTCAGCAAGCTTGTCCATGACGAGACGGGAGTCGAACGACGGCGTGGGAAAAGTGAGAAGCAAAAGGCAGTGCGTGTTGTATGTCTGTATGTGTGTGTATGGGTGTATGGGCGGATGTAGATGTGTGTATGTATAGAGAGGCATAGGCATGCAGGCAAGCAGAGAAGTGGACGGCCGGAGATACGGCCACCGGCGACAGGCGCATGCTCGCGCAGTCAAGAGCGATGGCGGCGAGCAGCAGTGACTCTATCCCATCCTGATGCCGGTGTACATAGACACAGCTGTACATGGTGCATGGTGTGCATGGTGTGTATAGTGTAGAGTGTGTGTATAGATAGACGGCTTAGCTTACCTGGACCGACTGCTGCGTCTGGTGCGACTTGCTTGGATCCTGGGACATGCCTGGGTGCGGCGCGGGCGCGAGAGGCTGCTGCTGGCCCTGCTGGCCGCCCTGCTGCTGCTGCTGCTGCATCGTCGACATCGCGTCGCTGTGTGTATATAATAAATATAGCTATCTGTGCCTGTCTAGATGAGGGCGCGGGTGTTTTCTTTTTTGGCCGTTGCCGGTGGTTGTTGTTGTTGAGTCAGGATGTAGTCAGCGTCGAGTCTCGCTCTCTTTTTCTCTCTCGCTTTTTCTGTGTTAAGGCGAAAGACGGAAAAGACGAAGGGAAAAAAGTCGGTGATGAGTAAGAAAAATGTAATAAAAAAATAAAAAATAAAATAAAATAAAAAAAGGAAGAGGGAAAAGGCGGGCAGAGGTGGCAGTATTAATAAGCTGGGAGAGTCACGTGGTGGAGTTAGTCAGATGATGAGTCAGACGATGACTAAGTTATTATTACGTCATGGTTAGTAATACACATACATAGCCGAGGACAAGAAGACAAAGACAGCAGGAGTAAGCAGAGTAGTAGAGTAAGTAGAGTAGGTAGACTAAGTAGAGTGGATGAGCATGACAAGTAGAGATGGTAAGTGATAGATATAGAGATAGATGTAGAAGAGGTAAGTGGCAGCCACGGAGTACCTAGGTACATACTCTTGTCACCCGAAGCTTGGCTTTAGTAGCATCACGTGCTTGAGCGATCGCTTATTTCTTGTATTTACTGGCAGAGTGCTCCGTAAGTAACAGTAACACTCAAGCCTTGCGATAGCTAGCAAACGGCAACATGGAAGGGCGCGTTAAGGAATAGCCAATGACACACTATGTATTACAGCATCCTTCCAGCTCTTCCTCTGATACCCACTCAGGCATTGTACTCGCCCTCGGACCGGAAACCGAGTCCCTCGCGGGCATGGCCACAGTAGTCATGCACTACCCGCAGTATGTCATTAACCAGCGGGACCTCGCCATAGATCAGTTCTCTGGGGAATTCATCCAGTAGAGGGTGTAGTGGGTTGGGCTCAAAGGATGTGTCGCCGTACGCGAATCGCGTGGGCGTGACGAAGAGATGGGTGCAGCTCGTCGTATAACTGTGCGATGCGTCTAGCCCTGTTCTTGTCGACTTTGGCATAGTTCCGTGGCAGGGAGTCGGGTGATATCCCTACCGACAGACAATACGCGATTGCAGACCGGCGTGCTTCTAGATCTGGACCAAACTCGACTTTCACGCCGTCAACGGGGATGCGGGTCGGGAGACCGATCAAGGGGTCGGTATACATGTGGGCATCCACTTCAGCCTGTATGTCACTGATGCTGCTGTCGACAAGGACGGAACCATCACTGCTCTCGGAGAAGGCACATACATCAATATCATCTTTCGGCTTTGATGGATTATTTGCTGCCTGTGAAAGGGCATATATCACCACTGTCGATCTTGTCGATCTTGTCCGGGAGAGAATATGAACCATAGCTGTCTAGTGGGTCTATGTTGTCCACAAATACCGTCAAGTCACTGCTGAAGCAATGGACAGAAGCGTCGATAGTACCCGATACGTTATTGCTCTTGGCCATTGTTGAAATGTGAAGAGAGGGTGACCCGCTGACAAAGGTAGCTTATGAAACAAGACTGGTCTTCTCGTATATCACAGCTTTGATTGCCAGGATATAACATAGACCCTGAAAAAAATATGGCGTCAAATTAGACGACGATACGCCGCTATGGACGACTCACCTGGTTTTGTCAGACAGGGGGACTCTTCTTCAATGTCAGCGCGACTTCGGCAATGTGCCCGTCGACATCATTCTCACGGCTACGTATCAAGTGTCGATAGACGCATTCGCACAGACGAAGACGAAAGCATTTCCCAATGGGATCCTCTCCACGCGGATTCCAGAGATTGTCAACGATGCAGTAAGGGTTGCAGAAGAAGCAAAGTGCAAGGGTGCAAAAGTCGCACTGAGCATTGGTCCCTATGGAGCCACCATGAAGCCCTGCCAGGAATACAGTGGCCAGTACGATAACGCTCATCACTCGCTAGATGCGTTGCACCATTGGCATAGGGAGCGTATGAAGCTGTTAGCAGGTATCACAGACATACGGCCGAGGCTGGGCTACCTCTCACTGGAAACAATCCCCCGCATCGATGAGATCAAAGCAATGAGAAAATTCCCAGATGCCACGCCTAAGCTAGCCGAAATACCCTTCTGGATGGCCTGCGTGTACTCTGATGCCGCGGAGACGCTACCAAGCGGTGCCTCAGCTGAAGAAGCTGTTGACGCAACGCTGGACCCCGAATGAATGAATCCAAGTTGATAGCAAAGTGTCAACTTCTACCCGTGCATATTGAGCAAGAGCCTTCGTGATGTATTAACCCTCGTCAAGCTCTTCAATGATTTTCATTGGTTAATTGAGCTCTCCACGCTTACCTAGCTTATAAGAGGCCCCAATGATCAATCGGAAATTAGAAGTATTTTTTAGTTTATTTTTTTCTTTTATTTTATTTTGTCCTATTCTATTAACTAGGGGCTAAGCATCGAGCCGATATATAAATTATATAATATTATCTATACTTAATTAGTTTCTTCTAAGTAGAAGTATTTGAATATATAAAACTTCTTCCACTATTACAATATAACCAGGTAGCTATCATATAACAAGTTGATAGCGCTCGCTACGCTCGCAATTCGTTGGAAGGGCGTGAATTACTATTGGTTAAAGCAGAACTTAGGACCAACAAGTTAGCCAATAAGCACCATTAATAAAGTTTTAGAGTCTACGGAGTATGCCCGCCCAATAAACCAATTAACACTACTCACCCCTTATGCTCTACAATGGGGTAGTGGCGTAGCTTGGCTGATTGGAAGCGCTAGTAACGGAAGGAAGTCTTACTCCAGATCGATCACCTAATGAGTGGAGCCAGAAGACCCACAGATTAATTATATAAAGGAGAAAGGAGGAGATAACTTGTTGGACCACAAGGGACAAAAAGGCCTAATGCCCCAAGGAATCCTTGGGTAATGAGTGCGAGTCGTAGTAGCTAATGGATATTCCAACATAGCTATATATATTTAATAGTAATCACAAGAGCTTAAGCTCGCACAAGTATGTAGTTATAAGATTTCCAGGTCCAAATACTGATAGAAGCTAGCTAAGCTAACTATATGTTTTGACAAAGCTTAATTCTTCAATGATGTCTTTGCTTGACCTTCCAAACTTTCGACGACACGTTCCACCTCAGCTTCTGGGTCCTCTGCTAGAGTATCGAATCGCTCCTCGGCCAACTTCGCGTGGGTTCCGTACTTCTTCACCCAATCTCTCAAACCGGGAGTAGTAGCTTGAGAGTTGACCTGTAGGATCAGCTGGCGGTAGCGGTTGTTGATAAGCTCGCCAGCATCGATGCGGAGCTGGAACTTGGTGTCATTTTTTGAGGTCCTCGAAGGAAGAATACGACTGCCGGGGCTGAAAATTGATCGAAATTTCTTGGCCAGGTTGAACTCCTTCCTGGCTTTCTTGAAGAAATCGGCAACGGCACGAGACATGACTGGATGGGGTCTAAAATAAATGTATTAGAGAGTCATGTTCCGCCTATGAAATGGGAAGTGACAAGCCACTAACTGACCTTAAGCTGTTGAGCTTAGTTAGCGTTTCTTTGGTATTTAAAGGAGAACAAAAGAACAAAAGATGGTTGAATATTTGTGGAAAGTTGGGTTGTGGTATGGTTGATGGGAAAAATGAATCTCTGGAGATGTCTTCTGATGCAGTATTTATACACAATCTTTTGCTCATAGCCATGTCTAGAGCCCAATTAGGTGCCATTTCTATTGAAACCGAACCTGCCTCCATTGATGCAGTCTGATGCACAGGGAGGTAGCCAGCGTTGCAGGCCAACTATGATATTTTGAGAAGGATTGGACAGGATTGCAGGAACTTCTAACCGCCGAAGGCATGGATAAAATTCCCGGCGGCTAGCAGATTCCGATTCCAGGGGAGGTATGGTATCGAATTATTTTTGTCATGCCACGGAGCATGTGCCCCGGCCACATATCGCCGTTATCATTAGCATCATCACCATCGAGCATTATCCGCCAGTCATTTCATCCTGTTAGATGCTAACCGCTGGCCCCCAAAACATGCATCTATTGTGGCTATAGAGCTTCAGAATTTATTTGTCAAGCAGACAGGGCGTATAAACCTGCATTAGTTAGTTATATCTATTTATAAACATGAGATAACTGTTGGGTTGTATTGTCTATGCTCGTACCTAGGTACCTATTTCATCACCAATCCATGATTGGATATTGTGGCCCAAACTTAGTTTTGGTTGCTTAGTCAGGAGCCACCGAAACCTGGATGAGCCTGTCTACGCGCCGTCCCGTAAACCAGATTCTCATGCTAAAGTCCTCGCTGGAATTCGCCATTCTTACATAGGTACTTAGCTGGAGGCGCAAGCTTTAGCACATTGTTTCCAGAGTGTTCGTTATGCTTGGAAGATCAGCAACGCCCCTTATCAGGTGCACCGGTCGTATCTCAACCGCCGTCTATCTCGCTTTCTATCGTCAACGACCAACAAAATCATTCAGAATGGGCGGGAACCTGAGCTCTCCGATATCAGGCGCTCATTGCCGAAACTCATCAAGACCATTCTCGGGCGGGCCTGGAGGCAGGATACACCCAGTTCCAAGTAAGTTAGATCCTCTGGCAACGGAACGAGAACCCGAGTGCTTACAGAAACTGCTGCTCGGTTCAGGTCAAGACCCATGCGCATACACAGCAGGACGCTTCCTGCTTCAAGATGAGCTTCAACGCAACGCGAGACATGTTCAGTTCAATTTCACTAAGCTATGTGAGGTTGCCATCAGCGTGTCTGAGGGTGCATGTCGCGTCATAAGCTATGAAAAGAAGGAAGGCGGTTATAATAGAGTGTTTATCCTCTCCCTTGACAATGGCAAACGCATTGTAGCAAGAATTCCTACGCGTGTAGCTGGTGCGCCACGGTTGACGACCAATTCGGAGGTTGCGACAATTGCATATTGTAAGATACACCACTGATTAACTAGCTTGGTCATCTAACGACTATTCCAGTACAGTCGAAAACCTCTCTCCCCCTTCCTAAGGTCTTGGCCTGGTGCGATGATCCTAGCAATCCTGTTGGTGCTGAATATATTATTCAAGCACACGTCGATGGCATCTTGCTGCATGAACAGTGGCCGCATATGGATGCTCTTCAACATATGCGATGCACCAAGCACCTATCCCAGATGACTCCAGAGATGACAAAGCTCAACTTCCCAGCTTATGGAAATATTTACTTTTCCGATGCGCCGATCGAAGCTGGCCTGAAGGTTCCGCTGCAGGATGATGGCAGATTTTGCATCGGACCCTATTGTAGCCCATTATTCTGGCACAGTGGATCTGGGGAACCCGAGCTCTACGGAGAGCCAAGTGAAAATCGTGGACCATGTACGCCCTTTATATATACACTTAAGCTCACCATCTCCCGTGTGGAGTTAATAATGCAATGCTGATGACATATTGTTAGGGAAAACCCTCGACGACTATGTGTCCGGGCTAATTGACACCGCTCTTTCCCGTATACCGAAGGAACAGGACAACAGTCTTCCTTACCGTGGCTCCACGGAAGAGCATGTTCGTCTTGTTAAGGTCTGTCAGGAAATAATGCATAAATTAGTACAAAGCCCTTACATCCAACAAGCTGGTATGCCAGCATTGATCCATGCAGACTACAACAAACGCAACATCTTCGTCTCCTCTGAAGACCCAACAGCGATCACTGGTATAATCGACTGGCAACTAACATGCGTTGAACCGGCGTTTATATATGCACATATGACTCCAGATTTTGCAGCATTTCCTGAAATCGACCCAAGTGAAGATGGCAGTGAACCAAAATCTAAAGAAGAAGAGAAACTACTGAAGGACCTCTCTATATGCAGCCAAACATTTGACGTGATTATGACACACAAGAACCCCAAAATTAAACCAGGAAGACTACTCGATTCCACTTTTTTCCGCCTCTTCCACTACTGCTTTACTACATGGCGTGATGGTATACCCGCCATCCGCCAAGAACTTATCGACCTCAGTTCCCTTTGGCATAAACCGGAACTAAACTTGCCTGCCCCTTACCCATATGTTCCTAGTGAGCAGGAGCTCGCGGGACACAAGAAGCAATATGATGATTTCGAAGCAAGAGAAAAGCTAAAAGCGTGGTTGAGAATATCTCTGCAGACAACTTCAGACGGATGGATCCCCAACGAGCTTTGGAAGGACGCAAAGGAGGCAAATAGGATGGCGTATGAACAGTGGATGGAAACAGCAAGAGAGGCGGAGGCTAGGGGGGATGATGATATGACAGTTGAGAAGGCAGAAAAGCTATGGCCGTTTGATGCAAGGTAGGCTGGCGCCATTTTTCAACGCCTAGCATTTGGTATCTTGTATGCGTTCCTTTCTTCTTCGGGGTGGATAAAGTATTAGACGCTTTGCAATATAGTTATGCTGGAAGGAAGCGTGTCTTGTGAATATTATCTATCAGTTGTGATAGAGGGTGGCCCCAGCAGGTGCTCGGGCAAGCTATATTAGGTAGCTACCTTGTACAATCATTCTGGTATCGCTTTAGGCTATTCCTTTACTACAAGCTTACCCAGCTGTCAATACAGCGTCTGCCATCGAATATATTGGTGAGAATTTGTATTTTACTTCACTATGTCTGTAGAAGGCTATAACTAGTTAGTTACAACTATGGTATAGCCTGTCTATGATGAAATTTGATCGCCTATACTCCCAATTAGTTATTAGTAAAAAAAAAAAAGGAAAAAAATAATAATAATCAGAAACCACTTGTGTGCTCCCTAACCCGACGCTCAATCGTATACCCAATGTGAAATTTTTCCTTGCGGCTCGTTCGTGAAACAACTAGGAAGAATGCAATAAGTTACCATATACTTGTCCCATGCTAGGATCTAAAACTTCTTCGCCGTCTTCCATGAGATTAGCACACTGGACGACATTGGCAGCCAGTTGCTGCTGCTGTCCTGGGCCCGTCTGGTCGCAACACAGTCGAGCAGATATCCCCAAACCTGTAGACGCCTCCCTTCTGAGCTGAGACGAAGAGTAGCTGCATGTTGTACTGGGGCCCGCCGATTAAAGGCTTAGACAAGGACACGGTGCGATCTTTATCGGCCAAGGCGTTCACCAGGGAAGTCGTCATTGACCTCGACGAAGACTATCTTGCCATCTATCAGGACCATGTTCGCGTCGACCTCTGGGCCATCAACGTACGTCTCGATGACAACGTCGTGGCCGTGCCACGAGGTGAAGGCATCGCGCCATAGCAGAGGCACTTTTTCACGCAGCTCCTGCTCGTTGGCCACTTCCCAGACACCCTCAGATGAGGAAGGCTTCACGATCAGAGGATAGTGGATATGTGGTCCGTCTTCTGAGAGCATCCTTTCTAGCTCATCTGGAGAGCGGACCATTCGGCAGAAGACGTTGTTGTCAAGCTGACGAGTTGCAAATTTGTTCTGTGCTAGCCCTACGGCCTCTGGGGGCGAGGTGTTGAAGCCCAGCTTAGCAGCTGCGTGGGCTATGATGGTATTCGTAACACCCTCGGCCGCCAGTGTCAAGCCAATTACGGAGTAGTTAAGGGGTGATTGGGGCGGCCCCGACTGTGACAAACAGCGTCACCCCCTCTCGTTATGGCTGGCTGAAGGCCAAACAAACAAAAGTACGACTTAACTGGTCAGTTTCCGCTGCTGTATGTAGATCGAATATAAATGTTCCTGACTTGGCTTGCTTCATGCTATCTGGAGATGAGATGTCTATTTGCTATGTTGATAATAACTTCTTGCACGTATTTATAGTTACTTATTCAAGCTTTTTGATATAACTATATATGGACAAGGTTGAGTTAGCTAATTGACAAGATAGAGATGAAGTCGCTAAATGTAGATGTAGATGGGGAAGAAGGAGATGGTAGACGAGACTATTGGCTCTTCTTGGTCTCCTTGTCCTCCTTGGTCTCCTTCTGAGTACCTGCCTGGATAATGGCAGCCCCGATCCTGGCAGATTCCTTCCACCCTCGCTGCCGCGCCCAGAAGAGCTCCGACGGACTCGCGTCCGGCGTGCTGAACTTGCGTGCGTCTTCCTCAAGTGACTCGCGGGTGATCTGCCCGATCTCCTCTTCCACGTAGTCGCTTCCTAGCTCGTCAAAGTCGTCGTCTGCGCCAGCCTGAACCCCGGTTAACATCTCCTCTCGGGGCTGGTGATTGTCTGCGTCGGTGTCGTTTTCGTTTGCCTGGCGGCTGCTGGCGCGGTCAAGGTAGGCCTTGCGCACAAGGTAACGCTCGGCTCGGTCGCGGCGAGTGTCGAGCGTCTCCAGCTTGGACATGGCGACCTGCACGGCCAGACGGGCGAGTAGGTAGATGTGCTCAGAGAAAAAGACTGTCAGCAGCAGCAGCCAGCCCTTGATCTCGTCGTGAGACTTGCCGCTGCCGTCCCCAGCTGCGGATGAAAACATATACACCAGTGCTGCGCTCGTCAGACTGCCCAGCCACGATAGGAAGCTGAGCGAGTCCAGCCAGGGACCGATGGAGTCGGCGCGGAAGGGTGTGGGACGCTTGTGCTCGATGCAGATCTTGACAAAGTCCGAGCGCAGCTCAATCCAGTTATTGATCAGGAAGGAGACGGGTACCAGAGACCACACGGGAGAGAAGAGAGATAGGTAGCCGAACTGCACGCACATCTCGCGCAGGTCGTCGGTGACGTTGTAATCGTTTAGCTCAGACTCGTTTCGTACCCGCTTGAGGAACTCGGCCTCTTCCGGTACATCTTCCAGTAGAAGGTCAGTAGAAGATGACGATGATGTCTTGCTGTCGTCCTTGTTTTTCCTTGCCTCGGACATCTCCTCATACTTGCGGAAGAACTTGCGTTTCACATAGGGTACCACCGTCTCCAGGGCAAAGTTCACTATCTGAGCAGTCACAGTAAAGTAGATCACCTGCTTGCGCAGTCGGGCTCGGTTAATGCGGAACTCCTTGATCCCAGCTGATGCTGATGCTGCTGCTGTTCCCTTCTCATCTGAATGGAAGGGCTTGACGGCGAGGTGGAAGACATCCAGGTACGGCACAATAGTGGGTGCAAAGGGAACATATACAAATGCTGTTAGAAAGATAGGTAAGTAGGAAGTGACAAAGTTGAGCACGAAGACTTTGCGTGTCAGTGCAATATCATGGCTGTCTTGCGTCTCATAGTTCTCATATTCCGTCAATTGGGTCGCGACCTTTGTCAGTATCGCGCTGATGGTCGGCACACAGAGTGACAGTATGATTGTGGGTACAAATGCCTGTCGTCAGTTAGTTCTTGTGGTATATAAACTGAGCAAGGGAGGTAAAAAATAAAGATGGACAAACCAGGTATGTTTGGAAGGGACCGGAGTAGATTTCGTTGATAAAGACCTCAATGGCAAAACATGTTGCAATCAGAGTGCCGAGTGCAACTACCACTGCCATAGTAAATGGAATTACCAGTAATTGCCTAGCCAGACGCTTGGAGGCCGGGAACACATAGACTGTTTCACCCGTAATCGGATCAATGATCTGTTTCTCATGCTTGTACTCCTTTCTCCGAGCCTTGATCTCCGACACCCCCTTTACCTGCCACCTTAGGCGCAGATCAATCTCCTGTCTCTTCCAAAACTCTACAAACACAAGACAGAACAGCGAGTTCAGCATGGCATAGAATATCGAGAAATGACCGAGAAACACCCAGCAGAACAGGCCCAGACCAGCAGGAACCATGAGGAAGCGGAAGTATGTCTGCAAAAAGGTGAAGTAGAAGGCTACTTTCTCTCCCAGCTTCAGTCGTATCTGCTCCAGGTCACTATTGTCCAGCAGCGTTTTGCGGCTCCAGGACTTGATCCACTCGCGGTTCAGGTCATGGTCGTGGAGCGGGAATATCGACTTGACATGCTTCCAATACCCATATCCGGGGGTGATGTCTGCTCCACCGTCTGTACGTGGGAGGGTCATCATGTCGTATATTGTGCGAAGGCGTTCTGCCTCCGTCCACTGCGTTCCCTGGGTATCATGGGCACCCTTGGCGGGTTGTGCGGTACGCACACCATACAGCCAGTCCTTGGTTCTGATATCCGTAAGTCGTATATTCGTTCGTAGGACATAAAGATTGTGCGTACCTCGTTCTATGTGCCATCGCCTTCAACTTATCCTCGTTGGGCTTGACGAGGACAACCAGACTCTGGCCCTTGCCAGGACGCACCGCTGCCTCCAGCCCGACACTATACAGTGACCGAAGCAGCCTCTGCAGCTGTCTGCCGGCATCTACATCAACCACTTGTCAGAATACGTACTCCAGCCGAGGTATTGATTACACCCAGGGTCGGACGGGGTAGGGGGGAGGTAAGGGGGGAGCTCACCCTGGTCCTCGAAGGGATAGAGGATCACATACTCCACACCAAAGTTCTTCGCCAGAGTGTGGCCTGGTATACGCTTCGCTCCCAGGTCCTGAGACATGGCGACGGGATTCAATGTTATGATGAGCTGCCAGTCAATTCATGACAAGCGAGAGAGGAAGATAGAGCAGGAAGAAGAAGAAGAAACGAAAGATGCAGCAGAACAAGTTGAAGTTGTGGTTGTTGAGTTTGTTTATGTAAGACAGCCCTCTGACGTCATTGGTGGGGGTTCCCATATAAAAGACGGAGAGCCGGAAAGGGAGAGAAGCTCCTTGTTTTGATAAACAGTTGGATATTATATGTGTATATACGGGTTGATAGGGTATTAAATACTGGCGATAGACGCATTTGCGACATGGGACCTGTAGATGGTGTCTTGCGGGCTGGTTGCATACAAGAATGGTTTCATCTTGGAAAAGTGTCAATACTCCTACTACTTATCAAACAAGTAGAACGAGATGTGTATCCACGCATGTGTTCGCTACGCTAGAAATAACACGATTACCCGTGACTGAACCTCACCCCGGTGTAAATAAAAACGGTTTCAACGGTCTCTGTTTAACCGATCTGTGCCTTGGAAAAGTCCATCTCTACAGCATGGAGTTAGTATTGATATCAGCAAAAACGGTTCACAACATCACAAAACCATACCTGGGTGTTGTTCTTGGAACTTCCTAAGCATCTCGGCCTTCTTCTGCTCATCACTGGACGGCTTCCCCATCTCCTTCTGCTGCTGATCATACATCATCTTCTCTACCATGCTTCTTGTCTCCCCATCCAGGTCACTCAACTTAGAGTTCTCGGGCGTTATCTTGCTGACGTCGATCTTGGGCGCGGTGGTGACAACGTGAGGCCACCATTCCATCTTGTTCACCTTGTCTAGATGGACAGACACTTCTTTGCCGGGAGGACTGGAGACGGTCTCGAGGGTCCATGAGGACTCGTCGACATGGATTGGATGTGGGAATGAGCCCTGTACAGACATACGTTAGCATCTATCAAGTATCCCACTGTGAGACATGGGCTGTATGCAAAGATACATATTATCTACATACGTCGATAAAGGGTTCTTTGCCCTTCAACGCAACTCGGATCTTGGTCTTGGTCAGAACGACCTCCAGATCCCTCGCGCGTATCTCAACAGGCACTGGAATTGTGACTTCGGCTTCTGCAATTGTCTGTGTCCATTTGTACGGCAAGGTCGCCTGTTCTTTCGCTTCTTTTTCCTTGTGTTCACGGTCGAGGCGCTCTCGCTCAGTTTGGGAGGGTTCGGTCTCTGTATCCGGAGGCGGCGACGACATCATGCCCTGCTGTATCGTGCTCCCTATCTTACACACGGCCTCACTAATCAGCTGTGTCTTTGCTTCCGGCCTTCGATTCTTCGTATTGCGGGGAGCTTTTTTTTTTTTGATAGCTCGCGGGGCGCCAGGCGATGTAGTTAGGTTATGTAAGCAGCGCCTGGTGTTAGTGTTTGATATCTTGACCAAAGGAAAACTCGTATGAAGGAATCTATTATCGAGTGCAAAAACATGCTAGCTATTAATACAAGAAACCGAGGCCAACTCCTGCTTTGCCATATGGCTTAGATGATTTTTTTTTCTGACTTTCCATCGTTTTGCTTGAACAAAAAATAAAAAGAACATCACAGGAGGACAGATAGATCAGAAGTATTAGCAGGAATGAGAGGTCTGGGATCCCAGCGCCAGCTTCCAACAGATCAGGCCTAGGATGAAACGCATGGTATCTAGAATATGATAAATGGGTACCGGGCCGGAAGTTGGTATAAAAAGGATTTTCTCAAGTAAAAAGTGTTCCCTAGTGTTCCCTAGTGTGATTATCCTTCTCGGATAAGTGAGTGGAGGTCCCTAGCTTAAGACTGCTTCTTCATCATGGACTTGGAGTACCCTCAGCGTATCGAGGCGCATCGTCGGTGGCTCCAGGGGTGGCAGGGAAGCCCATTCCAATTGCTGGAGTAGGTGCATCATATGGTCGATGGTCTCCAGCGGGTGTAGGCGCGTCATACGCATCACCATCCATACGTTTTCCAGCGAACGTTGAAGCACCTGGTGTAGGCGCATTATCCGGCCATGCACGAGGAGTTGCGGCAGTTGCTCCAGGGGTTGGAGCACTACCGTATGGTGCAGGAGATGGGGCTGCATAGTCACCTCCAGGAGTAGGAGCATCGAACGCTCTGCCGGAATTGGCACTGAGATGTGAGCTGGAGCTTCCGGAGTGGCCCCAGGCGGGTGTTCGGGACCCGCTGTTTGCTGCCATTGCACCTGGATGTCCTGGGGTCCGAGATCCGGCCATGAAAGCGTCGAAGCCTGAGTTAGAAGAGCCTCCTGAGAAGCCGGACCCAGCGTCGTGAGGGGTTTTCGTTCCAGAAGTCCAGGCCGGAGTACGGCCACCAAACCCACCATACGAGGTCCGGTTACCGTCATAAGGGTTGGCGGTACGACCACCTTCCGCCTTCCACGCGGGAGTGCGGGATCCTATAGCGGCATTCCAAGCAGGGGCTAAACAAACCAAGTCAGTTAACGTCTAGGGCCATCTTTAAACGAACATGGTCGGATACTTACTTCGAGAAGATGATGCTCGCCATGCGGGTGTACGCGACGAATCGCCCGTGGAAATTGGGGTTCTTCCCCCTTGCCATGCAGCATCTTGGGGGCCAGCTCTTCCTGTTGCCATGGATTGTGGCACTCTGGGGGCACCACCACCTCTGCCGCCAAACCGGTTGATGTCTACAGGCTGTCCTGTAATGGGGCTATATACATGTTAGTTAGCCGAACCCAAAACGCAAATAGGGAATAATGAGTAATACATACTCCTTGACAGAGAGGTTCTCCTTTTCAACTGGTACGACTTTTGAAACAGAGTGCAATTCAACTCGAGCAATGATATCTGTCGTATCCTTAACGATACCAAGCAGACCCTTGAATGGCCCCTTTCGAATATGAACTGTCTTTCCAACAAGTCGGTCCCTGCCAAAAGTGCGCGGTGGCGGCATTCCAGAACCGTTCATGCCGTTCTTCTGTAGAGCAGGGTTCATCTTTGACAGATCTGGAGCAGACCTACCCAATTTCGAACCGCTGGTCGCCACGGTGGTAACGTTTATAGCTCTTGTTACCATGATACCAGCATTATCCCCCACAACCTTACTTGTGCAGAAAAGGAACGCCCTGTGGATATGCAGTATTGTTCCGGTCCGTTGCTCACCAGTCACTTCCTTCACGGTATCTCCGCACTTGATTTCAGAACCATTTCGGTCAGTGGTCACAGCATGTCGTCGCTGTTCAATCTTGCCCAAAACCCGCGATGGAAGCACAATTTGGGTTGAACCGTTCTGGTCTAAGACTCGCATTGACTCCCTGTCAAGTTTCACCACACATCCAACTGTTGTTTGACTGTAGTTTTACTCGTTAGTTTACGGATGGTATTGTAGGATATACAGAGGAAACATACTCAATCTGAACCAAATCATGAACATCGTATTGGCCCAATTTACCGTCAACTCCAATGTCATCAGCTTCTCTCAAATCCTTGCTGAATACGGTGATCTCTTGCATTGCCATGTCCGTGAGGATGGTAACTCGGTCGTCCTTGATCCGGACAACCATACCCAACTCATCGCGATACTTGCTACCTCCGATAACTTTGACATGATCACCTTCGCTGAACCTCTTTCGGAGACCCTTGGTGGGCACATCAATGTGCTGGCCTTGAAGTTCACCTTCAGTGACTTTGATAGTAACGATGTCACCACGGGTTGCTACAGTCTGGCCAACGACGCCACGCTGTTCACCCGTAAATACTTCAACGGTGTCTCCAACCAGATAAGCATCCTCTTCGGTTGTATTCTTTATTGTAGCAGCCAAAGAAGCAAGATCGAGGTTTGAAGTGCCATCATCTGCACCACGGGCAAACTTGGTTACCTCGTCCAGTTGAGGGTTAACGTTCTTGGTGATGAGATGTTGGACTTTCATGTTTTTGATAAGGAAGCCATCGACATAGGTGTCCCCAAGATAAGACCAGGACTTGCCGCCCAAGCTAGATGTTGCAGAGAGATACTTAGAGTGTCTCTTCTTCGCTTCTGCCTCACTGAACAGACGTTGAGGAGGCCTGGCAACTGCGCTGCCTCCTGCTCCTCCAATCCTCTTGCGCTTGGGGTCCATAGCTGGCGCATTGCTGTCTTCGTTAAGTCCGTATTCTAGACGAGGAACAAGTCTGACGGTAACATTAAGCCCGTTTGTCTCAACTTCTTCAAGCTGGGCCAAGTCCCCTTGGTATCGTCCACGCTTGATTCGGACCCAGCCACCCGGGGTGAGCTCCTCCGACTTCTTCACTCGGAGCAGATCAGGCATTTCCTTGACCGAGATCAAGGTCAACTTAGACCTGACGTAGATATTAGACATTCCATCCAAGGCGTCAATGATATCGGCTTGTTTGCGGGCTTCCACGTAAATGTATCCGGCCATAGTTCCACCGCGCTCAAAAGCAGATATAATCTTGATAGGGTTTCGCGAACCAAGAGGCCGCTCCTCCATCCGCTTGATGATGCTGAACACAATTTCCCTTTCCTTTCCTGGCCGGCACTTGACACCCCATATGCTCGGGTCATCCACGCTAGGTAAGAGAAGCCTCTTAGGGACGACAACGAGATCAGCTCCAGAGGCACGGTTTCGGCCATATCGCTCTTTGAGGGCCTGTGCCTGCTGTTCCGCATCCATCGTCGCATCCATATCGCGCTTTCGGTCGAGTTCACGATGACGCCTATCGTCTGTTTCTGCGCCAGCCGGTAGGACGACTTCATCGTCATGGTGGACAAAACCACTTTCGATTTCATCTTCTTCATCCTCCGCTTCATCTTCGTCGTCGACTTCTGCTTCTTCTTCGAAGAAAGCGCCGAGTCCATGTCTTCTCCGCTTTCGAGGGCGACCCTAATTAGATCGTTAGCAGATGACTCCAATATACCCGAGTACACATCAGGAGGGGCCAATTTAAGGTACACTTACAGTGACTGCTTCCTCCTCGTCTTCCTCCTCATCATCTACATCGTCGTCCTCGTTATCTCCTTCGGGCTCCCCTTCATCATCGTCTTCGTCGCCGGCTTCATTTTCTCCTCTAGCCTGTTGCGATTCATTAGTATTCAAGTCACCATTGCCGGTATCATTCATCCGTTTCAATTCTTCTCCAATTTCTTCCTCGTCTTCTTTTTCTTTTTTACCGACCTCTTGTCCATCATCGTTATCTATGTGCTTTCCGCCGCTGCGAATATCTGCCGCATCATGCTGGTCATCTTCAGCCTCTGGCTCGGAATCATCGGCCGGTGTAGGATTAAAATCTTCTTCGTCTTCCGAGGCGAATTCTTGTTCGTTCCCAGGATGTGACATGTTTGATATTTATTATGTATTAGTCGCCGTAGTTGAGCTTTCGTTCGGATATTCAGCAACAAAGCTAGAGCCTCGGGTGACGGGAAATGTCTCCTTGGGAGGATGGCCCTATTCGTCCTGTTAAGGAGTACGGGCCCCTCGCCGCACTGTTTCAAGAAACTGCCTGTAGAGAGAGAGTGCTGGAAGCGGGTTTGCTCGGGGCGTTATGCTCGGGGTGTCGAGATCTTGGTGAGGGAGCTATCGCAGGAACGGTCGAAAAGAGCTCACTTTCGGCCAGCGGGTGATCTCAGGGAGTTGGAATAAGAGGGAAGGAAGGACTTTATTGAACAGCAGAGCCGAACAGTGGATATATCTTGTCAAGACGTTTTCTTTGCGCAGAGTCGAAGCTCTTCGTCTTCGTCTTCGTCTTCAGCTTCGTCTTTCTTCGCCTTCAAAGCTTGAAGTTGGAAAATGCGCAAAGGGATGGTCACGTGATGATTTTTTTTTTAAGGTTGCCCAGGCGTGTTGTCCAGCCTTATTTTTTTATTTTTTATTTTTTTTTTTTTCCGAGTTGAGAGTACTCCGTACTTCGACATGAAGGAGAAAGAAAGAGGTCGATTGATACAGCTTTTACAGGGCCAAAATAATAGATTGATGCGAATCAGTTCGATTCTAGGTAGTGTGAAGTATATAAGGTACAGGTGACCCGCGCAAGGAATACACCGGAGTCAAGAATTGAAAGATTTGAAATGGAACAAGATCACCAGGGGATATATGAACAAGAGGAAATTCATAGAGGTATATTCAACGGGAAGGGAGGTAGGAAACATATCAAGGGAGTCATTATAGCTTCATGCCAAAGATCTCATGCACCTTCAAAGACTGTCTCATACTTAGATCAAGCATGATCTCCTCGCTGCCTCCGGGGATAGCATAGGCCCTGACATCACGGTAGAGCCTTTCAATCTTACCGCCCTGTCCACCACGGGAGTAGCTGAGGCCTCCGAAGATCTGACTGGCTTCGCGAGCACAGAACTCGAACGTGGTGGTAGACTGGGCTTTGAGACTGGCAATCGCTCCTCCTAGGCGAAGGGCGGCGGCGTCTTCGTCCATGTTTTGGCATTGGAATACGAGGTTCTCAAGCCAGTTGAAACTGGCTTCGATCTGGCGAGCCATGTGCGCGAGTTTCATGCGGATGACGGGATGGTCGATGAGGCGTTTGCCAAAAGTGCGGCGCTTGTGGGCATATTTGACGGACTCCTCGTAGCAGACTCGGGAGAAGCGGAGGCACTGGATGATGATACCCATACGCTCATGGTTGAAGTTGGTCATAATGACTAATATTTAAAAGTTAGCATCGAAAGCTTTTTTATCCTGGGGTTAAGGGGAGTGAGTGCGCACCTTTGAAGCCCTTGTTCTCCTTTCCAATCAGGTTGCCAACAGGGACCTTCACATCTTCAAAGGTAACGTAGGTGGTGCCACTGCTCCAAACACCCTGGCAGTCCATCTTGCGTGTGCTAACACCTCCGGCGGAGCGCTCGATTAGGAGAACACTGACACCACCCATTCCGGGGCCTCCAGTTCGCACAGCAGTGGTGAAGTAATCACTCATGATACCGTTGGTGATCCACTTCTTCTCACCATTGACGATATAATGCTTCCCATCCGGTGTGAGTTTGGCTTCACAAGACAAGTTGGAGACGTCACTTCCAGCATCAGGCTCGGTTATAGCTAGACAGATACGCTTGTCACCAGCCAGAATACCTGGCACAATACGATCCACGAGCTCCTTGGATCCGTATTTGACGAGGGGTGGGCAGCCAATGCCGAATCCACCGATGAGGTTCCAGACAATGCCTCCGCTGCCTGCGCGGGAGATCTCATCGGTGACAATCAGCTCGTGGAAGAGATCCCACTTATCGGGGGAAACGCTCTTCACTTGGTTCTTGACTAGGTCTTTGTTGTACGATAGACCCAGCAGACCAGCAAGATAACCCCTCTCGCCCATTTGTTTGTAGATACTCTCAGGCACTGCCTTGGCCTCGTCCCACTCGTGGCAGTAAGGCTCGATCTCGGTCTCTACCCACTGTCGTACCTCGTCACGTAGAGCAGCGTGTGATTCGTTATAGAAGGGGGAGTAGTACTAGACACGCATTAGCCATCAGTAGCTCTTGTGCATATGCTCGGCCTATGAATAAACTCACTCCATGGTACCATGATGGATCTGAGAAAGGGATGAGCTCTCCATAGGGATCCAAGGCCTCTGCGGCTGGGGCAGACGAGGACTGCGCCTGTGACTTTGAGGCCTCCTTCTTTGGAGTTGGGGCAGGAGCTGCGGCTGCTGGTGCAGGTGCAGGATCGGCTTTCTTCGAGTCGAGGGAGCCGATCTTCAGCTTTGGCTGGTACTTCTTCAACACGCCTGCGTTGTGGTATTTCCAGAACTGCTTCGAGGCATCTTTGCCACCCATACGCTGCAAGACTATGGCCGAACCGTAAGTATATCGCGTCTCGGAACAAATCAACGAATAAACGTACTTTTTTTACCGCCTATATTTGATGTTAGCCTTGCGCCCCGGACACTCATCTATACGCTGTTTGTAACTAACCAGGATGTTCATCGAGGAACTTGGACACATCATAGACATCTCCGTCGATGGTGATCCAGACACTGTCCCCTTTGCTATGCGACGCAACATCCTCCTTTGAATATATGCCGGACATGATGGTAACCTAGAATGGAAAAATATTCCCTATGAAACGAAAAGATAAGATGGTCAAGAAAAAAACGGAGGCAACACCGGATATTATATTTAAATATATATATACGCAAAGATGGAGCCGCCGAATCAGAGGCAACGTATAACTAACAGAGATGGAGCAGGTGAGAAGAGAAGCAAGTCCGGGGAACCCGGGGCCCCTAAAAAGCAGTTCACAGGCAGAAAAGCTGGATGATAATGATGTTTGACGGTAACTGCTTAAGCCTAGGTACAATCACAAGCTATCTCCTCATGTAAACAGCAAAATACCACGGGGGATGAGGTGTGAAGACGACGTTCCTTTTTATCGTCACATGCAAAAGATTGAGCTCTATGACGTTGTGGCCACTTGATGCCCCCTTTTGAGATACTTCGTACATATGTATACGTGACTGTCTTATCCTCTCTGTAGTGAAAGATGTGCGCAAACAACAAATCGATAGAACTCTGTATAGAAAGGGACACAGAAGCTTGATTTCACCTTTATCGACTTCTCCGTCCCTCTTCTTTCTCTTCATCTTCAGCTTCGGCTTCATCCTCGTCTTTTCGACTTTTAACTTCTTCGGCATTTTTTTCGGCCTTTCTACTTTGTGAAGCTAGTGACTAAGCACAGTCACGGGGACAGTTGCCTCGGTTCAGGTTGGCATGGCTTTCCTTTTTTTCTTTTTTGATTTCTATCAAAAAGGGGTGGATAGTAAGAGCAGGAAGAGCAGCGAGGAAGTCCGTTGTACAACAGTTAGATTAAGATCATAGGATATAGGCTAGAGTACAGGGCATGGTTGTGTCTAGAGATACAACCCGGTGTATGCTATGCACAAGGAGCAGAAGAAGAAAGTTGAGGAACTATAGAAAAGGGTGACAGGGCGGCAGAGCGAGACTTCGGCTTCAAATTTCTTCATCCTCCCCTTCGGATTCATATGTAAAGTCGTCCGGCACCGGGGCTTCTTCAACCCCTTCTTCGTCCTCGTCAACGGCGGTAAGGACACCTGCAGCGGCTGCGGCGCCTGTACTAGCGCCTGGACGGGAAGGAGTGGTTGGGGCAGCACCGGAGGCGGCCTGAGCAGCGCCCTGGAGGGCAGCGTTAAGACGACTCTGGATAGTGCTGGGCTGGTTACCACCGGCTGCAGTCGTGGCGGCAGGCTTCGTCTCCTTGCTGGCACTTAATTCAATAATATCGCGTGGCTCGGAGGGCTTCTTGTCGAGAAGAATGATAACTCCGCCAGTAGCCTACAAAGTCATAGCGTTAGTAACTTGTTTGTAACCTCTCTTCCTAGAAAAAAAAAGCACGGGTGTAATTACCTTCTTGACTGGCTCGTATCTCTGGTCAGGGAACGATATATATTTCACTTGAGCGGGAAGGACTCGCGACAGGTTGGATATCTCATAGCCAACCTTCTCCTTCTCTGGCTTCCGCTTTGGTTCGACAGTAGCTGTCTCCTTCTCACTACCGGCCTTCTCTTCTTCGGCCTTGGAGGCTTCATCAACGTCCATTTTCTCGGGAAGCTGCTGGGCTGCAGACTTTGGAGTACTTGGCGTTTGCTCAATATCGATGCTTCCACTTCGTTGTTTCTCTCTCTTTTGAGCTCGTCGTTTCGCCTGTGCGGTAGTAGACAGCACTGCAGTCTTAATCTTCTCCGGGGCCTCGTCGGTCTTTACCTGCTGTTCTGCGGGATAGTCAAACAGGCTTGGGCGAGTATTGCTGTGGAATTTGAAATCCGGAACCTCCAGTTTCTGATCAACGCCGATAACAGCGGTGGGTGTAAAGCTGAGAGACAAGAAATGGGTCAATGGGAACCAGTACCAGTATTGTGTAAAAACGGCCATTCCCACGATTCCAGGCATGTTGAGGTTTCCGGACTGGGTCTGTAAGCTGATAGTGCAGTTCCGGCCACCAGCGTCAATAATTCCAAGAGCGAGAGCACATCCAAACTTGGCCATGGCGTCCTCATGGCGGTCTGCAATTACTTTTTGCATTGCCGTACGAATAGTGCCGACCTTAGGATTCATCGCCTCGTTCTGTTGTACAAGCACCATAGAGAGAGCAATCAATGCACCCTGGCGGACGAAATCAGTTGGGTCCTTCAACATAGGCTCCAGAAGATCAATAGCCTCATCTAAGCCGGTTCCAGCGCATGAGATACCGAGAGCCATAGCCGCACCATATCTGACATGGGGGTTATAGGACTCAGAGAGAAGCTCAACCATCCGTGGAACACTCTGGTGCTTGCGGAACAGAATGAATCCTAAGCTCATGACGGCAGCACGGCGGACGTCATCGCTAACATCACTAACAGCAACGTGCAGGAGCTTGCGGACAGCCTTATTACTTCCAGTTCCGCAATAAGCCAGTGCGATTGCCATGATTCCACCATATCGAAGCGTAGGGTCAGGGTCACCCAGAAGCCCATTTATCAGTTCATCTGCAGCTTCTTGGCGGCCGTACATGATTAATGCCATGCCCATAGCGAGACCACGGATAATTTTCTCGTGTTGAGTTAGGTGAGCATATTGGATCATGTCTTCGAGTGCTTTCATGTTTCCAGTTCCCAGCATAACAAGACCCATAGCAAGACCAACTGCCTCACCGTTCAGAGCCAAATCAGCATTGAGAACCTTATTCAAATCTGAATAGATCCCTTCATCTCCAGTTCCCATGGCTGCAACACCTAGTCCAAGGGCACCTCCATGCTGCACCACTTCTTCAGTAGCCTTGTTAAAGTGTTCACGGATATGGTCCACGGCCCATCCTTCATGGTTGGCGTAAATTAAACCAAATGCATACAGAGATCCGCCCTGGCTATAAACTGACCCGGAATTACCCACACCTGCCATAGACTCCTTAGGAAGGTATGGTGCAAGGAGCTTCTGCCCCTGGGTAAGGTTACCTCGATGAATGACACCGAGAGCAGCAGTAGCAGTGAACTTTGACCAATTGACCGCCTTTCCTAACCAATCTAGGTTGTCGCGGAAAAACTTGTCATGGGTCGTTCCAGCATGCATAAAAGCGTTGGCGCATGTCACTGCAGTGTGGAATATTGAGTTTCGGGCCTCCAGGCTGTCCTTGATCTTATCCAAGATGGCAATATCTGCTTTGTTGTTTCGGTATAGGAACTCAAGATTGAGCTGGATCGAGTTAGCACCATCCAGTATACTTCGAATGGACTTTAACGAAGCCCGTCCTTCGTCAGTGAATTTCCTTCTTGCTGGAGGAGCTTCATCTTCATCCTCGTCATCATCGTCGTCGTCATCATCGTCTTCGTCATCATCGCTCAACAGTTTATCGGTTTCCTTAGATTCCTTCGGTTCCTGCTCCATCTTTTTGGCAGAATCCGTCTCTTTAAATTCGGTGATAGCAACCGAAAGTTCTTGGCGCACCTTTTTCAAGAACTCCTGGGTGCTATTGTCGTAAAGGTCAAAGGATATCTGGTAAGCTACAGCCAAAGATCTAGCATCGCCCTTCTCAACCAGTTTTTGCAAGATATCTGATGCCATTGAGTGTTCGTTCAAGTAGACAACACATTTTGCAATAGAGAAGTAGTCGGGTGAAGGGATCTCGTTTAGGAGCTCAAGGATAAGTTTGAGAATCTAAATCCGAGGTTAGTATATCAGATGTTTGACTCGCTTGTTATAGGTATTTCGGCCTACAAACCTCATTTCTAAATCCTCGCTCCTGGACTACGTTCATGCAAATGCCCAGAACGTAATCCATCAGCTCCTCCCCTCGTTTTGAAGGTTCGACACCCTGTTCTTTGGCATCATGAGCGGCTCGTAAAATGGCTACTCGGATGATGTCAAGATTCTTAGCCTCAACAGCGATACCGATGACTTGACGGTATCTTTGTTGCTCGAAGCACCGGTCAAAGAGCCGCTTGATGACATTTTGTAACTGCCTTTGAATTCCGCGCTGAAGTACCAAGGGCACTTCGTCCCTACCACTGCCACGATCTTCACCGACTGGATAACTGGTTTCTGCAGACGATTCAGGGCGCGATAGGAGAGACTTTGAAGGTAATGCGGACTGCGAGAAAGGCGTGATAGGGGAACTCAGGCCAGCGGATGTACTTGAAACGCCTCCCTCATTTCGGGGGAAGGAGGTGTTTAACTGGGGGGCACCGCCTCGTCCTGCATTTTGGGAGGCCTTGAGCATCGAACAGGTCGAAATAAATGTATCCACGCATTTTGCTGGGAGTTCTCTTATTAGCGTTCCATCCTCCAAGGTACGAAGGGGCCTTGAAACGTGTGGCTACTTCGACATACAGATGATGGTCTCTTCAAACTCGCCGCCATTCTCGATATCAAATCGGTTGCCGGCTCCTAACGCAAAAACCATACTCTCGCTATATTCTTGTAGATGGTAGTATACCTTGGCAGCAACAAGAGAGGCAAGCTCGCGTTCGGGGAAAGATTCATCTTCGCTTAGGGCTTCTCTATTAGATTTCGAAAAACTGGATTAGCAACCAAGGTTCAATGTCAAGGCCGTTAAATAAAAGCTGAAGACGTACATCTGTCCAACAGATCCGGCAATCTCAGTCCATAGCAGATCAACCTGAGCGTCAAGGGCCTTCAGAGCGAACACCTTAAGCTCGGTATCCGGCTCAGAGAGGAACCCTACCAGTCCTGCAGCTGAAGCTAGCCCAACCATGGTGAAATATCGACTTGAGATGTGCGCTTCGTGCCAAAAATGAGTTTTGCCCTGCTAGTTGAAGCTCCGTTACGGGGTACGCGGCTCTGGCGCCTTCAGGCTGAAGTGAGCTTTTGGTGGGCACGGGAACAACGGAGATAGTTGAATAAAGCTAACAGAGGTAAAGGACGGTAGGAGTAAGGCAGATTCTAGCAATACAGACGAGAAAGAAGAGGGGAAGAGGAGAAAAGGATCGTGGTGATGTCTTGATGTCTGGTGTGTTTCGGTGCTGTTTGTTGTCAAAAGAGCACAAGAGAAGGTCGTCGATGTACCACGTGACTATGCTTATATCAGCGTACGGCCCAAACGGAAAAACATCGCGATGCTTTTGACTTTTTCCTTCAACAACCAAGATATCCTCCCCCTCCAGAGTGCTAGGCACTCCGTACTTGAGGCTTGGATCAATGTTTGGTCAAGAAGCTCTCATTTGCCTTGGAACCAGCCAACAAGCTCCTTGCTTCACGGATAAAGATACCAGTCTCTACGCATCATAACTACTTTTGCTACCCAGACGTTACTTCAAATTCAGCCTTTTTACCTCAGACTATTGTAAAGGGACAGCCCAAGGAAAGGAAGAAGAAGAGAAAGAATGAAATGAACAATTGGGAAATACAATTCCGTAGCCGTTGCTTACCAGCCTTACCACTCTAGGCCTCTTGCCGGCTAGGCTTTTCCCTCTTGTTCCATCTTCTCTTCGTGGTCAAGGAAATCCGGATAAGCCTCGCTTACATACCGCCCGTGGACCGTACGTCCTTTTATTTTTTTAGTAGCAGATGGAATTTTTTTCAATAAAGAACAACCCAACCTTAATGGTGTTGGATTATTTAATACCTCGCTCTACCTTCCCCAAGCGTTTGTCAACGCAGGGAGGGGTAACACCGTCAGGATTCTTCCGCCGGCCCTTCCGATGACAGGGGCTTCAGAGATGCGTCATGTCTACGACGTCACAGTCCAATAAAGAGCCTACCGCATCAGGCATGTTCCTTAAAAGCGACGCAAGATGAATATACCATCTAGAGGAGCCCCGAGAGCTGGTGTAGATCCCGCCATAATCAGGCCTCTGACGTTTTCTCCTTTGGTATCGTGGTATGGGTGGCTGTATGATAAACGAAGATGACATCAAACGCTAATATCTTTGCAGATTATATATGTCATGGTCAATGAAATAGTCTTTCGCGTCAGTGACTACCAACTACGCCGGGCTTGTGGCGCCATGTTCTCCGCAGACACATATCGTATTTCGCGGATGAAGACGGTCTCAATGGGCTTCTTCTACACATTGGAGAGGATAACCCGTTTTATGAGCGTTTGGTGCCTCTTGCCAGCAGTTTCACCTCCGGGGATTTGAAGCAGCCCTTCCACAGTTGGGATTACGTGGAGCCAGGCCTCAAGAATTTGGTGGGCAAAATGACAAATCTAGATCCAACGAGGCGGATTACTGCAAAAGAGGCACTTCAGCATTGTTGGTTTAACCAGTCTTCTTGATTTCCAGGCACATGGTTGATATGAATAACTAAACAAGCACTCTGATGTTGCCACCCCCTCTGTTTTGCGCAGATTAACAATGCCTTCAAGGCTTTTTGATTTGAGTGAGAAAAGAAGTCGACGTTGTTTATTTAAAGGCTGGAAACACAATCAAGCATCATCGCGGTTAGTGGCTGGAGGGTTAAGCTCTGCTATAGTCAAATGTAGTTGAAATGACATGCGAAAGTATGCTTAGGCATTTAAGCGTTAGCTGTTAAATAGAGCCGTATCTTGATATGTTTGTACTAACTTAAGCAAGCCCTACATTAGGCGTGTAATAATTTTCATAGAGAGTGCTCTAGCTAGTATCCCAATTATTGTCCTTAAGTATCTTAACGATAATTCCCTTAATATACCAATTAAGTAGCTTCAGTGAAAAGGAGGTCAAATATGCCTCGCTATACGTAGCGCGTTAGCTGGCAGCTGCCGCTAATAACTAGCTATTATAACTATTGGTTCCCACCTGGCCAAACTCATATCACGTGCGCGCTTAGTTAACCTGTTAGAGTTAAACCTTGCGGCTGGCTAAGCGCCGACTCTGTTACAGCGACCGAATATAAAAAATAACCGAACTGGACAGCTGGGCAGCTAGGCGTCTGGACACGGCTTGGACATATCTAGTGCTTTGTAACTAGCGATTACCACACCGGCCTTCGTCATTTGCCCTGTCAAACACATTGTCACTTATCCAGTTGACCGGTAGCCAATCATAACTACTTAGTAGTTACTTGAACTCTGTACGAGGCACCTGCACATTGCACGCGATACACCTAGTTAACTTGCAGTATTGAAACTGCAGTCCCCATCTCTATATTGCTTTACTCACATGCTAATATTCACAGCGTTTCTTTCCTAGGCCGACTATTTTATCTCGGCTTGTCGCCTCTGTTCGCGTCTTGCAAGGAAATATCGCTCCTTTCCCTTGGCCCCTGGGTTCCATGTTTCCTGCCATCTTGGCCTTGTTAGCAACAGGATTAGGCAAAACACCTTTTTGACGATAGAACAATCCCCGAAAAAAACTCACTCAGAAGCATTCTTAGAGTCAAAATGTCGCTCTGGCCGACTGCTAATTCTAAGGTCCTACGGCCAATACCATTTTCCGTTTCCCACAATCCGTCAGAACCCTTGATTCACATAGAGAGGCAATCGCGGCAGTTGCAGAGCGAATTACAAGAGCTCCTCGACTCTCAAAGCCGTATCTTAACCGTCAGAGAACCTCTTGTTTCCCCTCCGAATACCTCCTCCACGAGAAGCTCGACTCCTACCACCTCCCATACTGTGGGTCTCAAGCAATCTATGCCCATTCCCGTACGCCAGCCTCGAAAGAAAGCACCCACTCTCCGAAATGTTCGCCAAGGGATTCTCCGCTCTATCCATCACCTGTTATGTTTAAAGGAAGAGGAGCGAGATATCGTTAACTCTGAGATATATGCGAGGAAGGATGCGTTAGATAGAGTCAAAACTTTCATGGACAAGCGGGCTGGCTTAGAGAAATATATTTCTCGGATACGGGCTGGTAACCAACAGAAGCATGTGGGTATGCTTTCAAATGAACTTCGTGGTCTAGAGGAGGAAATAAAAGAGGTCGAGTCTCGGCTTGCAGAGCTGAAGGCACGCCGTCGGCATATGATGGACGAAATAACACAGCTTCAGAACTCTGTGGATGCTAAGCTATCATCCTACGAAGGTGCCCTTTCCCTTGTCAAGAAAGACTCTGAGCAGTTTTTAAAGATGCCGCCTATCCCTCCCCTTTATAGCAATCTAGTTCCGACGCCATTCTTTTCATTGAATCCTGGCCGACGAACTCTAGAGATGGCAGAAGAGCACTGGTCGCAGGAGCTATCGTCTCTCGAAAAGCGCAGTTTAACGACCGATCATGAGATTGAAGCGCTAGAAGAGGGTGGGCGGATATGGAATGAAACCGTTACTCTAGTAACGGAGACTGAGGCTACCCTACGAAATACCCTTAATCAGCTACGAAGAGAAGGTGGCACCTTTGAACCAGCCGAAAAGACCTTAGCCGAAAGAACAGAGCCTTCTGAAATACAGAAAGCATTGACTGCCGCTCTCCAAAAGCTTGATAAATACCTACAGTTGGCGGAGGAAAAGAAATGGTCGCTACTAATCTGTAGCATTGGTGCTGAACGTGAGGCATTCAAGGAGGCTAGGATCAGAATTTCCAACATGTTCGGACACCCTCAACAGGCTCTAGAAGATGAACGTGAAGGTACAATGGTAGGGGAGGTTCCCGATGACTTACTCACGTCTCCTACACTCTCAGGGAAGGGCTCCCTTTCACCAGACGTACACCAACCGCCTGAGCCTGAACCTGGATTGGAACCGGAACTAGGACCAGCGCAGAAAGAAGAGCCGGAACAACCAGTAGATACTACAGATGGAGTCAGCGCTTGTCCAGCAACACCGCCAGCATCATGCGGCAAGAGTGATGATGATGATGAACCAGACCCTACGTGGCTGCTCTCTCCATAATACTCCGATGGTACCATGTATCCAGCGGATAGGTGCCAATCAATCTATATCCTATTCCTATTATTCTGACCATTACCCAATTGAGTTTACTATCTATTGGCTATCTAAATATGATCTAATGAGCTATCACACATACAATTGCTATTATGAAGCTCAAATCTAATGAATGTAGAGTTAGTCAAAGATCGGACTCGGTTCGTCACGTGCGTGGATCAAGGCCTTTATAACCGACCACTAGTTAGGTACTTTGTTGTAATATTCCACTTTAGCTACAACTCGCACACATTACCCAAGGTATCCTTGGGGCATTAGGCCTTTTTATCCCTTGAGGTCCAACAGTACTCCTTGTCCTTATTGTCACCAAATCATGCACAGTCTTAGCCTCCGAGCATCACCATCCGACCTGGCCCAGTCCTGCCGCACGTTCTGGTCGCCTTGTTTCTTTTTTCTTGCCCCTATCATTATGGGTTTACTTGTTTCTTTTCTTATCACTTCATATTCATCTTTAGCCTCCTCGGGACAAGATGGAACCCAAAATCGATTTTCCAATTACACCTAGTCCTGTGTCCATTGACTCATTCAGTGAGCTCACAGAAGCATCTCTTGATAGAGTAGAGGAGCTTGGTCGAAAATCCGAAGAACGGCTTAAGGACTATGTGCCTCTCGATGGAGGTGACAACGTTGTCCGTCTGCTGCAAACATTCATTAATTATCTTCCAAAGGAGGGTTCGGTTATCCTGATGGATGACATTCGGACACTTCAGGAGGACGACAAGCTGCGCCAGCTAGGTGGCCACCTAACCGATGCCATTTTAAAGCCAAGTAAGCGATATTGATATATATTCCGCTATAGAAATTACAAGCAGCGTTGCTCATGCATATTTAGTTGTGTCGTCGGGTGGAAAGACCCCTGCCATAGCCCAGTCCCCATGCGTGGAGACCAGGGATGAGGTTGACTCTTTAATGGTTGCCCTCTACGCGTCGCCCGCCAGTGTACAATCAAAAGTGAAAATTGACTGTCTCAAGAGAGATGGGTTCAGGCGCCAAGTGACTGGATACTGGGATCTACTATCCGCCCAAAAGAACCTCTACCGCCCAGAGACCGATGATCCTTGCTTTGCAAAAACCGGCGAGAAAACATTCTGCCGTTTGCTTTGGGACACTTCGACGATGATAAGAGCTCCGAAGTAAGGCTTTCCCCATATTATCTATTAACTAGTAATTACTTCGGATATACATTATCTAACGTATATATAGGTAGAAAACAAGGCCATCGTATGGCAGTGCCTTTATCGATACTTTCCAGGCCTCTGTGATATCATTTCTGCTCAATCTATTGACATCCCCGAAAATACCATAACGTTATATTACCCCATTCGCCACCTGTTTGGCAGTTTTTGCATTGCATTCAAAGAAACTGTTAGTCACCTTTATCATTCACTCTACGAATCACCTAATGACTGATGATCAATATAGGCTGAACCAAATGTCTACATGATTGTCCAGTACAAAGAAAAATGGCATAATGTTGATTTTGATCTTCTACCTTCTAACGCCCGAGTAACTTTTCGCTGCTTTAACAGTTCGACTCCGATGCCTAGTTTATTCCTCCTTTCTGTCCATGCACGAATCGGAAGGATTTTATATGTGAGTGGGCTTAAAGATCAACTTGAGAAGATGATGTTTCCTTCATTATTGCCTCAGATTGGTCCCAGTGGATCTACTGACGTTGGAGCAATTGTGGCGGATAAGTTACTTCTACTAACGAGAAGTTAAGTCGCTTTCTGTTGGACCACAAGGAACAACAAAGCCTTGTGTGCGAGTCTAGCAAGTGGAATATCCCAACACACACTCCTAGACGTGGCGCTCTGCGTAGCGGTATACCAGCTTCATGGCTCTCTTGGCTGCTCTAGCCAATTTTTAGAGATAAGAAAGAAATGGTGGGGCAGCGGACGTCCCAGGGCCCGAACTCGCGGCATGCTGGCGCGTCTAAGAGCACATACCCTATTGGAATACTCACCACAGCTCTTCATGAAATAATGATAATAGGGAATCAGAATCTGCACATAGTCGAGGATCAGAGTTTCAATGGAGTGGGCGATGCAATTATACATCAATATTGCCGACTATCCTTGCCGACCAGGTGATTCTTCTGGTCGGTCAAATTGAGGGAGGATAGTGGTTTGTTGACCGGCTGTTATGTTAAGATAGCGAGTAATATATTTACCTCTTAGCAATTAATAACTTGTGTAACTAACTACCTAAGTTATATTCACGTGCTTCCTTGGCAGGGAAATTCGAATCCTCTTATTATAAAACGCCTTAGTCCTTGAAATATCGACATTCTCGATGTTGATATCATCCACGCCCCTTAGCTATCCAGCCAACAGGTTTATATTATAAGATTAATATTTATATTTAGTTACACTTTATAAATACCGAGATACTCATTTTTTTAATCAGGATGGTCTTACCGAAACCTACACACCAATTCAAGATACCATCACTATACGACGGTGGTCTACTTCAATGTAGGATATATCACGGAGATTGTTGGCGGGACTTGGACATGAAGCCCACATGCAGAATAAAGGGGGCGATGATAGCACATCCGTATGCCCCACTTGGAGGCTGCTATGATGATCCTGTTGTAGCAGTTGTCGGCAGTGAGTTTTTGCGAGCAGGATATATTGTGGGGACATTCAATCTTAGGTATGCTTCTACTACACTTCATGTGACTATTTACTGTATGGGAATACTCATTACCCTATCTAGGGGTGCTGGTGATTCACAAGGGCGAACAAGCTGGACGGCAAAGCCTGAGTTTGGCGATTTTATTTCGTTTTATTTCTTCCTAGCACACTATATCCTGGGCTTGGATGCAAATTTGAGCCAAACTTCCACTGTGCCTGAGAATGATGTGGCTTCTATAGATGGCAGGCACGGCCCTTCTATCATAGTATCGGGGTACTCTTATGGCTCTATGTTAGCACGATATTCTCCGCCATCAAGAAGTATCCTATCAGCCTTCCAGAGACCAAAAGAGAATGATCCAGCTTTCAGGATATTACAGCAAGCACGGAGCTTGTCCTTGAAGTGGAACATAGGGGCCGGCATGCATAATACTTACAGTACATCCGACCAATCAACTTCTGTCATAAGCAACACCAAAATCACGGGGATTAACATCTCATACCTCCTCATTTCCCCCATTTTGCCTCCAGCCTCCACCTTTACAGCTATGTCCCTTCTTACGCCAGCATCTAAATTGACAATAACGATAAATGGAGATTGTCTCCCTACTTCGGATCTTCAGGATAAGGTCCTGGGGCACAGGACTTTAGTGATATTTGGAGAAAAAGATGGCTTTACATCGTCTAAGAAGCTATTGGCCTGGTGTGAAGATCTGAAGAAGGTGGAAGGCTCTCAGCTTGATAGTATTATGGTGAAAGGAGCTGGCCACTTTTGGCACGAAGATAAGGTTGAATCCCAGATGAGAAGGGCGATTCAAGAGTGGATCGCGATGGGTGATATCTATCGGAATGTATAACTACTCCGTTATAGTACTGAGTAGCTTGTACAAGGTATGGGGAAGCTATACCCATTCGGTCAGTAGGCTTAACCGATGGGTATTGCTAACATGTTTCTCCATGCTATAACCAGGCTATATTCTAAGATTTCTTGGTATGTAGCACGGATCAAACTTCGCCGCATACCATGATATCCTTAACTCTACTCTGTAGATTAGCATAGTCTTTACTGCCCTTCCTCCTGTTACCACCATTCAAGTAGTAAAACCTAGGTAACCATTATAATGTACTTGTATTGCCTTGCTAGCTATTCGCTTCAGTCCTAGAATAAATATCGAGGAATTATCTTAACAGGGAACGGCTGAACAGAGCATTTGCACAGATACGTAGAAATCAAATGCTGAAATGTTACCATTTTGGAAACCTATAGGGAACTAATCGTCGGTTCTTAGGTATGACCTCCATCAACTCGAAGGCTACGGAGTAATTACTTAATCACCTATCCTTCTCCCGCAACTATATATTTGAGCTTAGAGTAAGGTAAGGTTGAGTCTTTAATATCAAGGTAAATGAATGGGATAGAGTGACAGATATAAGAAAGAGCAAGAGGGAAAAGAGGAAGATGCTCCGTAGAGAGCAAAAAGTGTCTCTACTTCGTAATCGCCCCATATTTTAACCTTAGTTGACTCAGCCGAGGCGCTTATGCGGGGCCGAATACGAGCATTTATTGTAACAAAGCTGGTTGGACAAAACAGTTTGACTAACCAAGTAGCAGTTAAAATTAGCCAATTAACACCTTTAATATTAACCAACCAGCATATTTACATTAAATTATGATGACTAACAAACTTCTTTAGTTAGCGCGCTATGAAGGACGTGAAATCGGTTTTAATTTAAACCTCAACATCCTTAACTCCGACTTTCAGCTATTTTCAAGACTAATGACTCCACCGAGGTCTTTCTGGAGAACTCAGTTGTGCAGCCTTGTTTTTTACCAGTCATGCCACAGCCTCGTGTCCGGAGCGGCTTTGGCCACCGCAACAATATTATAGCAGATAGCTGTCACCCTAGACTAATCTACCATCTTCCTCTCTCCCGAGAGAAAGGAGTGCTCTTCGCATAGTATTGCAACCCGTATCCTGTTCGTGCTTATGACTTTTAGACGTTGCATACCCCAAGGATCTTGTCAACAAGCTCTCTACCTATTGGATACCTCACCTATTGCATGAGCAATCCTATACTAGATGTCATGGGAATTGCATGCTTGACGGGTTTATTCCTTAAGGGATACTAACATTTTTTTAAGCTCAGTTGCTAATGACTCGATAAGCGGCAAGTATATACCATGATATCAGCATTCCTATATCTAAATCGCCTTCTCTGCCTTTCCAACCAATGAGAGGGCATCCTCTAAGACCTCAGGCTCCCCGAATGATAGCGCTTGTAGGAAGAGAAGAAGAGTCGATGATAATGATGATGGCACTTGTCCAGCAGCATTTCACAGGAAACTATCTAGAGTGCAAGGCTTCAGTCTAAGGATGCATTCGATATCGCAAGTGTGCAGTTGTCTTATGCCATTAGCCTGCGGATTCTAATAAATATAACATGATATCGGTGTTATATACGGGACAAGAACTGCCCTATTACAAAAGCTGTTCCTAAGCAAACCAATTTACTCCGATCTCGTTTGCCTTTTACCCAGAACGGCGAAGTTCCTATTTTGATTCACCATAAGCCTCTTCTAGGCACCAGAAAAGTGGATAAGCGACTCCAGGTTATCCATAACAGCTGTACCGAGACGATTGATAACTTGATTCCTCTTGCCCTCGGTGGTCGCGAAAACTGAGCCCAGCAGCTATTTTCTTTCGAGCCAATCCGTTTATTAAGTGAAGAAAAATATTACTTCTAAGATTTTATTGGCTTCGCTTTACTTCTCAATCGCAGAGGTTATATCGGACGACTCAGGTTTTTGCAAGAACCATAGACTATCCCACGGTCTTACTTACTGTGGACGGGGTTTCGGCAAAGTATGCCATGTCACCAAAAATTCAACTATACAGTTGCGAGAAGGATACTCGTATTGCATCAAGTGACGTTGTCTCTCTGCAGACGGATCACCCAGAAATCTCCCACTTCGGACATTGAACAGTCTTGCCTGCAATGACTTTTTCATAAAATAACATATATCTCAGCTGTCACAGGAGGACCTGGTGAAGACGAGGACGGCCTAGGTCACTTTCGAAGTTGATGGGTTCATTCGGATAACATGTTAGTATTCCTCTCTACCCCAGCACCGACGCCTCTATTGTCTTAAATCTCCTTCTACGTGGCCAACGGCTCCCTCGGAATGTTCAATAGTGTAGCTAATGGCCAAGAAGGGCAAAAAGATGAAACGAAGCTAACTAAGGGGTATCAAAATCAGAAAAATACAAGATCGTACTCCGTGAACATGGAAAAGGAAAAGAGAGATATGGAAGAAGACGTTTCTACACCAGTTATCCGTGCCTAGACCAGGTATAAAACCAACTTTGCTTATATTTGCCAAGATGAATACCTAACAGTTTCAGATGTTTGCGTGCCATCCCGGCCAGATAAATCTGGAGTCATAACATACCGCTACCCTAAAGGCAGTGCTGTCTTGGGACTCTGACCTTCATACAAATCACGAGCGATGACATTTGAGTCTGCGGCGCCGAGAGCTATAGGGCGTGTGGGAGCTCGAGTAAAGTCAGCAATACGGATCCATTCTTGAATATCGGACTTAATCGCTGAGGGTCTGGCCTCTGGCCCTATATGCTTGTCCGTGTCGTGACATCAACCTTTTTGCCTGCATCTGGAAGCTGTCTTCATCCGCCCACTTGGACCCGAGCTGTAGCCCCAGTTGCCGAGCAGTCAGCCTGAGCTTGCCGAGAAATTAAAATATGGAGAAGCTGGTGACAGAACGAGGCAGTCGGCCGTATTTTCAGCCATCTGATGCGCTTTGAGCAAATTGATAATACGATACCCTATGAGAATTGATGCGCTATTCACCCTTCCACCAGCTTCACAGCCTTCTTCACCAAGGTTGCCAGCCGGAAAACCACCTGTTATCAAATTGATCCTTGATGTATCCGAACAATTCCGCCAATCGGATAACTTTTGTCTTTTTAGTGTCAGCACTAAAAGATAACTCAGCAGCTTAGATGTACTTGGTAATGTGTGTACATCTTGGAGCGTTCGTCAGGGACTCCCTGAGGGATGCGAAGCAAGCCCCAGTCAGGCCAATACGTGGAAACGCGTATGTGTTTGAAATAATTTCTTTATCCAGGAGGTCTTCCTATGCCGTTTGAGTACATTTCGCCATCTATATAAGGGTTCATTTGCCATGTTTTCCTGCAATAGAAATCATCATCTACTTATTTACTCCGGCATCTATATATAAACAAAAGCTATAGAGCACAACACTCTTTACCAGTCCATTTGAAAGAGATGCGCCCATCTGCACTTTTTGTCAGTACTGTTTACGGCAGCCTTGCTGCCGTGACTGCAGCCCTCCCAACCCCTGAATGTGTGAGTGCAGGTTACCCTCGTTTTTGATCAAATGAACCGAAGCACTGCTAATAGTTGAGCAGTGCTCTATCCTAGCAAAACAACTGCCGAAGAATGTTTTTACCAGCAATTCCAAGACATGGGATACCCACAACAAGGATTTCTGGTGTCAGTGTTTTCACACCAAGGCACACTTTCTACATATACAATTAAACGGCCCTAACTCAAATATGTAGCATTGACTTCGATTCTCGGCCCAAGCTGTATTTTCCTCCCTGAGACAAGCGATCACGTCTCCAGGGCAATTCCCCTTCTCACAGAGAATGACTGCAAATTCTCTATCAAAGGTGCCGGGCACAGTGCCATCCCAGGCGCTGCTAACATCCATGATGGGGTTATGATGGCCATGGCTTGGATGAACTCCACCGATGTCCATGATGACTACATCCGCGTTGGAGCCGGTACACATCTCGGTGAAGTGTACAAGGCCCTTGACCCTCATAACAAAGCAGCTGTCGTCGGCAGGTTTTCAGAGGTTGGGCTAGGAATGGTTGTTGCCGCTGGCATCTCATTCTTCTCCAACAGTGAAGGCCTTGCTATAGATAATGTTGTCAACTTCGAGGTTGTCGTAGCCAGCGGTGAGATCGTCAATGCAAACGCCACAAGCAACCCCGATCTGTTCTGGGCCCTGAAAGGGGGCAATAACAACTTTGGTGTCGTTACTCAGTATAGCCTGGCTACGATTGATACTGCAGGGATGCTCCATGGCGGCGTGATCACCTACCCTGAATCTTCCTTTGACGAGGTGGCGGATGTTATATATGATTACCACACCCATCAAGCGGTGGATGATGTCCGTACGCATTCACTTCCCCAGTATGCCTATGATGGCGCCACCAACGAGACTACAGCCGGCATTCTGGTTGCATATAACGATGCTGTGGATGAACTTCCAGAGATTATGCAGCCATGGCTCAAGATTAACTATACGACAAACACCCTCGGCAAGAAAACATACAGCGAGCTAGCAGAAGAACTTAACGGGCGATTTGCTGGGGATGGCTTTGTGTACGTTCTCACAATCTCGACAAAATGCTGATTAAAGCTTTCTGTCCATGCAAAGACACTTGCTGATTTTAATGTTCATCTATAGTCAGGAACAACGAGTGTTTACAGTATATGCCGATGCCCAATTTTACAAAGATGTCTGGTTCAAATTCCGTGAGTGGTTCCAGAACTATCGCGATATCCCTGGATTTCAAGGATCCCACGGAAATATGCCAATTACCCCCCGACAGGTCGAAGAAGGTGTTAAAAAGGGCGGAAATGCACTTGGTTTACAAGAAGGCTCTCAGGATAAAACTCTTGGAAGTGGGTTATCTTTCCCTTTCTGCAATAATGATTATAGAGTGCAATGGAAAGCTGACGGCAGACTTTAGTCATCTACTTCGGCGTGACATTCAAAGACCCCAGGGATGCCGATAAGGTCTTGCCAGCTCATAAAGAGTTTGTCGAATCTATGAAAAAGTTTGCTGAAGACCGTGGAGTGCTTCACCCTTTCATGTAAGCCCCTTTACTCTCTCAATAGCAATTCAGGCTTAAAACGGCGGTCTAACTTAGAATCGCACAGTATGCTCACATTCTCCGGGTACGATCAGCCTGCCATTGCAAGCTATGGAGAGAAGAATGTAGCTAAGCTGCATGAAGTTGCTGCCATGTATGACCCCAAGGCAGTCTTCCAGCGTCTTGTCCCGGGTGGTCAAAAGCTGCCGGCTCGCGAGTAACGGTCATCTGTGTGATCAGCATGATAGCCAGAAATCTTTTGATGTAACCTACGAAGAAGACAAGCAGCAAGGCTACTATCAGGCTCTGGGAGTATGCAGTTGTGTATCATATTGTTTTATCCTGTTGATATAGGATGTTGCTTCCAGGCAGCCAACGGCATAGCTGTGACGTAAGAATAAAGCCATATACATCCAATCTATATATCTTTACTCTACACATTTCACGTAGTTACTTGACCCAAGTGCTGTGAGCCTTTAGGTAGGCATCTATACGGCCTCCTGGCCAGTTTCCATCCAGTCTCCTTGAAAACAGGATGGACTGTTAGCTACATCTACAGCGAAATAATGTACTATGAATAGTTAACTCCTCACTAAATAGTACTTCACCAAAGTATTAAAGCCACTCTTATAAATTTAAAGTAAATACAGCCCCCTTTTTTTTCTTATTCGGCCCTCAACTAAGTAACTAGTTGACTACATCCCATCGACCTCCTGCTTGCTATAGTACAAACGTGGGTAGCCAACCATCCAAGTTCACTACATAGCCCCTTTTCATAACGCGTTACTACTTGGCTATCCCGTTAGACCTGGGGAGATGGCACAGCAAGACACCACCAAGCTGTCTTTCAAAGACGTTGCCAGATACCTCGCCGAGTTACTTACGGATGGAAAAGACCCCTCCAACTTCCAATTCCGTTATCCTCCGCGTCACTGCCCCAAGAACTTGTCAACTAACGACTCGCTGACGGCTTCACCGACTCGAGAGCCGATCTTCTGCGCGTACAGGGACCTCTGGACCCGGCAGTCTGGACAATAGGAGAACCGGCTGACCACTTGCAGCGGCTTGCTATTGTCGCTACCAGGGCGTCCATGTCTGCTATCATTACTCAGGAGGAGACAAGTCTGCTGGTGGCTGGCATTGGATCCTCTCCGGGCCGGAAGGGGGTCAGCCCGCCAGTCGTGAATCAAACAGGCCAGACCAGTTGCTACCCTCTATCAATCAATCAATCAACCTCAACTGAAGATTTCAACACATCTACTCCGTACACAGGGCCTACGTCCTCGCGTAAGGCCTAGGGACGTGGCTAACTACCTATATGTGATGTCAGAGGCCATGATTGAGGCCGTGCTTCTCCGTCTAATAATGGCAGCTTGGCTATTGACGGAGCATTGGCAAAGGCTCCCGGCCGTTATGCATCGAAATGGATTAGTTATACGTCCATCCATATAGCCATATCAGACCAACCACCCGGTCCTATCATCAAGGGCTGACTGATTATGCTGTTAAGGGATGTTATGTTATCCCGTCTAAGGCCCTCTAGCTAACAAGATAATCGCAGCCATCCAACATTTCAGATAGCCTCGACAGCATCGACAGAATAGTTATAGTTGCTTTAGCAGTGCCATCAATCGACCAGTTGTGTCGTGGAAGCAGTTAAAAAAAAAAGAGACAGATGCGGAAGTTGGGTGGCGTCCTTTCTTTTTCCATCCCCAGAACCGAGTGCTCCAAGATCCTGTACCTGATAACTAACTAGTCAAAGGCATGGAGGCAAGGCGCCAGTGAATGTCGAGCATGAGTTGCGCGTTGTGATATTCTTGTCTCCAATAAAGGAGTACAGTCAACTTCGCCACAAAAGACGGTCTCACTGCATGGCGCATCTATTGTCAAAAGCACGGTTATCTCCATATAAACTGACCTTCCAGGCCACCTCTGCTGGCCAAAAGAAAAAAAGAAAAAGAAGAAGAAGAAGAAGACTGATTCACATCGTTAACTACCGGGAAGCGGCTGCTGGAACGAACGGCAGCTCAAGCATTAATGAGCTCAACCTTAGTTAACGCCTGAAACCCTGGCCAAACGGCATCTTGAGAAAAGTCAACTGAACAACCTAGAGATGCCAAACCAAGAAGAAGCGGCTCCAGGGAGGAGACAGTCCGCAGGCTTCCCTGTCGCTTGAGCCAGTGACTCAAAGTCCCTCTCCCGCCCGCGATTTTCGGATGATCAAGGCAAAAGAAAAGAAACAAAAATGCAGAAGGAAAAAGCATCGTCGATGTCATGGGCTCGGCGGAAGCTTCGCTGGTTGATTCCAGCTCTCAAATATTGACAGGGGCCTTAAAGACAGTCCAATCATCATGCTTTCATATTTGTTGGATTCCCATCACACGAGAGGCCTGCCTGCTGCCCTCCCCTTCCCCGGCTCCCTTCTTCCTCCATGGACGAAGGAGAGATGGATGCATGTGAAGCCTGGAATCGATTTCGGTTCCTCTTCTTTCCCCCCACGCCTGACGAGGGTCCCAGAGCGAGAAGTATATGCGAAATATTAAAATAGAGGCCTGGTCGTGCTATTTTACCGCAATGCCCCGTACGGATACCAGCAGTGCTGGCTCTATGACAAACGCCGGCTGACAACAGGTTCAGGAAAAATACGGGAAGCTCCAAGAAATGTTACGATGCAGGGAACCCTCCGAATGGTGCTTCGGGGGTCGTTTCTTTTCTTTTTTGCCTTTCTTTGCTTCCGCTTCTTTCGTGACCTCTTCTCACAGGCTGATCTGCATGGTCTTTTTTGGGGGCCAGAGGGAATTGAAACACAGCACCGACAGAAGGGAAATGGCAAAAACTGAAGGCCGAAACTGAGATGAACTGCTGGTGCTGATTGGCCTTGCTGTCTAGCCGCCAGCCAGGGCTCCGCAATCTAAGCCAGGCCGACTCTCCTTTGCTACCCTTGGAGTGTGTGTCGGGCTACCACATCACGATTGACGTCAAAGGACCCTTTTTGGTTGTTCAATCAACCCTCGGGTTCTGAGAGTACTTGTCTATCGACCTGGCGAGAACAGCTGATATATGTTCTTTTCTCAAGGGACCTACCTACGCCACCAACCAGATGGCTGAGCCTCCTTGAAGGCCTTGTTCTGGCAGTCGGAGACGAAGACGAAGAAACGGCCTTGTCTGGGGCAGACCTGTCCTCTGTATTCCAGCCCCGTCCCTCTGCATGACGCCTTCAAGCAGATCCTGGCCCCGAAACCAGCTGTGCATAAACACTTATCATGGAGTCTTGAAATGCCCTAGCCCCATGCAGGCTATGAGGGCTCGCGGAGGTGGGAAAGCCTTTCACCTCTGATCAAGTGTTTCCCTTTCTTGGCCGTCAAGTCTCAATATCATGGGCGGCTCGCCCGTTCAGGCCAACGACAAAGCCAGCAGGGTGCTAACTATACGCTACGTATGTATGTATGTATGCGTGTATGTACTCCATACACCCGCATTTATAGCCCTGCGGATGTGGGATAATGTACAAACATACGTAGTTCTTGAATTACTTCTTGTGGAGCATGCTTTTTGGACCCTGCTTCTTCTCCCTGGCTTCCTTGAAATCTTGCCTGTTTCCCTACCAAGCGCGAGGCTCATAGGACAGAGCATAGCGTTATGACTGGGAAATATATACTCCATTAGTGACATACATACCAAAGCACCCCCTCCCCGTCAACCTGGAGGGAGCCGCGCCTAAGATAACATCAGGAGGCTTATCTCCCTTCTTTTCTTTCTGCTGTCCGTTTGTTACTCCTTTTCTTTTTTCTCTCTCCTAAGTATTTTCTGTTCTGTCTTTTTTACTTACATCCGTGCGAACAAATACCGTCATATGTCGTGAAACAACAATTCCCGTCGCCGAAGGACCAGCAGCATTTCCTCAATAGGCCTGCTTGCTTTGATGCTATACTGCTTGTGGTTTATTTCCTACCCCGTCAGACAGCTTCGGGCCGTTCCCCTGCACCCTTCGGCGGCGCAGGAAGTACTAGTACTGACTTGTTAACTACCACGTCTCCCTCCACCTGGCTCCAGTTCCAGCTTGTTCAATATTACCCAGTCCCTTACGTGTTACCTGTGTACATTTCTCTCCCACCTCAAGGTTCCCAGTCCCCGGTGCTTGGTTGGTCTCTACGCCTCTTTCTCAGACCCCGGTGTTGGAGCATTCTTTTTTATAAGCTTTTGTCGGCTGACGGTAGCCTGGAGATCTTCCCGTTCGTTCATATACGTCCTGCTAGCCCCAGTTACCATTTTCACCGTTCACCTATACCTCTCGACTCACTGTCCGGACAAATGTTGCGATTCACTTCTCATTGAATGATATAATGCGCTCTTGCTGAGCACTGATTAGCTGGTTTTCTATGACCATCTCTCTATTCTCTCCACACTTACAAACTAAGATTTATACCACTCTCGTTGAGGAGATAAGTCGTCTGCCAGCCATATAATAATGTCTTGGGTTCGGTGTTGCCTAGACAGGCCGATATTGAAGCGGCGATCACAGAAAACATCGGGGCCACTCGATGAACGATTTGGAGATCCCTCCATCAGTGGGCCTATGGAAGGTGGATGGAATCAGATATCACCATCACCAGACGCTAAGGAAAGGGGCTTTCAATCAGCAAATGGCACATCCGAGCAAACGGCTCGAAACACTGGGGGTGACCTTGTACGGACCCGTTCAAAGCCTTGGAGATGCTCCCCGCGTGGTTTCGGGTCTCGAACAAATACTGAGCTGATGGACTCCAGCAAATCACCGAAGGAAGATACGTCAACGGCGAAGGATAAAGCCGACTTTGTCTACAAACCTGCTAGTGGCGATTTTTTGAAGACCATGGCTGAACTAGGGAAGCCGAAGAATGGGCGTTATTCCTCTGAAATGGCCCCTTCTGTCGTCAATAACCGACATACCTCATTGCAAAGCAACAGCTCTCTTGAACCAACACTGCCCGGAGAGATCCCACGGCACCCTTTTCACCAGGACTTCTCCACACGCAGCCAGTCTCCCGCTAATCGAACCTATTCCAACAAATCCTCCAGCCCAACAGAGCACTACTTCGACCAGCGAGCTTCAGCTACAAATCATAGCGCATCAGCGCGAAATTCATCTGCAAGGGATGAGGACTGCAGCAGCTATACGACGCCGATGGATGTGGAGAAATCGCCGAGATCCATAATATCAGACACGGTTCCTGTACCAACATACTTGCCTTCCAACCCTGCTCCATCTGAACAAAACCGAAGGAAACGGAAAACCAAACCCAAGCGAGTGGTGACTTCTGAGATGGTGCCGTCTACAAACGACCTTTTTGGCTGAAGAATCAGTTCTCTGGCGGGAAATATGTCAAACCCACATTTCCTTATTCCACGACTCATGAGAATCTCTACGATAATACCATTTCTTAAAACTTCTTAACGACAACCCGCCTGTTACTACTTTTTTTCCTATCCATTTTCACTCACTCAACGGCGCCAAAATTGACGCAATATGATATCCTACACTGCAAAATTCTCTACTTTTATTTTACTCTCTTCACAACTGGGATTCTTTATTATTGACGGTTAGTTAGGTGCTTCGGAATTGGCCTTGCTTTCTTTTTTGGGTGGGAAACACCTTTCATTTTGCCCAGTCCTTTTACGGTTTCTTATCTATCGAATATATCAAAGCAAGCTACATATATTAAGTCTTGACACTGAACATTCCTACATATCCTATGAAGCACTATTAGCGCAACTTAATCTCATCGGCCAAACGCCTGTGATAGAACCCTAAGATTAGCTCAAGCTCAGGAAAAGCTCACCGTTAACCTCCCAAGTACGCACGCCCAGATTCTCCGCCTGTTAAGCATGGGGTAAGCGGTAGCGGAGCTGGGCAGTCGTACGGAACATCACCGTGACTCGGGTGACTCTCAGGTAGTCGTGCAAGACATGCATACTCGAGATAGGACAGGCAGGCTGCTCTGTACCCTCGGTTGGGAGAAGCGGGCTGTACATGTGCGATCAACGCCAACTATCAAGGTATGTACAGGCTATGTCCAGAATGCCGGTAAGCATCATGTATATGAATGGATGTATGAGTGCATTTGGTAAGCATGCTAGTTATTATAATAATACATCCAGACAGGGGACTCATAGAATATCGGGCCTTTAGTAAGGCGGCCATGCATCTGCTATTGGATTAACCATCACCTGACAGATCAGAACAGGCCTGTTTGAAATCACCTTCAATTGCCGGAAGACATGGATTGATAGCAAATCAGAGCTTTCGACAATACGAATTTCTTCCGTGACTCCCTCCTAACCATGTCCGGATAGAGGATATACGGATGGCCCTAGGAATATGATTCGTCGAGTGAGTGTCATCCAGATTTCTTTTCATAGCGAGCCAGCACCCAGGGATGTTTTAATATATGGGTTCCCTAGGATAGAGAGCAGGAAACCAAGAAATGTATGTATTAGTGGAAATTTTTACGTATATATCGGTTATTCATCGGGGGGACCAGAGGGACAGGAACGGGCAAGAAGGGAATTTGGACCAAGTCGTTAACAGGGATTCCAAGCCAGGCAGGGGTTAGGTCCATCTTGTACATGGGTATATCGAGTCATCTTGTGGCATGAGATGCTGTAACACTTGAGAGAGTGTACCGATAAGCAAGTTGGTTAATTGCTATGCAGCTGGCTAGTTGCCATGGAGTAACAATACCGTCGCTCCCGTCAGACCTGGCTAATCATCTGCTGGCACGCAGATTCGGCAGGCATCACGATTGCCTCTCGTGATCTGCTCCCGGGCGAAATGCATTTTTCGCTTGATGACAAGTGCAACAACGAAAATGAATGGAGGTGAGGGGATTCGGACCGGGATAAAAGGGGCGAACCAAACTGTCGGGACAATCATGGCTATTTCTTTGGACAGCCGGTGATTGTTGGGCATACTCGTTTCTTTTTCGCCCATACGGAAATCGAGGGAAAGCTTCAGCCAGACAGGGTTGAAGGAAATCATGAAATGTCGGTACTTTCCATACCTCTCATATTCTGTCTCCTTTAGTTATCCCTGCCAGTGGCTGAGTAACTATACAGGAGGTTGAAAGCCACAATTCCTTGGAACTTCTTTCGCAGAGAGATTACGGACTTCGGCAGGAAAGTGATGGTTCTGGCCAAGGTGTAAGAAGACGTTTTCTGTATGAAGATGTATCATGATCACCACAAGGACGGTTGTATGTAAATCATTGATATGCAGGGTCAAACCCACAGGCCACCCCTACCGTGTGCCCTCTGGCCTCTTTATCCCCATCTCCATCCGTTGGCCCCAGCGTAATCTAACCATGGGCAGGGTTTGCTGGTGATGACGTGAATAGTTACGTGAGCCCACTTGCCAGCTTAGCCATATGAACTATGTATGTGCTTCGCGGGGAAAAGGCAACGGGCTAATCAGCGTCCCGTGCCAGATATTAACTCCTGCAGTTCCAGCGAAATTGCCCAGGCTTCGCCCCTTTTGAGAGTGCGCCGATTCCTGCGCCTTGTTAATCAGATACCAGTAATATCCAATCACTTGTCACATACAGGGTAAGGAAAGATTGGGGATCTTCCCAGGGCAGAATTCACCGACCTCCGTTGCATATGTATCTTGCCCCATGTGTTGGTTTTCCTGGAATTCAAGTGCTTCCGCCAATGGGGGATGCGCTATCGCCCTGTAAACACAAAATAATTGTTGCTGCACGTCTCAATATTTAGGCGACCCAATGCAATGGTTCAATATATCAGGGTTGAGAGAGTGCGCGTCAAGCAGTTTGAATGTTCTTCGCCCCCTCCGCTCACGCCGGACTCCTAGCAGTATGGCCATGGGTTCAGAATGCGCAATGAGATGTGTATTGAGGGGAACCCTGCTCAACGGTAACAAGCAAGTTAGCTGTTGTAGCCATATGGATGGACCATACCCGCCTGCTATTGCATCTCAGGGCAGCGGATGAGCTTGTCTATACCTAGAGAGCGTGAAGCATGGACTGGGGGCTGTAGACTAGACATTAGTTAGCGACGCAGGAACGTCGCGTCCAGAGAAATAAACTGTCTTTCTTTTGGCCATGATACAAGTCAAGCCCTTGAGATTCTCTATTTGTATCTGCGCAGGTCGCGAGGCCACAAGGCTTCTTCTTACTGGACGTTCGAGTTTGATATTGAGAAGAAAAGGTTTAACTATACCTGTGAGCCAATCATACTGTAGTAATAGGTTTGGTATCTGGGCCAATTTACATTGGATGTTGATTTAGTTAACTACTTAACCCATAATTATTGGTCAGCTTCTATAAATTATATTATTGGCCAATAACTACTTAAGTACCTGATTAGTAATACAACAACTGCAACAACACCATGAAAGTGCATGTCAAGAGCATGATACTAACAGAATGCCACCATCGGTTCTGCAATAACTTTGTCGAGAGTAGAAGCTAATTTTACTCTTGACTTTATGTACCTTTCTGCTGCTGAAGGCTTGTATGCTGAAGGCTTGTATACTCCAGATGAAGCTGATGCAGCAAAAGGGAAAAGTAGTTGACATGCATGTCAGGAGAGGCAGAGTCCATTCGTGTCTTATACCCGGATAAGGAGGAATGGGCATTTAGCCTTGAATATCATTCTTCTCTCCGGTCACTTCATTTTATACCGCCCCTGTTCTCGGTCCTTATTTCCCTGACTATGCTGCAGATCAATTTGCCGCTATGATTAATGTAGATGGTGGTATGGATCCTGATGCTCCCCTCTAAGCTTTTTTGAGCCTCATATCTAGCATGGGATACCAGTTTTATTTGTCTACTAGGCAGGTGAAAAGCAACCGCTACAAAACGCCATGCAAAATATAGTTTAACTTTTGGGTTGTTGTTTGCACCCACCATAAACTCTGGTTAGTACCTAGGTATTTAGGCTCGACCCGTACCAATTTGATTTTACCCCAAATAAGAAATGAAAAGAGTTGTAGCTAATGACTCGAGATTGCTAGCTCTAGGTCACTTCTTCTGTTATGACCAGCACAGGAAATATCAAAAATTGCATTTGAATTCGGTGCCGTTTGTTGCCAACGTTCAAAATGACCTTATCGCACCGATGCCTGCACCCTATTCTCTATATTTTATGGATTGAACTTTCAATAACAAAATTCTGGTAGAAAATCCTGATTTTCTAGTTTCATGGTGTAGTCAAATAGCAGGATGATAGTTGACGGAGAAAAGTTAGTGAGTATTAATCAAACTTTATTTTCGATGAGAGCGATGCTGATCTTGCTTTTATTGAAAGGCAATGAGACTCGAAAGCTTGATTCCACCATCACCATCAGCTAGAGAGATGTGTGACAAAGTAGGAAAATTAGCATTGACTGGTACTATTAATACCCTCCTTAGGACCTACCACGCTCAAGTCACAGATACAGGGATGTCTTATGGCGATGTTAGCCTATGTGACTTTACATGGGTATCAGCTTCTAAATTCGAGGTCATACGTGTGGTATTAGGCCATATTAGCTCCTCAATCTGTAAGGAGATTTGCGGTTTTGCCCAGGTATAGAATGTTCCCCGTCATCAATAAACCCACACCTCCACCTGGCTTGGCTAATTGCCATATGATGGGGCCTCATTGCAGTACATTACTTTTCGGTAAGATTTTCCAGTATGCGATCACATAAATGTGAGAATAAAGAGCTAAGTAGGATATTAGTGCTGTCAAAACGAAAGGGAAGCGTGTTATTATTGCTAGCATTGATGCCTACCATGGCTTACGCAAACTAGACGATCTACGCAAAGTGTTTGATCCGATGGACTTTAACCTCACCCGACATCAGCCTTTGCTAACTGGGCTCGTTAGGTTTCCAGCATGTTCGTTCGGCAGAGCTGCCCCGAATTAAGACATGAAAAGGTGATGCGGAGCCCAGCGTTTGACTACCCCTGTGACAGGCTTTAATTCAAACAAGATGTGGGCTTCTGCATGTAATGCATTTTGTATGTACATTCTAATTTTATTCCAGGAACAAACTCAAAGGAGAACTGTAAGTACAACAGACGAGCTTTGTTGGAATAACCATTTTTAGGCCGCGCCTCCAATTTTGACGGGGATATGTGAAGTCTAGTACGATCCCCTGACGATAACATCAGCGTTCGCAGCTGCAGTCACGGCCACAGCCTCGTTGGATCATAGACTTCACTGCGCCGTGCTATTAAGTATGCACTTCTGCTCAATTCAGGCCCTCGGCACTCCCGGTTTTCTGGTATTATGGCGCAGGCACGACTCTAATGCACAAAACTCTCCAAGGAATGACTGATGAAATCGGGTTTTTTGACCTATTCGACATTTCATCTCAGGCTGCGTGATTGATCTCTTTACTTCGATATCTCAGTGGGGAAATGCAAAATGCGTGCATACTCTCTGGTTATGCATGTCAACAAGGGGCTTGGCCAGTTTGCGGCGTCCAAAACCAGGCTTACAGGCTACCTGCATTGCGACCCAGAACCTCGTCATGGTGACACAGAGTGCACATTAGCTAGTGCCATTTGTCTACACGTTTGCCCCAAAAACGACCAAGTTGGTAGCCAGTTGGCTAACCCTTCACCGGATTACCGGGAGACTCGTTATTTAGCTGTAGTTACCAATCGTGGACCCATCAGCAAGGTTCCGTAAGAGGAAACCTTCCAGAACGCTGGGCTTTTTTGACTTGGTAAGTCCGGCGCTGCCGGAGTACATGCAGACCTTGTCGAACTGAGCTCCATTTTCTTCTAGCAAAGGAAGGAGTGTGCCTAGTTTGGCGAGTTACATGCCAATCGCCTCCTGATATGTGAGAAATATCTGCTTACTTAACTTATTTAACTATCCTTCAAGGAATGTAGCCGTGGCAGATCTCCAAACTGCTTTTTTCCTTCTGATTGCCTTTCGCTAGAGGCGAATAGCTACGCCGCAAAAGGCCTGAAGTTCTAGAAATATTCGGTTGCCCGAATCTTCTCGACATGCAGGTGTATCGCACATTAGTTATTTTATCCTGTTGTTGTGTGTTGGTTGGGGCTGTTTGATGGTTACCACGACTCGGGGTACGATTGGAAGATTATACTCATCTCGCCCCCAAACTACACGAGCTAAGCCTGCATTTCCGGATTGACAACATCGCCGTCGGGCCTTTCACAACCTCTCCTTAGCCGTATTGTGATATTCTTTTTTATTACAAGTTTCCTTTCTCCTCTTTTATGGTGATATAAGACGTGCTTGCGCCCATGGCTGCCTTATTATCCTCTGCCACCCCCAGCAGCATCCACGACCTTGAAGTTGATAAGACAATGCGCTTATACACCGGACGTCCTGTATCTGTGATTCTATGATGCTACAAGCCCTGGTTCATTTCCAGCCAGCAATTATACCTATTCTTGTCTGTCTCCAAGCCACCTCTGCCAGACCCATAAGCCTCTCTGAACGAGCGGGCATAGATTCGCTAAATACCCTCCGTTCAATCGACGACCAACCAAAAAGAGAGAGAGGAATTATCGATCTTGAGAAGAAGGTGAAGCTCCTGATAGGGCTTTGTGCGGGACTCGGCGGACTCCTGTGTATGTCCTCATTCTAAATCAATCCCTATTACAAAGACATCGGCGCTCATATGTCTCGTGCAACAGTTATATCTCTGATATCATATCTCGTTGTACATAAGATGTGGTACCGAAAACTATTCTGGCGCGAAAAGGCCAGTCGGCAGGTCCGGGATAATGGAGTTTCATCGTCGACGCACCCAGATTTCCCATGCCATCCTCTTTACCGGGAAGGAATTCGAGCAGCGAGCACACAGACCAGCCCCAAGCTGCCTGAGGCGCAATCTCCCGCAACGTCAAGCCCATTCAGATACCACCCTTACAACCCCCAGCCGCCGAATTCATATTTCCAGCCTGTAGAGGTTTACCAAACGCTCATGCTACCCGGTGAAATACTGGAAACGCGAGCCAGCCAGACTCCTGGCTCCGGAACCAATCTCCCAACTTCAAGAAGTTCCCAGGACGAACTATCCACTACACCCCAAGGCCGCACGCACGCTGTGGATGCTGCTGCGCACCCAGTACCTATAACGCATCTATCTCAACTACCGATCCATAGCCCGCAGCCACGCCGCATTGGGTTGCCTGTGAGCCCCAAGCTCCAGTGACCTGCCATCTTCATGCGATTGGAGCTGATGCTCATGATTTGACGTATACCCTAAGAACTTTCTTATCCCTCTTTTGAATCATAATGGTGTGTTTTGTTATTAGTTTATTGGTTGAGTGAGACTTTAAACTCCTCGTCTTTGATTTTTTTTTTTTTTTTTTTTTGGTACCAGGAGTTGGCTCGTTCCAGAGATTGGTTACTGTTTATTTCTTCTTATTTCTTCCTACATAATATACCCCCCAGAATATTCTTCAGAATTCATACGGTAACCATGATAGTATTTTTCCAATGGAAGCATATTTTACCATTATGAGCTGAGCAGCGCATGGGCCTGTACTACCGTATACTGCGTCTTGTTCGGGGAGACTCGCCCAGCACCCTGACATGAATCTCGACAGAACGCCTCGGAGTAGACATTAAACACTTAAGTTGTTAGTTATACACAGTCCTGCGCAATTCTGCATGTCTCTCTTGGTAATCACACGGCTCGCCGGCTTGTACAAAGTCAAGAGAGGGCGAACAAGGATGGAACTGCAGCTACGCGCCGTGCTATTTAGCATGCAGTATAAACAGGGAGAAGCCTGATCGTCACAGGAAAAGATGGACATCCCAAGGGCATGGCTCCCAATCACAGCTTTGGCTAGTCGAGGCGATGTGATCGCTTTGCCCGAGGAGATACAGTCCATGTTCCTGTCTCTGGGATTTTCACCCGGCGTTCCTTACTTTTTATGTACGGGCGGTTGAAGGAGAAAGAAGTTGCTTTTAGGGGGCCACAAAGAAGCTTATGTAATCCAGGTGCTCGACGACGTCCGCAAAAAGAAAACACAAGCTGAACTTCGTCTTGTTTCTTCCAACGACAGGATGAAGGACGAAGTCGCTACTTCGCACGGATACAAAGGCCTCCTTTTTGCACCAGCGAGAGCGATATACTCCATATTTCGGGTCTTTGGGAGGTCGATGACGGCCGGTAGAAGCGTCAACTTGGAAGAATCGCACAACATGGTATTTGAACGAATGGGATATCGCAGAGGGATGGGCCGCTCCAAGGGACTCCTTGCTCGAAGAAACAGCTGAGTTAGCGCCGAGTAACAAAGCCAATCATCGAGCGGGCCAGGTCTCGCGCTCTTCTTCCTTGTCCAGCCGGACGAGAATGCCGGTTAGAAGAGCGGCCATGGTGGTGTGGTGTTGCGAGGCGGCCATTTCAAACGGAGAACGAACAGAGGCAGCAAAGGGGAGCATTGAAAAGAATATAATAATAGCTGTCCAGAGCAGAGAGCACACACTGCGATGCCTCGGATCTGTTTTAGAAAGGGAGATCGGACCATGGCGGAGCAAGCAAGGGTAGGAGGGGACCCTCCCGTCAAATGGCCTGGTGGCTGATGGGCCATGGGCGGATAACTATTCAGTGGATCCCGCGGCATGCATTGCATCCCAAGCTCTGTCCAATGGCGCTCAACGGACAAGGATACATCACATCCTATCACACTCTGTATCACCGCCTCAGGACGGCCGGGCCAACCTGAACGCTGACAGATTGGCTGGCATCGACCAGACTCAACCAGGCCGGCTGGGGGGGAACGATGGCCTCGCCTGCAAGGGCTCGAGCTGCTTACCCTGCAGATAACTATGTTCTTCTCCCCGTGATGACAACTAGTTTGGTCGCTTTCTTTGACTTCTTCATGCATGTTCTTGCGGAAACCATTCTTCCTGCATAGTTTTGGAGCATGGTTGCTTTTTTCTTTGCCCTGCTTTCATCAAATGTCAAATAGTTCATAAGCTGGGACTGGAACACTTTGTTTGACGTCTTTCGCTTTTGTCCGTCTCTTGTCGACTCTTCCACCCCAGAGTGCGCCCGTTACGCACCGTTGGCCCTGTTGCGTCTTATCTCAAGGGGATTCACTGTGAGACGTCTTGCGGAGCACATACCACCACCGCCACCGCAGGCACTTCGTGGTTTGTGCTTCCCCGCCCTTCCGTTCGAGACACCGTGAAGGCTGCGTGCTGATACAGCTGATTTCAAGGCCGATAGACGACTTGACCATTCTGCGCTGCCTACCGGCGATCACGAAAAGGGTACGACTCCTATCTCTACACGCCAAGGAAGGCGCTCATATCCCGACGTGACGGAGAAGGGATATCATTCAGATGATTTTATACGTATAAAGGCTTTTCCAATCAGTCGGATGCATACAGAGTTTTAACGGCTCTGAACACTTGTCGATTCCTCAAATCTGCCGAGACAGCGCTACTACCCTTCGCCATGTTGTTATTCGCACTTGCCCTGCCCATTCTTCTACTGCATGCAGCTTCAGCAGTACGCTTCACAGCACGCTCACCATGCGCCGATGTCTGTGGCGGCATGATGGCCAATACCACTGGCGATGAGATTGTGTGCCATGATAATGAATTCAATGACACACCCAAAGGACGTCGTTTCCGAGACTGCGTGTCCTGCGAATTGCAAAGTACATTTTATGATGTGTTCCATGACGAATCCGATGTTAAATGGGGTTTACGTATGAACTCCCATCCTACTGCTACCTGGTGAAGTGAGCTGCATTTTTTGTTGGCTAACATGTGCATCGTTGCTAGATAACCTACGATACGCCTTTTCTACCTGTATTTACGGTTACCCCAAGGTGTTACAATCGCTATCCACACCGTGTCAGGTTACTTGTCAAGGACTCTCAGAATCCCTCAAGTATAAACAAACGGAGCCGCTAGGAAGGAATATCTATGACTTTTGTGGGATATCAACGTTCTCCGACAAAGATATCACTGATTGCACCATATGCTACTCCTTGACCGAGAACGAAAAGTTTCTTGCTAACTGTAAGTTGATTAAACACTCGCCGAGATTGGATGTATATTTACAAACCGATGTTTAGTTCTCGAGGCAGTCCGTGAAGGATGCCGCGCCAGAGTCCCCGCGGGAGACAAGTTTTTTATCGAACCTAATAGGATTTTCAACAAGCTGATGTTACCAGCAAACCAAGATCCACAACTCCCGGGAACGAATACCGGCCGCTCAAAGAAAAATCTGATCCTCGTCATTGTCTTGCCCATTGTTGGATTTTTATTATTCGGCACGGCTCTGGCGGTGGGCTGCTTCTTTTATATCCGGAACCGTCGCCGAAGAGCCAGACGGGAAAGCCAGTCGAGTAGTCTACATGAAAGATGGAATGACACTTCCATCATGACTCCGTCACACAATGGTCTGCACAAGTACTGGGGAGGAGAACAAACTCATCAGGCACAGCATCCGTATGATCCTAATATGGCACAATCTTACGACAATTCATACTATGCGCCAGATCAACGGGATGTCAAGTATCCGTCCGAGGCACATATGATGACCTCTCTCGCCCCTCAAACAACCCAACATGCCACCGACGGCGACCGGAAAGTCCCAATATTATCTGCGGCGCCACCTCCACGGAAGTCACTAACGAACAATAGATAGAAGTGTCTTGAGATTACTGATACATACCCCCTCGCCATAGACTTTCTTGGTCCCTACTTTGTCCTAGCTCGAGTAGCCTCGTCCATACCTCTACATCCCTAGCTCCTCACCCCATTTTATGATACCCTCCCTTGCATTTATGTCTCATGCTGATGCGAATTTCGCAACGCCTGGCTCCCTACCTTTTTCGCGCTCTTTATTCATTTCTGTTTGAAAACAGTATTGGTCGTTTTGGGACATATGGAGTATAAACTGCTGGAATATTTAAGCCTAATGAGAATTTCCCTTAATCCTACGTTACAATGGCAGTAAATGACATGGAGTATCTGCTTAAAATCTACTTAAAACCTCTATATGAGCTCGTTGGTAGCCGATAACTAAAGGAGCTCCTTATCGATAAGACCTACTTCGTTAACCTAGTTACTATTACGCTGACTTCACGCTCACAACAACTCCGTCAACTCAATCAAACTACATCGCATCTACCAAATAAACCCATACTCAGATTGATCCGCATCATCATGGCATCTATAAGTCAAGAGCAGCTAAAAATCATCGAGCAAACTCGACAAAGGCTGGTTAACTTGACCCAGTCATTAGGCTCACTTGTCAACAATATCTCCCAGAGCCAGCCACTTCCAGCTTGGTGAGCAGCATAGATATCTCCAACGACGCCTGAAAACGACTGGAAGAGACTTACAGCTGATGCATATATACGATAGGTCATCACTTCAGTCACAAGCTACAATAATATCGAATAACCTGCTTACAATCGCCCAGCTGCTTCATGAGCATCGCGATCTATTCACGTCTCTAGTCGTTTATCCAACGCCCACCTTCCCCGGCAGGACAGAGTCCTCTATGCTCAATCAACTTATGCGAACAAAACTAGAGCCACGGGTAGAAGATTGGCTAGCGCACGGCCGATCGGTAGGAAAAGAGGCTCTCGAGCTATCCAGTGGTGACCAACAAAAGCTTACGATTAGCAATGCTTCAACTTTTGAAAGTGATGCTAATACACAGCGATTATCTCGAGAAGACTTGCAGGCTTTGTGGGAATGGGCGCCGATTGAAGCTAATATGGAAGCTAGAAGGAGAAATTGGGGCGGCGACTATACAATCGAGGAGAAGGAAGCTGGGTTAAGCAATGTGATTACAGGATTGACTAGGAAATTAAACGAGAATGTCGAGGGTGCGGCTGGACGAGATTTTGACGAGTCCGATGACGAGGACGAGGTGATGGAGGGTACTGGGGAGGAGACCAAGCCTAGTGCTGCCCTCCTGACCAAGGAATCTACTACCATGCCTCTCGATGATTTCTTCCGATATATGATGACTGGCGCGGAGCCACTGCGACATTGAGAGGTTTGTTTCTCTTATAGGGTTTTCGAGCATGTTGAGATCGATGGTATTAAGGCGGCCAACTACTTGAGCTTTGCGAAGAGGGCAACAGCCATTGAACTAGGATGCCGCTATGATGAGAAAGTGCCTAATTGCTGGTCTTTGTTGCCATGATCAAAACAGGCCGCGGAAGAGGAGAATAGAATAAACATTAACTATTAGTTTCGTTATTACTTGAACTTTGTGTAATATCACATTTGATGGATAAAGTGTTCACGGGTATAACTGATTTAACCCCTTCGCCTTGTTGATGGGCCTTTGACTGAGGGACTTTGGGATACCCCGCTCGATACTGCTATCGGTTTTTGTTCCCTTGAAACGCGGATCGAAGGTTTCTCAGGGACGGTCGATGGCGCATTCCAGTAGTAGAGCACTTGCCCCGCAAGTATGACATTAAGCGTAAATCCGGCAACGAAACCATAGAGTATGAGCTTATCATCCACTTCCTGTAAGGTTGTGAAGATGCGAGAAAGGGACCCAAAAAGGTAGTTGAAAACCTAGGGCAAAAGTTGAGTTAGTTTTGTGTCTCGCACAATATACAAAAAGGTGAAAAAAAAAAAACACCGAAGTGAAGGACTAGGCAGAGGTGCGCCTTACCGCAAAGGAGCTAAGTTGCCCAATGCCTCCTTGACTCCAGATCGTATAGATCTGGGGCAGCTTGCTCGCAATACCCAATAGTCCAGCTCCAGCTTGGAGGTAGCCCATCGTAGCCTGGTCAACAATAGTCTCGCCACTGAACAGCAATGCGTAGACGATGCCGACAACCGCAGCGACAAAAGCACCGGCGGAAGCGGTTTGGCCAGAAAACACCAAAACCAGAACGCTGACAACTATGTCCTGAACTGCAATTAGAGCAACCTCGCCATATGTACTGAACGGAAATCCCTGGCGAGCATTGTAGGCGAGAGTGATAAGAAAACTGGTTGTTTCGAGGGCGTAGGATGTGAATGAGACTCCGGCAGCTGAGCGCGAAGAGATGAGCTTTAGAATCTGTGGTACTTTAACGATGGCGCTGAATAAGACGATAGCAATTCCAAGTGCTTTAGAGATTGCAAGCGGCAGGCATTCGGGGTCTTTGGTTATGTCAAGGCCAAGGACGAGAGAGGTGAAGCAGTTAGCACCAAGTAGTGAGATGAGCGCGTCATTCACTGGAGCTGGCAAAGCAGTGGTGATCTGCCGAAGTAGAGGCTGTAGAGGATTTATTATGCTCGATTGGATAATCTGTGGTAGCGACTCCATCTTGTCTATCTCGTCTATCCCGTCTTTCTCCTCGTATCTTCTGTTCAATGGTCGTAGACGCCGTTGTTGTTGTCGTTGTTGTCGTTGTTTGTTTCTTCAGGACAACTTTTTGCTTTGCGATGGCAGAAATCCCAATCGGGAAAGGCGGCGAAAGGAGGCTCATGCCAAGAAAAGTCATGTGATATCGATTAGTCATATATGGCTAAGCTACTTTAGGACATAGACTTTTCTGATATCGAAAAGGAAGCAAAGCGACAACGAGAAGAACAGCGTTGAAGAACGAAGGATGGGCTGAGGGATGCCGGGTCTGCCATCCATTGAACAATCTCCAGCCTGGTGATGAGCCTGAGGGCATTTTCGCTGCGGCCATGGGCCAAGTTGGAGCCGGGAGGTCGTTGCGTGGGATGCGTCCTGACCTCGATGAGCCCTCCACCGCAGAACGTCCAGCAACGGACCTTTACGGCAGCTGTAAGATATTTGCAGAACGACACTCAATTACTTCCCCGATATTTGCGGAAGTCATACTTCTTGTCTCATGATCCATTGGCGTCTAGCAAGCTTGGAATTAAATGTTTGTCGTGGTCACGAACTGGTTCCCCTACCCAGCAAGCCTGTGCGTTCTTCAGTTCGAAAGCCCCTACAACACATACAACTTCACATAATGAAGCAATTTCAACACCGCAAAGTATTACAGAGACTGTGGAAGAGCTTCCTCATCGACGGAGGCAACGGCTAAGGGCACAGGGCGGAGCCAATGCCTCGGAGCAAGAACTACGACCCGATGCATCCTCACAACTCTCGACGCTTTCTTCGTCATTGCCCAAATCTTCCCTAAAAGGCAAACTAGCAGCATTTCTTGCTCTTACCAAGCCACGGCTATCCTTCTTAATTGTTCTTACAGCTACTACGGCATACGGTCTCTACCCAGTTCCTTCGATATTACATCTTGATCCATCGGTCACTCCTCTACCGACTTTATCTACTTCGACCTTGACGTTTTGTTACCTGACCGTGGGAACATTCCTATCAAGCGCATGTGCAAACACGATAAACATGCTCCTTGAGCCGAAATATGATGCTCTGATGACTCGGACACGCAACCGGCCTTTGGTTCGAAAACTCATGTCTACCCGTGCAGCCGTTCTCTTTGCTGTTGGAACTGCAGCTGCCGGGCTCAGTGCTCTGTATTTCGGTACAAATTCCACCGTGGCCGGTCTTTCAGCCGCCAATATAGTTCTATACGGCTTTATATATACTCCATTGAAACGAATTTCCGTTATCAACACCTGGGTTGGGGCTGTGGTGGGTGGGATCCCTCCTCTGATGGGTTGGGCGGCTGCGGCTGGTCAAACAGCAATAACTGGCCATGATACTTGGAGGGACCTCTTGTTTGGGCCAGACAGTGCCGGGGGCTGGCTCCTTGCCGGCCTTCTCTTTGCATGGCAATTTCCGCACTTTAATGCCTTGTCCCATCTAATTCGAGATGAATACAAGAATGCCGGATATAAAATGCTTGCATGGACCAATCCAGCACGAAACGGTCGCGTTGCTCTACGTTACTCTCTCTTAATGTTCCCTCTATGTGCTGGCTTGTGGTGGGCTGGAGTAGTCGATAAGGGATTTTTAGTTGGTGGCGTGCTCATCAATTCCTGGCTCACGAAGGAAGCCTATCGGTTCTGGAAATTCGAAGGAGCTAAGGGCACTGCACGGGGCCTGTTTTGGGCGAGCGTGTGGCACCTACCCCTATTAATGGTAGGTACTCTAGCAGCCAAAAAGGGGATTTGGGATGGAGTTTGGAGCAGAGCCATGGGTTATTCGGAGGATGATGAAGATTTGGACTCGGAGGAAGCTGAAGAGACGGCTAGTGTACGTCCTTCATTGCCAACATCACAAGCTCAAACTTCATAATCTCCAATGTATCACTACCATTGTTTCCCAATCTTTTGTATAGTACGGAGTTATAGAAATGGTACTGCAAAGCGTGTTTTATTATTGCACGAGCCCAGCCTGTTGCTAGCCGGTGCATGATTCTCTCTGCCTATTACTTTCACCCCTTCCAAGAACCACAGTCCCCTTCGTCTTCCTCACCATCCTCGTCTTGTCAGTTTTATATATTGTCGGGATTATATCCACTTAGCTACGACTCGCACACATTATCCAAGGTATCCTTGGGCCTTTTTGTCCCTTGTGGTCCAGCAGGTGTATCCTATCAGAGCGTCGCCCTGTAGGAAACGTATTGTATTATCCTTCTCCGAGAAGTAGGCTCTGTTCTCTGTTCTGAGACATTATCCAGAGAGTAGGCTGTGGATTACATGAGGTGAGTACTCACAGTTGACAACGAGCTCGTTGACAGTGCCGTCACCCAGGAGCAATGGTATCTGTACCTTGCCTTTGCCAATGATGGGGGATGACGATCCTTGCCATCCACTAACGTTCTTCGTTTGAATTGGTTCATATTCGATGAACGCGGCGAGGTCTGAGCAGATGTTATACGCGCTGCCAGTATCGGCGATCCACGTTTTGGCTCCATGAGCCGCCGGAACAGCGCTTATGATTGGCCGGTGGTTGTTTACGTCACCAAGAACTAGGCCTGCAAAGCTTGCAGCGAATTCGTTGGTGGCCGTTTCAACCACTTCAGGCTTCTTTTGCCTGCGCCAGGTGTATTTGTACGCCCAGTACCCTTTCGGTACCAGCCTTGTGGACGTTTGGCTAGGTGCAGGTAGGGACATTCACCCAATTTATGCTGGATATCTCCACAATAACCGCATTTTCCATCTTTCTCCCTGGGGTAAGTGGAGAGGATGTGTTTGAGGTGCTCATCTGGTGAAGTACCAACTGGTGGCCAACCTTCCGTTCTGTTAGGTCGTTCGCGTTGGTTTGATGGTGGAGAAATATTCGAGGTCTTCTTAGGCGCTGCAGCCGCGGTCGGCTGGTCAGCGCTCTTGCTTTGGTCTTCGAACAGATATTCAGGAAGTGTTCCTTCGTGACGTCGGCCAGTTTGGTATTATCCAAACTATTGGTAATGTCGTTCGCCCATAGAGCCATCTCGTCTTTAATAGCGTCAAGGAGGCGATTCAAAGCTTCAACTGGTGGTACTGGATAACCCATCTGTGTAAAGTTCTTATACTCTGTAGGATCCATCAACGTATTGTGGAATCCAGGCTCATGACCTGTTGGACCAAGGGACAAGAGGGCCTGATGCCTAAGAATACCTTGTCGTAGCTAAAGTGGAATCTCATCGTTTCCAGCGAGAGTTCACAGCTTGCTTATGTCATCCAACCTGCAAACGAAATGTTACCATACTGGGACTAGCGCCTGCTCGTATTCAGCCTCAAGTTTTCTGATCTTCGAAACATCCAAACATCAAAAGCAAAAAAGGAGCCAGAAGAAACACAGGAAAACACTGCCTCGCTGACCCACTGCCCTGTGTATATTGTTTGAGATAATGAACCAAATAGGTGCACAGCCTACTGGGATAGGAGTCGCTGGAATTTATATATCGAGCCATTTCTGGGATTGTCGACTAGACTGATCTCCTTACCTCAAGGATTACCCAATCTAGAGATTCGTCGTATCGGCAGCTACCACTTGACCGTTATATGAGGAAAACTCCAACTCCAAAGCACAATGCTAAATAACAATATCCAGCATCTACATGTCTCGCCAGAAAGCCATAACGGCCAAGGTAGCCACCTGGACCAGCAGAAGTGGACATCGGTAACCCCGTCTCGAAAGATCGGCAACCAGGTGGTCTTCCGCATAAAGAACTGTACAGTTCCAAAACAAGCCCAACGGCGAAATACCACTTCTTCTGGCAGTGACCAATCAACTGGGAAGCAATGCAATTCTCGAAAATCCCATCGGAAATCTAGGGCTGGGTGTGGCACCTGCAAGAAGCGCAGGGTTAAGGTAGAAACCATTCTCTGGGTCCTCCGGGCCGCCATGCACAATGCACGTCAATTCCAAGGATTGCTAACGACGGAATTATATCTAGTGTGATGAAACGAAGCCGCACTGCCTTAGGTGCGAAGCTTATGGTGTCGCCTGTGATTACATGGATCAGCAAGCGTTGGTACCTATTAACGCGGGATCAGGTAGCCCTGTGTCCAGCAGTGGGAGTGAGTGTGGCTCTATAGACTCTTTATTCCATTCTATGTCGAGAACAGATCTTGCCGCACGTGTCACCTACGCTCTCCAGCTAGGGTCGAAGACCAAGATTCGGCCCTTAACTTCTGATTCAAAGTCAATCATTGCTTTTCACCATTTTCTAAACCTCAAACATGACCATACTCCACTCACGGATGCTGGGATGAAAGTTGTGTCAACAAAGATGCTGCCTCTGGCCTTTAAGGTTGGTACATTCATTCTCCCTCTATATATTCATAATCATGGTTTGAGCTAGTTTGTTAACTGGCCGCTTGTGTGAAGACGCCGTATCTCATGCATGCCATTCTTGGTATTGGCGCCACCTCTATCTCTGACCAAGCCCAGGGTGACCCTTCGTACAAAGTTCTACATGCATATCATTGGCAACAAACCATCAGACAATACCAGGAAGAAATCCAAACTAGCATCGGTCTTCACAATATGGATGGCTTAATGTCTACTTGCATGTTCATGAGTAGCATTACCTTTCTTGGTGCTGACCCTGATTACACCAAATCATGGGTTTTTTCCAACGACCCTGCAGATCTCAACTGGCTTCTCATCCAAGGAGGTTTACGGTTTCTTCTCATGCACCTCAGCCGTTACCTTGAGCATAGTATTTGGTATGAAGTTTTTATGGAATCTTCCGATGAGGAAATGTTTGGCGACCATAGGCCGGGAAAGGTTGGCCTGCACCCAGAGCTTGCTGCAATCTGCGGAATTACAGAGACAACTACTGAAGATGATAATCCCTGCCTCTGGCCCCTGAGGATGCTCACCCCAATTCTTAAGCTTGAAAGTAACAGGGAAAATTTCTCCAAGCTCATGGGCTTTATGGGGAGACTGTTACCGGACTATACGAATAACCTACTTGCCAAGGAACCTAGCTGCTTGATCATACTTGCATATTGGCTTGGGAAGTTATGTGAGCGGCCTGACTGGTGGCTATATTCAAGAGCTCAGGTTGAATGTTATGCACTTTGTGCATATCTTGAATCACTTGGGGATCCAAGGATGCTAGAACTCTTAGAGTATCCTGCCAAGAAATGCGGCTATATACTCGGGCGCCCTGCACCAGTTGATATATTAGATGACTTTACTATAATACCCATTATATAAGAATGAATGGCAGGTTACAACGTGCAAATGACAGCTAGTTGAGGTGGTATTATAGCATTCTTCCTCCTCAGGAATGATTACTGTCTATACAAGGCTTTTAAATGAGACTGTGATCAAATATGTCATAACGCTAATGGATTATATTGTTCGTTATCTCATAGGTTCATGGTTCTTCATAACATAGCCGAAGCAGATATAAAAACGTAATATCGTCAATAAGTTCGAGATGAATATATCCACCCAAAAAAAGCAAAGGAAAGAGAAGGAAAGACGGAAAACAAAAACATCAAAGTACATTTCAAGGCGATTTTTTGTTGGCCAATGAACCAAACTGGAAAGCAGACCAAAAGGGTTGACGTAAAAAGAGAATGAAAGAAAGAAGGTAAAACTTCTCGAAATCCAGCTGATATGGGCAGAGGTAAATAACATACTTACCCACAGCGGTCCCGACCAGCAGAAACCCGCGACTTAGATATAACCCAGGCTTCCCAAATCTTTCGTTGCCGATAGTCCACAGTTCTACCATCATCTTCAAGGTCGTCTGCTGGGATAGAGCTTAGGACCTCCCACTGATCAGTGAAGGGGGGTAGAAGTAACGGCGCAGATAGAGAATTGTCTGGTAACAATTCTATTTGATTGGCTCTAGGCCCAACGTCGCCGTTATGTGAGCTTAGGCCGTCTGATTCATCACCAAGGCTCGTGTTGTCATCGTCGTCATCTCCATTAATGTTGTGGTAGTTCCCTGGGACGTATGGTTCAAATATGTCATCATCCTCGCTGTCTGAGTTTGGAAACGACTGGATATCAGAAATGTCTGCACTTGTAGCCCATTTTTCATCAAATGCATTTGAGTAATCAATCCGACGTAGGCTAACCCACTCGAGGTTTTCCATTTCGTCATGGAGCATGGATAAAATATCTTTCCACATGCTCCCCTCCTTCAGCAGGACATCACGAAGGCGAAGGCCACGGAGAGACCTGCGGTGGCGTCGAGCGAAGTTAATAATCTCTTCCGAGTCAAGTCTCCAGGCTTGAATCCCAAATGCGCGAAGCCTCTCCCAATGAACGTTATGAAATATATCTTCCAGATGAAGGTCTAAAGGCAGCCTAGACGGGAATCCAAGATGAATAGCTTCCATATTTTTTGCTGCGGTAAATAAGACCTTAAATACTTCCGAGAGTTCCCTCATCTCTGCATTAACATATCTCATGGCATCGAAATGGATCTCAAGGCACGTCAATTTCGTCGCGAGAGCTGAAAGAAGCTGCACAGGGGCCCTTTTTAGTGTAAGTGTGGCCTGAGGGTTTATCTGCGGGCCCGAAAAGCGATTGGCAGGAGATCCAGCCTCCAAGAGTGCTAGGCCAACATTTTGAATGGCGCGAATGCAGGCAGGATTCCAGTCCACCACTACTAACGGGTCTAATGGATTATCATGCCTATCAATGAAGGATCGTAAATCACGTTCAGCTTCATCCTGGACTCTCAATATCTTCACGTGTTGGAGAGCCGTAAACGATTTCATTGCCCTTATAAGTGAGTTTAAGTCTTCATTAGACGAAACCAATCTCTTCTGCTCTTCGAGACGGTGGATATGTTCGGCCAGATTGAGTTTGCTTGAATCAGCCGTCGAAAGCAGCTGGGGTATATTATCTTTTCCTATACAATAAAAGGGTCCGTGAGCATCTGTGCAAGTAAACATGATACGAATTCAAAGGAAACAATACAAGCAAAAGGACAGGCGTTCAAATTTACCTTCTACATAAAATGACCGGATTATATATGTAAAGGTTCTCGCATGTCTTGCCAGGTGAGGAATACTTGACAGCTGGTCAAGTTTCTTAAAAGCGGGTTCTGAAAACCGGACGACAACGCGGCTAAACTTATGCGCTGCACCAACTTCCGAGAACCGTTTGCAAACCTCTCGAAATCGGTCAACGTCACTGCGAAGATCTTCATGGTACCCATTTTTACCCTCTAGCCACAAACGCGGAGGATCGGGCAAACTCGGCCTAACGCTCTCAAAAGAAAGATACGCACGGTGGTCGACGCTGGTGCACCTTTCTAGATCTCGCGTGAGATGGTCCAGTATTTCTTTCAACAACTCGTTCGAGAGGCGCAGTATGCCTCGAGGCTCGTTATCCATTGTTCCGCCTTGCGCGTCACTTCCTGCCTCTTTACCAATAGTTTTCCTCTTTTGTTTTCCTGTTTTCTTTTTTTCCTACCGCTTCAGTTATCAATATAAACTCCAGGTCATTAGCTTGTTGGGTGGAGGCCAGATTCAGTGCTGGTCCGAAAGATAAGAGTAAACCACCATATAAATCAGAGATGAAAAGGGACGGATCAACAACCCATCAAGTGCTAGGGGTACTAGGTCATATGGCACAACATGTAATCACGAGATGAATTCCTAGACACAGCGATCACTGCGGCTTTCGTTGGAGCGGAGTATTTGGAGTGCTTGAAGATCGATGACAACTTATATGGGTAATTGGTACCAATATGGAGTATATATAGTAGAAATAGAGCTGGAAAGGAGGCGATCAAGAATGCTGAGATGTTATTTTCCACCGTTTCAGCTTGGATAAACAGGTTCCAGTCGCAAGGGCGGTAGTTGGGCAGGACGAAACCCAGGATATAAAACCGAACAATTCCAAGCGACTACCTTCTTACTCCTGGCCCCAATGTTGTCAAGTAGGATTGACAGACGTGTGCATGATCAGACAGGGCTCCCTTTACCTTTTTTTTTCTCTCGTTTCGTTTCTTTTTCCCGCCTGGTTCTCTCTCTTTGCCTGTGCCTCTGGCTGGTTTTTCTTTTTTGCTTTTCGCGCTGTCTGTCCACTTTTCGGGTGCTTTCCTTCACGACTGCACGTCGTCTGCACGTAGGGCAGGTGGGAGAAAAGGAGGACTCGCTGGCCCAATCCCCAACTCTCCTCACCCTCCATTAGGTCACATGACCAAAAAAGCTACCAGCAGATCCCCAGCCAGCAGCGGCAGCAGGGCGGGCCGCTGCGAATCGTGAGCGAGTTGAGAGGGGACAGGAACGACAAGAGAGGTGGCGCGGCTGTCACGGGCGAATCGTCTTTGAGGGAGCCCTCATGTCGGCCCATGGAGCTTCTGCACCTCTCGTGTTTGGACTTTTCTGCACAGCTCAATCCCTGGACGATGCACAAGCCAAAACTCCTGCAACGGCAGACATCCCCGCTGGCAATTTCACACGAAGCAGGCGAATCACGACAACATTTGAACCGAATAAAGACTAGGAAATTGCCGGGGTCTCTGGAAACCTGACCTGGAACAGCGCCACCATGGTCAAGAGATATAAACAGGCTGATATAGAGATGGGGCTATCACGGAGTCTGAAAATGTTTCTGTTAGCGCCAGCTGCCACGTGAGACGGAGAAATCGATACGTACTTCTTTCTCGTAACCGGGCTGGCTTTTTGATCCCGTTTGCCGTTGATACCTTGGTGCTGTTGAAAGTTGAGTGAAGTTGATAGTTAGCTAGTTACCTAACTAACTTGTTAGAAGCAAAATGAGAGAGTGGCAGAACCCAAGGCGGTCAACCCTTTTGGGACAAACAACTTCGACTTCGACTTCAATTTCAACGTCACGCCAGCTACAACAACTACAACAAGGGCCTTCAAAGGGGCGGAATGCAAGATGTCTACGGTGGTGAGACTGAGTGCTCGTTGCTGGGACTGGCCATGCAGCCTCATTCGTGAAGTGATCGTCTCAAACATGCAGCATACCCCTGGAAGAGACACGCCGACTCGGTTCCGTCTGGCTCCTTTCAGCATGCTGACCACCTAGAGCTAGAAAGTCCGGATGGCGCGTCCTCGTAAGAGGGACGGCATATACTCCGTGCTGCTTTATCAATACTCCTTACGAGCACGCGAAGTACAAAGTGGCAGGAGAAAATGGCAGCAGGCCCACGGTAAGCCGGTTCTGGCTCGACTTTACCGACCTTTGAGATCTCCATTGCAGTGGCTACAATTGGATGCATTAACTCTATGCTTCACATTTAACAAGACTTGAGATTTGCCCTGAAAGGGCGACCGTGGTGCAAGATTGGCTACAAGAATGAAGAGCGACAACGTTATCGCTACTGGTTACTCTGTATTGAGGTGCATAAGAAAAACTCGACTGCAACCAATAGCCCTACCCGTATCTCAGTGATATATCTTCCTCCGACACGATTTATTCTGCATTGGGCTTCGAAAACCAGTCCCTGCCACTTTTCTCCGCCCGATGTCAAATATTTCCAGTTCAGAGGCTCACCCCTGCCAGTTCTAATTTAGCCACTTAACGGTTACCCTGACAGCTGAGATCCAGCGTCTGAAAAGGAACAATCCGACAATCGACAACGGGATCAAGAAATTTGAACCAGAGCATACTGTCAATGGGCAGAGACTAGGGTTGCACAGACGGCAAGCAAGTGACAAGCAATAGAGCAGTTCCTGACACTTTCCCCAAATCACGAGCATTGAATTGTTTCCACGGGTTGCGGACAGTGCTCCGTGATACGTCGATACCACGCCTTAGCAATTCATAGCCACAAAGGCTGCCATAAAGAGGGTGAGCCATATATTTACATTTCCTTTGCGTCAACATCTCCCGATTCTATCCCCCGGCTTACCATTTCTATGTCACCTTCACATATTTTCAACCCTGGGAAGCTGCCCTCCTCCCCTAGACCCGCGTTCTCCGATAGTATGTCGTGTGAGGTACAGTTACTGTCATACTCTCGATCCCTATTCATTCCCTATCCATCGTTGCGTAGCACAGCTAGTATGGTCACCGATTGCTGCTCCAAATATGTCGTTAATTATATAAATTAATCTTTTAATATAGGTATTGGTGCCATCCAACACCGCAGAAGCTCATTAATTCACCCTTAAACCCCTTTTCCTGTCCCCCTGTGGGGAGTTTGTGTTTATTCCCTGACTCCAGCCCATCCTTGTCTGAATGGTGCAACCCCCCTGTAATGAAAGCGCTTACTTACTTACCAGAATAACCTGGGGAGTCCCAGCCATCCATCATCTCGGATTGTTTCTGTTTCAAAACTCAACCGCTCACTCTGGTGTGGACTTTGTTTATTCCTGCTCTAAATATAGGCATGCCCACATTGGTGGTCAACCCCTTCTTAAACGGGTTAACATTAACGCCTTCTTTTCACGACTTTACGCAACGTGTAAAGCTGCTGAATCTCCAATTAGCAGTTGTTACATAAAACATCTTTCCTACCCCTGCAGTGTCCTCGATATACCTCCACTAAATATACCTGCATTTTTCTTTCTTTCCTTTTTTTTTGATTTTGTGTTCAAGCCGGTGCCAAATCATTTACACCATACGGAGTACTATTGCTTGGTATGTTTACCTCATGGCCAGCCAGCTTGAAAGTCCGAAATTCTCCATATAGAACGAAGTACGTTTCCTCTATGTCTTCGAGGTTATGTACGGCCTCATTGGATTGCAGGTTGCTAATTCATAGAAGATTAGGACCCTAGGCTATTATTTAATGCTTAACTGCATCAAGGTGCGATTTCGTTCAACGTGTGAATTGAACGCCTGAAAATGCAATTCCAACCGATTCCCCTGAGCTCTTACTTTTAGAAGTAACATCTGAAAATGTCATGTTGGCTCAAAACACGCTCAACTTCCCACATCTGACCCGCTAGCGGCTGGGATAAAATCTCAAGCATTCGTAGCTCGAAGACGCCAAGGCCCAGTTAGAATGATGGAAGCCAAAATTCCATATCCAGTCTGCCCCGCGTGCATTAAGTATGCTCACCCACAATAGCATACGAGAAACATCTAGATCCACAGTCAAAGGCCAAACAGAACCATCCTGATAACTATATATTAGGGCTAATAAGGAAACCCGTTGACGAATGCATGCACAGAAACCCTCTATCAATTGCAAGAAATTTTTCACATACTTCTTGCTAGGCAATGTCATTATACTACCACTCGGGAAAGGTTTGTCGAAGCTGCTGGTGTGGTGAGCATTGTCATGGATATGCCCCTCAAGTTGGCTGGTACTCCATAGAAAGTAATCCAAAGCAGGAGACCCAGCACTTCCACATTCAACTCCCCACATTGTAAGATATATCCCAGCTCAACTCGATATCAGAGGAGGCGGCTAGCCTCAATTACGTGTCATTGATTCGTGCCGCAGTTACCCGAGTCATGTTTAGACGTGTCCCAATGGCCCCCACCAACTGCAGGTATAAACATGTCTTCTTCATGTAGGCGTGTACTTGGCTTGCAAGGAGATGTGATTGGGACAAAGCATGTTGTTTGAAATCCACAGGCCAGAAGCAAGTGTGTCTGTATCGTCACCGACCTCCGATGGTGAACTACGTGGCCCTGAAGCGGCAGCTCATGATATGGGCGGCATATGTGACCGGTATACCCCTGAATTAGGAGTTACTTCCATGCCAGATCACCATTTTTACCAGGTTTGCATACTCTGTGCCTAGGTAAATGCAATTGTTAACAGGGATGGACAAAACTGAAGGAAGATGTGCATGAATCCGCTTGCAACGTTCGTCTAGCCTCAAAGATACGGCTAACTTACCTTGAGAACAAGTTTGACGATGAATGATCAAGGCGCTAAGTACATCAACAGAATGTAAATGGATTTTATACGAAATCTTAACTTACTACCGAATGACTATCGAAAAAGCCTTTTCCAACGCATTTGCAACACTCGCCGTTGGCAACCCCTGCATGAGAAACATAAACATGGATGAGGTTGGTGTTGTGCCATACCATGCAGAAGCTGCAGGCGTCAACTATGACAGGAACAACTCCCAGCATTCCCAGAATATACTATTCGATGGAGTGAAGATACATATAGAACTACCAATGTTTATCAGGGGATAAAGAGCTCGCCTGCAGGAGAGTTGGGGACAGTGGCGAACTCAAAGCGAAAAGGAGGCGAGACCATGCTTCTTCAGGGGGAATAACATTCATGATTAAGAGACATATGTACTTAGGTATTGGCATACGGCTGTGTACATACAGAGAGGCTGCGTTGAAGAGACGAAGCGTTGTAGTTGGGCCAGACGCGGGACTTAGAGAGTGCTTCCCTTGGCGAGGTTCATCCGCCGCCTCCTGATGTCGGTACTTGATATCTTGGTCTCAAAGCCGTCTTGCGAGGCCGGCACGCCATCAGCAGTATCGAGAACATCAACCTCATAGACTTCGAGAGCCGACCACCCTTTCTTCAGCCTCTCGTCATTAACAGCCTTACCGCCAGAGCGGGTTTCCTTTGAGACGACCAGAGCGGTGATATCGCGATCAGTGATAGTAGGACCGAACGGGTCAGCGATCTGGACGAACCTGAACTCTAGGTCTGAGGACAAGGAGACGATAACCCGTCTACCATTGGGACCAGGTTCATTTTCACGTCTGACGTCTACGGTACTGGAAGGAGAGAACTCGATGATAGATTGGAGAAATCGCCAGACCCCTTGCCAACGGTCCTCCCAGGACTCTAAGAATTCGGCGTATTTCTTGTTCACCAGCAGCTCATCACCGGTGATACCGATAGTAACGGCACGCTTCTCCTGGCCGTCCCGCTGTGCTGACCGGGCCACAGAGGGCGAACATGTATCTAATGCTAGCACTGTTGCAGTAAGAAGTAGTTTATGCCCGGCGTGTAGGTGGTCAAACGTCCCTCCAACGGCGACGGAATAATGCACCGCAGCAGCAGGCTGGGCTATCCCTTGATCCAAAACAAGGCCTATCAATGGCTTGTCTCCTGATGCCTTCAGCTCCAGGGTACGGATATCCGTTGTCCTTACCCTGCCGTCGCCAGTTTGTCTTGCGGCGAGCAGGGCTGCAAAGGAGGCAACACTCTCACAGCCAGACGGCAGATATACCGTATCCCACGACCTATTAGACCGTATCAAGCTCTTCATGCTGACGATAGGACCGTAAGAGCATCTATCACCGGGCTCAGGCTCAGTTTGACTGTCCAGTTCAAGGAAGAAGACCCTGGCATCGACGCCTCCAGGTCCGTCCAGCTCGACCGAGACGGCAACGCTGACGGCAGCTAGCAGCCGGTAGAAATCAGCCAGGAACCGCTGCAGCAGGCCAAAGGGCTTTCCCTTGCCACAGACAGAGACAGCTACGTCCAGGACTGCCGGCTGACTGTCCTTCTTGCCGTCTCCTGAAGCTGCAGCCAGTGCTGGCAGGATGGTTGATAGGGCATGGCCGTAGGTCTCCCTCAGCGCTGCAAAGGTCGACGGGGTATCAGTGAGCAGCAGCAGAGCTTCATGGCGGCCTTCCATCTCTTCTCGCCTCCTTCTCGTCTTTCTACTCCCTTTATCTGTCTGTTTGTTCTCTGCTTCCTCGAGCCGAAGTCGAAGATGAAACCGAGGACCTCGTCTTAGTCAGCGCCACCAGCGGCGTCACGACGACGAAGTCGAAGATGAAGGAGATGAAGAGGAAGAAAGACACGACGACGACGACGACGACAGCAACGAGAAGAAGACGACAGAGGAACGAGGCGAAAGACGAAGAAGGGACAGAGATTGACTAGAAGGAGACGGCGAGCAAGGGACGTTTTGTCGCCCGGGGCTCTGCCGCCATCGACGATCTAGTTACCGCGCAGTTAACGACACACGCCCACCACCACCACCACCACCACCGAGTCCACTACGGCCGTCACGACTCTGCGACTCCAGCTCTCAGTATTATGCCCGTATCGCGGCCACTAAACGCCAGAGACCCTGCTGCTGCATGCCGGTCAGCTTCAAATTAGCAGACGAAGGGCGGTATTCGTGCCCAACCCAACCATGGCCGAGCCTAGTATACCATTCGACGGTCCCCGCAGTAGAGCGCCTACGTTTCCACGGCAGCCAGAAGAGCTGCATATGCCTTCAGCAACCGCCTCCTCGAAGCCGCAGAACGAGCAGCAGCAGCAGCAGCAGCACGGCTCGATTCCGTCGCTGTTGAGCATCCAGCAGCAGCCGAGTTCGCAGCAGCAGCACCACCACCAGAATAATGCTCTACCGGGAGCCCTACAGCCTGGTCCTTCAAGCCGCCAGGGACAGCCATCTACGACCCATCACAACAGCAGCAACAACATACACAACCCGTCTTCCTCCTCCGGAGTGCCTTCGCAGCTAGCAGTGCCCATGACGCCGTCGAAACAGTCGTCTCTGAGCCAGCTGCAGTCGTATCCCTCCAGCCCAGGAGTAGACCAGCAGCGATATCAGCAGCAGCACCAGCAGCAGCAGTCCAGCATGATGTCCCCCTCCGGACAGTCATCGTCGACGCCGTACTCCCCGCTAGGACTGGCAGACATACGCCCGCACATGGATCTGGGCCGGATAGACGACTCGGCTGCCTCGTCTACCATCCATAATGGGGACATGCACACACCCAAGAACAGCAGCTATCTTGCTCCATGGGGTTTGTACGCGCTCGACTGGTGCAAGTGGCCGGCGGCGCCAAACACCAATTCGGCTGGAAAGATTGCTCTCGGGAGCTACCTAGAAGACACCCACAACTACGTATGTTCTATCCATCATCTTACTGACTTGTACGTTTGTTCATGTGCTGACGAGTATAGATACAAATACTTCATGCTCAGACTGCTGAGCGGGACTATAATGATCCCGATAACGACCCAGGGCTGGAGTTCGTGAAAACCGCAGAGGCAACACACTCCTACCCGGTTACTCGAATCCTCTGGGAGCCGCCATCGTCACAGAAGCAGTCGACGGACCTGCTGGCCACCTCGGGCGACCATCTCCGGCTCTGGTCGTTGCCCTCGAACCCGAACCAGCCGCAGTACTACGGCAGCAACTCGATCAACCGGATGAGTGCGAGTAACAAGAGCCCCCCGCCGCTGCAGAAGCTCTCTCCGCTCGCTCTTCTCTCCAACTCCAAGACACCCGAACACACCGCGCCTATTACATCGCTAGACTGGAACGCTGTCTCCCCCAGTTTGATCATTACCTCGAGTATAGACACCACCTGCACGATATGGGACATACCCACTCTCACGGCAAAGACGCAGCTCATCGCCCACGACAAGGAGGTATACGACGTTCGATTCTGCGCTAATAGCGTGGACGTCTTTGTTAGCTGTGGCGCAGACGGCAGCGTGAGAATGTTTGATCTCAGAAGCTTGGAACATAGCACCATCATCTATGAACCATCAGAGAAACACGATAAGGGTCAGTATACCACACCCGTATTTTTTCCCCCATACATCCCTAGGGTACTATAGATGTTGACAACCCCTTAAGGGAGCCCGGGAGATCTCTCGCCAGGCCAGTCTTCTGTATGGCCACCACCACTCCAACGTATTGCAGGTAGGTTATCCGCTTAATATACCAACATAAACAAATGAGGATAGACAGGCTAAATAGATCAGCATCACCGCATGACGCCCACTTGCTGGCAACATTTGCCCAAGACTCAAACATCATCCGGGTGCTGGACGTCCGCCAGCCCGGCCAAGCACTCCTCGAGCTCAAGGGCCACGCTGCACCGGTAAACTGTCTAGAATGGTCCCCGTCCCGTCGAGGCACAATAGCCACGGGGGCGGACGACTCGCTGGTCCTGATCTGGGATCTCATCAACCAGAACAATGCTGCCGCCCTGCCACTGCCCCCTCAGCAGCCACAGACCCTTCACTCCGGCGGTAACGGCAGCAACAGCAATTCTACCTCCACTTCAACGACTGGCAACGGCCCATCGACCCTCGAACGGGGCCCTGCAGCCGCCTGGCGATGTGACTATGAAGTGTCGAACATTAGCTGGGCCCCTCACATCCCTGCCACCGGCCCAGGCAGAGACTGGGTTGGAGTCTGCGGCGGAAGAGGGCTTTGGGGGGTTTCCATCTAAGCACGCTGCTTCTTTTCTTCTATTCCTCTCCCTCCCCATCTCCCTCTCTCCGGCACCCTCTTATCGCCATCTTCTACCCGATCTACATCTACATTTGGCCATGGTACAGGCACTTCAGGTCCCTGCCACGGTTATTATTTCCTTTGGAAATGTGAAATCAAAAATAAAAAAAGAAAGAAAGAAAGAAGCAAACGCAGGGAGGGATGCTTCACTGTCTGTATCTATGTCTGACTATCAACCATGATTCTTCGTCTCTCCTTTGGCTGGTTTTCAGGGGCGGCATGACGCTGGAGAGACGAGGGCTCTCCTCTATGATGATATTGTGCTATATACTCCCTAATATCGAGTCAATGACATCTCCTTTCGTCTTATCTTAGCCTCTACACCTCCATAGCAGCTAGTTATGCCTGTCTATCTATATCTGGCGTCCGTCTATAGTTCATATATCAGCAGCTCCTATAGTTATCTCACCATCTACAATCTGCCACTTTTGCTGCCACTTTTCCTACTCCTATAACTCTTCGCCCCCGTCTCTCGCTCTCTCTCTCTCTCTCTTCCTCGTCTTCGTCTATCTCGCCTCGTCCATCCGACGGCTTCGTCTCCCTCGTCTTCTCCCATGTCCATCCTGGCTCGGAAAAAGAAAAAGTCCTTCTAGAAGTCTTGACCTTCCAACAAAAAAACCACCAACTCCTCTTTAACGAACTACACCCACCGATCTCGACTGCGCGCGCCGCCCGAAAAGACGCCCATCGAACATGTCGCTGCCTTGCATCTGATCCTGCGGCCTCTTCTCCAGACGCCATGGACCTCAGGACCATCATCAACACCGACTCGGCCGTGGGCGCGGCCCGGGGCCCGCAGCAGCTACACCCGCAACAACCACAGCATCACCAGCAGCACCAGCACCAGCAGCCGCAACAACAGCAACAACGGCTACAGCGGCCACTCTCTATACACTCGCTGGGGCCAGACGAGTCTCCTCTGCGCAGCGGCAGCATCCACGATGATCACCCTCCGCAGCACCATGAGTACGGCGGCGGCCCAGCGGGCGGACGACCGTCGCAACCGCACCCGCTGCAGCCTCCTCTACAGTCCCCCAAGCGCATGGCAGCGTCGTATATGAACTCGACTGCTCAGTCGCCGTACCAGCAGCCGCCACTAGCTTCGATCCTGACCAGCAGAGAGCCCGGCGAGCGCGCCAGCAGTGTCCTGTCCGTCCCGCGAGAGCCCTACTCGGCGTCTTCGCTGCCTCCGCCCTCTGCGGCCTCGCTCTCCTCGCCCTTCACGCCCCAGCCGACCAGCGCCGGGACTCAGCATTCGTCCTACTTCTCCCAGCAGCGCTCCCACTCGGTCCACTCGGCTGCTTCGCCTTCTTCAGTGCGCAGCCTTTCCTATCCCTCTGGCCGTGAGCCTTCAGGCCATCCGTACTCACCCAGCCAGCAACAGCAGCAACACCAGGCATACCATCAGCAGCAGCAACAGCAGCAGCAGCATTATCAGCAGCAACAGCAGCAGCCGCAGCAGCAGCAGCCACAGCAGCAGAGATCGCAGCCGGGGACACCTCTTGCACCTCCCGGATCTTCATACCGTCGACCGTCCCCCCATCCGGTCCGTCCTCCGTCTTCTGGCCATGATGCCCCCCTGTCAGCTCGTCTGGGAAGCCCCTGGGGTAGTCAGGATGCCTCCTCCGGTGGCCAGAGGGACGGAGTGTCTCCAACGGTGCATACACCCATCTCACGGCATAATTCAGTAGCTACAGACTCGTATCCCCGGCAGTTTTCCATGGAACGGGAAAAAGGAGCAGCATCTTGATAGTGTTAGCCCAAAAACCGTCGTTTCTCAACAGGGAGCCGCCGCGTATGGTGATATCAACGCCAGCAACACCATCAATAGAGACAATGCCATCAGCAGCAACCATAGCCTTCTCAGTCAACCAGTCCAGACGCCCCATAAGGACCCGGAATTGACCCAGCAAACAACACATCAGCCGGGACTGGAAAATCAAACCTTTCCTCCCACCACAGCCCGTCCGTCTTATCCTCCTTCAACTCCACAAACTGCATCCATCAGTAACATAACAAATTCTACCACTGCCTCTGGCTCGCCTACCAGTCGCCGCCCAGTCCAGGAAGCATCACCAAGTCTCCAGCATCATCCTCTTCCTCCTAAACCTCTTCATCAATCTCGCTCTAGCATCTCAGCGGCCCCTGGATCCTCTTCCTCGTCAGAACGTGTGCCAATGTGCCCCCCACGGAAAAAACGCAAGAGATACACCCAACCTCCTATATTCGCCTGCAAAGCTCCTAGACTCTCCGGTACTCCTCCTCCCATCCCCCCCAAAGGCAGCCAGGCGCCGCCTCAGCCTCAACCGTCCATCTTCCCCGGTAAACGACCGCTACCAAAGCGCGAAAGCCTCGACCGTAATGTCACTTCAGACTCACTTCCTCCTCGACCTTCTAGGGATGGTGAGATGGCAGTCAATGGCAATACAGTCAAGGAGCCGTCCGGAGAGAGCCCTCTGGGACCTTGGGAGCCTACGATTACAAACGTCATTCCAGCTGAAGAAGTAACAAAACTGATATGTGATTTCTTGTTTCAACAAGTTGTCATGCGTAAGGATATTGGTGCCGGCCCTGCTGGAGGTACAGCCGTTGGATCAGGTGCCATTCTCGAGGTCGAGGCCAAATTGGGCAGGCTGATAGATAAAAGTAGAGGTGAGAGGCTGCGTCTGCCCGTCCTCTCGGAAACAGTTATCAGCAAGGACGATCCCAATTTCAGGTTGGCCTTTGAAAGTTCAATGTCACAGGTATTGCATATCCTGCTTCTCTCATTTTATACATATTTCAGTGCTAATGCTGTTTGTTTTCTGGCACAATCCAGGCCCAACACCGTGCAATGAACAACTTTCTCAACGAGGCGGTCAAGACATCCATATCCCAAGGAACAGCACGCATCCCACTCGCCTACGCTCACAAACGTGAACGAGATACCTTTTACGATATCTCCGCCAACGACCTCCCTCCAATTGTCCAACATCATCTACATCCACGCCACAAGCCCAGGGTACGGGTAACCACCGACGTCCGCACAGGAGCCGTCATAGCCCGCATCGTCAAGTGCCGCATCGCCGACCTAGATGTGTACAGTCCCCGAACGTGCCTTGACTGGCGTATCAGCGTGAACCTGGAAATGAACTACGACGGCGACCTAGACAAGTTACAGCAACCAAGTGACTGGAAACGAAATGGTGACCGAAACAAAGACCGCATGAGCTACAGGCATCTAGCATACCAGATTGACCTAACACAGGTCGGAACAACAGACGTACTTCTCCCTTCCCATCTAATTTTGACCGAACAGCTATCTAACAATGTGGTTATAGAGCGCCCCCTCGGACTTTGAGCATGAGCTTGAAATCGAAATATCCTCAGCCGAAATTAGACGACAAGGTGACCTTGCTTTATCCGGGGACATGAACAATCGCTACGAAGATCTTATCAAGGGGTTTGTAGACAACATCCGTGTTCTTGCAAGAGCGGTGCCGGGTTAATCAATCCATGCATCAGTATATATTTACAACGAAAGCAAGACGAGAACTGTTCAAATGAAACCGGGTTTAAATGAGAAGGGGAAAACTTATTAATTGCCCCTCGCTTTCTTTTCTTCCTTTACGACTATTATTAATTTGATACCATGCAGCAGCAGATTTTATTATAGCATTCAATAGCCTTTTTTTTTCTTGCGTTGTATTATTTCTATCTGCTATTTCTGGACAAGGGGGAGGTATGCGTGTTAAAAGAAGCCCGTTTCCTTATCATATTTCCATCCTCGTTATCCCAGTACTTCTTCAACTGTTAGAATATATACTTACTCCATTACTTACATAGCTGGCTGATTGGAGTAAAATAACTTTTTGGTATTTCCTTGAGGAGTAGATCTGTATCTGTATGTATGTAGGTACTCTAATCCGGACAGCCATAAGCGCGAGCATGAGGCTCCAGAGAGGAAAGAGAAGGAAATAATATTGACAGGGGAAAAAAAATGAAATAAACCGTACATGTCTCATGGGAGATAAAATCCAGCAACTATCTAAGAGAGAGCAAAAGTAAAGCAAAGACAACACGCGTCCAGGGGATTATAGACCAAACAAGTCATCATGGTAGATAGGCGGGTAAATTAAACCAAATCCGCGAGAAACTCCAGAATAGCTGTAGCAAATGAGTAAATAAATAATAACAGGACATGGTCAATATATCAAGCGGCGTCGAGGTTCATAGGACGTATTGGTTTTTTCAAAGCTCCCTTCCTCTGTCCCATCCTTTTACTCCTTGGCGGAGAAAGGAATAGAGGAGGGAAGGCATATAAGGCCGTTAAAAAGGAAAAAGGTTCGTAACTAAACAGAGAGTATATCGCGTGCTCCGTACATGTGGAGGGTATAAGTTCCACGGACAATAAATTAGCCCTCAAAAGTAAACGTGTTGATATAAATATCAAGATATGCCGAGCCCCATCTTAACGGGTATGACTCCAGTATTTTGGTCTTGGGTATCAGCGCTACTAGCGCCTCTCTCTCTCATTCGTCGCCCTTCCATTAGACCTCTGAGGCCGCGCTTCTGCAGGCCAACAACGCTGCTGATATTAGCTGTCCAAACGTCTCGGCCACCCTTGACCCGGCCACGTTGATCACTGGCATGCTGTGATAGCTCAGCATCGGAATAGCCCAGGCCACCGTTACTATTATTGGTGGAGGCAGAGTTGGGTATACTGGCGTTTTCAGCTGATTCGGCGCGATTCCTGCCGTTACCGAAGTTGGTGTTTATGCGGAGGTTTGCAGGCCGTTGAGAGCTTGTCGAGCGGCCCGCAGTGCCGCTGGAGGCAGAAGCGGTGCTGCTGGCGGTGTTGGGTCTGTCTATGGATTCGGCATCCGAGGAACTGAAAGAGCTTATGCCGTCTGTTGCTGTGCTTGGGCGGCGGTAGTCTGCTACACTTGACTGAGAGCGCGAGTGAGAGTGGCTATATGAGCGGGAATGTGCGTCGCTGAGAGAATCCATGGTTCCGTCGAATGCGAGGGAGAGGTTGGTACCGCGGCCACCCCGGCCGCCATGGCAGCAGCATTAAAAACGGCGGCAGCATTGCGGCCATCGAGGACTTGATGGAGGCGTTCCACGGTGGCTTCTAGAAAGACCGTCAACCTGGTAGGGTCGAGCCAGTTGAAGAAGGGAGCAGAGGATCTGAGGTGTGCACAGCGCGTAGCCGACGGGAGGTAGAGAAGAAGTGTAGAGATAGTGAACTAGAAGTTGAATGGTGAGGTACGTGTGTGGTAGGTAGAGAGTTCGAGGCCGTACAGCTGGTGGAAGGCTGTGTGCAGATGGAATTTCAAGGTTAGATGCACGAGACAGGCAAGAAGAGGCGGATGAGGAAGAGCCCGGTGGCCGTCCACAGTTGTCCTTATGATGCTGGCGTTATTCATAGATGAATTGTTGCTGTTATTGACATAGTGTTGACCCAACGTCGTGGCTGTAGAGTATTGACTGGCGGTGCTCAATGATGGAGTGATAGTAATTGTCGAGTTTCGACTGTTCAACGCAGCGTTGGGCTGGCGCAGCGTTGCTGCGTCATTTATACTATCACCGGGCCACTGCGGTAGCTTCGCAAGAAGCTGGACGAAGTAAGGTCCCCATCGACGGGAGAGGATGTGAGAGCTAACCGGAATGCGTTCACCACCAATTGTGAGCAAGTCCATGTCTGCTAGCTCAGTACATGCTTGCGCCATTAAGCCCAGTTTCTCTGCCGCTGCAGAATATGGTCGCCCGCCAGAACACTGTACTGAGAATTTCGGCTGTAACATCGATCGTAGAGGAGGCGCACTCACGGAGACGTATCCAGATGTCGGCGCAGCTCTCCTTGGGTTCTCATAGAGGCCAAAGGCTTCAAGCTCAACCATACATATGTGGGAAAAGTTGATGCGACGATGGTTATAATCTTCTACAAGATTCCTCTTGCGGTGTCCTAGGATGACGAAGGTACTTCTCCGGTTCCAGATGATGCCACGGTTCCAGCTGCCGCACGAGAAAATAGAGCCACCAGCATCAATACGGCCCCAGGTCATGGTCTTTAGGTCAAGCGCCCATAAAGCATACTCCTGCTTAGAGGCAGTGAGATAGGTGCCGCTGACGACGAAATGTCCATTTATAACACCGCCATTGGGAAACCTTAGACCAGGTGGGGAAACAGACGTATCCATTGCCTTCTCAACAAGCTTTCCATCCGGAAGACGAGCCTGAAGTTCAAGCTTTACATCCAGAAAGTTATAATTTGAATATATCAGCATTGCCGATCCAGGTGTCCCGACTGCATCATGGCTGTTGTTAACGTTTGCGTGATCTTTATCGGCCCTTTCAGCGCCCAGGTCATTGACTGACATCCCCGCCAGCGGGACAACGACAGAACGATACGCGCCGCAGCTGCGGCCAAGCGGGCTGGTGGCGGTCCATTTCAAGCTTCGGAGGTTGAACACGCTTATTTGCTCTATGTAATGATTTGAACTATCCTGACCGCCGACGACGACCATCTCGGCACCTCCGTAGCCATCTATCTCAACACCGATGGAGCCTTGGTGCGGGTTTGAATTGGACGTAGACGGGTTGTTGTGTATAGCTGTCATTGGAGCGTTGGCAGAGACAAACGGTGCCGAAGATGGGAGGATAGTTGCGCAATGTGCGTATCGGCCCTGTGGGGTGTTCGCGGTGTTGATATGAGTCCATGTCCTTGTTACAACGTCGTAAATGTGCACATCTGACATCACTACAACCTCGGGCTGGGCTTCCTGCCCTGCTGAATGGGAAGAGCTGATATTGGTGGGTGGGTGTCCAGCGACAGCCGCGCGGGGGGACATGCCGCCATAACAGACGAGCTTGGTATCGCCCAGCGGGCACATACTATGGAAGTATCGTGGAGGCGGCACATCACCAGTGGGGTGTACTTTTGTCCAGTGTCGTTTGATCAGGTCCAACTCATAGAGGTCAGAGGTAAGCTCTGGTCGAGCACGGGATAACAACCGGCCACCGAAAACATAGAGTTTGTCACCTAGAATCGTGGTTGTGGCGCCGACGAGGGCGTGCGGCTCTCGACCAGTGGTGCGGTGGACGTTGCACACCAGGCCGGAAAGATTTGTTGGGCCTGCCGTCGCACCGGTCCCATTTTGCGTTTGTGAGTGATTCTGTGATTGTTGCTGTGGCTGTGACTGTGACTGGGATTGTGATTGAGAATGTGAGTGAATCGGCAAGCTGCTACCAGTGATGGTGTTTTGGTTCCCGCCAGAGTCTCCTCCCCTAGAGGACGAAGGGCGTCTAATGGAAGCCATAGAAGGGATGTCGGGCGATTGCCTTTCACTCAGTCGGGAGAGTATGGACGTTGACGGATATGAGAGGTTCGGCGGTGCAGACGGTGGTGGTGAGGCGAGTAAGCGTTCCTGCGAGCGTCCATAAGGCGAAACAGGCGTTGGTGGCTGCGGTTGCTCAGTCGTGGGCGAGAGCGGCGGTGAGAGAGGCAGCAGTACACTGGCTGCCGAAGGGGACGCAGACGTAGAAGCAGACCAAGGCGCGGAAACAGGAACTTTTTGCTGTGGTGAAAGCGAGGAACCCCAAGGCCGTGGAAGGGGGAGGGGAGGTGTTGGCGGCTGAGGACTGGCGTGTGTCGGGTCTAGTAGTATCGGGTGTACGACCTCAAGGGAAGAGTCTGCGCGGAACCAAGACTGCGAAGAAGGGCCAGTCGAAGAGCGAACTCTAGCCTCTCTGCTTGTCCTCCCTGCAAATTCCACCGTTCCGTCGGTAGTAGGGGCAGCAGTAGGGCTAGCAGTGTCGTCGACGAAGAGACCCAGTTCGTTTCTGGACTTGCTCTTGCTTCTGCTCCTGCTCCTGACGAGGTCTGAACCGGAGCGAAGGTATCTTTTCACAGAAGCAAAACGGCTCGAGCGCGAATTTGAGTGCGAGTGTGAGTGCGAGTAAGGTGATGCATTTGTAGGTGCAGATGCAGGTGCGCCAGGCGTTGTACTCGTATTTGCATTGAACAAGGACAACCTTGGGCCTGCTCCTGATCCTGATTCTGAAGCAGAGCCAGAGCCAAAGCCCAACGGCGAGGAGTGCTGCTCGGAACCTGTCATGATGTCAGTGAACATGTCCAACCGGACGCCATGATTCAAGAGAGACATGGCTGTATCTCTTATATAACTCCCCCCATGCCCCTTACGCTCCTGTTATGCCCTTGTATAGATAGATAGCCATAGAATATAGGGGGGGAAGGGCAGAATATGGACGTATAAGAGCGTTGGAGCGTCATAATCAAGTACAACAATTTTCGTACAGGTAACATCAACCAACGTACGTACCTCAAAGCAACCCAGACAATATTACCCTTACCCAGCCAGCGGTCTCACCGATACCATACCAGTCGAATTTCCACAACGTCAGGTGTGCCTGGCGGACGTATCCATGCAGGTTAGTTCTTTGGCGTGCTGAGATAGACAGAGAGCTGGAGCGAGAGACAGAGGAAAAAGGAAGAAGGCAAAGGATGCAAGGCCTGGACGAACCAAGTGGGCGAGCCGAGCGGTCGACTAGGAACCCCAGGGCTATCTGAAACACCGAGTGGGCCAGGAGTTGCTGTCAAGCTGTTGCTCGCGACGTTGGCCCGAAGCACTCCGTAGCCGTTGGTGATTTACACAAGAGGCGACGCTGCGCTGGAGGTAGAAGTTGCTGCTGCTGCTGTTGTTGTTGTTGTCGTCGCTGAGGTTGAGGTTGAATTTGGCGCCGCGAAAAAAGTTGACGTTGAAATTGAGCTTGAAGTGGGATGCTTGGCGCCTCGAGTTACCGCTTTAGGACATGATAGGGGAGCCCCTGAGCACAGCAGGCGAGAAGAGCTGTTAGACAAGGTATACGACAGAAAATATATAGAGAGAGGAAGGAGAATAGATGGCTAGAGAAGAGAGTTGATTATTACTATTTACATCCATTACATACGAGAGTCCTCCTTGAGGGTGGTGTATCGGAGGTATCTGCACGAGTCAGCACACTACGAAAGAGAGAAAATAGGGGGGGGAAGAGAAAACTCACGGCTTGACTTCTCTGATGTCGCCAAACTTCTTGGTGGCTTCCTCAGTGCTGACAAAAGGAGGGATGATGACGTCCTCGCCCTTGTTCCAGTTGATGCCGGTGTTGACAGTGTTCTTGTCAGTGGTCTGCAGAGCGTCAATGCAGCGCAGGACCTCGGCAGTGTTACGGCCAGTCGTGGCCGGGTAGCTCATGATCAAACGGATCTTCTTCTTTGGGTCGATGATGAAGACAGAACGGATGGTCATGGCCATTCCTGTAGAAGCAGAAGTTAGTTAGAACACGCCGCTCTTGTAACTAGGGTGCCTAGTGTAGTAGACATATTAACACTGACCCTTCTCGTCGACGTTGGTGGTGTCCTGGTAATCGATCATGTCGTAGGCGTAGGAGATCTTGCGGTCCGCATCTGCAATGATGGGGAACTGGAGCTTGCAGCTGTTGACCTCGTCGATGTCCTTGATCCATTCATGGTGCGACCCGAGGCTGTTGGCGGACTACTTGCCGTTAGTTATGCATGCACATAAAACGTGCAGTCCAAAGGGGTATACGGCTTAGCTTCTACACACCAGACCAATGAGCTTGACGCCACGCTTGGTGAACTCGGGCTCTAGTTTGGCAAAGGCACCCAACTCGGTGGTGCAAGTGGGAGTGAAGTCATCCTGCCCGGTCCCATTCGTCAGTCAGTAACTACTAGCTAGTTATATCCACCAACTCTTCCACCAGCACACAAAAGCCATAGAGAAAACCAACGCACAGGGTGAGAGAAGAGGATGACATAGTTATCGCCGATGAACTCGTGGAATCTGATCTCGCCCTTGGTGGTGACGGCCGTGAAGTCGGGGGCGGTAGATCCGAGGCGGAGGCTGCAGGATGGCTGGCTGTTAGTACAATCGATAAGATGCGGGGTGGCGGGAGGGCAGCCAGGCTTACGGAGCACTGCGTTCAGCCATTGTGTGTAGATGTGTAGTCGGAGCTGTCAGGCAAGAAGTGACTGGGACCTTAGGACGAAGATGGAGATAGTAGTAGGGAGTAATGGAGGAGAGAAGACGAAGAGGAGGAGGAGGAGAACAGGATATATGGCAAAAGGGAAAAAAAGGAACGCGGCGGCCCCTCGATGAGGTAAGCAGGAAAGGCGCCCCCTCCTCGCTCGCTTCATCACGCCATCCTCAGAGTTGATGATAAATACAGAAGAAGACAGAAGAAGGCAGAGCGAGCGAGCGGAAGTCGCAGGCGGCGGATGGCAGCTTGGAAGATGGCAGATGGCAGATGTAGATTGATAAGATAATGTGTTATTGTTGATGCTCTGGATGCCCGGGACAGCCAGTCACAGCCGCAAGGCCTCGACCAGCCATAGATATCGCAACACATGATTAGAAAAATGTATACACACGCTCTATTACACTTTGTACCCGCATTATAGGCCTAAACACACTCGCCCATGCATACGTGGTGTACATGTACATATCTCTGCCTTCGTCTTCGCGCCGAGGCCATCTCGAGAGTGCGATGATTAGGTCATCACCTCGAAAAGGGAAGCATGTTTTGTTGCCAACCACTTGTCGCTTATTCTTTGCTTGGCTGACTATTAACTAGGTACCTAGGTGCCTAGGTTAACCACCGTAACTACCGTAGCTACTCTCTCCATCGGCCAGCGCTCTTCCTGCCTTGCTTGCTTTGCCGTCTCCGGGTAACTACTCCCTCCCTCAGAGCTCAGAGGCCAGGTCAAACTCCAGCATCTCGACTCTAGATCCCTGCAAGCCACATCCGTCATCCCGCCATGTCTTTGAAGGAGAAACATGATCATAATATGTAAGACTCCAGGCTCCGTTGATCATCGGCGATCCTCAGCATGCCTTTGCCTCCACAGCTGACGTTTGCCTTTTCCAATTGACTAAATAACGAAGTATATAGCCATCTTCTCTGGTTAATATGTAGGGTAATATGTATACCTAGTGTCGACACCTCAGTCAATTTGGCCATACCGAGCAGCCCACTTTCCCTGGACCTTGGGATCTTCAAGGTCAGGTAGTGAATTATTCTTAGTAGGCCCCTTTCTAGGAGTGCGTATGGAGTACTCTATGAACCACATTATCCAGTGGGCGGGGTTGGAGCTGGAGAAAGACGTTGTCTTCGCGATGGGCCTGTAACGGGGCCGTATCCAGGACTATCCCTTAATAATTTAGCGGATGCCTTGAGGGTTACCGCGTTAGGTAGTGGGGGCTGTCATCTTCTCCGACTCTCATTTTTTGTAAAATCCTTCTCAAAGTAAAGGGGGTAGCTTTTGAGGGTTGATTGTATTACTAATCTAGAACTCTTTGTGCATCATTCTAATAGCTAACATGCTTCATCAATTTCATAACAGTAGAAGGACAAGCTTCACATAGTAGGAGATACTCCACATTGGTCCCAGTTCCCATTGGACCTTGCGTAGGTCAATCCGTCGATAAAGTCTTCCAACTTGCATCGCCCAAGGAAGTCGGTATGGCAACCTTGAAGAGGGAACACACGGTCGTTAAGCAAGACTCGGACGTACTCCTGTTTAGCTGACGGAGAATGATCACACACCATCTTCTCAAAGTAAGCTCTGGCACCAAACGGGATAGTCCAGGAGGCAGAGTAACCATACGCGTCGGCAGGGTTAGTAATCTGAGTTGGAGAAAGAGGCTTGGTAGCATTAAAAAGGCCCATGGCAGTGAATATGACCGTCATGCTGTTGTCGTGGCTAAAGTCAGCATATAGGGGTAGGTCAAGCGGGAAGGTCTCTGGGTTATCGTCCAGTTCATGGTCGACGGTAGTGTTGTCACGGACTGGCGACTTGGTTAATCTGGCGATGAGCTCGTTGACGTAGCCAATTCCGGGGGCGGGGCCAAAGGAGTTTCCAGGCCCATGGCCGTAGAACTTGCCTAAGGTCTCAAGGTAATCATAGTGACGGAAATCTTCGTGAGAGAAGAGACGACAGAATGGAGAGAGTTTACTGGCATCAGGAGTACGGGCTACAGTGTCGAAGGGACACATGGCCATCAGACTCTTGATGTCTCCAGTTTTGATGTTGGCTCCCGGTAGCTTCTTGTTGACTCTGTCTACGATAGGCTGGGTGAAGGTGCTGCGGAACTGGTCGCTGACCTTATCAGCAGTCTCGTCGTTGTCAAAGCCATCACAGCCCTGGGGGGCGATTGGGTTCTTCCGGCGGTCGTCTTCGCTGATGATGAGGTCAAGCTTGGTGATCCCTCCTTTCTCGTTCCCTTTGGCCTTGTTGAAGCCCTCCACAAACTTGTAGGCAGAGGCAACCACCCGATCGGAACCTGCAGCTCGGACAAAGACCTTGGAGCCCTTGGCTAGGCCGTGGTACCGCTGGAAGAACTTGATGCCGGAGTCATATAGCTGACTCTCACCAAAGGGAGTCAGATCATCAGCTCCGAGGTTATATTTGTAGTCTTTCAGAAAAGCAAACTCGTCCTTGAATTCAGTAGCATCTTTCTGGATGCGTTTGATCAGTTCTGAGTAGACTTCGGTCTTGCTTTTGGTAGGGAATCGAGCGCCATGGCGCTGGAGAGACTGCGCAAAGGTGACTTTGCAGCCAGGAGGAACAGTCGAGGGGATGGCAGAGCGGCCTTCCAGCGAAAAGTACGGAGAATACTGGCCCCAGAACTGAGAGTACAGCGGGAAACAGCTGTACCCACGGCTAGGAGTGCTGCAGAATGACGTCGCAGCAACATTAACCTCCGCGGGCGAAGCAACTGCACTATTACCAAGTCAGCATAGAAGCCAGCTACAGAACGCCTGGGAGCAGTGACTGGACATATCAAAACCTACATCTGAACACTCGAAAGGGCCAACGCGGCAAACAAGACAGAAGCCGTGGACGGCATCTTGCAAAGCAGACCTTTATAGTCAACCCGGCCTTTTCCTGATTTTCCACGGGAAATGAGAGCGAGGCACTCTGTCCTATTTATGTCTGCGCTGGAGATGCGACAAGGCCAGGATCAAGCATCAAAGAAGCCCGAGGGACAATACCTCGCCCCGTCGTCTGTCTACCTCCCATCGCGGGCGAAAAAGAAGAAGAGACAAGCATTTCTCGAGGCCAGACAAGATCACCAGCTTTTCTTTTTGCTGCGTCTTCTTATCACACCCACTTAACCCGTCAAAAACGAGCCCACGGCGTGCAGAATCACAGTCTGATTGGCCAGCGGACTACACCCACCAATCGGAGGACGGCAGCAAAGGGGAGCGGCGGGGCAGAATCAGAGGGTGAGACCCGGGGAGAGAGACAGAAGATGCAGAAAATGTAGAAAAATTCAGGATGGTAAGGCAGATTTAGAGGATGTTGACGCCCGTAGCGACATGGATGGGATAAAGCGGAAAGTCAAGACGTTGAAGAGAGGAAGAAGAAAAGGCGTTGGGGTTATTAACACTGGCTTAGATAAGGTGCGTTTATGGCCCGCGGTTAAGATGACGCTCGGACCGAGAGCTTATCCGAGCAAGCGCCGCTTCCTTAAGCTATCCGCAACTTAAATTTCACATTATATAAGATTATGTAATATGACCCCCTTTTTTAGGATACGAAGAGACTAGGGAAGCAAGCAATGATTCCGTAGCAGTGCAAGACATATACGAAAGGAAAGTACAGAAAGAATATTTCGCATTACTAAGGATAGTGGCCCAGATGGAAGCCTGATTTATGCCACTGCAGCGATCCCAGGTCCATGGAACTTGGAGCAAATAACTTGGGAGTCTCGAGCTTTCTCTGTCCCATCGGTCGCTGCACACTCGTCTTGGCCCTGCAGTGACGCAGCCTGCTGTGCGATGTGATAGCTAAGGCGCCCGACCACCTCCCCTTTTCTGTCCTAGCTGTATTCTCAGGTACTCCATAACCACGCCTAAAGACATCAGATGGGCTTTCGGCCGGCCCAACCCTTTGGAGGGTCCAAGTCTCAATAGCCGATGGCAACAAAGAGGAGCCCATCAGAAAGGTAAACTTAGACAAAGAAACTCTCCTCTTCCTTCCCCTTTTCGGCTATCAATTGAGTTAGTTTGCGCTGAACTGCACAGATAACCGATAGATTTCCTTTTGGCATAGACAACTGTGAAAAGCTCTCCCCCGCCAGTTTGGTCAGGGGCCACCCAGTAGCCGAACCCATGGTTCAAGCAGGGCTCCCTCAATAACGAGAAACAAATGAAACTAGAAGTGAAGGGGAAAGAAAGAGCTAGTAAATAGGAGAGGGATGATTTAAGTGTAATAACAACGGCAAATAGCCCAATTTCCCAAGGAAATAATACCAATTATTATAATAAATAGAAAAATCCAAAGTATGCGTCATCCAACAGCAAGAGATACTCATACAACGGATAGCTCCCGACAGTTATAGATGGCTATTGCTTACATATGGAACAGTATAGATGGAAAAAATGAAAAAAAAAAAGAACACCACCCGCCTTTCCCTTTTCCCCTAAGACCAAGGCCTTTCCGCTCCCACACTAGTTTTCGACTATGAAACGGAAAGGCTGTTAAAATAGAGAAGAAAAATCTCGAGTCGGCCGCATATTTTCTCTCCTTTCCCTGTTCTGATCGCATATCACACTTTCTTGCCCTCTCTTTTGCGACCTGTTCATAACTGTTCATGTCCCGTACATGTATAATTAATCATGCACGGTTGATGGCTGCTGATATCCGTCTTTCTTCGTTTCCCCTGCGGGCACGAGGTGATGACCATCGCCGAGTAGGCCAGAGAGGTGGCACCAGGACTAGAAATAGGCTGGGGTGATAGGAAAAGAAAATCTATAGTAACTCGCCCCGAATAGATAGATAGATAGATGGTTATAGAAACGAGAGGACTGCAAAAAGGAGGAAATCCAGAGTACAGAAAAAAGTAAATAAAAATAAAGCATTGTGCCACCCTGGGTATCAATACAAAGAGGGTTGAAATAGATGAAGAAATAATAACGAGGAGTATATCAACTGAATCGAGTGTGGTGGATAAGACAAATGAGAGTCAGATAGAAAAATTCACAGGGTGGCAGCACTCAATCTCGAACAAAGAATCCATCAATGTTAATTTGACGGGATAGAGTGACCATCACTATACTTTACCTTTTGATAAAACAGAAAGAAAAAAAGAAAGGCATTAAAAAGGGAAGATAGTGTATGACGAAACCCGTATTAGGCAAGGAAATATGAAAACAATAGAAAAAGATGCAAAGCTAGGCAAATGAAACAATAAGGCGAGGATAACGTAAAAACAGTAAACAGTTTGACGCCTTCCAGCAGAGGTTGCCCTCTTCCTACCGTAGTAATATTGTAAGTTTGCTGTTCCAGGGGCAATTGGTGGCCGCAGTTCCTGCCCAAGCATGTTTATTCAAGACGACAGATGGGATAAAAAATGGAAAAGATTAGGAACAATAGAAGGCACGAAAGGGGGAGGAGGTGGGGAAAGGAAGATTAGGTGCTCCCAAGGGAATTATTAGCTGAGATTGAGATTAGATCAAAACGTATATGAGATCTGCATATACAGGTATATGGTACCGGCTAGAGATCCAGCTCCTAGTCGGTGAATGTATGATGCTGGCCCTAGGCTTGAGACACTCTTTTCACTATCACTATTGCTGTTGGTGTTGTTGAAGATGTGAATATTGTGGACCTTGCTGTTGCTGGCTTTCATGTGGGCTGGTTTGAGCCAAGGGTGGCGTGGTGGAAGGCATAATATCCCCGGGCTGGGAACTGGTATTCACAGGAGGCGCACGCCATGATGAAGGGTAGGATAATGGGTAGGATGGGGTGGGCTGTACTTGAGCGGAGGGTGACCTTGACGACATGGGAATGAAGGAGCTAGAAGTCTGAGGCCCTGGGTATGGTAGATGGACTGGCCCGGCTCCAGTTCTCTGTCGAACGTTGCGCCCCGTGCCTCTCCCTCTGTCATCTGGGTCCACCGAGGTGCGCTCCCCTTCATCTTCTGAGGCGAGCGAGGTGGTCTGAGTTTTGAAAGTCCGAGGTGATGGTGGTCGTGGAGGTACTTTAGCCCCAGGAGTTCTAGAATACATGTCCCGGAAAAAGTCTCGCTCCCTGATATAGAAATCTCTTTCCTCATTAAGACTCTTGATCTCCTCCTCTTGCCTTTTAATCGTCTGCATTTGTTCTTCTTCCACGGCTTTCTTCCTTTGTCTAAACCGTTTGGAAGCGCTGCTATTCTTTTCACGTTTTATTTTGGCTTTCATTGATCCTGAGTCTCTGTCGATAGTGAAGGGTATCATTCCAGTGCCAGGCTCAGCGGTCATGTATGGCCCAAGAGGTGCGAGTCCGGCTTCCCCTCGATACAGGCCGCGGTTCTCGAGAGGTAAGAGTGATTGGGTTATGGAACTCCTGGGTGGTCCAGGCATAGCTGGATTGGATATGGGAGAAGGATGCTGTTGCTGAATGTGGGCCGGCGGAACTGGGACGGGCGATGCCTGGCTGTATGAGCTATATGATGACTGAGGAGTACGTGGGCTAGCCTCCTGAGACTGGGGGTTAGTAGAAGGTCGCTGATCATAGAAAATGTTCGCTGCATGAGTTGTATGGCGAGGCTGAGTTAGTCTACTGGGAACCGTTGAGGAAGCAGAATCAATGTGTAATCTGGGAGCGCCCTCCGCAAATCTAGGAGGTGGAGGGGACTGCAGAAAAGGCGATTGAGTTGCGTTTATTGTCCCAGGGACAGGAGTATATCGCCCACTTCCCAAGCTTGCAGCGCGAACTGCTGGTGACTTTGGAGTCAACACCTTCCGTCCGATCTTTGGAGACAGCTTAGAACGTTCATAGTGATAATGTAGCGTGGGTTGTGCTGGAGGTTGGATGGGAGACGGCGTCCCATGAATATGCGCTGAAGGGGACGTAGCTGTGGATGTTGGAGACCCTAGCGGCTCGCGGCTACTTTGTCGTGATATTGGTTCTATCGGAGCATGAGTTGATGGATTGAGGATTGCCTGCATTCCTAAAGATCGAGACCGTTGTTGAGATGCTACATGCTGGCTGGAAGATGTTGGCCTTCCAGCATGCGCAAGCTCTGGAGGGGTCTCATCTCCTCTCACCGACCTCGATCGATTAGGTGGAGGCCCTTGAGTGCCATGCTGCGCGTGTCGATCTACTGATTCAACCTCATCTTGTGTGACAACCGAACGGCTGGTGGATGTAAGAAGCTGGCTGATAGGTTGGGAAGTCTCGTCGGAAGGAGAATTTGAAGCATAGGGCCGCTGCGACATAAGATTTTGGTCTCCTCCGAAGGAAAGTCGACCTAGGGAGTGGCATGGACGGTCCTTCCCTCTCTCCAAAGGACTACGGCCCTCGAATAGCTGAAAGTGAGAGAGGGAGGGGGGAGGGCTAGGTAGGAAATCGCCTGGACAATGGTCACGGTTTTCAGGATGGGGAGACAGTCTTGATGATGCTGTCCCTGAGTAGCCGAGGTGAGAAAGGCTTTGAGTACTAAGGAGAGCCACGGTGAATGGAGGGTGAGGAGGTTTCTGATTCCCTCAGACCTCGAGATAGCTAAATTTCAAGAGGGGGTTTTCAGCGATTTTCTCGTAGTAGTTGGTTGACCTTGTTTGTTGTCGTAGTCAGGACTTGACTCTGATTGCATATACAGCTATCGAGCCAGGCGTCGTCACACGTCGAGGAGAACAGTTGGGAAGTTGGTGGGATAGTCGACAAAAGGAATGGGCTGTTGGCAAATGTTGACCGTATAGGGAGCGATTGGGTATTGGTCTCTTTTCCTGGAGTACAGAGTAGACAATATTCAACAACTGCAGGTCATGGAAAAGAAAAAAGGGCGAAGCGTTCAAATGAAAAGAAGAATGAGGCAAAGCCAGAACTGAGTGAGGATACGAGAGGATAGCCCTTCCATATGGAACTCCGGGACGATTGGCCATTTGCTTTTTCTTCATTATGATGAATAAGAAAATGGCCCTCCCAGAGGGAATGAAAAAGCTCCGCTGTGATCTAGCGAGTTAAAGGCAGCTTCATGGGACCGGGCGTACCGGAACTATCCCATTACATGGAGGGATGGGTACCCAAGATTCGTGCATAAAATAGCAAATTAATCGTTATCGTCAACCAAAGAAAAAAATTAAAAATAAAACGGCGTGCAAATTAAAAATAAAAGAATGTAAACAAAACTAAAATAAAAGAAACCTACCAAACAAGTCACAGGCTCTGTCGCTCCGCCAGCTTGGTTAAGGGATGAAAATGGTGGCCCGCCAGTGGAGCGCAAGGCAAGCCTCTGCGAGGCGACTATTGGACCGTTCGACCCTTGACATGCTGGAGACTCGTTGTGCTTGAGTCAAATCCAAAACCGGGGGGGCACCATTTTGCGTTGCACAGGTGATGCTTTTTTATTTCGGCATGCTGGGCAGCAACCAGCCTGGCGCTGTGATGCTTGCTTGGTCGTATCTTCAAGGTTACTAGCTGTTTTCTTTCAGGCGCTGGTCGTCCGAGTGGGTCTTGCGAGCCCCAGTGGAGAGAGTTCCCGAGGCGAAAGGCTAACGGCTGAGGATTCAATTTTGCTTCGTAACTGGAACCCAGAGAGCGGCCAGAAGCTAGAAGATCAGGGAGATGAAAAGGCTGGACACGCGGGCAAGAGCGATGGCATCCCGCACAGCGCAGAGTGCCATGGGGGCACTCACGGAGGTTAGGCTGCGCAGCAACCTCAAACTCGAAAGTTTCGTGTCGAACAATTGCCAGGGGAGATACGGAGAATCTCAGATACCATTGGTGGCTGTTGCTATTGCCATGGCCCGTTAGGAGCCTGCTCTGTTGTCCTTGTTCAAAGCCACTTAAAACGAACCTGTACCATCAGCATCAGAGCTGCAAAGTGGAAACGGTTGGGCGTACAAATACTAGTGGGAGTTAGTTTTCCCTGGCTTGGGTTACAAGAATTTCGATACTTCGTGGAGGAAGGGAAGGTATCAAGATTCTGTGCTTTGTTCTGCAAATCACTATGCTGAAAGCCTCTGCTGGACAAGCAACGAGGTATAAGAGCATGGAAATCCCGGTATAGAACTCAAGCTGCCACGGAGCACCCTCTCTCCACCCTGTTCAAGGAAGGCAGATTTTGTTGAGATTGGGCAGGCTGAATATATGCTGATCGTGACGGGCTGCCATGAGATTTCGATGCTGGCAACATCCCTGCTGAACGTGGAGAATAGCTCAGCAAGAAAGGAGCTTGAAAGCTCGGGTAAATGGCTCAAAACTGACGAAATTACCACATCAAAACCTCAAGATGGGTAGTAACGAAAAGCAAAACACGCACTCATATGAGCCCCAGCCTAGCTTGCTATTTTCTGTCACCCCGGAGCTCCGCTTGGCTTTTGTACGAATAAACGTGCTTTTCCAAAAGTGAGAATCGTTGTACACGTACCTCGGATGCCAGTACCCCTGTCCTAGCTCCGTACGCAACCTGAAATTACCAATCATCTCAGCCATACAAATCTGTTTGATTTGGGGTGTTTTGTTACGGAGAAAATCTGGATATAACTTTCGCTCGATCCATACGGAGTACTCACACGTAATTTACGGGCGGTACCATTGCAAGCCTGAACCACCGAGATCCACGTAATCGAATTGGTTTGGGTGAAACATGACAACATAGAATACATCTAGCCACCTTCTAGAATTACTGTCAGCGGCGCTCATCTGTGAGATATGCATAGTTCTCAGAATTATATGCACGGAGTACTCCGTACGCACAGTGTACCATGGGCTCAGGCCTGTATCTTCCTCAAGACACACATGGATAAAATGCCCCATACGGGTAAGGTAAGGCACATAGAATATGTAGCAGAAGCCGGCACTTTTCAGTTTCACTTGTTAGCTTTGATCCTATTCCTTCATTGTTTGCGGGGGATTACATACTCCTGGAGATGATCTTGCACGGGGATCTTCATTTACTAGAGACGGCTCTCCCAACCCTCAATAATGCAAGATTCACACTATCCATTGTGGTCAATATAACCATGCTCACCAGCCTTATTTTTTAGGGCCGAAAGGTTTTGTTTTGTTTATACAAAAAGAAAAAAGGTCCGATCAGGATTTTGAGTGGAGGGGATCGATTCCAGAAAGGAGCCAATGTTCTGACCATCCTCCAGGGTTCTAGGGGCTTTCAAATGGAATTTTCTCTTGACAGGAGCGGACTACTGCTCCATGCTCTTCGGCACGCGCTCCCGCTGGAGTGAATGGCGATGGGCCCCATTAAGCTAATGTCAACAAGCAACGGACCAGGCATATCCGCTTGTTGATTGATGCTGGGTGCGCGGTGATAGGCGGTCTACGCTAACTGGAGTAGAGCATCTCAGCACAGTTCGGCTGTTGGCAATACCAGTCTACGCCTGTGATCGTCAAACAAATCCTCCACCTTCAGCTTTCAAATTCCTATGGCCTAGGATCTTTCTTTTGTAACCCTGGTAGGGTCTGGAGTCCGCAAATTAGTTACCATTCATGGACCAAATCGTTAAGATCATGCAAGATCGAGATCGCTGGATATCATTTTATTCCCTGGCTCGTGGCAAGTGAGATGATAAGGGCTTCCATGATATATCTTGCCTATTGCTCATTTCTGATTTGACTCAAGCAGCCACAAGCATCCTTCTTTGTCAACGCGCCTGGTGAAAAGATACCATTTCACTACCATTTCGCGAATAACACGGGGCGGAACATGGGGCGGGCCCGGCACCAACTCCGTTTCTCTATTATTAGTTTTGAATACCTGGGTATATGTGTAAGTGTGCAAAGTATCTTCCGGAAACGACTGAGCTCATACTAGCCTGAATCCATGGCCTTTCTCGTGTTTTGGCCTTGTCTTTCTTTTTTCTTCTCTGGCTGTTTCTTTCTTTTTCCCGTGTTTTCCTTTTTCCTTCATTGAAGTCATCCTGGCATTATCGTGGGGTTCTCAGCTGTCTCGAACAACTGTTCATCTCGGCTTTCCTTCTTTCTCATGACAGTTTGATGCTTGTGTCTCCCTGTCGGCGGCGGCGTTGATGTTGACGGCGGATGAGTGTTCTTCACTTCGTTGACGTTGAAGTAGGCCTTCTGCACGGACCACTGACTCCCTTTTCGGATAAAGGGACCTCCATCGTTGAAAAACACGTACTCCGTAGAAAACGCTGAAATACACAAGAAATACGCAGGGGAAAAAGGACAGAAGAAAACCTAGAAGAAGAAAACATTGCGATATGAGAGTCAACTTGATAGTTCCTAAACCCCCTCGCCTCCCGTATATGTACTCCAGATCGTGCAAAAAAGCAATGTGGAATGCAAGTCAGGGTGTCTTTCTCTTCAATGTCATGCAGCTGCCCTGCGACTCCGGCCAAGCGATAAACGAGAGAGAGGTTGGGATCAAGGCCTCGAAAGCAGCGCGGACAAGGGATGCAACAACGTTAAAGCCAAACAGCGGTCCTGTCTCTCCCACGTTCTGTCATCATGCATCTGTTGAGCTTGACATAGGGTGGTGTGAATATACGCGAAGACTGAGTCCGATATAATGACTGGGATCAGACGGGGCAAAGTATACAGAAAAGAATAAAAAAGGAACCATCCCACGGAAAGTGAAAATGGACTTGTTGTTTCGGTTTTCTTTTTCCTTTCTTTTCTTTCTTTTTACGACTTCGGCTTCAAGCACCAAAGCGTTATTTGTTTATTTTTATTTTTTTTATTGATTTAATTCAAGGTGGTTTGCGGAGTTACTATGGGCGCGTGGTGGAATGAGCAGCACAAGAAAGAATACCAGCCAGTTCTGTACGTTGATCAGAACATTCGATTCTTAGCTGGGCTGATAACTAACTAGCGGATGTTCAGCTTGCTCCGCTGTCTGCATGGCTGCTCTCTGAACAATACGAAATCAACGCCTTTGCCAGTCGTTCACGTCTTTCCGTCCGTCTCACTCAACGACGGTGTGCCCGAGCTGCCTATAGAATGGTATCTCCTTGTTCGTGGCGTAGCGGAACCCAAATCCCGAAACTTGGCAAGAGTGATCAGCTTATAAGGACCAATTCGCAGAAGAAAGTGCAACGGTCCTATCAAATAATAATTAGAACGCCTGCATAATCCTTTTCAATTTTCAAATAATGGTGGAGGCATCTTCCATGAACTACCGTGATTGGATGCGGTTAGAGACTCCCGGTCTACCTGGATCAACGATAGACCTAATTCCGCGATCATGTGCTTCCTTTCGCTCGACACCGCAACCCTGGTACATGGACTCAACGGCGCCGTACTAGTCTTCTGGCTTGATCCACAGCCTGTCGTGAGAAGGGAGGGACAAGCACGAGCTTGGCTCGTACTCTGTATGGCTTCGGTACGGAGTAGGTACGGAATATCCTTCAGAGAGAATTGAGAAATGATAAATTGTTATGGATTCCTCTGGCGATCATCCGAAAGAGCAGTGAGCCAAAATCCTGACTCTGAAATCCCCACCGACCCCATTCCACCAGCCCAGCTTGCCGAAAGTCTGCCAAAATATGACTCCAGAGCTCTACGGACCGCTTTTTATTTCTCCCGCTCCAGCATCCGCCTTCCGGATAATTACGAGAATTAGCGTGGGGAGACTTCGAGGGAAATATAAAGCAATCTCTATATACTCCATACATACGGAGCATGCAACTATATCATTAGGTAACATCAAATAATGAATAATGCGTGATATAACCAAGGATCGAGATTATTCTCGGCGGGATACTCTCATTACCCAACCATGAGCCTTTGAAGGTTGGCAATCCTAAGAAAACAGAAAAAGAAATCTTCTCGGGTTGTCCTCATCAAATCCTCATCCCTTTCCAGCTCACCCATCAGAAGTCGACATCCTTTTTGCTCCCCGTATCCTTACTTAGCAGAAGCTAACCAACGGTTGATCAATGCGATACGAGTTCACCAAACCATTTCAGGAATCTGTACCCTCACCTCACCGCCTACAAGGGGGGCTGGCTGGCTCATTCTTGAGGGGAGGTTGGCAAGACAGACAGGGACATGGAATAATACATAAGCTTCCCATAACTACACATACATATACACCAGCAGCAAGGAAAATCTCCGGTTCATCCTTTTGTCCAAAAGAGAAAGAAATCGGCAGATGCCCGGGAGTAGAACCGATAACTATGAAGGGCAGAGCACAGGGGGCAGTGTCAAACTTCTAAATCGCCCGTGATACTATCCCGCGCTGAGGCCGGAGTGTACGGAGTACATCCCCTTCCACGTTCCGCAGTTGGCATGGTATCGAAGGGTAGGGGTCTTGCACATACATGATGCAAGACGCACATAATGCATATGCACGATGCAAAATATACTCATGTCTAGGATAGAGATCTCAATATAAGCATCGAGTTCACAGGCTCCGACATGCATCACGGATTTGAGAGGACGTTATTCAGTATGGAGGAGCTCCATTTCTCGGTTTGATACAAATTTCCATAGCTAACCTGGGTGGAGGAAAATAAACTTCATCCTCACTATAACTGCTCCAACCACAGTCAGTTTCACAAACCTTCCCCCCGTTTATTTTTTCTATTTTCTTTTATTTTCATATTTATCTTCTTTTCCTTTTTACTTTAACTACTTTCTTTTTTTCCCCTTAGACCCCGACCCATGACACAAAAGATGTCACCAAATAATACGGAATAAATTACGCGGGCTCCAGGAACGTCAGGGCTACAGAGTAGTCCCCGAGCAACTATCGATTTTCCTCTGTCGATTGGGGCCCATAAACATGGCCAGAACAAACCATCATCATCAGCTGGTTAAGATCTACAGGGCCGCCGCCTCACGCAGCGAAGAAGAAAGGGCTCACTCCACTCCCATGGTGACGCTGCATGCCCAACACTCAAAACCACTACTCATTTGGTTACACACACCCCTCGCAATGCAAACTGACAAGTTTCTCGATGCAAAAGCGATCCTTCACCTCGGGAGCCAATGAAGCTGCCCGCCGCTTCTTGACGTTCATGCAATAATGCGCACCTGGCGTCGCCACTCTCACCGTCAATTCAGTCTTTGGTTGTATTTATATATCCTACTCCATATATTTATACGGGATTAATACTCACACGTGATGGTTAAGAGGAAGAGCTTCGGCTAAATTGGACCAATTCAGAGGTGAATTTGAGACCTTGCAATATTGGGAGTTCTTTAAAGGAAATTCTCAGGTAATGTACGGTCTTAAAATATATATATTAAAAAGAAAAGCTTGCAGGTTTTGCCTGTTTTCTTCCCCTAAACTATGCAACGACCCTTGTCAATCACAAATTCAAGTCCTTCAAGAGCTGACAGACTTTCAACCCTGCCAAACTACTTCCGCGGAGGGGCTCATGGGACGAACAGAGCATAATGGAGCATCTTGGGGGTGGCTCTCTTGCCTATCTCACCACGTACTTACATATGGAGTACTCCGTACAAAAGCTAGATACTAGCACTGACCGATATTTCATTGTCAGTACGGTGTTGCACGCCCTCTCGCCGAACACAGGCCCAACTCCAGACCCGGTAAAAATATTCCATTTAAACGAACACATGGAGCTTTAGTTAGTTGATTAGCTGACGCGCCACTGTGGCTGATAAGATATCTCCTTGAACAACTTACAGAGTACTCCGTACATCTGATGCAATGCCCCCCGTTCTCGGTCAACCTTGGGAACCCTCTGCAAGTCAATATCAATAGCGAAGTTAGCTTATATACAGAGTAAGGGTTTTGTACCTCATGCTATGTTTCCTTGCGTGTGAAGATCCGCCATCTAGATTAGCAATCTCTGCATCAGATGGAAAACTAATCCATTCACCAACGAGTTGCTCCGTACGGAGTAGCACCTCAGCTCGATCATACAGTTAGCGCCCACCGTCTGGGTCGTTTCCCTTCTATCCATCATAGTTGATCCTCTACATGAGTTAGTTAGCTCAAGTCATCGTCAATGTACGATGACGGTAAGAGCTTGTATCGAAAGAGCGTGGATATAAGCATCATTGGAGGAAGTACAGCCGTCAATCGCTGCCTGTTCCAGGAAGCTGCTAGGGGTTTTCCGTTTTCCGTGGAGGGGGAACCTTTGGCAATGTTTCAGGACCTTGAGGTCTGCTCGCCATGCATATTTCAAACCAGTTAGTTCTGAAAGTCTCTCCTCGATTCCTGGTACTGAACTTGACTTGGCGCTCACGCCGTCTCCTTTATTTTTAACATTTTTGCCAAAGAGTTTCCATTTCTAGCATTTCTCGAGGCGATGTCTCTGCCATTTGAGCTCGTTACTCCGTCTGTCCATCTCCGGGGGCATGAAAAACAAAACCTTGCAAAACTCGAGACATTTTCTCGTCCCGCCTCGAGAAACGCTTTCGAGTCGAGTCGGAAGGTGATTGGAAGATCTCGAAATTGATAGCTCTGATAATTGTGAAATCCCGAAATGACCAGCCTCGTTTGATCAGGGCTTACTCCGTATACGAAGATGATCACAGTCCAGATCATGCGACTTTGACGGAGGACCTGGAATTACAGGTCTCCATTACCACTCCATCCAATGTCTGTTCACACCACTCCCGTCTCCACGCCGCACAGCCGAAGTTTGGGAGACGGGAAGGAACGTTGTTTCGTTCCCTGGTCCCTGGCGCCGGGCCACCTTATTTAACTTAGCCTAACTCAATATCTCCAGCTCGCCCCCTGGACCAGGTACACAGCCCTACTTTGCTCTCCCCTTTTTCACTCCTCGGCCAGAGTGAGCAAGTAATGTAACCATTGGCCAGAGCCTTGTTTGCTTGACCTGCCCGACAGAGGGAGCAGCATGGCAATGATGGGAACTATTTGTCTCCCCAACCCACCTCGAACGCCATCGAGACGGTAGCTTTTCCTTTTCGGTAGACATCCCCGGCTGGCGTTACCCCCTTATGTCTCCTCCCCGAAGGCTCAACTTACACAATCACTAATCGTCGCCGTCGTTGCTATCATGAAATAGAAGGCCTTATGCTTGTGTTCCCGTACTCCGTAGACCGTTGTTTATGATACTCAATATTGCATCTCGATTTCCTCCTCCAACTCTCGTCACCCAACAGTAGGCCTCAGCTGCTGATATACCCACCCCCTTTCATTGAGTATTACTTCGAGCATGCCATGTCTCGGTGGCCCGTCTTTTGTGGTTAACTGATGCTATTCGTCCAAAGTTGCTCAGAGTGGAACAATTGATACAGAGATGAGCAAACGCTACCTTGTCTCCAGAATAACCAATACCGTCTCACTTTCCTGCGACAGATCTCTCTTCTTGGGTCGGTGCAACAATCTAGCGCACTGATTACTATACTCGCCTGACACAGGCAATCCATTGCGCTTATTCCGACTCGTGGGAAACATATTATATCTGAACTTGTGCAACGCACATCGTATCCATTACTTTACCTCTGCTTCCTTTTTTCCAACTTGGAGGCTGTGACTTGGTTTTCCCCGTCTATAATAAGGCACATAATGTTGGTTCTCGTGGACAAACCCAGGGTGTTCCTTGTTGATGCCACGCGGACAGGGCATGGCGCCGCAAGTCAGTTGGGGGCAGAGGATACGCCTCTTCATGCCATGTTGGCGTTTGCTTGAATGGTTGGCGTGGTTCGCCCTTCTCCCGAAGGAGATAATGCAGGTTGATATAACTTCTGCCGTGGGTCGGTCTTTCGCTGAGAGGTTTTCTGTGCTCAGCCCAACTGGCTTCGCAATATGGAAGAGTCGAACCAATCGAATAGTCCGCCAATGCAACTTGAACGGCTCGAGACGCAATCCAACCATTTAAAGGATCGCTTCTGCCTGCAAGGTGCGAGTGATGACCGCCAGTTTATGCATAAGATGCCGTGCAGCTCCAGGGTCGAGATGCATTAGCTGCATTTAGTGAAGCTGATCCTTGCCAGCTAGTAAATTTCTCCTCACAGCACACACAGGACGAGAGTGAAAAAACGGGGTAATGATTTTTCCATTACAGATGCACCTTTTTTTCATTATCACACGTGTGTATGTATGGAGTTTGCCATGTTGAAACATACCGCCAGGGACGGAGTATGCTGTACACCGTACATCCTCCAGGATGAAAAAAAGGCCCAAAAGCCAACGATCAACGGCTGTGCAACAGAGGACAGATATAGTGGTGGCGACAGCTGTCCGCCACGAATAGGTTTCGTTCCCTAGCCCCTTGCGTCCTGTGGTTCTTTTTTCCTTGTCCACGATAACCAACCGACTGTTGACCATTCGAGTTTCTCAAAGCCGATTATTCCCTCCTCCCTTGCTGCAAAGGATGTATGTCAAACCAGAACACAGAACAAGCAATGGAACCGTTACACGATGCGAGAACTTGATGGTGGTGTCTCAAGCGACCCAGAAATCCGCCTGCACAGTTTCTATATTTACTCCGTACTCTTTTTGAGAGTCTGGTGACGAGAGATAAGGCGAGCAGTTCTTGGGGTTTGGGTGCTTGAAAACGTCACACATTGTCCAGCATCGTTTACTTGGGTACTCAGTACCAGCCTCTCAAAGCTCCATTCATCCATATATGCGCCTTCGCCAACTCTTGGTACCTGTGGAGATAACTACCGAGGAGCTCGGGCTTTAGCATCTGGTAAACCACCGGTTTAGTTCCGGAAAGCGACCTAGAATGTGTTCTTGGTGGCAAGATATAGTAACGCTGGTCAGTACTTTGTACAAGCCAGAATCTTAAAAAAGAAACTGTGCTGCATCTGATCTCACAGCTGTGACTAGTATGTACTAGTACCGTGCATCGTACCAGCAATGGCAGGTAACTACCCAGGTGCTTCCAACAATTCCAAAAACACTTCCGAAGTACTATGGCTATGGCCATCCTGTAAAGGGTATAGAAGAGCTTCGCTTCAGGAAGAGCGGACATAACTCTTCCATTCTCGCGTTGCCTCTCGTTGGTTGGATATCCCTTTCTACTCTGCGCCACTAACTTTTGGAAACGGGAATAGCTAGAAGCTTTCCCAGCACCACGAAGCGGCGACAGTGGATGATAGCGATAGCCGAGCCGACGGGCACAACCCCGTCTAAAATCTCCTCAAGTTGGAAGGAGGTTTCTTTTTCTTTTTCCTTTGATTTTGCGCCTTGCACGCCTGGTGTCTGATGACCATCTTGCTCTATTTTCGTGGTGTTTCCTGGCCATGGTTGTGGTTCTACCCATTCTTCCAGGCTTCTGGAAGGTATCTTGTTCGAGGACACTTTTCACATACTTCGTTTAGCTTCGTTTGCCTAGACGATCAGCTGTGAGGGCTGTATGGAAACCATGGTACGCAAAAAAAAGAACCTATTGATCCGTTAGTCTCATGGACAGGGACATTCCGACTTACGTGTCCTGCATGTTGGTAGACATACTACGGTACCCCTGGAAGATTGCCGGAAGCCGGCGGACTAACGAGCTGCCAATCTCTGGTTGTATAGTTAGAGGTAACTATACCTCCATACTGGCGTTTGTTTCTATGATCGTTTCTTTTTTGTGTTTGCGTTTCCATTTCCATTGATAAAGAATCAATAACTTGTCTTTGCATTGGGGGGCAAGCATGGCGAAGCTGCATGGCATTGTTTGATACCCACCGTAGCCGCATGCATTTGTGGTGGTGCTTTTTTCCCATCTAATAATACTTCGTGCATGCATACGAACCGGATAGAACGGTTTCTTTTCTAGCTTGCATTTTTCACCAGCCAACTAACTGCAACGAGGCAGTGCATGGGAAATAGGCGGTAGGCAGTACGGAGTTATTTTAAAAGTTCATGTATTGACAATTTCATCCGCTGTACAACCACTAGAGCTATTTAGAAGAATCTCCGAGATCGATTTGGGCTTTGTCGAATCCTACCTACCCCCCACAGTCTCGGCAAGAGAACGAAAAGCCCAGGACACGGAGTAGAATGAGACTAATGCCGAAAGCGAGTTAGTTTTAGTTAACTGGTTGGTTGATTCATTTTTGGATTGGCCTTGTTGCCGTCCGATTCAAGACGAAAAAAAAAAAAATCGTGGGTGGCTCGTCTTTCACCGATTCTTCGCCCAGAAGTTATTCTGCGGTCTCACAGTCTCGTCCCCATGTTAAGATGGACGGCTTTGACCTGGGAATAAGCCTCGAGACCAGCTTCCCCGAGTTCTCTCCCGACACCTGATTGCTTGACACCGCCGAATGGTACACGGAAGTCGCTGTCATTGCTGCTGTTGATCCAGACCATGCCAGCCTCGATACCACTGGCTACCCTATGACCGCGCTCGATATTTTGAGTGAAGACAGCGGCACCCAAGCCATAGGTGGTATCATTTGCCTTAGTCAGAGCTTCCTCCTCCGTCTTGAAGCTGGTGACCACGGCAAAGGGGCCAAAGACTTCTTCACGGTAAATCGTCATGTTGTCCGTCACATTGGTGAACACTGTCGGTTCAATAAAGTAACCCTTGCCGTTGCCAACTTTCTGGTGTGGCACTCCTCCAGTAGCAAGTGTTGCACCTTCGGATTTGCCGGCCTCAATATATGAAAGCACACGGTCGTACTGGGCCTTGGTCACCTGGGGCCCCTGGAATGTGTCCTCTGCAAATGGATCGCCAATTTTGCTGGTCGATGCAATGACCTCTTTGAATTTTGTTACAAACTGATCATAAATACCCTCGTGGACGAGGAGACGAGACGTGGCAGTGCAGACCTGACCCATGTTATACATGATGCCAGTATGAGCCCACTTTGCAGCCTGATCGATGTCTGCATCATCGAAAACAATTAGTGGCGACTTGCCACCAGTTTCAAGGGTGATGTTCTTCAGGTTAGCAGCAGCCATTTTCATTATGGCACGACCGGTTGCAGTAGAGCCAGTGAACGCAATTTTGTCAATACCGGTGTGGGATGCGATGGCAGCCCCAGCCTCTTTACCGTATCCATTGAGGACGTTGACAACGCCAGGGGGGAATCCTGCTTCCTTCACTAATCCTGCGAGGTATAATACACTCAGAGGAGTCTGTTCTGCAGCTTTGAGAATAACTGTATTTCCACATGCCAAAGCCGGCCCCAGTTTCCAAGCAGCCATTGCAAGAGGGAAGTTCCACGGAATAATTTGGCCTACGACACCGATGGGCTGGCGTAACGTGTAGGCAAACTTGTTGGCAGTAGTGCTGATAGTCCTACCTTCTATCTTGTCTGCAAATCCGCCATAATATCTCAAGACAGATGCAACTTCAGTTACATCGTCATTCAAGGAGACCAAATACGGCTTTCCTGGGATTGTGAACATGTGAGATACAGGTCTACTTCGCTTTAAGGGAGCCCTGCCTGAGTCGACGGGTGGGACAAGGCTCTGAGGAAATAAAAACGGTAGGAGAACAGCACATACCGTTATCCCATGTTTCAATAGTGGCCAAAGTCTCTGCATGTTGCTCGACGAGCTCAGACAGCTTAACCATCATCCGTCCTCTGTCGGAGCCGGACAAATCCTTCCATGAGGGATGCTTTAAGGCTGCTCGGGCTGCGTTGACGGCGATGTCTACATCCTCCGTGCCGGCAGCATGCACTGTGGCAATATCCGTCTCATCACTGCCCATTGGAGATCAGCATTTCCCAGTGACTCTCGCTGTTAGTTGTTCTCAAGGGGTGTAAACATGGTGCATACGTGGGGTTGACTGTTACAATTGTCTGTCCTGACTTGGCAGGAACAAACTCATTGTTAATGAAGAGTCCCAATGGCTGACTGTACTTCCGGCCATTGGGCGCCGTGAGCTCTGCAGATAATCCGGACATACTGCAAGGCACTGAACTAGAGAGGAGTCTGCTGCTGGTTTGTCTCTGGCAAAGGGCGGGCTGGTATAGTTGATGGAGACGTGTATCTCGGTGAACTAGAGGAGGGGATCTAGACAAGCGGGCAAGACGAGAGCAGGAGCGTCCTAGCAGTGGCCTAACACCGAACATATACAGCGTATATAGCGTAGGCAATAGGCTGTGGCCGTCGAGGGCGTCGAGTTTGGTGTCGATATTGTTGTTGTTGATGTTCTTGTTGTTGTCGTCTTTTCCCGCCCTGTAGGTTGTTTCGATGTTTTATGGATTTGCCTTTTGCCCCTCCGGGAGTCGCAGCCGAGGTCCCGTAGTTAAATAGTTGGCCAACTAGCTACCTGGCACTGCCCAGGTGAGCGCGGGACCTTTATGCAGGGAAGAAGAGAGGAGAACGCGGCCTAAAAGAAAGAAGAACGACACTCGGCACCATCCCTGGGGATTGAGCCCGGACAATGGACTGCGGTGACCAGAAGAGGGTGGACGAGGACGGCGGTGGTGATGGCCAAATCCCGCCGGACAGGCTTGTTGACAATGCTGGTGCTGTGGAATACTGGGAGACGGTTGAACCAAACATCAAGGGCATGCTAGGAGGATACCCAGAGATCTCAAGGGTAGACTTGCTCTCCTCGCGGTCTTTTCTAGCCACCGTACGCCGCATGCTGCCATCGATACAGGGAGGCACTGCTGTGGCTGCTACGACTCGTTTGCCTCCTCTGCGTCTGGGTGTTGACTGCGGAGCGGGCATTGGCAGAGTCACTGAGGGACTGCTCAGCAAGGAGTGCGAGGTAGTGGACATAGTCGAGCCGGTAGAGGCCTTTGCCAAAGTGCTGATCGAAGGTAGACTGAAGGCAGAAGGGAGAGTTGGCGATGTTTACATCACGGGCCTGGAGAACTGGGTACCCGAGAAAAGATACGACCTGATATGGGTGCAGTGGTGCCTGCTCTATCTCACGGACGAACAAGTTTTGCAGTTCTTGACCCGGTGCAGAGATGCCCTGTCGCCGTCTGGGCCTGGCCTGGTGATTGTCAAGGAGAACCTGAATACCCAGCCATGCGACACATTCGATCCGCAGGATAAAAGCGTCACTCGGTCCGAAGGAAAGTACGAAGACCTTTTCCGGAGAGCAGGCTATTCCATCATTAGGACAGACGAACAGCGGGGCTATCCGCAGCACCTGAACCTGCTCCCCGTGAAGTTGTTTGCATTGACTTGCGAGACCAAGACGACCTCTACCTAAAACCAACAAGTTACTCATACGCAGATGAGCGGCCGCAACTATAACTATATAGTACCTCGCCGAGAGGGACAAGTGGTGCTGCTAGTGCATTTACAGTTTGTACGCATCTTTATTCGAATGCCACAGCATGTCAAGAAGCCTTGAAACAAGTATACCAGATTATGAACAGGTTTTTTATGGCTGTGGAAGAAAACGACCTTAAAAAAAGAAAGATAGAAAATAAAAAGAAAAAAGGACCATTATCTATTCTCTCACGAGCTCTTCTTCCTCCGCCAAACTCATAAGGAATTCCCATTGTTCTGCTGTAACGGGAGACACACTCAAGCGAGATTGTCTGACCATTTGGAGATTCTCCAGCGCACCACCAGGCTTTGCGTGGGACTTAATATCGGCGAGGGTGACCAGGTTTTTGAACTTGCTTCGAAATTGAACATGGACCCAATCCCATTTGGGGTTGTCGCGACTGGACTTCGGATCATAGTATGGGTGAGCAGGGTCAAATGCGGACTCTACATGATACGTTAGCCTAGTCCATGGAAATTTATCATGGGTATAGATGAAAATTATGTATAATACCGTCTACTGAGCTTTCTCGGACGATTTCCATGATTCCTGCAATCCCCGGAACCTTGCAGTTCGAGTGGTAGAAGAAGGCGAGGTCTCCTTTCTTCATTGCACGCATATGGTTTCTTGCTACAGTGACAAGGGTGTTAGGAAGCAGCCAAATTCTCCGGGCAAATCCCGAAGCAGAATAGTGATAACTTACCAGCTGGATTCCTGACTCCTAAAATCAAAACTTATTAAGCGGAGAACCAATTATTATAAGAGCAGGATCTGTGCTTACCATCCCATCCCTCCGGCTCAGTGGCAGCACGCAGATCATCAATTGAAAACCTGACGTCAACTCCTTTTTCAAGTCTTGTCTCCGGTTCTGCTTTCATGAGCCAGTATGATTTGCCATTTTTAGACTCTGCCTTTCCAGTACTCTTGGGCTTTGCATCAACGGTAGCTTTCTTTGTAGCTGGCGCTTCCGCCACGGTAGCTTCACCGTTTGGCTTTCTCCCAGGCCGACCCTTTCTCTCAAGAATGGACTTAGTGTCATCCTTTGAGCTTTTCGCGGTCTCTATAATCTCTGTTAGTACTGGTTTGTCGATATAATATACATATGTAAAATAAACACAGGTAAGGGGTCAATCCCATGGGTAATCGGACCGATACCAGCCTTCGTGGCCTCAATCCCGGGTTTTGCGTTCTTCGGCCGTTTTTTAGAATGGGCAATGGCATCTTCTGTTACGGTAGCCTTTACAGCCGTTGTCACGCGCTTTGGTCTGGATGATGCGGCTGTCTCTTCTACAGCACGAACGCTGCTATTACGGCGTTTTCGGGCGTTGCTGGGGACTTTCTGCTCGGTAGAATCAGGCATTGTGAGAGATGCAGGAGTAAAACAAGCGGAAGAGCCTAGACAACCAGCTAGAAATAACAGAATCTGAAGGCCTATAGAAGAACAGAACTAGTCCTCAGAATGTTTGGAGAACCTCACGATCAAACAGCGTTGTTGGAAGCTCGGTGGCCGTCACTATAATGCGTCACGTGATATGGAATTCGGGCGCTCCATCACAGGGGACGGCGAGGTGTGCTGGAATGGACATGACGTACATAAGGATCAAACGGGTTAAAAGAGAATGTATACACTAAAGGCTATATTAAATTCAGGAGCTATCTGGATATCACCGTGATGTGGTATCTACTGTGTTAGGTCTAATCTGGGAGTATACAATTATTTATCAGCGGGTAATGCAGAGGCCGCGCTTTCTTCTGATGGGTTCAGTTTCATACATCAGACTCAGTAAGGTGACGCCAGTGCTAGAAATCTGACGATAACGAGCCATCATGATTTTCTGGTGACTGACTGAAGGATGTAGCGCCACTGGGGTGCCCCCTTCATCATCATGGCCAACAAAGCTGATGGCCCAAAGTGTGTTGGGATTGAGTTGAGACGGTGTCAGTCGGGTATTATACAAGTCGCATGGCCGTATAGGCCGGATCGGCTAGGTCAGGGAGAAAGGGACCATTCAGTCGTTGGATTTTTTCGGGTTCCCTGCTGAAGAATATACGGCCTGAGAGCTGAATTCATTTACCCCGGGTAGGCCTCTGGGAGACTTTCCATTGAAGACTATAACGCAGTTAAAGTCAGTTTTTAGCCACGAATTGCACATCTGATATAGTATTTGGGATGGGCTATTGGACGCCATGCTGAGAGAGGTGTACCTCGTTGGTATAACGAATAGCTTGTGTATAATAGGATGGGTAGCGCAACTATAGTCATGGTCCATCTGGTAGTGGAAGAAATTAGATGTTAGTAACTCCTTCAACAGTACCGACAGGTGCATCAGCTCACCTCCGAGCGGCAGATTTATACTGTGGCGTTCTCTTTATGTCTGGTTGCTTTGGGGCTCCTCGCACACCCATTCGCCCTAACTCCTCCTGCGTCGGGACAACATGCGACGGCTTTGGTGGCTGGAGATACACACTTGGACTCTGTTTGGATTGGCTTATAGCTTTCGCCAGCTCAGATGCCGGTGTCTTTCGTCTCGCCGAGGACATGCTGTGTAGGAGGCCGATTTGGCCTGGCGTCGCCGTATGCGCAATTCACACCTCTGTAATCACCAGCTCTTGTGCTTCAGTTTCAATTGGTTTCGCGCGCGTCCCGGCGCCCTCTGGTATATAATCCACACTTCTCTCTTCCTGTGTAATATGTCTCTATTCCAATTCGTGACGTACGACCGGTGAGCGTGTAGGTTTCAAGCCGTTGTTTGAGTCTTCTTTCGTATGGCCTAGGGTGTGACGTAGCCCTGGCTGAGCTTGATCGTTAAAAGGAGCCGTTTACTGTGTGTGTACGGCAGGTTACGGCTGGCTGTGAACCTGATTGATGGAAGAAGAAATCAGGAGCGGTTCATTCCGTGAATTCGACCTTAGTTAGTCATCATAGCCGTCTTGGCTAACTACGGAGTACATATCAATTTCTATACTTTAAATATAATGGAAAAGCACATCATCACACCACAAATGAGAAAATGTATTATGTATCCCTCGACCCTTTTCTCCCATATTCATAGTAACGGTAAAATAGACAACTATCTAACAAAACACAGGTCTCACGATGCGCCTCACAGGGAAGCCAGCAACTTGAACGCGGAAACAACAAATGCCAGGTAACTTTGTCTTGGAAGGCCGTCAGTTGCACCCCATCGCCAGCAAGAGGGCGCAACCTCAGGCTTCCATGACTGGCGTAGGATCAATGGGCTCGGCGGGCGACCATCTAGTGAACGATGATGGGATGACGATGTACTCTTCGCCGAGTTCATTGACTCGGCCGGTGTGCGTCCAGCCTTGCTTGTCGGTGTACGGACGCGGGAGATCGGGACAGGCGAGCTCGGATGAGTTGGCCAGCCGACCCATCGTTACTGCCTCTGCTGCCGTCGGGAATTGGGAGTAGAATTGGTGGCTTACAGCCACCGGGTCGAGCTCGACCTCTGGTATGAAATCTGGCGCTAAGGCCGCGGCCGCCAGCTCAAGCAGACTGGTTACTGCTTGTTCGTCCTCCTTGCTGAGCCTTGGTGGTGTTTGGAGCAGCCCGGTAGTCCTGCCCGTCTCATCGGTGATGGGAATGGTTGGGATGGCTGGCAATTTAGGATGCGCTACTGGGAAAAGCAGGTTGTTAGATGCATGATGCCTACGTTGCTTATGCTGCGAACAAACTGAACTTACCAGCCTCTTTGCCGGTATCTGGCTTGACCGGCTCTGGACTCTCCAGCTTGGGCTGGCTCTGCTCTGGCTCCTGTTTGGAGGCCTTGGATGCTGTAACATCCGTCTTAACTGCCCTCTTCCGGGGCTTGGCCTTAGCCCTAGGCTTTGTGACCTTGCTGAACTCGGCCTCCTTGGCCTTCGTGGTTGGCTTTCTAGTGCGCCCAGACGCACGAGTGGTGGTAGGCTTCTTCTCGAGCTCCATATCTGGCAAGAGGGAGATGGTCGAGAGCCGGATGTCGAATTGAATGGCGGGAGCAGCGGACGAGGAGGGAGATGAGGGAGAGAGCCTGTAGATGAGATAGAAGAAAAGGATGCTCTCTAACGGAAGTTCGTAATGAAGGAGTAGATAGCAAACGTAAAATAGCTTCAGCGACGATAGCGAGAGCTGATAGTGAAGACGAGGTTCCCTTCCTGACCGGCAAATTCCTGGGCAAGGAGAGTGGTAGTGGTATTTATGCCCATCTTGACTACAGGCCCCGTGTTGTTGAATTGCTGCATTGAATAGACAATAAGATTGTCTATGCTGATTGACAATCTCCAGTGTTATTGAACTTTGGATATAGTGAAGGGGCTTCCAAATATAGGTATTGAAGTCAAGAAAGCAATAGGACATGCAACACCCGGAGCACCTTTTATTGTCTGCATAGCTGTGAATGCGATTAACATATAAAAGTAAAAGGCAGAATAGGCATTTTCTGTCAATAGAAGGGCTCTCTGTCGGATACTGGGCCTAATGGTGGAGGAGGACAGCATGAAGGAGGTTCCCTTCTATGCTGGCCTATTCTTGAGGAAGAAAACATTCTATTGATGAAGCTATTTTCGTTTTATCCCATTCAATATATGGCCACATTTGAAAATGGAGTAACTTTAGCTATGTTCTAGCGTATTCCTGTAGCTTCAACTGACTGGCCTTATTGTGAATAAAATATTATTTGAGTCTGCCTAACAGGGTCAGAAGGTCAATGATATTGCCATGTTCGCTCGCAGAGGCTTGTATATGGCTATCTAGGTAGCGTAGAGAGTCTAAGCCGCTGAGTAACTTCTCTACCTATTCGATGCCGTTGTAAAGTTCATATGGGAATGTGCTAGTGTAAACATACGGCTATGCCATGGCGTTGTCCCCAATATGCTGGCAAAGATGACGTCTATATCAAAAAGCCACAACTAGTTGTATCTCTAGAGATGTCTATATTCCGGAAAAATATATAGTGGACAGAAAACCGCAGAGGACGAGAGATATGCTCACGATGCAAGAAGAAGCTCGCTTTTGAACCCACAAGGCTCTACGGAGTAACTGTTAGAGCTATATAGAGATATTCTGGCCCACCGTATGGCTAAACAACCCATGGTGGTCGAGCTGTTGAATCTTGTTCGGCGTTTTCATGACTTGTCGTTGGAAGTCAAGGGGGAAAAAGAAAACGGGCGCCTATTACTAAGCGTATGATAGTTAACTATTACGTAATATCGCGTATCTGTCAAGAAGCAAAACAACCAGAAAGTCGAACGTTGGCGGCAGCTTGATAGACCAGCCATAGTCATTGCTAGAGGTTGCTACGGAGCCAGAGAGAGAAGGCACTTGACATTTTATTTGAGTTTTGTTTTTTATCCGGCGATTATGCGGCTTTTTGCGGCTCTCCAGCTTGGGCTTCTTGCTCTAGCTGTCCCAGGACTATGCGCTTCATCGGGATGGGGATTTGCTGATGGCACGCTATCCGTCCATCAAAAGGGTGCTGGAATAGGTGGTGCTCAAAAGCAGAAGTATGTTTTCCCTAGCCATTGGAAGTGTTGGCGGTTTCTGTCGCCTTGTTTGCTACTTATTTGCTAACCGCTATCCCAGGCTATCACAAGACAAGCCGTTAACAACAGCGATAACACTGAATGATGCAAGCACATTGAAGCTTCTTCTGACGCTACAAGAAGATAATACCGCAGCTAAACCCCATCAGGCCTTTTTGACTCTCAAAGAAATCGATTCCGGGCTGGACATCTCATACCCGCTCAGCGTCAAGGCGAATGGAAAGGCCATTGTCGAATTGGTATGCTAGACCTAACAGCCAATGGTCTACGTATATTGAATGATTTCTAACGTTATGGCCACTCTAGAATCACAAAGATCTCCCAGTTCAATTCCTCGCTGCCAAAGCCCCAGTTGAAGCCTCCTTGTTGATTGCTTCTTTTGGTTCTTCGAGCGGCTATTACAAGCCCGCCTTTAAAATATCCCTTGAACATAACACAAACACCCCTCTTCCCTCCTCGAAGGCTCTCCGATATGGAAAACTAGAAGAGATTCATCATACTTTCAGAGAAGACCCCCGCAGTCCTCCTGTAATTGTCTCCTTGTTCTTTGTCCTTGCTGTCCTGGCTACCCTACCGCTTCTCGTGGTCTCTGTAAGTTTACACATCCGAGTGACAGGGCGCACATTATTTACGGTTTACTAACAAATGCTGATCAAATGCAGTGGCTTTACCTAGGTGCCAATGCCAACCACCTTTCCGTTGCGCTGAAATCCGCACCTCTCCCCCATATAGTTTTCGTGGGGTCTATTATTGGACTTGAGTTGACCTTTTTCATGTACTATACGAGCTGGAATCTGTTCCAGACTCTACCTGTTGCTGCATCTATTGGTGTCGTATCTGTTATAAGCGGAAGTCGAGCACTAGGAGAAGTACAGCAGAGACGACTTGCTGGCCATCGATAGGTACTTGACATGGCCGTTTTAGCAAAAGCATCAGAATTATTGGTATCCTAAGGCCTGGCATCATTATTCTCATACCGACCCTGTACACTTATCATCAATTTCGAGTCACAGATTTAGATAATACAGTAGTACAAACACATATTTGAAACTTTTTGGATTTCCATGTCGTCTTATTGGTCGATAGCTTTATCATACAAAAGAAACGTTAAATTTAGGTGACATCACCAAACTCCAACATCGCATTCAATTTTCCTTTAGCTCCATCGCGAAGTAAGAATAGCAACGGCAGCATACCCATAAGTCTACTCCGTACATATATACAATGGGTGCGTCGGCTTCAAAACCAGCGCGCGCAGCGGCATCGGCGGCATCTCGTCGCCAATATCCTCTCTGGCCCTCCCCTTCAACTACAACCACGCCCACACCAACACAACCACAACCACAACCACAAACACCCACAACCAGCCGGACAAACACACAAGGACAGGAGAAAGCAAGCACAACACGCTCAGAAGGTATGTCGACGCATAAATTGTACAGAAACCATGAAATACACCGATACTAATTATGTTGAAAGCAATTGATCTTGACGCCCGCGACCCCGACTTTGCAGCCTCGCTTCGCTCCATAGGGCCGGTAACGCCCACACCCACACTTTCACGAAGTAGCACATTTAATCAGCCGCGAGGGCGAAACGTGTCGGAGCCTACGTCAGGGATAATACGTGAAGAAGCCATGATGAATCCGTCGCTGTTAACCCTGATGTCGCGGAAGAGGATATCTGCTGAGGCAGAGGCTGACATGGAGTCGTTGGGGACGAGGGATCACACAGGACGTCGATTTGTGGATGTTGTTAGCCTGAAGCAGATAATCTCCATGAGAGATGGACAAGGGGCTAGCGAGGAGGTTATTGAGAGGCAGTTTGGGCTGAAGAAGGGGGTTTTGGCGGCCTTGGGGCCAAAGGGTGTGGTAGCGGATGTACGGTGATACGTATTCGCTTTTATCGGAAATTTAAATGAAAAGACCGTGAACGGCCATGTACGATATAAATAGTTCGTGTACGGTGAAGCATGCATAAATGTGTTGTATGATAGACCATTCGATGGAACGTCTTTTATTGTTATCAATATATAAAAGATAAAGGCAGCAATTAGCTGATAACAGTGTAATCAATCAATATCCCATATTGGGGTGGGCAATTTCTCGCTCGCTTGCTCAATCAATTTGGTCAAGTGGGATCCAACTTGTTCGCCTAAATACTCGTTCATTCAACATGCCCGCCAACTGTCTTGGGTGAAAGTTGGCTGTGGCTTGATGCGGAAAAATATAAGTAGTAGGCTGGGCTAAAAAGATAGAAGGAAAAGGAATAAGACTCAGGAGAACAAACAAAACCCGAACAGTGGCAAGGAAGATGGAGTATAGAAATGTCCAGGGAGTCCATCACCGTTGTATTGGCTGCAATAAATGCCATGCCACATTACATGTAGAACATGGTATCGATAATATTTGGATGAGGCTGCAGGTGTTTAGCCGAAGCAGTAGAGGAAGCAGATCCGCCAGACTTCGAGCTAAGGCTCTCATCGTAAAAGTAGTTGAGATAAGCTCTTGCTCTCTCACAAACAAGATCAGCATAGTATGCCGGAGGGCAAATGCTAACCGCCTTGGTGGCACGGGCAAAGAGGTAGCACATATTGTGAGTGAGATCCTCGAGCTCGTCAGCGACAGTTGGATATGCCGGGTTCTGGCGGCGGGAGAATATCTCATCGAGGACAATGTAGTAGTGAGCCGGGCGAGCTGTTCCCTGGAGGGCGGTATGGGCCTGCAGGAAGAAGTCCCAGTTACGGGTTTCGGTGACACCACGGTCAACAACAGTGCCACAGCGAGCATTGTCCTTTTCAGAGTCTTCGGCCTTGGTGGGATAGAACCGAGTGTTGTGCCGTTTCCCTACAACGATGATAGTCATTCGAGGCAGCTTTGCGGTTGGTCCACCGCTGTAAAGTTCCCTACAGGCCTTGAGTAGGCGAGGATGCTCTTCGTGGAGGACTTTGCCATATTGTCCTTCCGAGACACCGTCACGATAAACGAGGATGTTCTCAGGGTACGCACCATTCTTTTTATGCCAAAGGCGAAGACGAGACTTGAGCATATCCGTGAGATCATCAACCATCTCCTGCTTGGCTTCACGCTGCAATCTCAGGATTGCTGGCCATTGGCCGAGGGTTTTGTCAACACTGGCAACCATACCGGCCACACTGGGTGCGCTCTCGGATGATCCTGGAGCAGGGTGAGTGACATCAATGCCAACAACCATAGTCTTTCCGCCGGCGATGATGCCCATTTTAGAGTCATCCAAAACATGGTTTGTACCTCCAAGTTTTAAGTTGAACTTCATAGCAATGTTGGCATGGTACTGGATGTTGCTTGCTTTGTCGAACTTCGACCTAATGACACAGATGGTTTGAATACCATGGAAGACCTCGCCATTGAGCTTGATCCGTTTGTATACTGTTGGATTATCGTTTGGTAAGACAATCAGCAGTAATCTCGCGTTCTTGAGGTTAGCGTTTGCCTTGACTCTCCTAAACATTTCATCAACATGTTTCTCGATATTACCAGGATCTTTGTAATTGACCATCCACCCAAGGCCATGAGAGTTTTCACTAGCCTTAAGCGGGATTCCCAAGGTCAGGCCTTGTAATTTTGCAGTATTGACAAGATCCTGCACAGCACGCAGCGGGTCAGGGGGTATGTGTCCGTCTCCAATCGTGACATATGCCCAGTCCTTCAATGGAGCGCCTGGAACTCTAAATGTCAGGTTGCTGAGGTTCCAGCTGCCAAAACGGATATTAGCCACTCCCTGGCCCTTATAACGGACCGAGGGGCTATTCAAGACACGCCCCGGAACAGTAATAAGCTTGGGTGTTATCGATATGTTCATGTTGCCCTGGGCGAGGAAGTATTAGTAAAACTGTGCAAAATCACTAAATAGTAGCCAGGGGACGAAATATATGTATATAAATATAAAAGCAAAATAAAAGAGGCTCACCATGGCTTGAGGTTGGTTCATTGCGCCAATGATCTGGGCCCCATGGCTGACGATGGACTCAGCATTCTCCTTTGGTCGTCTAACGGCGAAGGAAATCATCTTTTGGGTTTGAGCAGGGCTCAGTTTGGACCTGATTGACTGGCCGGGTTCAATCACGCAGACCTCAGCAGGGAGGTAGCTTGGATTGTTTTGCGTCCCGACATTTACCACAGGACAACGCTTGTCCATCTTTACCTTATAGCCTGGTTTTAGAGAGTTAGAGTAATTCATTTAAGTACTGACGGGGTACCAAAAAAAAAAAGCAAAAGAAAAAAGGAAAGAAAGGCGTGGAAAAGTGTGATACATACGCTTCTGGAAGTAGTCGAAAACAGAGTGATAGCCGGTCTCAAACTCCTCACTTTCTGCAATGTAGAACTGGACACCAGTTGGCCCAGCGCCCGGGTGGTCAACTTTCGGAGGGAACGCGCTGTTTGGCCCATCCCTGGGGGTAGCAAGCGCAAGGATAGTCTTTTTGCGATATTGCCTCACACCGTCTCTGATCTTTGGCGGGAGATGGGTGACTGAGATCTTGACACCTTTGAGTAAGTTGCTCATTTGCTTCAGGCCAAGTAGATTATGAGTGCTCGCCATCAAGTTGACCAAAGGGCCGTCATAAAAGCAAGTGGTGTGCTTGACTTGAACGTTGACCAGGAGGCGAGATGTCGCGGCTCGAGTGCTGACGAAATAGCCTCGGAAAGCATTAAGACCTCCTCCAAGGTCAAACATGTCATTGGTCTTAGCCTTGAAATGTTTGTTAGGGCCAACACTGAAGGTATCCTGAGCGATCTTGGGGTAGTGGCCAGTGATAATGTTGAGAGCCTGGAGATATTCTTCCTTGCTATGACCGAATGAATCAGCACCCGGGGACTTGAGAAACTTAATAAGTTCATCTAGGTTCAACGGGGGAACTTCGATGATACGAAGAGTGTATCGAGGGGCATCTGGCTCAGCAACGGTGTCAAAATCGTCCCTGTATGCCACCTCGATTGACTCAGACGCCAGTTCCAAGGACACGGTCGAGACCAAAGTGGCTTTAAAGTCGGTGGCTATACGACCTCTGAAGCTAGCATAGTGGTCCTCCAGAAGAACTTCAAAGATCCGCTTGAGTTTTCGGTAACCAGGCGGCTGTTTACCCTCGACCCCGACGCTGACTGTGTAGCGGAACAGAGTGATGCCTGACTTGGGGACAAGCGGGAAGTAGTTTGCCCAGAGCACCACTGGAGCACCACGAGTACCGTAAGCTGGTCGCAAGGGGAATGCCTGGGAGAGCTTAAGGGAGTCAAGACTCAATCCTTTGCGTTGTTTGATATAGGCATCCTCGAGCTTCTGAACCTCGGGATCTGGTGGAGGAACAGGACGGCCTTCGCTATACACCATAACAACGCATTAGTTCAAACGACAACCAGCAACACTCATGCCCGAGATTTGTTATCCTCATAAGCAAACACCATGGGCCCAAAACAGTGACTAGACCAAACAAAAAGAGAGGAAGGGGAATCAACAACAAGAAGAAGCAAAGAATATAAAAAAAGCTCCAATTACCCATAGATGCTTGGAGGGCCTCCGCGGCCACGACCGCCTCCACCGCGTCCTCTTCCGCCAGCGAACCCTCCACGGCCACGGCCGCCGCCATCGAAGTCTCCTCCTCCCCGTCCTCCGCGTCCACCACCACCGCGGCCTCGACCGCCTCCGCGGTCACCACGATCTCCGCCGCCACGGCCACGGCCACGATAACCACCACGGTCAGACATGGTGGCAATAAATCAGATGCTAGCGCTCAAAAAGAGAACTAAGTTAAATGGTGAACCGCTAAGAGTCCAAAAAAACAGCCGATCAGAGTCGGTTAACTGTCGATATCAATCCGTTGCTTTGCGGGAAAGGTTTGTTTAATCCAAATAGAGCAGGTCAACAGTCACGCATAGAGCTCCTTGGGAAGGGAGATATACTAATAACCGGAATAGAGATAGAGATGTAGCCAAAAAAAAAAAAAAAAAAAAGAGCAGAGAAGTAAAGCTGCAGAGCTCAGTGGGAAGCAGAGAAGAGATGCTTGATATATATATGTATATATAAGGGGGATATAAGTATATTTCTCTCTGTGTTGACACGCGGTTGAGACTCCCTTCTTTCCCTCTTGTCTCTATGCTGAAACAAACAGCAGGCGAAGCAAGGAAGAGGCAGGTTTCACCCTTGCACCACCTCCGAGAGCAGCCCTTTGCTTGCAGACGCCGCTTTGTGAGCGCTCTTCCGGTGGTCTTTTTGCTCTGCCTTTTGTCCACCCGAAGCAGCGACGAAGACGAGGAGTTGAAGAGTTGAGCTGCTGGTGAAAAAGGCGGAAGTCTGGAGAGCGACCAAATAATTTCTCCCTTAAGAGGCGGTGGGGAGAGCGCTTAGGTAAGCACGGGGATCGACGTGTCTCTTTTCTTCTTCTCCTTCTTCTGTTTTCTTTTCTTTCTATAACTAAATACAGCCTCATACAGCAAACTACTGGTTGACTGCGGGAGAGGACAGAGGACAGAGATGGGAGATGGTGCAGCGACGGTTGCCTACATACGGAGTACTGGTTGGCGGCACAGGGAACAGCCTGCTGGGGGCTTAGCTTAGCCCTGACTCGAGGCGCCCAAGCTCAGTATGCAGCGACCCACGGAACGGAGGAACCCTTGCCTGCAGTGGGTTGGTCTGTTTGTTTGCATGAATGGAGACACGACAACCCACAGCGGCTGCTTCCGCGGGCTCAACTGTCACACCAAGGTTGCCCCGGCTGTGTGACAAGGCTGAAGAGAGAAGAAAAGAAGAGAGGAGAAAAGAGAAAGAATCCAGATGAACTCATTGACCCTGGAGCCCACAAGAAGTGATAACAGGGGATTATAAGGGCAGCTTTGGACAGGGTTAACAAATAAGGGTATACAGTCTTGTTCTGTCAACAATACCGTGTGAGTGGCCTTTCAAAGATAGATAAAGCCGGGCTGTTCCATATATAACTTGTAATGGACTGTAGCCTGAGGTAGCAAGAGACAGGAGACAGATAACTCAGTAACTCAGTTACATAGAGACCTGGCGTAAGAATATTTGTGTAGAAACAGACGTATTGAGTAACAGGTAAATCTCATAGCTCAACTGGAGCCGCATGTATAACCCATCTACATATCTATCCGTAATGATCGTAAAGTGTTCAGACCCAAGAACTCGTTTAAACCACCAGCAGAAACTAGCATTCCATTCAAGCAGAACCAGCCTTCTTAGCAGCCAGATCATCCAACACCTTGCCCCGGCCCTGCATCCTCATCCATCTCTCCAAATTGAACTCTCCGTCCTCTAGGTCCCGCCGGTTGCCCGCAAATACATAGATGGTAACCTGGTCGGTCTCCGGCTGCTGTCCGTCAGCGTAGTACGCCGTCGTGCTTCCTGTCGTGTAGTTCTTCGTCTCATAGTTTGCCAAGGCATGAGCATGCTCGACCGACTCGACGTTGTACACAGCGCCTTCAATCACTGCTGAATCGTCGTGCTTGTCGTCTAGAAGAGCCGGGTACGGTCCCCAGAGCTTGAACTTGTAGCCCTTTATCGACGCAGGGCGTAGTTCTGGCTGTTTGTCCAGGTGGAGGAGCTGGACTAGAAGCGTTGGGTCCATCAAGGTGCCATAGAAGAAGTACAGCCCTGTTGGAGGGTCGGCATTACCACTCTTGGTCTGATAAAAGTATCAGTTAGAACCTTACTCCGTACTCCGTTTGACCGATGTAGATAACTAAGTATCTAAGTAGATGTCCGACGGGGTTACTCACTCGTTCAGCCATGGCGCCGTCGGCTTGTTTTATCTAACTCGTGGAGCGAGAATATCCGAGTATCTGATCTGAGTATCCGATCTGAGTATCTGACAGGCGAATAGGAGGTTTTAGATCCCAGAACTCTAGCCGATGTTTATTATTTATTTGCAACGTCTTGTCCAGGTGAAAAAGGTTGGCGATGCGTCTAATCCGTTGCCTGCTCTTACTTGGTTGTTCTTTCTGGTTAGTCAGCAAGGTTGGTGCCTCGGCACTTAACTAGCGCCAGTTGACTTTTTGTTCCCTCTGTTTATTTTCTTTTGCCTTCATTCATTATTCTCTCTACCACTAGACAACGGGGAGACTTCACTGTGTACCTAGGTATCTGCACTCTTCCGTATGCAGCATACAAAGTGTAGAGTAGCACTTAAGAAACAAGGATCTTCAACGTATTTGTTTGCGTGTTATTATTAGCAGCATTCTGGCCCTTCAAGACACGCCCCCATTCCATGCAACGCCAGACCGGATTCCAATGCCACCGCCGGTCCAGAACATCCAGCCATGTCAGCTACATATACACATATGCATACATGTGTCCCATCTGACCTTGCCAACCCCCAGCCAGCCAATTAACTATCTATTAGGTACGGGCATGGCAACCATGTTTGATACAACGAAGAAAAATGCGGGAACCTTGTCAAAGCATGCGAACCGAACAAAGAAAGGAAAACACTACAACCATCGCTAAAACGAGAGGGGAAATCAGGCGGCAAAGAGAGGACTGAATGTTATGGGGGGAAGTAGTCTGTACGGAGCATTGAGTAACTACCATGCTGCGTGGCCACCGTCGATCCTGAGGTCGCTTCCAGTCATGAAGCTGCTAGCATCGCTGATAAGGAAGACGGCTGCACCGCGGTATTCGGACGGCTCACTGAGACGTCCGAGCATGTTCTCAGTTGGCCACTGGGTCTTGCGCTCTGGGAATTCAGTGAATAGATTTTCAACCATGGCGGTCACGATGTAGCCAGGAGAGATAGTGTTGACACGGATACCATACTGGCCCCATTCAGAAGCAAGGTTGCGGGCAAGCTGGATGACACCAGCCTTGCTGGCGTTGTAGGCTGGACAGATTAGGCCCTGCAGTTGCCGTTAGCAGCAGTATCACCAGGCAAATTGCCACTATGCACCGATGTGACATATAGAAGGTGAAAGTGGGGTGACCTACTCTGTTGGCGATTGTGCCACTCATGCTGGCAATCATGACAATGCTTCCCCGGGTTCCGAAGCGAATCATCTGCTTAGCAACTGCTTTGGCCGTCATGAAAACGCCAGTGATATTGACTTCGAACATGGTGTTTGCGTCCTTGGCAGTGTACTCGAGCGCGGGGGTTTCCTGCTGGATGCCGGCAGCGGCCACCAAACCATCCATACGTCCATGCTTGTCGGCTATTTCCTGCACGATTCTTTCAAGGTCCTCGGTGTCGCGAACATCGATGCGTCTGTAGTGAAACTCGGTGTTGAGTTCCTTGGTGGCGCGGGTTTGCACTCGGTGGAAGTCTTCGGACTATTTACAGCGAGTTAGGTAAAAAAAAAAAAGAGTTCGCAGACGGGATGAAGGGTTCATGTCTTACGGGCTCTTCAAGACGGTCAAGTGCATAGACTATCGAAATGTCAGTATTACGGGAGCTATCGAAGAGGATGGGAGAATATGATCCATACCAATAGCTCCGGCTTCTAGCAGGGCCTCAGCCTGGGTTAACCCAAGGCCTCTAGCAGCACCAGAGACAAGAACAACCTTATTGGCAAGCTGGAACTCAGGAAGACGCTCCTTTGTGCCTAATAGAACAGGAGGCTTTGCGCCGGGCGCCGACACAGCCAGTATTGGATTTGAATCAGCCATATTGGTAAGTTGCATTCCGAGAGGTTTGCTGAAGGTTGAACGGGAGAAAAGATGTCAAAGTAGCCAACGGAAGAAGAAGATGGCTTTTATAGTTGTCAAGTACAATGCAACACACAATACGAGCCAGTGAGGGGGAATGGATCAATGAATACTTGTCAGTCAGTGAACGAAAAAAGGAGACCAGGGGAGACAAGAAGGGATCCGTGTGACCTTATTTATGCACTCTCTGTCGGGTGAAACGAGGCGCTGTGGGCGGGGAGGTTTTGGTCCAGGCCTCCCCTTCGCCGTCGAGCAGGTCAGGAAAGGATAATCAAGACGCCATGGTAGGTAGGTGATGCGTACTGGGCATGGCATGGCTTGTTCATTCTTGTTGTCTCCTGAGCAAGTAAGCATGGCAACGAGACCGGAATCCCCAGAGCGGTATCGTGTGCTCCGAAGACGGGCTGCCGGCCGGATAAGCCAGTACCTGGGCAGGCCAGCCAACAGGTAAGGCCTGGAATGTCCGGAGCACGAAGTATGGGGTACTAACTTGTTGCTTAATACTAGTGGTTGATGCGTAAGACTTCTGAGTAACCACTTTCCAGCGGCCGACGGGCCGAATTATCGAAACAGGAGCAGGTCTGCTGACGGCCTGGCCAGCACTAGGAAATATCAACAATAAACTAATAATTACTTCATAGCCCTACCCTACGCTATCCTACATCATAGCTAAACTACTCCTGCTAATGCAAATCGAGTTCATCCTATTAAGCTCGGATTTAAGGTCGGTGGAGACACCGTGGGTGAGCTCGCGCGGATGGCCGAAAAGGGCAATCCGGGGTGCCGGTGAGTGGAGTCGCTGGGCGCTTGGCCCCGGCGGCCTGGATCGCGGGAGGCAAAAAGGAGTATAAATAGTAGCCTGTGTTGTGTTGGGTAAGTGTTAATTGAGGGAAGGGGGAAAAAGAAGAGTATCAGAAGACCTCGCAGATTCTGGCGGCTCCACTGTATGGGAGAATTAACTATTAATAAGGAAGAATGTGGTAGTTAAAACATGCATGCTCGACCTTGAAAGCACGTTTCTGCTACTCGGACTGGCTGGGGTGATCAACCTGTTTTCATGCAGTTATAACCAGGCTGGCGGGACGATAAGCATAATGTAATGATGTGTCAGGTACAGACATGGCCGTTTGCGCGAGAGGACGGTCAATTCGGCCCATAAAGACGCGTACTGCTCAGGCAGTCGGTGAGCATGTCGTCTTGTAGAGCTGCTTCTTCGGCAGCTCTGAGCCGAGCACCGCCCAGGTTCAGCATCTGTGTATATTCGATACGAGAGAACAAACCGTTAGCTGAAATGGTTACCTGTACTTATCTACTTGTTTTTCTTTTCCTCTGTCTAACGATTTCGTTCAGTGAGTTGTTTACGTGCCTTCTCCACAGTAAATGGGCCAAAGAAAAGCTCAAACATGTTGATGAGATCGCGCCGATGCTGCTGGCCAAGCCTGTATTGCCGTGGGCGCCGTTGCTTCTGGTGATTGTTGTTGAACTTCTCAACAAAAAAGGGATCAACACGTCAGACCCAGTCTGGTCACCTGGATGGCATTTGAGCCGTCCGCTAACTAGTTGTTTAGCCACTTACTGTCAGGATACCTCTCTTTGCAAGGTACATTTCCAGTATGGCTTCCTGGTCATTGAGGTCAATAAACGCCCCAACTACAGGGTTATCGGCACAGTCGCACCTTGTACAAGCAGCCACAGGGGAGTCGCTCTTCCAGCTCATCTCCAACCGGGGTATTGTCGGATGGTGGAGTCTAAGTACGGCGTCAGTCAGGATTCATAGAGACTGCTGGTTAGTTAGTACTTACTACACCAGACACACGACACGAAAGGCATTTTGGGAGACGGCCACCGCTCCCGCTCCCGCTCTCCCAGAAAAAGGAGCTAATTTCAACAGTCAACCACCAGAATTATTCAAGGTTATAAAGAGGAAGAGTACATACCGTAACTTCTCTACAATATTCTGTTGTACTTCCTATCCCATAACCTCAGCACAATATCAAGTGGCTAGTTAAGAACTTGTTTGTTATCACGTACCTTTGACGGCCGCCCGGAATTCCACCGTCTACGGTAGTGATTGTCCGCAATGCCACTACGACGTCTCTTCTGGGGTATGGAGATTCTCATCCGGGGGCTTCTCCTCCACGCCTGAGCCAACGGTATTGATTTCGATGTATCGGTACTCGCCGCGTCAGACTCTGGGTCAAAGTTGGAGTCACTGGCCCGCTCAGGCTCTAATGGTAATACGTTGCTGTTTTCGTCTTCTTCGTCTTCTTCGTCTTCTGACCCGCCGGACTCGTCAACGTCCTCTAACCCAGTCTCCATTCCCTCATCTTTATCGACTGGCTGATCACTGTGGAGGATCATGGTGTCTTCAGCCACTTGTTCTTCACTTTGGGCTGGTGTCCAGTGATCTTGATTCTCTCCATCAGACAACTCCTTCCTGACGTCAGACCCCGTTCCTCGTGTTGTCGATGACTCTGAATCACAAGCTGTCCCCGCTGGCCGAAGTACTAAGAACCGTCGCTCTGGTATCTTGTAGTTTCTGAAGTCAATATCACTGTCTTCAGACTTGACATCATCTTCATAATTCCTGTCTCTAGACGTAGCACCCCGGTCTTCATGCGTCTTGGGAGCGACGGTGCTTCGTCTCAGCCTCTTGCGGTCCCGGCTTGAAACTATCCGGTCGCTGTCATCGTCACTGTCGGTCTCACACTCGCTGGTCTGACGCTTGGTGCCACTACTCGTAACAGCACTGTTAGATCATGGATCACCCTCATTGTCATCACCATGAGGCTGCGAAGGCCGACCCAAGATCCAGCCCTTACAACGAAAAGAGGAGTGTGCCCAAGTACCTGTCTGTTTGCATTTTGCATTAACCCGAATCCGGGGTATTACTAGTAACCCCTGGGTGCATAACACGCCTTACTAGCCCACTTTATGCCTTGCTCATAACACGAGATCCCGCGCGCTTACTATTTACATAGAGTCTCCTAGGAGGCGACACGGACCAAGAGGCGAATGAAGTAGATTGCGGGGAAGGCGCGTCGCGCTTTTTGGCTTTCTTGGCTTTCCAGGTAAGCGTGGCCCGTGCATGCGTGTGTTGGGATAAATAAGCCACTTACTAATATAAGACAAAGGTAAAATCACATGATCATGTTTTCACTCACGTGATGTAATTATTAATCATATATTAGTAATCATAAAAAAGAAATCATGAAAAGGAAACAAGAAATCAACACACGCGAAAGAAAGACGACGACGACAACAACAACGACGAGAGAACAAAAGAACAGCAGAGACGACGAAGCAAGAGGGCCGCATGATCTCGATGGACATGGGCATGGACATGGATGAAGATGCAGATGCAGATGCAGATGCAAAGGGCTATGTCAGCTGGGCCAGGAGGTGCCGCAGACAGCGAGAGGCCGAGTGTCTTTTCCCTTGAAGCTACATGACCGACTTAACCGCTGATGGACAAAGTTCCTGACTCTGGCTGGCTGGCTGACGCTCCTGTTATAGAAACTACGAAGAAGAGACGAAAGGGGTTACCTTTTGCGCTGGCCGGGATGCTCGGGTTGGGCAGAACCAAAGAAGGATGAAGGTCCCCATCTGCCACCTGTTCTCTCTAGTGCGACAGGGCTGGACTCAAAAGTGCGTCCAGCCTCCACGATGGGCTTCTTCCTGGTTGGTCGCTCACTCAGCCACTTGTGCCGAACTCGAGAGTATGCCCAAAAAGAGACGACGCTTGTGGGCTGAAGGATGAACAACGCCCTTTCCTCCGAGGACGGTTCTCTGGGTCCTTTCGTATTTCAGCTGGATGGATCATTCGCCGAGCCTTTGCCAGGGACCTTGCACAGGCTTGCCCCCCACTGAACAGTTCAAATTCAGGTGAGATACTTTCTGACTGTTGAATATGACCGCCTGCAGCTATGCTGTGCACTTTCAGTTGAGCAGGAAAAGACTGGCTGGGAGCTAGGCGCAGATTGAGGCTGACGGCGATCGCGGGACATGGCGCAGTCCTTAACACAATTAAGCATCCGTTTCGACGGCCAGAGCTTCGATATAGTTTGGCGCTGATATCATCATCACCACCCACCAGCTGAAGGCGAGGTTAATTTTAGCCGTCCAGAGGAACCGCTAACGAGTCGTCTGGTCGCAAAGTAAGTTAGTCCTCATCGCCTAGGATCGCCTAGCTGCATGCCCGACCCATAGCTTTGGTCCTTCTTTTATTTCTCAGCTGGCACCGTCACAGCGCGAAGCGCCCACACTCTCCCTCCGCCTTGTATATGAACACTGTCCCCTCTGCTTTTATATCATTGTTTTATTGTCTTTCTCTTCAAAGATAGCTTAATACACCTTATTCTCCTGTCTGTTTCTTTCTATATACATATTTCTACATCTTAAAATTTACTACGTTAGTGTTGCAAGCCTAACCCTGCCAACGATGAGGTTCACCCCGGCAACGCTGGGAGCATATGTCCTCGCAAACTTGCTTCCCGGTGAGTTCAAGATACATAGTTACCGTTGATCGAGGTAAATGGAGTTACTTGACTTCTAATTTTGATAGTAGTAACTGTTGGTGCGGGTATACCAAACGCCGCTGCAGATGTCGCTGCCAGAGCTCTGCCGGATGCGCCGGACGGCTATGCGCCGGCCGAAGTCGACTGCCCACCTAAAAGGCCAGCCGTTCGATCGGCCGCGAATTTGTCGCAGCACGAACAAGACTGGCTGAAGGAGAGGAGGAAGAAGACCACGGTCGCTATGGCTGACTACTTCAGTCGCGTCAAGATAGACAATTTTGACGCCGTATCATACCTCGGAAACCACTCTGACGACGTGGCTAAACTACCAAATGTTGCCATTGCGGTATCTGGAGGCGGATACCGCGCACTGATGAATGGAGCCGGCGCTCTCCAGGCGTTTGATAGTCGGACAGAAAATTCAACCGCTCCTGGACAGCTTGGTGGCTTGCTGCAGTCAGCCACCTACCTGTCCGGCCTCAGTGGTGGTGGATGGCTGGTTGGCTCTATATATGTCAACAATGACACTACCATCACGGACTTGCAGAAGGGAGGCAAGAACTCGCTGTGGCAGTTTGGGCGGTCCATCCTCCAAGGACCAAGCGATGTTAGCACCGCTGACTACTACAAGGGGATGATCAAGGAGATCTCTCGCAAGAAAGCGGCTGGCTTTGAGACCTCTATCACCGATATCTGGTATGTCGTGTTGTCATTTATCCTTAATTGATTGAGCTAACATTATATATAGGGGCCGAGCATTGTCATTTCAACTCATTAACGCAACCGGGGGTGGACCGGCCTATACATGGTCATCCATCGCCCAGAACCCCCAGTTTCAAACTGCCGATGTGCCATTCCCTCTTCTCGTTGCTGATGGTAGAAACCCAGGCGAGAAGCTTATTGGTGGTAACGCTACTATCTTTGAATTCGGCCCGTATGAATTTGGTACCTGGGATCCCACTGTCTTCGGCTTCGTCCCAACACGATATATTGGCTCTAAATTCAATGCTGGAACTCTTCCACCGAACGAAAAGTGCGTCAGAGGCCTGGACAACGCCGGTTTTATCATGGGCACGTCCTCATCTCTATTCAACCAGTTCGCTTTGCACCTGGATAGCCAAGACCTGCCCAAGTTTGTCAAAGACACCCTCCGTGACTTCTTGACCACACTTGACGAAAACAACAATGATATCGCCGACTACAAGCCCAACCCATTCCTTGGATATTCCAACAACACCTCCCCTTTTGCAAAGGTTGAATCTCTTCCTCTTGTTGATGGCGGCGAGGATAACCAGAATATCCCCTTCCATCCTCTGATCCAGCCAACCCGAAATGTCGACGTTATCTTCGCTATTGACTCTTCCGCCGACACCGAACTGGCCTGGCCCAACGGTAATAGTATGATAGCTACCTATCAACGTAGCCTGAACACCACCGGTATCGCCAATGGAACATCATTTCCATCCGTACCAGATAACAACACCTTCATCAATTTGGGCCTGAACCTCAACCCCACTTTCTTCGGCTGTGACAGCTCAAATACTACCTCCCCTACGCCATTGATCGTATACATCCCCAACAGCCCCTACGTTACATATTCAAATGTCTCGACTTTCGACCTGAAATATAACAACACGCAGCGTAACGCTATTATCCTCAACGGGTATAACGTCGCAACCATGGGCAACGCCACTCGAGACTCTACCTGGCCTACGTGCGTCGGCTGTGCTATGCTCAGCAGATCCCTTGAGCGAACTAAAACTTCGGTTCCTGCCGCCTGCAAGAAGTGTTTTGAGAGGTACTGCTGGGACGGAAAGCTGAATAGCACGACGCCAGATGTTTATGCCCCGAAATTGTTTCTAATGGGAGTGGACCTGACGAGCGCTGCTCAGGGGCTTTATTCGTCTGGTAAACTGAGCCTGGTAACAGCAATTGCCGCTTTTCTTGCAATAATGCTGGTGTAGAGAGTCTCTCTTTTCCTTTTGATCTTTTTAATCTTGGATATTTATGGATTTTTTTTTTGGGATGTAGATATATGTATCAATTTGCCTATTTATGAATAATATGACTTTTAGGTGTCTAGTCTAATTGGACATGAGCTAGCTACCACAACCTTACACTTTCTACATCTTTCTCCTGCTCCTGAATTGGCTGTATTGGATATAAATTTCCTGGTATATCTTGCTACAAATGCCCTAAATACCCGAATACGTTCTCATCTCCGAGATCTGTCACCGTGGCCCACTGTTCTGTCTTGGTTCCAGTTGACCGTCCCGTGGTGACGCTTGTATAGCTCTTATATCTCTCAAGTGGGTAACTTACTTAATATAGAGTCAACGTTAGATCAACGTCGTAGATACTACCGTTGTACAGCCACTTATATTCAAGCACCTTGAAGGCATGCGCAACGTTGTACAGGAATATCCCTTTAAATATACAACCTTGTATAAAAGCAAGGTCTTGGATATAGATACACCCAACCACGCTTGTCTTAAAACCACGTAGTTAACGAGTTATCAATCGCACGACATTAATTAATGAGGCAGCTGTCAATTTCAAGTTTAAACCACAGCGCTTAGGTAACTCTTGGAGGATAGGTAACCTCACGATGCTTTATTCTACAGATGGGCTATAAATCTTTAACTGCCTGAATCCTCCAGTTTGATAACTGTTGGACCTCGGCACTCCTGGGCGCGAGTGGACCCGACTAGACCCGACGCGGTCAGATCACGTGATATTCACTTAGCCCCTACGTTTCCATAGCAACACAAGCGACGATCAATAACAAAACGCCCAGGGATGAAGATGAAGCTCAACTTCAACAAGACGATAAGACGATGATGCAAGGTCACAGTCGGCCGCATAAGTTGAGTTCCTGAGCTTACGAACGTTTGTGGGATCTGGGGGCTTTTTTCCCTTAATTAGCCTGTGACGACACTAGATGTTTAGCTATAAGCTGGTGTGCTAATCAACAATTCAACTGCCTCCTGAACCACCACCACACAGCTACTTCCTGGCCTTTTGGTACACTGTTTATCTACTTTCTACTGTGTATGAGTATACAATGGCACGGCGAGCAATAGAAACAGAGGTGCCGACGCCGCAGTCCCCTCCTAAAAGAGCCACTCGCGCTCGAACGCGAAGTACCACGACCAAGGCGAAGGAAGATGCCAAAGTACCAGCTACAACAACTACCACAACAACTACCACAGCGCGGAGAGGAAGACCTAGAAAAAACCCAGAGACCACTTCCGTGCCTAAGGCTAAGACAACTGCCGCCTCAGAGGATTCGAAGAAAAGGACGCAAAGGACAATCAAGACCAAACCGACATCATGCAGTTTGGATGAAGACAATTCTAGTGACGACGAGATGAATATTGTACATTCCAGGGCTACCGCTGCAACGAGGTCGTCGACAAGGCGTATGGCTACGTTGGCTTCTTCTAACTCATCTGTGGCTAGTGAGCCTAAGAAAAGAGTGCCTCGAACGACTAAAAAGAAACCCGAACCTGCTACCGTATATACACCGGAAGCGCATGACCTAGACTACGATGACGACGATGAACTTGCAGAAACTCAGCCTGTGAAGCAAAAGACTGTTCAGATCACGACCACGGCTACACGAAGGGCAAAGGCATCAATTGTATCGAAAACGGCAAAAGCTTCTACCCGGTCATCAACTCTATCCTCTACTACAACGGATCGCTCTATACTTCTAAACAAAACAAAACCAGGTGTTCCCAAAAAGAAGGTTACGTTTCTGGATATTACTGAACATTCCGACAAGGAAAATCAACCTTTACTGGATGTTTCCAAGAGTAAAGGGAAAGCAGAGATTGGTATGACTGCAAAGCCGGTCCGCAAAGGAGCTGCCGTGAAACAAAACGTATCAGATACCAGCGAAGGTAAACGGGAGCGGAAAAAGGAGCCACTGTCTCCAAAGAAAGCTACGCAGATAGCCAAATCTGGATCCTCTGGCAGTTCCGAAGAAGAAGATGATGATGTCTTCGGACCCACGGGCCTCTCTAAATCGCCGCAGAGGTCACCAGTGAAGGCATCTCCACTTCCACGGTCTTTTGCTTCTCCTGCAAAACGAATCGATTTTACACAGGCTGCTAGGCCAGTCTCCCGAGATTCCGCGGTCAGTGAAAAAGAGCATGACACAGGGCATGGCAATAAGCTGGCCGAATTGATGTCAAGCCCTGCAAAGCGACCTCCTCCTTCTCCTTTCCAACCTGCTATCAATGAATCTCCACGAAAGGCTCCTATTTTCCATAGCGAGTCTCGACCTGGGCAGGAAACGGTAGGACAACCTAAGGTTTCCCCGCTGAAAATGTCACCAAAGAAGGGGGCTAGTATGTGTTTTATCCAGGCATCTCTGGATGCACCCCTCTCACCTACGAAGACAAAAACATCACCTCTTAAATCTCCTGCACGCAGACCCCATTCTCCTATGAAAATGCCACTACCACCTTTGAGCTTGGAGGATCGTCTGATTGAAGCTCGAAGACCTAAGAATCAGGATGATATCAATTTGGATCTATATGGCGAAGCTTGTCATGAGGGGCTTATGGAGGATATGGATGATTTAAGCATATCAGCCATGCATGAGGATGAAAACCTCCTCGATCAAGTAGAAGACACCTTTATGGAAGACAGTCACCACACATCCAACAGGCGAGAAACAATACTAAGACATGGTAGGATGGATACTCCATCTAACATTATGGACCAGGTTTCCGCTATGGTTCCCATATCTCAACAAGACTTTGTTTATCGGGATGATATGATTCACGAAGACTCCGATACGGAACTAGGACCCAGTCCTACTAAAAGGCAACCACATCATGGAAATTCCCAGCCTGAGAGTCCTGAAATTGCACTTAGATCGCATGATGCATTTGGTACTGAACTTGGATTTACTCCCCTAGCTGACAGATTAAGCCGATGGGCAGCAAGTAGCCCCGAGAAACAGAGGCCCAGGAAATACCAGCGGAGGGGACTCTTCTCTCTAGATGTCCATGAAAATTCGCGCGGAACTTCAGAAAGAAGGCGGTCGTCTCGGATTCACCAGGCTCAAGCATTAAAAGAGTCCATGATATCCGTTGAAGAAGATGAAGTGCCTGCAATAGAGGATCTCAATATTCATACAGATTTGTCTACGTCCCCCGACGAAGAGAGTATCGGTGATTTTATTGCTTATGACGATATTGAATCACCTCTAAGGCCACTGAGCTCGCATAGAAGTCCCAGTGACCATCTTTCAGAGTCTTCTGAAGTATATGGAGATGAAAATGCACCTCCAGCGATGACCATCAATCCTACACTCTTTAGTGAAAGCTCTCATGGCCGCGCTTACTTTCTTCCAACTTCCCCCGCTGAGCCAACACCAGTTTCCATGTCTGTGACTCCTGTTCGTCGAAATCCAGATTGCCCAAGGGTCATACACACTGTATCGAAAGTTCCATTGAAAGGTGACGATGGTGGATCTCTCAAAATCCCTCGGAAGAGAACTAGGTCTCTTTGCTCGAATACAACAAGTCCACCGTCGACCTTGACCAGAAGCCGAACCTTGCCATCTCCCGGTAAGAACCGGACACCACTTAAAACTTTCATACCAGCCTCCCCTGGAAACGGTTCGACGCCAACTGGACTCATGCTGCCCGAGCGGCCAAAGCCAGGAACGTGGTCCGGCCGTATCAATCCAGCGAAAAATCGGAGTCCAACAAAGGACAAGAGCAGTGGGAGCGAAGTATTAAAGGGTGCTGTTGCATTCGTTGATGTGCACACAGCTGAGGGTGCTGATGCCAGTGGTATCTTCATCGAGCTGCTTACCCAAATGGGCGCGAGATGTGTCAAGTCATGGAAATGGAACCCAAGAACAAGCTTGTCACCCGTTGATGGCGCTGAACCGCCGGAAAATCCAAAAGTTGGGATTACCCATGTCATCCATAAGGATGGTGGAGTTAGAACACTGCAGAAAGTAAGGGAAGCTAACGGTCTTGTAAAGTGTGTTGGTGTTGGCTGGGTACTTGAGTATGTTTACCTATCATCTACCAGTTTAATACCGTGTTGCTAACTTGTGCCATTTACAGCTGTGAAAGAGAAAACAGATGGGTCGATGAAGCTAACTATGCTGTTGACATCAGCATGATTCCCCGAGGTGGGAACAAAAGAAGAAAGAGTATGGAGCCTAGAGCTTTGAGCAATCAGCATGGAACACTCTCTGTCCTAGATTCTTGCACTTCCCCGAGCAGTAGCCGTCGCTCCGGCTCAGAGAGAGAAACACTGCAGGAGCTTAGACGTCTGTCACCTATACCAAAACTTCATCCATCTCGACGAGACTCAATTGGTCCCACTGCCTTTGAAGATGACAGCTTTGAAGACTCAGAGAGTATGACAACCCCAAGACGGCGTCAACCGCAGCTAACTACGTTCGAAGCAGAGGAGCCTCAAACGCCGGGTGGAGAGTATGGTTATTCTTTCAGTTATGACGATACAGTTCCGCCATCCCCAACTACCCCATACTACTTGTCAGGGGGAGCAAAGTTGATACAACAGACATGTCCACCTAAGCAATCAAGACAAGGCCTTTTCCCCCTCGATGGGAAAAGTGACGAGCAGCAAAATGAGAAGCTAAGAATCAGGCTTGAAGCAGCTAGGCGGAAAAGCCTAGTCTGGAAGCCAAAAATTGGAAGCCCCCTTGGAAAGGGATACATGTAGTAGTGGCTCTCTCCTTGGTTCCGATAATGTTTTACTATGTCTTGGGAGCGGGAATATATTCTCTGGGTTCGGTACAGGCAAACAAACAAGGCTGTTTTGGTTTTGGAGTATAGGGAATAAGGAATTCATATTTTTTGTTTATGATTATGCATTGATTTCATTTTATTCTCCCTATTACAATCTTTCTCTAACCGGCTCGCACAGACTTTTTAATTAAAAGGCATAACCAACCAAACCCTCCTTTCAAATTGAGAGCCAACCGATAAGGAGAAGGAAAGAAACAGAAACCATGATTAAAGGGGGCTTTCGGTGCCATTGGCAGCGGCATGGTCACGGTAGAAACCAGCTACCAAGAATGCAAGCTCAAGAGCTTGCTTCTCGTTCAGTCTGGGGTCGCAGAAGGTAGTGTATCGCTCACTCAAACCGTCTTCAGTCAAACCGGCAGCCCCGCCGACACACTCCGTAACAGCCTCGCCAGTCAACTCCAGGTGCATACCTCCAAGGTACGAGTCGTGAGCACGATGAATCTCCAGAGCCTGCCGCAGTTCGGACAGGATGTCACTGAAGTTTCTCGTCTTGACACCGGACGGGGTAGATCTGGTGTTGCCATGCATGGGGTCACATTGCCAGATGGGGATGTGTCCTGAGGCCTGGACGGCTTTGATGTGACCGGGCAGGTGGTCTGCAATCTTGCTACCGCCATAGCGGGAGATGAGGGTAACTTTCCCAAGTTCTTTGTCTGGGTTGACGACATCGAGGAGTGCGACGAGCTCGTCTGGCTGCATGGTAGGACCGACCTTGATACCGATTGGGTTGGAAATGCCGCGGAAGAATTCAACGTGACCGCCGTCGAGCTGGCGGGTGCGGTCACCTATCCAGAGGAAATGGCCGGAGAGATCATAATAAAAGTCCTTATCCTCCTGTGCAGGCTGAGGGATGCGGCGGTTCCCGGCTGGCTCGACTGGGTTTCTTGAAGCGCGAGTGAGAGTCTCTTCATACTCTAGTATGAGACCCTCGTGGCTGGTGTAGATATCAGCAGTCTCGATGCCACTAGCAGTGTCCAGGCCGACGGTTCGCATGAAGCGAAGGGAATCCGTGACTCTGGATGTGATCTTCTCGTACTTCTCCTTGATGGCAGGGGTCTTGACATGGCCCAGGCCCCAATCGAGGGGCGAGTGCAGGTCGGCAATGCCCGAAGCCAGGGCTGCACGGATATAATTAAGAGTCGCAGCAGAGTGGAAGTATGCATCCACAAGACGGGACGGATCGGGCTTCCTGGACTCAGGGGTAGCCTCGAATCCGTTGACGTTGTCGCCCCTGAACGAGGGCATGGTGACACCATTCACAGTCTCGACTGCACTGGAACGAGGCCTGTGAGAGAAGCAAGTCAGTAAGACGTGGGGCCTGATGGGAGATTACATGCATGCATGCGTGCGCCCTTTGGGTTAACTTGTTACTCACTTGGCGAATTGACCAGCTATACGAGCAACTCGAATGACCGGTTTATTGGCTCCTGGTGGTAGAATCGACATTGATTAGATCATCCCGGCAGTCACAGATGGAAAAGCGCAGGGAACTCACCCCAAATCAGAATCAAACTCATCTGCAGCAACAGCTTGATCTTTGCCTCGATCATATCCTGGTTGCAGTAATCAAAGAGCTCAGCGCAGTCCCCTGGATTTTACGCATTAGCAGTGCCGCAGCAGCGCAGGGGGGAAAAAGGGCACCGCAAAACTCACCCCCCTGGAGGACGAATGCTTCACCAAGGGCCACTCTCTTGAGACATTGCTTCAAGTTCGTGATCTATGAGCAGTGTAAGCAGAAGAAGAAAAAATAAGAGAGAAAATTCAATGGCAGCATGCTTTTAAACAGTACCTCATAAGGAGTTACGAGTGGCGGGAGCTGTCTGAGTCTCTGGATAGCGCGCTGCAAGCCCTCTTGGTCTTCATATGCAATCTCCTGCTTGATTGGTTTCGACCTCCACGCTGAATGACGGTGGCCAGTTAGCACTAGCAAGGAAATCTATCTATAGGGATGCCACATGAACGGTCAACTCACAGGCTGGTGTCCAGTCGGCCATGGTGACAAATAGCTATCCCCGCGCAGTATCAATGTGTGTGTGTGTGTGTGTGATTGTGGGTGTCTCTGTCTATGCTCAAATTGACAGATCTTGAAACCTGGGCAAAACAACAGCGACGACGCCGATATTTATGATCAAACAGACGCCCGGCCAGCCCTAGTTCCCTTCTCTGCTGGATGAGTCAAAAACTGGACTGCATGCAAGGCTGATTGGACGCCGGTTGAGCGAAGTTTTGCGATTTCAGCTTCGACCGGACGAGGACGAGACGTTTGCGGGGGCCCAACTTTGCGCTTGTCCTCTGCTTTCTCCTGGTCTGGTCCAGCGATGAGAACAGCAGCGGGACACGGATTCAGATATAATAGCCTGTTTTTATAACTATCTTATAAATAGAAAAAAGTGGCTTGCTTCGTAGTGCAAGCTTAGAAGGTTGAAAACTCGTAATTTGACGGCTTATTAAGAAGATCGCAGCTTAGCGTTTGGTTTTGGTAGCTCGCACTCACTTCACAGTCAACAAAGACGCTTAACAAAAGGAATACGAGGTGTTGCTACGGAGTACTCCTTTTATTCTATATTACATTAACTGCTATACGGAGTTGCTGGTAGTGACAATGTCAGCAAAGAAAGGCAGCGAGACGCCGCAGGACGACAACGGCCTGGCTGCTGAAGCCGGCGCCTCAGAGACGCTGCCCACCAACGCCGAAGACCGCGCCGCGGCGGCGGCCCTCTCGTCTCTGAATGCACCGAAGACTGCGGCTGAAGGGGACGAGGCCGACGAGGATGGCGCAAAGAAGCCATCAAGTGCAGACCAGGAGGCGCTTGGAAGGGCAATGAGCAGGCTGGAGATGATCGCTGGCGGTGCGAAGAAAGCTGCAGCGGCCGGCGGCGACAAGAAGGCGAAAACGACCTCGACGGCGACCGCGGCGGGAGAGATAGCTGCCGCTGCCGCCGGTGGTGAAGCTGTGAAGAAGAAGGCAGTCAAAGTCGCTGCGGACGATGTCAATCTGCTGGTTTGTAGGATCCTTTGTCATTATTTTTTTATTATTGATTGATTGACACTGATAGCTCTGAGCTTTGTGGACAGTTGATGCTAACAGGAACAACCCGCAGGTTGATCAATTAGACCTTTCGAAGATAAAGGCGACTGAACTGCTGAGAGAACATGACGGGAACGCAGTCAAGGCCATCCGTGCCTTCATCACTCCGTCTACCGCCGGTGCCGCTTGAAGGTTGACCTATATCCAAGGCCTGCTTCACAACCCAAGTGAACGGGGACGGAGGCACAACGGCGTCGATACAATGAAATAAACAGCATGCCGAGTGAAGAGACAAGTAGTTACATATATTACTCTATGGGTCTTCAATGGCATTACGACCAGCCGCACATGGAGGCAACACGGCCTTTCAAGCGGCAGACTTATGAGAAAATGTGACATACGAGGCGAAGTGACTAGTGGTGATCCATATAGATCATGGTAGATGAATTACTCTTGCACACATGGGAGTTTTATTTTTTAACTTCATTATTCATTTATTCATTTATTCATTTATTTCTATGTCTATCTGTTTACCTATGTTCACTGGTAGATGTGTATTCTATGCCGTGTATTCTATGGAGGCTTCTCGATGCCTGCTCCTTCGAATATAGTCCAAGTGACAAGCCATCCCAAGAAGGCTTCGATGGCAAGAGACCACCAGATGGCGCCGACGATGTTATGTTTCAGCCCCAGCCCCAGGCCCCAGCCAGCGATCAGTGGGCCTAGCGTCCTCGAAGCACTGAAGGCGCTCTGCGCAACTCCATGCAACGTACCCAGCACGCTCCTGTCTGGCACAGAATTGTTCACCAGTATCACCGTTGCAGGCAGGGAGAAGGTTCTGGACACCACCTGAAGGAAGATGACGGCCGAGAGCGCAGGCCAGACAATATACGGGTGGTCAGGCAGCAGCACCAGGAACGGAGCAAGAAGATAGGCCAGAGGAGAGAAGGGGAGAAAGATCCTAAAGGACCGTAATGTCCCTAGCCGCCACTGGACTCGCGGGTAGATGAATATCTGGATCGGCAGACCGATCAGGCCTATGATGGCCGTGGCCAGGCCAACTTTAGAGCTGGACATGCCGAGTCGCCGCCAAACTGGAAAAGGCTGCGTTGGCTTCCTGGGGCGCGAGGCGTGGGCAGGAAGACGAAGCAGAGCGCCGTGAATGCGCTGGTGTGGAAGTTGAGGAAGATATGAGCGAGCAGAGTGAGCAGGACGTTGCGAGTCCATATCTGACGGAAGGGCAAACGTTTCCGCCGTCTGGGAGAAGTGTGCTCGTTGTCTACCAGTCTCTGGCCTGATATGGTCCGCCCTTCTGGCCCCATTTCGAAGGAGTCTGGGGTATCCGGATCTGCTAGGCCGTCGAGAGCCTGGTAGTCACTATGCCGTGAGAAACCCAGGTATTTTGATATGGCCTTGCCAGCATGTATACCCAAGTCTCTCCGTGACCGGGCTATTTCATGTGTCTACACGGGTCAGCATCATGTCTTTCCGTAGATAGTATATATATATAAGGGGGAAGGCATATACTCCGTACCTCTTCCAGGCCTAGTAATATAGCAATTGCAGAACAGAGAATGAACCCAGCCGTGACCAGATTAGGGAGAGCAAACGGCCATTTTACCATCCACGACACTCCGTCTGCTCCCCCAAGCCATGACCCAGGCCCAAAGACGGACGGGTAGTTGCCTATGGGGTCAGCCAGCAGTCCGCCCATGATGGGCCCTATAATGACGCCGACATTGAAGCACATCGGCAGCAGCAAGAAGGCTCTCGACTGGTATCTGGCTCTCATGTCAGCGAATGTTCTGTTTTCATAACTGACTTAGCATAATGTGGTGCTCACTTCTTCTCGACGACAATCTCCGATATCATCGTCCTCATGACGCCCGCGTTACTGTTCAACGCACCGCCCAGCGTCCTGAAAAACATCGCCGTCGCAAAGGACTTGGAGAACCCAAAGCCCAGCGTCGAGATGCCAGCTCCCAGCAGGCCGATGAGCAGCACTCTCTTCCTGCCGATGGACTCGGCGTCGGCCAGCCTGCCCCAGATCACGGCCGTGACGAACTGGGCGCCCGTGAAGGCGGCCTGCAGGACACCCGTCTGCGCAGAGATGGTCGAGTCCGGCAACGAGGGATCAAACGACTTGAGCTGGTAGAACATGTATGCCTGCAGCGAGGTCTGCGCCAGCGGCTCGGACAGCCTGGCTACCGTGAGGATGATGAGCTGGTTCCGCCTGGGCAGCGAGCTCCATGACACCGGCCGGTTGTCGCTGCCTCTGTCCTTCTGCGCTTCTTCATCCTCTCTGGCTGCGTCCAGCGATGGTATACTGCTGCGTCGCCGTCCGTCTTCGCGCTCGTGAGGCCATCCTGATGCTCGTCCCGGCGCAGGCGTGGTGGTGCTGGCGGCGGCTGTCGGAGTGTGTGGCATGGCGCTGCTGGCGTTTTTCTTTGCTTTTGCCTCTCTCGTTCCTGCTTGGCCGGCGAGCGTAGAGCAACATGGGAAGCACAGGGGTCGATGTCGATGTATCCCATGGCTTGCTTCACTCTGACAGACAGATAGAAAGCATCTCCTCTTGAAAGAGCCTGGGATGTGTTGTTCTTTTGAGTTTTTCTATTTTTTATTTAGCCAACGTCATCCTGGATGTGTTCGGCATGTGTGCCGGACGATCCAGCGCGGTGACGCAGAAGCCGGCGTCTCTCCTTTTTTTAAAGTCTTATATATTTAGTCAAGAGATAGGAGGACACCCTCTATGCACTCGTTGTTATATTCAAAAAGTAGATCATAATCATTATATCATGGGCCTCTTGCTCTCTCATAGCCGACACCGGATCGTCTGTCCTCCCTCCCACATGTCACCCGGCTCCAAAACCTGCCATCCAGATACGGATCCCGCCTCGACGCAGACCATGTTCTTGTAGGCTTCGTCTGGGGTGAAGTCGGCCATTCCCTTGGCCTTCTCGATCCACGGGTTCCAGACAACCATGTCTAGCAACGATTCCCGGGTGATGGAGAAGACTGGCTTGTCCGAAGAGGTGACTACGACAGGCACGTCGGGATCAAGAGACTGGTAGACTCGGTCGACCTCGGAGGAGATGGCAATGGCATCGGACTCTTCAGTGAAGGTGGATGCACCGCGAACTTTGTCGACATACGACTTTGACTGAAGGCCTGCAATCCGAGTCGTTGAAATGTCCTACACAGTCAAAGATGTCAGCTAACCCCAGCATCTAACAAGCGAAAATAAAAACGTCCAACAAGGCCAGAAAAGGTGTGTATATACATCTACTCTGAAGTATGTATGCAGAAGAGACTGGAACTCAAAAGAGGCCGTTCCCTTGTTCTGGACCTGCAGCGAAGTAGTCAAACTCCGGGGACTGAGGGTGACACTGTACACCAGTCCAAACTCGAATGGCCAGTCCTTCTGGAACTTCTCACTCAGCATCCCTTTGGAAAGGCCAAAGTCGAGCTTGACGCTGGCATCTCCCTCGGTCTCGGAGGTCGACTTGCCTAGAAACTCCCAGTAGACGTTCCGCGCGAAGCCATGCTGCGGCAGCGCAGAGGTCGCATGTCCACTCGGAGGCGGGCCAAACACCTGGCTCGACAGGTTAGCCGTGGTCAATTCTGTGCCTGGTACATGCTCTCCCGTTCACAATATGGAGTATGTTAGAGAGGAACGGCGTACCGGGAAGACTAGGGGGATGCCACCGCGGATGGGCTTGGAGCCGTCCAGATGAGCTCCCTCACTGAGGAAAAGCTGCTCCGATCCCTCAGCGAGCTTCCACGACGTCACTGTAGCCCCGAACAAGTTGATAGTAATTGACTCTCCCGTCGCCAGAGACGCTTCAACCCGGTTCTCGAGGACGGAGACGCTGGGTCCCGGGGCAGAGGAGGATACGGGGATCGCAGTCGGTTTCTTCGAGCGCTCCATGCCGTCTATCTTGGAGAATTATAACGAGAAAAAGAAAATGAGAAAACGAGCGTATCTGTGAGCAGACGAAGGTATCTCTTTCTGTCCTTTTCTTCGGTTTCGTCTCTGTCTTGCCGGTGTCGTTGGTTGCTGATGTTGATGTTGACGATGATGTCGATTAGTTGGTTTGTTATTGTTTGGTGGGGCAGGAGGAGGATGACTTCATCGCCTGCAGGTAACCAGAATCTACAACATCTAGGAAAGACCAAGACCGAGATGATGAAGAAGATGGATACGAGAGAGAGAGAGAGAGAGAGACGGAAGAAGATAGTGGTAAGAGAACATGTTTATTACTATTAATTAACAGTCGGTAGGCTCTTCGCTCGAGAGAACCGTACGGAGTACATGAGTTGGGTATCGCTGAGATCAGTCGTATAGATCAACACCACCACCAGACAAGAGAAACACGCGCAAAAGGAAGACATGATATTATATATGTAGCGTTTAAGAGTCTATTCAGAGCGGCGTTAAGCTCTCCCACACGTCGTCGGTTTCTAGACGAAGATGGTGGCACCGAGAGCTGCGACAATGACTGCGTTGCTGACGACGATGGAGGTAGCGGCGTTTCTATTGACAGCTTGTTAGCCATTGAGAGACAAAGAGAGTTACAGTGACTAAAAGGCGACCAAAGAGGAGAATAAGAGATTACGAAGGGCGAGAAAGCACTTACTCGGTGTGGTTGCGGGATCCGCCATGGCTACCACCACCAGAGCTGCCCTTCTTGCGCTTCTCGAGGACGGGATATCTCTCGGCCAAATGCTTAACGGGCTCAGCAACCTTGGCTGCGGCGTCCTGGTCGCTGTTATCGGGCTCGCCAGGCATGGCGGCGGCCATGGAGGCCAGGAGGAAGACGACTCCGGTGACGGCAGAGAACTTCATGTTGACGATTGTGGTGGTAGTGGAGGTGGTGCTTGAGATGGCAGCGTATGAAGGGACTGGCGGACTGGTGCGCAGGGAGTGATATCTGGAGAAGCCTGGTTGAAAATCTGAGATGAATGCTTGGGACGGGGAGACATGACGGCCTATATATAGCCTGGACGGCCAGGGTTTGGTCTCGCTCGTGAGAACCTCCCGAACACCGCCAGCGTCGCCTTACACGTCAGTCCGCGAGCTACGAGGCGCCCTGCGATCCAAGATCACCAGGATAATCTTCGTGTCTCCCCAAACGGGTATCTGGTGCTTGGCCCGTCTCTGCCTCTTCCAGATTCGCCCGGGTTGATCAAAAAGCCCCTTTCTCTTCGTTTCTTTTCCCCCTGCCTTTCACGGCCATCGTATCCCAGCCGTCCTCCTGCCGCTCAGCCCACTCAGCTGTACAAGCATCGAGCCTTCGCTCATCCTGGCAAATCAGCTTGACCACCAAGCAAGCCGCATGCGAATTGTGTTTGATTTAGAGCCTCAACTAGTTTAGGCTTAATTTTTAGCGTTGGGCCAGTCTCGTATTTTACAATCGCTTGGGGATGCTGTCCTGGCTCCATACAGCCAGCATGAAAAATCGTAGCTTACTCCATGCTCTCCAGTAATTGGAAGGAGACCAAGATAAGGTTGTTTATCCTAATGGGTATTCAATTAACTCTAAACATACATGATTATTAAACCGTTGGTGATTCATTCAGGATCTTCGTGGCTGTCCCAAATAGGCGAAAAACAAGAGAAAGACTGTTCACTCGCTTCTCTTAAACGCATTATGGGCCTCAAGCTTGATATCAAACATCACATCATCCAGCTCTTTGAGCGTTGAACGCCCAAACGAGACGTTCCTCAGTGAGCCAAGGATACTCTTGAGGGACTGAAGTATTGACGATCCCGGAGATGCCTGCTCTCGTGCTTGGGATTCAGAAGGTGAAGGTGTCTGCTGCCGTTCAGGCTCCACTTGGGCCTCTTCACCTTCCACTTGGCCTTCAGTCTTTGTTTGCCGCCCAGGCAGCGATGCTGCAGCTTCGCTTCTTTCCCGCTCAGGTTCGACGACATCATCGGTCTTGGATTCAAGCTCTTCATGTGCTGTTCCACGCCCACGAAGGCGCAGAGACCTCCGCTTCTTCTTCGGCCCTGGCCGGGAACTTTCGGCACCTTCATGAGACTCTTGAGACGTTTCTTCCTCCAGGCTAGGGCTAGATCTCTTCCTGCCAGACCGCCTTTGACTTGTGGACGGATTTTCCGTAGTCAACAACGTAGTGTCAGCGATTGTCTGAGGCGGCGCAGCTGCTCGTGACTCAATTGCTATCTCAATGGTAGGTGCTTGTGGTGGTTTTTTGCTAGAGCTGCCACCATTTCTTTTCCTCCTTCGGCTTCCTAATTTATTCTTTGTCTTTGATGGCTTATCCTCAGGCACGCTGAGGTCCATCGACAATTCAAGATCTTGCTCTAGCTGCGAGGCTATCTGCTCCTGCAGAGGATCGTTGAACGAATCAGGAACCAGTTCTTCTTCCTTATTTTCTTCCGGTCCAGGAGGTTTGGACCTCGAGTTCGGCCTGGGAGTGGAGTGCATATCGTCATCCCTATGACGTGATGGGGAAGAGGGCCCGGTGAAAAGGGCGGTTTGAGCTTCCCTGACGCTCGTACAGCTCGGATCGTGAGATGTGAATTCTCCCCCTTGCGACGAAGGGACTGTCTGTGGTGGGGACGAAGGTGGATCATCGTTTGTAGAAAAGCTCCATTCAACTGTCGATGGGAATGAGGTTAGATCCAGATTGGTAAATGATGGGCGTGGACTCCTGCTAGCTGGTGTTGGGGAGGATTGAACTTCTTCTTCGACATTTGGCGCCTCTGGTGGGATGGTAGGAGTTGGCAAATTACTATCAAGCGGATCAAGAGTTTTGCGCCGGGATGATGGCCTTGATGAGTGCATCTCCGAAAACATGATGGCTACCTCCTTTTTCTGCCTTTCCCTGACGGACTTTTGGTTCTCCGTCATAAACTGGGATTCCAATGGCCCGGCCGCATCGCCCTCTGACTCGACAGCCATGAATTGTACCTGTGAATCGTCATGCCGAGGTCGTTTGGGTGTACTGGTGCCATTTTTCTGTACCATCTTCCTCTTGCGGCTACGCGTGTTGCTGTCCAGGCCAGAGGGGGTTGAACGTTTGCTGCCATCTTTTTTGGATTTTTGAGCAGGTTTTGGAGTGACAACAGTCTCTTGTGAACTAAGATATTCTGGCGGTGGAGAGACAGCCTAAATTCACCTGTTAGTTGCAAATTGTATATGAACATTGGATTCCAATCCTTTTCATACCTTTGTTCTAGTACGTTGTGGGAAAGCTGGTAGCTGAATCTCAACGTACGGTTGAAGTCTTCGTAGGATTGACTCCAGCGAGGATGGGTACGCTAACGTCTCTTGTTGGCCGAAAGATGCATTCCACATGGCTATCAACTTGTTAACAGTAGATTTGTGGCAAGATTCAAACCCAGCTGTCATCAACGAGGTTAGCAGCTCCAGAGTCTCGCTATTAGTATTGTGTAGAGATGTGATGCTGCAAAGGGCGACTGAGTTCATAGTCCGAGCCTAGCGCTAATTAGAGCGATTATAGCTATAATATAAGGAGGAGCGGGCTTACCGAAGCCAGTATAGACTTGTCAATACCAGACTCTGCTATTAGTTTTCGGCTAGTATCAGCTAACCATGGAGCAATACCAGTTTGTAGCCTCTCAAGTAAGGTGATACGGTATTGTACAGGGCACTGCTCAAGCCACTGCGAGACAGCATCAAGAAACGAGAGTGTATCAGGGACACAGACTTCCGGTTGGACGTGATATAAATGCACAAGGATATCGTTGGTCAGCGTAACAACCTTCTCACAGAATGGTTTGTTGTTTGGGTGGGTTTTGATAGTTGCGTTTAAACTTATTGGCTGTGCCGCTGCAACTGGTTCTCGAGGAAAGGTGATGGACTCCATAAATAAGGGTATTTCACCGCAACCTATTGATATACCGGTCCCAGTTGCATGACTAACAAACGAGTCAACAAAAAGAGACACATGGGCATCACCTTTCTCATGGCGAACTACGGTTACCAGTGATCGAAACAGTGAAGACCATTCAAGGCTCTTGATATCGTATCTTATTCCATATTCGAGGATCGCTAAGGCCTTATCGTAGTCACGGATGGAGGTTTCGCCTTTGCCCATGACATTAGCATCTGGGGTTGAGTTTGCAAGGGTTTCTTTAGTAAAAGTCGAAATGGCCTTCCAGACCGCTTCAACGCAGTCACGGTTCAATTCGAGGACCTCGCTAGACGGTCCCAGTAATAATTCAGTAAATTGGCGTAGGATTTCCAAACGGGAGCTTCTGGAAGCCCGGCTTCGTAGACCAGTTTCAATGATACCGTGTAGTAGAAAATTATAGCGCGGGATGGAGACAGAGTATGTAGAAAGACATACATATTGGAGAAGGTGGAGTATGGGAGTTCTGATGATGCCGTTGGGGTGGGGACGGCGGTGGGTAGGAGTCTGAGCTATACTGAAAGTTTCCGTCGATGTCCTCAACAGCATCTTCTCAGTAAAAGCAACAGACCCGAGGTTAGGTACGATTGTTTTGACAAGGAAGAGGAATTGGCTAAAGAAAAGGCTGTTCCTATCCTTGGCTCCAGAAATCGCGGCAGTTCCAGTTTTCTTCCAAATTCTCTGAAGGCTCTCAAGGACATAGCCAACAGCTTCCATTGTCTCTGTAGAAGGCTGGATTTCTTTACTAGATGCATCTGCAAGGCTTCGAGATAGGTGAATCCAGGCTAGACCAATCGGAGAGTCTTCTATGGAGGTGTTATGTTCAACGAAGAGGTCAAATAGAGTCTCAAAGACGGGCAATATTTTTGATATTCTAGAACGGACCCACTTGCAGTCCAGTCGAGGAAGGTCTTCTGGACCGACTTTCGTTGTCTCGAGGGCCTTTTTCTCGTCCCAGACTTTTGGAAGGGAATCCCATAGTAACATGGCTAATATTCGGCAAAGTCCTAGGGCATTTCCGGAGCTCCATTTTAAGACCTTTGCGGTTGGGGCGACCATGTACTCCGTCCAGTGCAAGTCCAGGCGTTCAAACGCAGTTCCAGGTTTGAAGGAATAGTAAAGAAGGTTGCAATAGCTCGAAAAGGCGTGGTCGGTGTGGGCACCTCGTTTCGAAGCCTTCTTTCTCTCCAGCTGAGAGTCAATGGGCTTGAACAGGAATTTGGCCATACTCTTGTTGCTCTCAGTAGATTGTACCACATACACCAATCGGTTCCATGCAAGAAGAGCTTGTGAGTTAGTTGTGGGGTCACTGCAATTGAAGCACTGCTGGATGACCAGCATCCAAGACTTGAAGTGAGACCATTTTTCTATCAACCATCGGGGGCCACGAAGGAGAAGTGTGACAACGCTCCAGATTTGGGGAACGTGCGGGCTTGTTTCCCGGTTTGCAATCATACTTGTCAAGCGATCACAGAAGTCGTTCACAAACTTTGCGTCTTTTCCTTTATCCGTGGGAATGTTTAGGACCTCATCGATCGCCTTAAACACGGGGGTAGACGGACCCAAGGAGTCAGTTATCCGGAAGCCCAACTGGAGAGCTTTTAACCTGACATCCTTGACCTTATATAGCAGACCATCAATGAGATTATCCATCCAGAAGTTCGCATGAGAGACGAAGACGGAACGGGCTTGGGAGAACAGTCGGTCGTATATATTCAGCCGTAGGGCGGTCACTGCCTTTCCTCCGACGCGATCAGGTCCGCTGCTAATAGTCTCTAACAGCTTGGTAGCTCTGGAGCTAGTGAGAATTTTTGGTGAGAAGTTCTGAACGCTGAGAAGCCTCATATAATCAATAACGATATTCTTGGGAGTTGCATTGTGCTGGATGGAGGAAATGGCACGGTCGACGATATAAGCTTTGAAGTCATCTGGGATTCGAGGGGATGTTTCCGGTTTGAAGACGAGCATGTTCAGTAAATTAAGAGCTTGGTGAGGTAGCGAGTAGTCTGAATCCGTCTGAGAGGAAGGAGTAGTGTTGATGTCTCGTTTTATCCAGCCGACGAAGAGGTCCATGTTGTCAATAATGGAGTTTGAATCGGGTTGGTCGCAATAGGCGGAGAGGCTACCAACGAGCTGCGAGTAGGCATCTCTCCGTAAAATATGAGAGCTCCCGGAAAGCTGTTCAATGATAGAGCTAAGCATTCCCGATAAGTCGGTTGATGGACTCGACCGCAGCTCATCTGACGGTATATTATCTGATATCACCGTCCGTGACTTAAGAATCGACTTGGCTGGAACGCTCTGGTTCGACGAAGGCGGCAGAGACCGTAACCGTATTAATGACTTCATACTGTGATCTGTAAACTCTGGAGGTTTGATGTAGCTAGCCATGGGCGAGAAATTGACTCGTTTCGATCGCGAGCTGGAGAGAGGTAGTGGAGATGCATCGGAAGGCGAGAATACGGTGGTAGGGGCCACAATTGGGATTGAGTCATCTACCGACTGTGAGGCATCTGCAATTAATGAGGAATATGTCCTTGGAGGAGTTGGCGGACGAATTTCCTGGTCGACCATCTTCGCCTATAAGAGTGAGGCCGTAGCTATGGATCTAACTCTCCCCGACCCAAGGTTGGAATGGAGCAAAGAAGGCGCCGGAAGGGAAGAGAAAAAAAAACCTAATAAAACATCACAAGAAAGAGAGAAGGTATCGAAGTGCTAAGAAGGAAGAACAACCATGAACTGAAGAAAAGGGACAGAGGTAAAACAAAAAGAGTGCCTGCTGGTTGGTGGTGATGCCCGGCAGCAAAACCTCGACGTCTGCGGTTGAGACGTGAGGTTGGCCTGAGCTGCGATTTTCCCGCGCGCCTCTTTTTCCTCTTTCTGACGCGCGCAAAAAGTGAAAAAAGTCGCGACTTTTCGCGGTGGCTGGTGATCACGTGGTACTAATTAAACGCGTCAAATGGAAGATAGTTTATCCCAGGTATGAAATTCGGGTCCATGAGCGCGCCCCGTCGAGCATAGCTGGTAGGTAGCATGTCTCTTTGCTTAACCTAGAGCTACACGATATAGACGTTAAACTAACAAACAAACTAACAATCAATCAAATGAAATCAAATCTGACTATATTAGTATTATATTTATTATTAATGCTGCTCTCTTCAAGAGACAGAACTAGATGCTTCTGGCACTGAATACTTAGTAAAATTACCACATATCATAGTATCCACGGAGCTTCACGGTTATAAGGCGTGTACAATACTAAGCTGTTGCCCACCAGCTTGATAACAGGTAAAAAAATAGCCAATTATGAGGTCAGTAGATGGTATTGAGGCCAAGAATGCAAACCACTCACTTGTCGCTACTCTGCGCAACGAAAATTAAAAGTAAGGCGCATCGAAAGAGGGAAATGGTTATCAACTGCAGCAGAGAGTCATTCTCTGACTCAAAATGGCCCTTGAGGACTCTCGCTAGTCTCAACTTTGCCGCTAGCTTCTAGAGGCAACTGAACAAGTTGGCGTTGCCGGCTAGGTAATTAGTTATTACTTCTTCCATGCGATCATCTGCTTGGTCAAATCCTCGGTCAAAAAGTCCCTTTTTAGCCCATCAGAGGCGGTTTCCGGGCCCGTGCTTGTCGTCCAGCAGAGCCAGTCCTCAGCCCTGGCCCCCGATGCATCGTGGAATAGCCCTACAGCCACGTTAAGCATTTTCGGACGCCTCTTGGACGTCAAGAAGACGACGGCGCCACACCCTCCGCAGAAGTAGCGATCCGTGCCTTCCGAGCTGGCATAGTGCTTGATTGTCCCAAACACAGGAGGGTCGGGTAATGGCTCATTGTTGTCGTGCAGGATATTGACGTCGGGGATGAATGCCCATGCCATTACTTCACACCCTACCGATAAGCGGCACGAGTCACAGACGCATACACTCGCGGTGTATTTCCCTTTGCTGCTTGATTTCTCTTGTGCAGCGATTGCCTTGTCTTGTCCCCATTGAAGTGAGTTAAAGAAAAAAAGGGATGCAAAACTTGCAAAACCTCGGAAACAACTGACCTGGCAGCTCCGTCGGTCTCGTTATCGTGAATTGAGCCCCTCGGCACCTGCAGCTCGCCTTTAAATTCCCTTCTTCTCCGCTCTTTGCAGTTACGGCTTCAAATTCGGATTGTAGATCAGCAGTAGCGTACTTTTTCAGCCGAGTGCCGTTTACACGGCCCAACCAGACGGACATGCCGCCGTCCTTGGTGTCGGCCAGGCAGAGATGCATGCTGAGCCTGCACATGGTCGTCGGATCCTTGAGCGCTCCGAGCGCCAGCCCCGTCCAGGGCGGCTGGGTTCTCTGGCGCATGAACATGAGCGTGCCGCACGTTGCGCAAAAGTAGACGTCTGCGCGCGGCGAGAATGCCGCCCTAGAGCAGCCCGGGAGCTCCGGGACGGGGAGCGGCCATGTGCACGCCATGAAGCCCAGCGTTCCGGTGCCGTGACGGCAGGAGTTGCAGTTGCAAATCCCGGCATCGAGCGGCAGCGATGATTTCGGCAGCTGCCAGGACAGCTCGTTTGCTCGGCACAGACAGCGCGCGATGATTTCAACCATGTCAAGGTCAGCCATGGCAGCGGATCGAGTTGAAATAGAGGGGAATCATGATAGTAGGAATGGGGGTTGAGAACACTCCGTACTGTGTTGAAAAACGTATTTATACTCCGTAGATCGCTATATTAGCTGCAGGTGGTTGGCTACAATAAACACCTTGGCATTCTGCTTATCAAGCCGCTTACTAAGCAAGCGCTTCGGCCCATAGAGCTTGCTCTCTAGGTAGAGAGGAAGGCAGAATGCTGACGATCTACTCGAGTATTATATTGAGTTTTACAATATAACAAATAGCATTATTAGCAAGTAATATTATCGGCCACTGTACCATTCTTGAGAGGTTCAACTTCTTTCTACTAACTTCACCTCTACATTTATATAGCAATTTACGTGTCGACCCATTTACTTGCCAACTAGTGGAGTGGATTAAGGTAATTGTGGACCAATAGTTTCTCATTCCAAAATTCTTAGATTCATAATATGTACTAGAGATAGATGGCAGAGGTTCTTGCTACATGTCACACATTCCCCCCGCTGATCACCTCTCCGTTTGATGCTATGTACAGGCTGGTGGAAATGACTTAACCACCCTTAGCGAAGCGCTGGAGCTGGTCCATGCCGCCGTTGAAAATCTCAGAGTCACCACCGTAGCGGTAGGTGTCGGCGTTCTGCCAGAAGGTGTGGTATGGCCAGCCACCAGGGGCGGTTCCGGGGCTGGAGGCCCAGCGGGCGAGGACGAGAGGGATGGTGGTACCGAAAGTCTTGGTGTTTCCGGTGCAGGACTGCCACCAATCGGGAGAGGTGTAGATCATGGGGTAACGGCCGGTTTTGGCATTGTAGCGGTCGGAGAAGGTCTTGATCCAGGCAATCATGGCGCTGGCGCTGAGGCCGTAGCACTTGGGCTTGCCTGAGTAACCCTCCAAATCAATCATACCGGGGAGGGTGATGCCATCGTTGGACCAGCCACCGCCGTTGGCGAGGAAGTAGTCGCACTGAGCGCTAGCAGAGCCATCGGGGTGGGCAAAGTGGTAACCACCACGGATAAACTTGTTGTTGGTAGCACCAACGTACTGGGTGTTGAAGGTGGCGGACTTGTAGGTGGTTCCCTCGGTGGCCTGATTGATGGCTGTTAGCTCATGTGGCTTTATATTGATATATAGTCATTCAAAAAGGGAAGTCTAACCTTGATCATGACGAAACGGGCACCACCGTTGTAGGCAGCCCTGAAGTCAACATTGGGCTGGTACGAAGAGATGTCAAAGCCCTGGACGCTTCCGGCACGAGTGTCAAGCTCAGCGGCGGGAGCAGCGACAGCAGCGCCGGCGGCAGCGGCGATGGTAACGAGGGAGAGCTTCATCTTGATAGACTGATCGGCCTTGTTGATGATTCTTGTCTTATGTTGCTTTGGTTTTGCTAATCAAGTGGATTGTAATCGGGCGAGCAGAGGGTTTATATACACTCCGAGGTGCGCTCGGTGTTGTTGATTCCATATCTCTCTCAGATTCCAGGCCGCCACCCACGTTGGAGAGTACCATCCAATGCCGAAAGTCGCTGGGATGGGACCTTCAGATACTCGCCCGTATTCGAAAAGGCCCAGCGGGTTAAACCTCGCCCCATAGTTAGCTCTATGGGAAGCTTTCAGGCCAGGGCCGCAAGGCAAAGCCTTGCACAACCACTCAGCATGCTCACGCTGGGATCTAAAAATACAACATTCATGATATCACAACTAGACCCCGCAAAAACCGTGATGGACCCGAGATGATCGTCGGGTTGCAGTGCAGAAGGCTCTTTGATGTATATAGTCCAGAAAGCAATATCACTGCACGTGCAATGGAGTCTTGGAGACAGTGGAACCAGAAACGCCGGATTGTCGAGGAGACGGAGTTGGAAGCTGGAGCTGCGATGGGTATATACTCTGTACGGAGACCATTCAGACAGGACCGGACCGGAACCAAAGCAGATGTACGGAGTACGGGAGTAGAGACTCTCCTCTTTGGTGGTGTTTTTTCTCGCCGTAAGGTCGCAGTTTAAGCACAACCAAGCCAGAGGATAGTGAACGAGCCATGGCGCCGGCGAAGAATATCAAACATTGGACGGAGCACTCCGTCTGCCGTCTGCCGTCTGCCTGTCAGCCTGCGCGAATGGACGTAGCATCAGGCTGGTGGACTCTTCTCACCACCATGTCCCGGTTGGATGCCTTGCACCAAGCTTCGGCCCTCGTAAAACCTCTTTAACTAGCCTGAAGAGTGGATGGCAGGCTCCGAAAATAAGAAAGTCGACCAGCTTGTAAGCCATGATCTTCAAGCCCTCACCAGCTTACACAAAGGAACATGTTGGCACCGCGCCCTTGGGGGTAGTCTCGCCCAGCCCGCAAGGACTCTGTGCTTAAGGGCCTGAACAAGCGCCTTGATCAATCGAGGCGAAGCTTGGTGGTGTTGAAGCGGTGATCAGGGACTGCCTCTGCTGGCCCACCACATCGTATCCTGATATTGGACGTTTCTAACTTTAGACAGAGAGAAAAACTAAGCATAACTATCTGACTCTCGCTAGTCAGTTAGAGTGAGTAGTGAACCACCCGCCTCATCTCTCCACGGGACTCGAAACGCAGTGAGGAGGAGGGAGAGAGATTGTGGTACCTCTGGTGGCTCAGCCAAAAGCTCGTATGCCTGCCTTGACATCCTTGTTGGTTATCATGCACCCGATATTGGGGACGAGGACTTTCTGACTTCACCAAAAAGGAGATGAGCACCATGTCACCCATGGAAACGAGGTCGAGCCATCGAGAATCCCTGTCAGCCATCTTCTTAAAATGCCTTCGCCCCTACTCCATGCTCTTGTGCTCGAGTTGCTATTATCAAATATCCTCGGCAACTTTGGCGTCAAGCTTCGACTTCCATCTCCGAACATGGAATTGCTCAGGGTCAAGAGGCCGCAAAGTGACATCAAAAGAACGAGGACAGACGCACAAAGCTACGACGGTAGTATTGCTAGCTTGTCCAATATCTGCATCTCGGGATCTCTCTCCTTGTAATGTAAGAGAAGAGATGGGGGGCGGCTTGGACCAGAGAAGAGCCATGCAATTCTCCACAGCTATGCAAGAACCTGCCGAATCTCGTCCGACATGTTTGTTTTCTCTGTGATTGATAGGTTGACTTGAGGGTAGTCACAGTAACGTCACAGTGCGCTACGAGACCCATGAATCCCTTTGCTCTCCCTGGGCCAGGGGTACATACATACAGACTGACTCGCGGAACCAGACATGAACATCAGTCCAAGCTGGGTCTACCTACTGCGAGCTCAACTCTCTCGAAAATTCGCCTGAAGATCGCCTTGAGGATACTCTTCGATATCTACGCTTCGTCTTCCTTGCCTGATACCCCTGTCTGTGCAGTACGCCAATCAAAACCCTTCTTCCACGGCCACCTCTCTCGGATGAATGAATATCACGGATATATTTATCAGAAAAGATATGCATGGATACAGTGCCATTGCATTGCATAAAAAACGCCTTGATACATGAGGAGAATACTTCAGCTTAATGGCAAGGCAACAGCAGAAGGCTTTTTTGATTATATATTACAATGTGCATAACCTATGTACAAATTACAGCCAACTACAGGCCGGTGATAGTTCCAACCTGTCTCCCAGATCTCTTGCAGCAGTTCTTGAAGCAGGTTGGGTTTCGGCCATCCATCCAGCAGTGGTAGGTTGACAGGTAAGTGTTGTAGTTCTTCTTATGGCACTTCTTGCCGCAGTCGTAGGTAGGGTAGACGGCGCCGACATGGGGGGTGTTTTCGCAGAAGTAGCAGGTTCCGGCAAGGGCCTGGAGAGGGAGAGCCAGGAGGACAACGGCGGAGAGCTTCATCTTGCTGGGAGGAGTTTGATATTATTGATTATCGGTTTCTGGGTAATGGTTAGACAGCGGCTCTTGGAACATACTTCAGGACGGCGACACTCCACAGCCCCTTACCAGGTGAGTTTGAATAGAATTCTGGAAGCGAGAACTTTTTTAGCTCTTGGTGTTTTTCTTTTGCCCTGTCGAACAGTCAGGATAATTCTCCCTTTCCTTCTTTCAGGTTAAAGTTCTTCTCACCTTCTGATATATGCTTTAGATGAATCGAGTCTGCTGCTGAAAAACACCTCCAGACAGCATCCTCTCCCGCTCTTTAAATAATCGCCATCTCCATTTCATCATGAAGAAAAAAAGGAGAAGTTGCGCATCAATTCCGCAAAGGAATACGAAGAATCTCTGAATACGACGGAAGTAATGGAGAAAACGGCACCTCTGGTCAGGGGCACGAAGCTCCCATTTGCTCTCTCCAGCTAACTTGGGCAGCAGATCGCATGGACAACACTTCAGCCTCAACGGAATAAGGAGGCCGTCTTTGCGGATCAGCCTCAAAACACACAGTAAGCCAGGGTAATCAAGCCGGTCAAGCCAGTCAAAGTGCTGTAGAGCCCGTCAAGGTTCCGCTTTGGCTCGCGATGTGAAACCAGAGGCCCTTTAGGCCTGCTAAATATAAACCGAGCTAGACAGCGAAATCACCAACCAACTAACTAGTTAGTGGACCTGTCCACCCGTCGCTGCGCTGTGATTTGTATCTTCAGATGGAAGATCAGCGATGAAAAGGTTGAGGTATGTCTCGACTCGGAGTCCTAGGGGGCCGTTGGCCCTGAAGCGACGACGGCTTTCTCTTCGAAACCTGAGACGTCCAGGGAATCTGCCACAGTGAAGGGCAAGACGGTAGTGGTACACTGGCATGATGACCGTGATATCATAAGGCAGGGTATATTCACTATTCCACAGAGTTCTCGCGATCCTGGAGGGCGTCGAGCTCGCCAGCTGGATATCCATGGCTGATATAGCAATAGAGAGAGGTATGTATCGCTTGCTCCGGTGTTACTATTTACTTAGTTATCCCTCTCGCGGAGTAACTAACTACGGAGTAAATAGAAAAGACAACTATTAGTTATAATAGTTCCGTCGTCTCACTGCGGGAATCCAGCCGGCCTAGCAGCTTGACAACAGCACGGCTGCCGACACTTGGTGATGCAATTCCACCTCTTCCTCTCTCAGGCCACGGAGTACACAGCGAGCTGTTAAGTAACTACAACGGCTCCCTCCAAGCCTGCCTAGTCTGTTAGTTATAAACTAAGCCGAGCCAGTTTAACTAGTTATGACGTCACAGCAGCGCTATTCCGGGATCGCTCGAAACAACCGTCAGAGGCAAAACTTGTCGCCAGGCTCACCTGTATCCTGAAGCCTATCAAATCAGGCCGCACATCAGATACATAGCTATAATATACAAGATTGACTTCATCCTGCTGCTCGTCTGCACCATGCACGCCACCAATTGCCCATTTTGCCAGCAATTGAAGTCCCCAGGCGAGACGGGGAATGGGCAACGATCATGCTCATGTGAATCGATAGCCTGTGGAGCTGTAGGCCGCACTGATTATCCTAGCAAACTGGGATGAAAAGGGACAATGATGAACACTTTAGGCCGCAGGCAATCCTTCCAGCCTGTAACGGAGAGCTTGTTGGGATGTTCCCTACGCCATCTGGTTCCGCCCTGGAGATTTTCTGGCCAAACCATGGTTCCATGTCCTTTCGTTTTATATTATGGGGGTTGGGCTCCAGAATAAACTCATTACATGGAGTTTATAACCTGTTTTACGTCCGGCTTTTTTTTAAAAGGTCGGATTTTCCTCTCTTCCTTTTCCACTGCTCGCTGGTACTCTCGATAAGAGTCAAACAACATGGAAAAGGTACGGACAATGTTTAAGAGCCGCGCGCGCCCCTCAAAGGAGGCTGCAGGTGCCCCTCCTACTACTGGGACTGAAGTAGAGAGTGAGAGCCGCCCTGCTGGCTTAGTGAATACACCGGTTCCTCGACTGACATGGCGATCGCTGGTGATGGGAGTTTTTGTGTCGATGGGGGGATTCCTCTTCGGTTATGACACTGGCCAGATCTCGGGAATACTGGAGATGGAAGATTTCAAGAGACGGTTTGGTGAGCCCGGCCCCCAGGGCTACTCGTTCTCCCATGTTCGTGCTGGATTGATTGTGGCGCTGGTAAGGATACCTCTCTCCTGCATGCATCGATCGGAGAAAGGATCGGTTTCTTTTATAGCTCATTCCTTCAGAGGCTAATTCGCGGTTTGATAATAGCTTTCGGTTGGAACATTGATAGGTGCACTGATAGCCGGTCCATTGGCTGATAGAGTTGGGCGAAAGTGGTCGATATGTTTCTGGTGCGGAGTCCTTTCAGCTGGTATTATCGTACAAATAACTTCTCCAGAGCCAAAGTGGTATCAGGTCGCCATAGGACGTTGGGTTACTGGTCTAGGAGTTGGATCCCTCTCTCTGCTTGTCCCGTTATACCAGGGAGAGAGTGCTCCAAGGCATATTCGTGGTGCTCTAGTTAGGTATGTTGCTTATCTATATCTTTGCGCAATTTCGCGAAGCTAATATGTTCATTACCAGTACCTATCAACTCTTTATCACACTCGGTATTTTTATTGCCAATTGTATCAACTATGGAACAGAAGCTCGGCCAGACTCCAGCTCCTGGAGAATTCCGATGGGAGTCACCTTTATCTGGGCTGCCATCCTTGGCTTTGGCATAGTTTTCTTCCCCGACACCCCCCGATATGACTACCGACACAATCGAATCGACAAGGCTAAGCGAACGATGATGAGGCTCAACGGAGTTCCAGAGAACCACGAAAAACTACATGAGGAGTTTAACGAAATTAGACGTCAGCATGAAGAAGACCAGCTCACCAAAGATCAACCGTGGTACCAGATCTTTTTTGCACCAACTATGCGCTCCAGGTTGCTTCTAGGAGTGACATTGCAGGCCTTCCAGCAGTTAACGGGCGCAAACTACTTCTTCTACTACGGTACATTCGTCTTTAGAGGCGCCGGTCTGAGTAACAGCTATATCACCCAGATGATTCTAGGTGCAGTTAACTTCGTTGCTACCTTCATTGGATTATACAACATCGAGCATTTCGGAAGACGCAAATCCCTGATTGCCGGAGCTCTATGGATGTTCGTCTGTTTCATCATATTTGCTTCTGTTGGCCACTTCGTACTTAATCGCGATGATCCATCATTAACCCCCGGAGCCGGCAAGGTCATGGTCGCCTTCTCGTGCCTATTCATTGTCGGGTTCGCATGCACCTGGGGGCCAATGGTGTGGGCCATAATCGCTGAATTATACCCATCTAGATACCGTGCTACCGCCATGGCAATGGCAACTGCATCGAATTGGCTGTGGAACTTCCTTCTGGCTTTCTTCACACCCTTTATCGTTGGAGAGATCGACTTCCTATACGGCTTTGTGTTCGCAGGCTGTCTAATGGTGGCCGCTGCTCTCGTTTACTTTGGTGTAATTGAAGGTGCAGGGCGAACTCTTGAGGAAATTGATTTGATGTACCATTTACATGTCAAGCCATGGAAGAGCTCGAAGTATGTGATCCCCCCTTCTTTCCAGAGGAATGGCAATTCCAACGGAGAAAATGGGACATCTGCACCCGGCTCTCAAAATCAACCCGCGGAGCTCTCTACTTAAGCCGCCAAATGAGCCAGTCTATCCTTCCCTGAATGATATCACGTCGTTATAGCTAGTCCCTTAATCCCGTTTTGGCATGAGCAATTGATACCAAATTATACCCAGCTGTTGGATTTTGTGTATAGCACCTGGTTCCACTCCCCAATTGTATATATATAGTTATCTTTATTAGCTTCAAGTCATAGTTAATTTGAATCTTAATATCACCAATGTATTCATCTTTTCGTAAGCTTTTATTTCACAGAAGATAGCAACTCAAAGAATAGCTTTGCACCAAGCTGCATACGACGTTATGCAATGGCGCTTGCTAAGAGAAATTAAGTATGCTTTTTACGGAAGGGGAAACATACTTCGATTCCCTGCAGAGCAACCTGGGCTTCTAAGGGGATTGAGCCGTCTCACAGCCTCGAAGCGGGTGGAGGGGCGTGACGGCTGGGTAGCAAACCCATTGGAAGAAGCCAACAACCGTAGAATCCTGATGGAAGTGGCCACGTGGGTATATTTCTGTGAACTAGGGAAATAATTCAATTTGACTGAAGGAACACCTTATGAGTGGGAGCCACCTTTCTGTGCCTGTTCGTATACCCAATCGTTTAGACCAGCGCGGTTTCTATTCCATAAAATCGAATTAGTTTTTATCCTCTCTCCATGCTCTTGGGGAACAAATAACAAACCTTGCGATTTCAATAGCATAAAACTGCATACGGACCACTACAAGTACAATAAATATCAGTTCTGTACAGTTCCTATGCTATATATAGCAGGTCTTTGATCCATATAGCTCAAGCATGAAGTATCCTTGTCACTTACCGAAGATAGTCTCTTTCTCCCCATACTCAAATTTCGGGTTTGCTCTCAATAGAGTACCAAAGTTGTAGTCGGCAACCTTCTCTTCATACTGCTTCATCCAGTTTCGCCATTTCTCCTTGCCAGCTTTGCTCTTCATCTCGTCCTCGTTGATTGTGGCAGCCGGGTCGAACTCGGGAAACTCGGTCTTGAAGCTCTCGTATATCTCATCATCCAACTTTGTGAGTCGTAGCTTAGATCCTGGTGCTCTCTCGAGAATAGCCCAATATGTTGCCATTTGCTGCACGGCTGTAGGCGACGTATGAGGTAAGTAAAAGGTTTATCTTGCGAGATGGGAGAGGCATAGAAGCCAAACCTTTAACCGCGAATTGCTTTTCCATCTGGAGTGTTGTTAGTTTAACTACGCTATAATATCAGAAGGGAGAGGGGATAGCATCTACATCTTCCAAGTTCTCTGCCTTCTCCGGGTCGAATGAACCCAAACCTGAGGGAGCCATTTTGTAGTAGATGCGCCTTTAGTGAATTTGAATGGTAAAGGCGGGGTGAAGGAGGGGTGAAGTTTGAGCGACGCAATCAGGATAGGGCTAGGCCACAGAAGAATATGAAATAGAGGTATATAAATGAACCAGAAATTGAAATACTGAAGTTATGAGTCTTAAGCCTCTGGTATATCTGTGGGAGTTCGATCTTGAATGAGTATCGACTTCGACTTCATTCGACTCACCCGCAAAAAATAATTTGATATCGGATTATTAGACGCCGACGCCCCGAAAGCTTATTATGTAATATCTGCCAAGGCCTATTAGCATAATGCGTGATTACGTCATTTTCGGTTTCCCCAAACTTTCTTTGTTCAAAAGTCATCGACCAAGGCAAGAAGATGTAAAAAAGGAGGTAGAAGAAGGTCAGGCATCAGGGACTAAAATAGATGGTATTCGAAGGGATTTCGGGACTGTTTGCCTCTTGTGAGATGGTATAAAGATTTCATATTCATACTAGATGGCGTAGATAGACAACTTATGTTAAACCACCAAGATTACAATATGTATATAACTAAAGCAGTACTCCGTACTGGTGTGCAAAACGAACTAGTCAAGTTCTTCTATTCTCCCTTGCTCCAAGGCCGTTCGAACGGGGTTCTCAACATCAACAACCCCTGTAGCACGTAGTCTGTAAAGGCAAGATAGTCAGCAATGTCAGTTTCAGACGCATTCATAGATATTAGGGCTAAAGCCTAAGGAGACATAGGGCTGTACCTCTCAAACAGCACAAAGAGTCTTTCCGCTTCTCGTTCCTTCTCTTCTTCGGTCATCTCGGGTCCATTGTCCACAGGCTCGGCATCAAAACGTTGACCGGTAATTGGATTAATTGCTGAATTAAATTCCTTATTACCCTTGGAGCTGTAGGCCTCCTTCGCGCTTTCTGGGATAGCCATGTCATGAGACATGAGGAAGCCAGCTGCAAAACCGTACCCTACATTTCTCACAAAGTCATTGGCATTGCTTCCCGATAACTCAAACATGAGCGCTGAAATGCCATCCCGTAGGCTGGGTGCTACGGGAGACGTTGAGAGTCGTAGTAAGCGGGAAGATAGGGTATTGGATTGTCCTATAGGTAAATCGTGATCATTATCTTCTGGCAGAAGAAGCCACTCCATGTATTTCCTCGGACCCTCCGGGGCGAAAGAATATATCTTCCTTAGGAGAGTGAGCAGTGGAACAGCAAGAGTCTCTAGATCCGATGGTTTATGCATGGCCACCGCTTGATCAAGGATGTTAATAAGTTTATCCACATTGCAGTTCTGGTCAAACTTTGGAAAGAGCGGGTTGGTGCTGAACGGCTTGCTTTTCTCTGCTGCGAGATCTAAGTTCAGCAATGAGTTGACGAGGTAATTGACTGGCGCTTGTAGCGGTGGAGTTGGTATCTCAATACGACTTAGGACTTTGAGTATGTGGGGTATGGACGGCGAGAATGTCGCAACTTGATGAGGGTAGTAGTTGGTGATGTTAAACATCAGTTTGAGGGTCTCTGAGAGGGCAAGCTCATCGATGGGTGTAAGTTTCTTCTTTTTTCCTTTGGAAAACTGCTTGGAATGTCGATATATGTGCTGTATTGATGTTAGCTGTGGAGAAAGATAAGAAGAGCGCAGTAGCGGGGTCATACGTTATTGATACTCTCTCCCAGAGCGCACTCGCTGAACAACTTGTCAAAATCCAGATCTGAATCGTAAGTCGTTAAGAACAGTAGTCGTGAGCATAAAAATTCATCGTCTGAGTTCTCCTCCTGTCCATACCGCCCAGTTAAACACCGTGATATCGCTTGTAGGTAAACAGAGCACGCACCTTCAACTTCTCTGCTGCTTTTTTCCCATTCCCTAGATCGACAAACCGTTGGCGTGTCGCTTTCTCGAGTAGCAACGCATTTGCTAAACATCGTAGAGCTTCTCGATATATGATTGCATCCGGCTCATCAAACCCGTAGGCAGATAGTGTCGCTATACCCTACAAACATGACATATTAGAGCCATAGCATACGCATCCAGAACCGCCTATTTCCGTACCTCCTTTTCATATATTGGGTCCGCATTCTGCGGCTTTCGGCCATGGACTCGAAGTTTTTGTAGGGACTCAATCAGCTCTACGTAAAACAGTATGTTATTATGACAACCAGCGCATGAAGGGGGCGTTTTGTGGTGGCGCATACGGGACGTCTGGAGGGATCTCTGGTTCAAGTCTGACCGTAGAGTCTTGAGCAGGTGGCTGACTTCGATTAATTTCTCTAATATTTGCGGTATAGGTTAGCGAATGCGCGGTAGATGGGGGCTGCAGCCATACCCTCGCCTTGAAGTTCTAGAGTGTCCATGTTGATTGATCGTGACAAGTGCAAACGGAGGAGTCCCACAGACAGTGGAGAGTCACTTTCGTCCTCTTCTCGCCCAAATATTAGGATATTTCGATATCCGTGTCAGACAGCGCCCCTGGATGGTTCTTAAAGAGTGAAACAGTTACTTGGATGGGACGCTGGTTGCTGGCTAGCTAGTTAAAACAACGAACTAACTAGTTAGCTAGTGCAGGGACGGGTACAAAGGGCGGATGCAGCAGCGGCGGCGGGGCGATTGTTGAACTTCTCAAGGTTCTCTTCTTCTTGTTTACGCTTCAAGAGCCTAGGAGCCTTTTCTAGGGAAAGCAATGAATATTAACTTAAAGGCCACGATTTTGTTCACCTGAGGAATAAAGAAGTTTGTAACTAAATAACTCGTTACCGCGGACCTCGACGCTTGATGGTCTTGCTTAACTCGTCAACTACTTGTTAAGGGGCTGTAACTACTTGTAGGGCAAGCCCGTCCACATCCCCCCCTACATATTCCTACAACCTAATAGAGACTGACCGGCAAATAGTTATGATATACCAGGCGTGAAAATTAACGAAACCTGTTCTTATAGGCTGGAAAATAACATTGCATCATCATGCATCATCATGCATACACCATGTTGGGCCTATCGATACAGAAAGGGGTCGCCCTGGTCGCTAAGAATGGTCCGAGAAGCATCTTCCATCGACTTTCATTGTGCTCGGTCAGTAAAACGCCATAATCACAGTTGCTAGTACGGTCTAGCGGGGCCCGTTTCTTTCTTCAGCGCCATGGTCTTGTTATCCCCACAGCATAACTTCTTTGTTCACGTGTGAAAAGTCAGCAAATTTACATCCAGCTAGTTATATAAAGGGGCGGCTGGCCTGGTGAAGAATTCGTCTATGAAATGAGGCACTGCGAATGGCCTACTGTCATATTGGGAAGACGGCTGGTTCCTGGGTCATCTTCTTCTATGACTACTACTGCAGCCGTGCTTCCGCAAAGGCCGATGCGGTCCTCGTCTTTCACACGGTATGCGCGGCCGGGTTCTGATATTAACCTCTCATCACTGAGCAGGCGGAAAGCACCCTTAAGCAGGAAAATTTTGCAATTCTGGAAATACGGCTTGACGATCCAGATGACAGATGACGGATCATCAGTTTGGGTGTAGCCGTTATAATAGTGAAAGGCTTCTTCATCGTACGCATAGTACTAGCATTCGCAAAGACGAGTTAGGAGGTCAGTATATTCACATAAACCCGATTGTACTCCACGCTACCTCATGCATAACTGCTCTTAGCGCTTTCCGTTTTTTGGAGCAGTCTAACGAGTCCCAGTATACTTTCTTCCTCCGAGACATAATCACATTGACAATAGGCATCTTGCGTATATATGGGTTATACTAAGTATTGAGTGGAGAGAATGGATAACTTGATTTGGGTATCAATGTATCAATGAGGGAATGGAAAGTAAAGATAGCGGTAAAATTCTTTGAAGGTTTTATATATGTCATTGATGGACAGTGAACATGCTTATGTCTACACGAGTATGTTAGCATGGATACACAACCTCCATTGCCTGTGAAGGGTACAGGCTAATAGCCATGAAGGCCTTGTGAAGATACAATACTCGCGGAGTAAAGCGACATAACCTCACTTCTCCTTATTAGCAAAATAACTTTAAAAATTAATTCCCCAAGAAGGAGCCTTGGGTATCTGGAGGACCCGTTGGAAGGATTCGGTATAGTTACGCCAGCATGATCTTTGGTGTAGAATTTGTCATTGTATCGACTTGGAGGTTCAGTGGTCTTGATCCCACGAGCTAAAGGCCTATGATGCCTGGTATCAAATCCGATATACTGAATATGATCAGCGGCCCTACTTTGTACTCTCAATTTTCACGTTCTATGAAGGAAATGCAGCATCCTGGGGGTGATTTGCGGAGTCAGTCTGTCCACCATTGATGCAACGGAGTTGTATCGTTCGGCAGGAGAGAACGTAGAGGTAAAGCTGATCTGGTCTATAATCAGCAGCCTACAAAGCTCTGTCGCACGCTTCAAATTCACAACTGCCGACGGCTTGTATGGTTCTCGAGGCGATGGGATGCAAAGACGGTGGAAGAAAAGAAGTTCATGGACCGAGAGAGACGCAGGTTGTTGTCTTTTCTCTTTTGGCGATGCGACGTCACATGATCCACGAGTGCAAAGATCACGTGTAAACGCTTATGTAATATAAAGTTTTAAGGTTTGCGGAAAGTTTACTTGAAGGATTTATGTGTGGAGCACAAAGTTTGTTATTGGCATTAATTGATTTGCAGCCAGAAGCTCGTGTTTTGGGGTTCGATGGATGAGGAGATGGGAAGATGCAAGGCTGAAACCCAGACAACTCAGGCCTCGGGGGGCTGGGGCTGGGCTGTGGTGATACAGGTGGATTGGATGGGCGGAAGATATTGCTGGTTGAACCCCAGCAAAGGCCGCCTTGACAGATTTTAATCCTGGTGTGCATAGCAAGGGGACCTCTGGCGAATGAGCAGACAGGTATTGTATGCGCGGAGCAGAGTATTTGGAGTCTCGTACTCGAGGCGGTACATGTATCCGGATAAGGGGCCAAACCGAAAAATCACTTCCGGCAGTGGACCAGATTAACAGTTCATCTGACCTATGTAACTACTCCGTACGGGGCGACCTAACAGGCATACACATAATTACAACTAGCGGAGTAATGGGGTTGACATTATGCTTTTGCTAGGGAGGATGTACTCTAGACATATAGATAATGATTAGGGTGAGGAATTAGGGCTAATGTACTTATGTAGTTACATATCGTTGATGCTGAAAATAACCGAGGTCAAAAAAAATACCTAACTACATCCCTGCACCTGCATGATGTAGATCAACTGTTTACAGGCCTGTCTAGGTAGCACTATGCTATTATTGGGCGTTGTCGCACCCACAGAGCTGGATCTCAGCAGTTTGTTATACATACTTAAGGCTCCGTGTCTGCCGGATAAGACACAGCAAGAATATGTTATCGAACAGCTAACCAGTTAACTAGATATCGAGCTATGGCTGGCTTGTTAGAAACATATCCTTCCGCCCATCTTGGGCTAGTGGCCCTATTTCTTGTCGGAGTCCTTTGGATCTGCTTGAAAGCTGCCCCAAAGACCAGGAAAGTGCCATCTTCTGGCTTACCCGTTGTCACGATAAAATCTAATGACATGGAGCCGGGTCTCGCCCAAGGATCTAAGCTGGTACTGACCGCATCATACCCGTTTCACTAGCCCTATACCATGCATAGAGCAAATTATTCTGACAGAAAAATGTACAGTATCCGGACCAGCCTTATGAAATCCGAATGCCGGCAAAACAGATGATAATTCTGCCCCGCAGACAGTTGGATGAGATCAAACGGTTTCCTGAGACCCAGATGAGCTTTAAAGCTCTTGTCAAAGACACAATGGCTGGAGAATATACCCTGATTGCGACTCACGATCATAGCTTGGTGACTGCTCTTCGGCGTGACTTGACTCAAAACTTAGTTCATGTCAATGAGCTGCTGCAAGAAGAAGTGGTCTCAGTCGTTGAGAACAAGCTCAGCTTTTGTGGGAATGGTATGTTGTGCGTCTCTACTGCATTAGCGAGGAAGGTTTTTATAACACTGGGGACCTAGACTATGCGCCGGTGAAACTGTTGCCTACACTGTTTGACATGGTTTCTTCAATGACGAGCCGTGTCTTGGTTGGCTTACCACTTTGCCATAACAAAGAATGGGTAAGGCTTCTCCGTGACGATTCTCTATAAATTGCTGACATCTAGTACGTAACTAGCTACAATGCATATTAAAGTACTCGGAAGATGGTTTCAAGGCTGGTATGATTATGCATATGACACCAACCATAATTCATCCGCTTTTAAACATGTTTCTTCCGCAGATGCGGGCTGTGCGGCGACACTATGCTACTGTTAAAAGGTTGGTGACGGCCTACCTATTGGTACGATATAATATACTTACTGCGGATATAACGAAACAGGTTACTTGGACCAATACTCGAAGAGCGCATAGAAAAGCTCAAAGATCCTGCATACAAGCCTCCAAGGGACCTTATTCAATCTTTCATTGATATCAACGCAGAAAATGGAAAGAATCTAGAATTTCAGGCCAAAAACCAACTAATGGCAGCCTTTACATCAATGCACACAACCTCGATGAACGCCTGTCATGCGTTGTTCGAGCTAGCTGCAGCGCCGGAACACGTCGCTCCCTTGAGAGAAGAGATTGAGAAAGTTCTAGCAGAGGAAGGGTGCATCACCTCTAAAGCTGCTATGATGAAACTCCGCAAACTGGATTCGTTCTTTAGAGAGACTCAACGTTTAAATCCATCATCATTCGGTAATACCCCTTTTTGACTTTCTCAACTTAACTACCTAGACGATGTGGAGATTAACAGCAATCCACACATTAGTTGGCATGGAGCGCAAAGTGTTAGCGACTACAAAACTCTCTGATGGAACAGTTCTACCGGCAGGGTCTATAATTGGGTTCAATTCTTTCCACATAAATTATGACACTCAGTTATGGGAGAATCCCGAGAAATTTGATGGATTTAGGTAAGGGATATGTTCCTGAGTCTCGCTTTACCAATGCTTACAATTTAAAAAACTCTAGATTTGAACGATTGCGTGCTGCTGAAGGAAATGATCATAAGTTCCAGGTATGTATAGATCAGCCTAACCCTCACAAGAATAGAAAACCTAACAATTTCCAGGCTAGTTCCATTGGGCTTGAGAGTATATCATTCGGCTTGGGAACACATGCCTGCCCTGGGAGATTCTTTGCTATCAATGAAACCAAAATTCTCCTTGCCTATCTAATAATGAACTACGATTGGGCATTCCCAGAGGGACAAGGTCGACCAAAAAACATCACGCTTTTTTCTGCACTTATTATCAATCCGGATTCTGAGGTGTTATGCAAGCGAAGACAGTAAAAGGAATGGGACTAGATATTTCTAAGCAAGGGAAATGTAATTCAAGAGTGGAATATTGTGTGTTTTAAGGCACAATAAAATCAATTTCAATACTTGGGAAATTGGTCGTAGATTACGAAATGGTTGATATGTTCGTTTACTAGCTAGGAAGATCATGAATCGTTTTCAACATATGAAAGAGGGCGTGTTCAGTTGGACTCGTAAAGCGATTTCCACTGAGGAGAAATCGAAAGAACCAGAGCCATTCCAGCAGCGGTTATCCCAATTATAGAGACGCCCTTGATCCCTTCATGGTATGCCTCCAGGACCTGTATCAAATTTGCACCTGTATATTCATCACGTAAAGAAGTGATTGGAAACCGAATGGCTGTGACTACCTTGGGATCAGTGCTTGTTGCTGTGAGTTTCCGTAGTATGCCAACGAATGCAACTTGAGATGTCTGATTGAAGAAGAAGCCTCCAATTGATTGCAGAAAGAATGTTGCAGCGATGATTGTCGAGAGATCGTCGATTTTAACCGCGCTCATGTTCACCATAATAGGTAGCTGTTGGGCAGCACCGATTCCAATTCCGGTGATAACTTGGTATGTTGCGTATCTGTACGCTGTCGTTGTGGCGTCCAGGGTGTAGATGAGACCACAGCCGATGATTGTGAAGCTCGCTCCAATGACCAGCATTGGTGTATAATATCTGAATTTGCCCATTAAGTAGCCAGAAAGTATTGAGGAAGATGATACGCCAACCATCAACGGTATCATACGGATCCGTGAATCAGCTACAGATAATTCACTGAGGGACTGCGCATATGTCGGCAAGTTGTATAGCTGGGTAGCAAAAGCTCCTGCGAGAAAGAATGTAAAGGCAGAACATGCAGCCGTATCGCGAGTAGCAAAAAGGCGAAGCCTGATGTTCGCATAATTTCCACTCCACCATTGAGACAGGAAAAAGGTAGCTAAAAGGACCCCAAATGCAAAACGAGTGACAGTAGTGATTGTTCTGCTCCACGAATCCACCCCTTTCCTTGATTGCATAGAAACAACATAGCAGACCATCGAAGGCCATACGGTAACAAACCCTGGAAGGTCGAGCAAGAGTAGCTTTTCTCTCCGTGATGTTGACGGTGGGACAGCCGCTGGAACTATCGCGAAACAAAGCAACAAAGCAATAAAACACAGGCTTCCAATAGCGGTGTTGACATAAAATACCCATCTATAAGACATGGCCCCAAGGAACAGCTTCCCGATGTATGCACCAGCAATATTCGATATGCCAAATGCTGCACCAAGGATACCGATATATAAGGAGCGTTGGCGCTCATTTTTAATGGTGTGCCCGATAATGGTATAAGCACCGGTTATGATCCCACCTCCGGCTATTCCTGAAATTGCGCGGCCAGCAATGAATGTATTTGATTTAGCCGCAGCTCCGCAGATAATCGAACCAAGTCCGAGGATAAGAAGGGAGATGAGAAATGCGGGTTTTAAAGAAAAGCAACGGTAGATTTTCCCCCAGCTGGGTTGAAGGCTGGCAAATGTCAAAACGTAGGCAGAGCTATACCACCCAGCATGCTCACTATCATCGAAGTCGCTTGAAATACGGGGGATGAGTGTGAGAAGAATAGCAGGCTCGAGCAGTGTCAAGAAAACAGAGAAAAATAGAACGGCGATAATCCCAAAGAGCCTCATTCTTTGGCCATTTGTTGACGGCTTCATGGCAATGCTGGTATCTGGGAGCTCTATTGGCCCTTTTGGGGACTTTTTTTCTGGTTCGCACATGGTGTTTGGTAAAAGCTGGAGCCAATTCAATGACGGTATAACCCTGAGGACGGCTCCAGGGAGAAAATTTGGAGATGCGCTGGAAGGAAAGGAAAGAGAAATACGAAAAGAAAGGCCAGCGAGTGTGATAAGATCAGACAAAGCTGGCATTTGTCGCCATCAAAGGCGTTAGATCTACGTGCACAAGATAAGTAAGACAAAGGACTCCCGAAGCGCTGCCAGAACAAAGTTGCCGATCCCGGCATTTGGTCCAATAGCATCTACATATAAATGTCCTGAAGATCCGAATTCATCATCGAAGGCGTTGTTCAGCCTATGTGTTCAATGGAACGTCTCTGAAAACAGGCGTGTTCCTGTTATTCAGAAGGTGATGGGCCTGGGGAGCCCTGCAGCCACAGGCTGCAATCACCCTCTGCAAAGGGTAGTCAGGCTACCAGCAATAATTCCAATGAGTATTAACTAGCCTCTGGTACAGTACTAAGATACTAGATATATGAAATCTAGTATGAGTACCGGTCACGGGCTGTTGAGGTGGTTCATCCGATGGTAGGACGGTGGCTGAATGTTCCCTGGAGATATCCCCCCTGCTTTGATCGATAAGAGGCAATACCTAAGACCAGGCAGCTAGTTCTCTGAAATGCAAGATGGCTTGTCATGACATTGTCATAACCAGGTTATCAGAGTAATGATTCTCAGCTGATGATACTATCTATACCAGGTTGGGATGCGCCAACTCAATTGGCACAAACAGGTGAGCCATCCAGCATAGCCCCCGATTCCACGTTATCTAGCCTCTCATGGCTCTCATCTCTCTCTGTAATGGTGTATTTATGTGATTATTGTAATGGGTACGAGGTAGATGTCCACCAAGGTCCTGTTCGTGGGTGCATTTGGGATCCGGTAAAATTTGAACATGGCTGGCTTTATCCGCTTCGAGGGCGATGGCTGTATCTCAGAGGCTGATCTTCTCCTCACTGGCATAGTTATTCCATTCTCCAGGACGGCCTCCTAAACGCCACTTTAAGCCTGTATCTCCATGGGTGAAGCCTTGCTAGTCACCGGCTTGAAAGTTCTCCCGTAAAGACTCGGTGGCTTCTTCCCTCTTGTTATCTCAAACATCCGACTAGAAAGCGAAGGGTGAGAAGAAAATAGAGTGCAAGGATAGCCAACGTTGGCTGGTATCGAATATATATCGCTCATTGTTGGTTTTTCGGCGTGGTATTGCGGGTGCTGGTGGTCGTATGTTGTTACTGCAAGAGTCGCCTCGACGGGCTAACATTAATAACACTATTATTTAAAACATCGCATACGTCCAACCATCGCCAACTTCAAGCATCAGGCAAGAACGCCGACTCAGCCTCGACCAGACGGCGTTCGCCCGCCTACACGCTTTCTTCGTCCATCTTTGTGAACAAACTCTGCCGCGTCCCTATTCATCTTTTATAAATAGCGCTGGCATCTCCACAGGAACAATAGCAAGCAAGATCCGACTAGTAAAGGACACAAAGAAGCGCGCGCAGTCAAAGCATCTCGAGGAACCAGAAAAGTCATGAAGTCCTCTGTACAGGACATTATACCACGGGAGGACCGGTGTCTAGATCCATATCGAGGCCATGGATAGTGCTCATTTTACGGGTGTTTGCCTGCCTTGCCATGGCTGCTCTTCCTGGGCCTTGTGCCAGAACTTGCTCTACCTCCTGGATTTCGCGGGTTAAGACAACATTCAAATGGGCGACGGCAGACTGTAACTCGATATAAAACTACTATCACTGGCATAGTAAGTTGATATTTCGATGCCTCAAACCTCGGTTCTAGGAAAGCTATCGGCAGATTCGGGGCCCCTCCGTGAGCAGCGGCTGAGGGCGAAGTGGACATCACTCTTCTACTTTACGTCCAAGAGGCATGTTGCTCCGTTGATTCTTGCTCTGGCCTTTAGCATAGCTCGCGGGCTCGCTGTGCCTTTGCTTGCTTGGGTTCTGGGCAGGCTGTTTAACGCCTTTTCAAACTTTGGCTCTCATTCGATCTCTGCCGGCCAGCTGCTATCAATCACCTCCCTTGAATGTACATATATTTTGGCCCTCGGCTCCGGTGTTTGGTTTCTGGACTGGGCATATTTCTCCTTGTGGGTTATCTTCGGTGAGCTGCAGGCAAAAAATGCGCGGAGATGGGCATTCGAAGAATTGCTGCACAAGGAGATGAGGTGGTTTGACGGAGTCACCGATGGCCTCCCTGCTGTTTTACCCCGGATTCAAACGTATGCTTATATCGAAACTTTTTCTGAATGCTAGAAGTGAAGTATTGACGACTTCTGATATAGATACATTCGAGATCTCCAGCTAGCCACTTCCCAGCCTTTGGGGGCCACTCTATACAACCTTACTGCTGCCACTGCCGCCCTGGTCTTAGCGTTATACATGTCATGGAACCTGACACTTGTATGTCTCGCAAGTGTACCGCTCTGTGCTATCATAATTGCATTTTTCTCTTCAAAGGTCCAACCGAAAATCGAAGGGCAACAGGCGGCACTCACCAAGGCCTCGAAAATTTCAACCACCGCCATTTCTTCCATTGGTGTGGTAAAACATTTCAATGGTCAAGATACAGAGGCTGAAAAGTACAAAAATGCAATTGGCATCGCTGCTCATTGGTACTACAAGGAGGCCCTCTACAGTGCTTCGCAAATTGGCCTTATTTCCTTCCTAACGTTTGGAATGTTCGTGCAGGGTTTCTGGTACGGCAGCCATCTTGTAGCGAAAGGTAGTCTTAATGCTGGCGAAGTGTTGACAACTTTCTGGGCCTGTTTACAAGCAACACAGTCCATAGAAGAGATCATCCCGCGACTTATTATCCTTGAAAAGGGACGGACCGCCTCGGCAGCTCTCAGGCATATATTCAATGATGTCTGCCATGCATGTACATCCCAAGAGCTTGGAAGCACTACTATTTCGCCCGTATTCTGTGAAGGTGATATACGATTTTCAGAGGTAAGCTTGATCCTAGATCGCGACCTTTACCTATGTAATCGAGACACTGATAATGCTCATTTTTCCAGGTCACATTCGCATATCCATCTCAACCTGCAAGAAGAGTCTTAGATAATTGCTCCTTTTTCTTCCCAGCGGGTGATACAACTTTCGTTGTTGGCAAGAGTGGTTCAGGGAAAAGCACCATTGGAAATTTGCTTATGAGATTCTATGCACCGATATTTGGTGAAATCCGGATCGATGACAGGCTGATCCAGACTCTGGATATCAGCTGGATCCGCAATAACATTACCCTTGTTCAGCAAGAAAGCATACTTTTTAACGAAACAATGCTGAAAAACATCACGTTCGGCTCACGGAATGCTGAAAATATTACTCCTCGAGATATATTTGCCGCTACAAAACTTGCGGGCCTACAGGACACCATCCTCAGTTTCCCCTTAAGACTTGACACTGTTGTCGGTTCAGGTGGTAGATCGCTAAGCGGAGGACAGCGTCAAAGGATGGCATTGGCTAGAGCGAGGTTGCGGGATACCCCAATATTGATACTTGACGAGTCTACTAGTGCTTTGGATCATTTGAGCAGGATCTCCCTAATGAACGCAATTCGTGCATGGCGACAAGGGAAAACCACCATTATCATTACACACGACCTTTCGCAAATTCGACCTCAGGATTTCGTGTATGTCATCGACCGGGGAAAGATAGCCCATCAAGGATATAGACATGTCCTGGAGAAGGAGGCAGCTGGCGTGTTCGACCTTAATCATCTTGCGACTCTACAGTCAACAACCACTCCAACCACCTCTACTTGGAGCCCAAAATCCCAAGTCCCAACCTCAGATAAAAGGAGAGGATCAAGCTTCAGCAGCATAGAGCGGCCAATAGCGGAACGGCGTTCGTCAACGACTCCCCTTTCTCCGTTCTTCCATCACGATCTTTCTCTCGAGCGAACCTTCTCTGAGGCAGAACAGAACAGCCAGTCAAGGAGAGCCAGTATGGCTGAACGTCTCATTGACCATACCAGCCCCTGGCTCAAAAAATCGCCATTAGATGTACCAAATGACAAAGGGGTCGAAAAAAAATCAGGACAAATGCCGCCACGTACCCCTGACACCAAAACTCGTCCGCCTCTAAAACCAAATAAAGGGTCATTGCAAACAGGTTACTCAATATCGCAGATCCTTTTGACCGTGATACCGTCTTTATCATCCTCCGACAGAATGTCTTTACTCTTCGGCTTTACCGCTGCATTTTTTCATGCTGCGGCAACGCCGTGTTTTTCTTACTTATTCTCGCAACTGTTAACTACTTTCTTCATTGCCGAGAATAGATCCCGACTAGCTATGCAATGGGCGCTTGCGGTGTTGGGTATAGCTTTTGTTAATGGAGTAGCATCTTTCTTCATGCACTATCTCCTGGAATGTTGTGGCCAGGCCTGGGTTGACCAATTCCGCTACAAAGCCATCCGCCGAATCTTACAACAGTGCAAGTCTTGGTTCGAGAAAGACGAGAACAAGCCCTCTAACTTAACTCACTGTTTGGACCGGAACCCAGAGGAAATGAGAAATCTCATTGGGCGATTTGCCTGCTTCATGTTTGTGGCTCTCGTCATGACATTGATCGGGTTCATCTGGGGAGTGGCAGTGTGCTGGAAGCTGGCACTGGTGGGTGCTGCTACGGCACCCCCTTTGTATGGTTTGACGAGGCTATATGAAAAAATTAGCGGGTTCTGGGAGAGCAAGTCGAATGAAGCCAGCGAGATAATGACGGGGATATTCGCTGAGACATTTCTTGATATTCGCACAGTTCGATCACTGACCCTGGAGTCATACTTCCATACCAAGCACCATAAATCTAATAGGAAAGCCTTGACCATCGGTATCAAACGCGGGTGCTATTCTGGGTTGTTTTTTGGATTCTCAGAGTGTTCAATTCTTTTCGTATATGGTAAGACAATGTGCAACATTTTTCCGGCTATTGATATGGTGCTGACGTGGACTGCAGCTCTCATATTCTACTATGGGTCCATCCTTGTATCCAGTTCTCAGTATTCCGCCAAGGATGTTTTGCTGGTCTTCTCAATGCTGCTTTTTAGCATGGCCAATGTGAGAGGAGTTCTCTCCCTAGGTAAGCCATGTTCAGTTTTGACTCCATAGATTGTCGTGCTAATTGGCGCATAGTTCCACAAATCAGTTCATCTAGGGACTCAGCAACTAGGGTATTGCATCTAGCTAACATGCCCGAAGATCAAGTGCATGAAGCTCAAGGAAATCTTCATATTTCTGACCTAACGCCTCTCATTTTCAAAGACGTGGACTTCAGTTATCCAAACAGACCTGGTAAGAAGGTCCTCAAGAACTTTAATCTGAGTATCCCAGAACGTTCTTCGACTGCAATCGTTGGGCCCTCTGGTTCTGGGAAGTCAACAATCGCATCTATACTGCTTGCTCTCTATTCGCCTCCTCCATCGGCGGGTAACAAAGGCAGCATTACCCTCGGTGGTGTGGATATTCGCAACATTCATGTCCCAACTCTCCGGTCGTTGATATCCATTGTCCCACAGGACCCTACGTTGTTCCCAGCCTCTATCAAGGATAACATTACTTATGGCCTACCCGACAAGTCTTCACTGACTGCTTCCGCCAACATTCAAGCCGCAGCCAAGGCAGCCGGAATCCACGACTTCATCTCCTCGTTGCCATCAGGGTACGATACACTTGTTGGAGATGGTGGCGTTGGTGTCTCTGGCGGCCAGGCGCAGAGAATCGTGATTGCCAGGGCACTTGTTCGTAATCCACGAGTCCTTATACTGGACGAAGCAACGTCTAGTCTCGATGTTGAGAGTGCATCCGTGATCAGACAAACGGTAACGAAGCTAATGGCTTCCGGAAGGGGTCTGACGGTGATCATAATTACCCACGCGAAAGATATGATGGAGCTGGCTGATAATGTGGTCGTTGTGGACGATGGGGCTGTAGTTGAAGAAGGATCGTTTTCTGACCTGAGTAGCCGAAGCGGTGGAAAGTTGAGGCGGTTGCTGAGGATGCAGCTGTGAATTGTATATCTTGATACTTTTATAGCGTGGATTATTGCAAGGCTGCGGGTAAGAAGAAGACTAGTTGCCATACGAAGCTCTATCAAATCTACACCTTTGTAAGGAAGGCTATAATGGCTTGAGAGAAGATAATTTAGTTAACTAGTAAGGAATCTAAGTCATAAGAAAGATTATAGATCTAAAAGCACCCACTACCAGTGATAGCTAACAGTAATGAGACGCGGTCAATTGTGGATCTTGATTCAGAATGATGCTATATTCTAAGAATTCATGAGTGGAAAATCCAAGTTTCTCACATTCTCGGATTGAGGTTTGTTTGCCTCCATCCTTCCTCCTTGGGATTAACTATTGTAGTTAGTCAGCGAGAACAGCTAAAGTGAACTGGGCTCTTTCACTCTGTTGCATTTCACTACAAGTTTCGTATCACTATAAAATTGTAAGTGTACGGGCTTGCTGATCTTTATTATAAGCAACTAACAAGATGGATTCCATGGCAAGGCCACAGATACTGTTAGAATACTCCATTTTAGCTACGACTCACATACATTACCCAAGGTATCCTTCGGGCATTAAGTCTTTTTGTTCCTTGTGGCCCAAGAGATACCGCTTCGCTCTGGACAACAGAGAACAATCTCAAACACATCTACCCACTCTACTGCTTACTCGGAAGCTACTATCAAACTCGAATCAATACGTCTGTCCGGGCCCAACTGTTGGTCATGTAATACAAGACAATCCCAAACTTGTCATGTAGTTGGGCAACAGGACACACAGGTGAGCTCTCTCTATCCTGTCCGTTGTCGAAGATTGCTAACGTGGGAAAAAGCTGGGCTGTTTAACTTCGCGTACAAGTCGGTGGCCAATACAATTCCACTATGTCCTATAGAAAGCGTCAAATTCAAAACGGAAACTGCAAGGCCAAACACACAAGGGTAAGTAGAATCTCTGGGTTTCCATGGATAGACTCAGGATACGGGTCAAGAGATCCTCCAAACATGAAGCTAGGAGCTGACTGCTCGGATTCAGAAGCCGGACCATCCATAATTGACGTGAGGATGAGGAAGTAAGATGGCTGACAAAGCACGTGAAATGATATAAATTCTTGACTTATCATTGGTTAGATGTATTAATACGAATATGATGTGACCAATGGTATTACACTATTTCTAGCCAATCAAAAATAGTAAAAATCCCACCGATCGAAGACGAAGACGAAGACAAAAGAAATATGAAAAGTGAAGAAAGCTTGTGGGCAAGATAACCGTCTCTCTTCTCTAGTCATCTCTTCTTCGTTATTGTGTATCTACGAAGCATGGAGTAAGAAAAGGCAGAAAGGGAGATAAGGAAAAGAAATGAAAAGAACACAGACGACAAAGCGCTGAAGTCGACCAAAGCCACCACGCATAGCAGAAACCTTAGAGAAAGCCGATCCCAGACATACTCTTTGATAGAGCGCTACGATAGGCCGAAGTTGACGAGATCTGAGGCCCTTCCAGACTGCTGGACGTGCTGGAGACGGGGCAAGGCGTCCGCAGCCAGGGAACCGGATTCGATGTATCTGATCCGAGGCGGTCATATGGAGGCTCCGGGCGAGAGGGAAGAAGGCAGAGATGCATGCAGCTATGGAGTGGAAAGGGGGAAAGGGAGCGCCACTGGCGTATAAAAGGTTCACAGTTGCCCGGCTTCTGAGAAGTTGGATGCTTTTCTCTCTTGCACTCGATTATTCTGGTCGTTGTTACTTTAACGCTGCGTTGCTCGGTATACTTCATAGATGTTCTATGAAAGTACTGGAAACTTGCTACTTGATCATACACAAACAATACGAAGAGTGAAATGAGAAACAAAAAAAAAAAAGAGAAATACCATCCATCTTCCATCGTTACTATCATAATCATGGGCTGTTGTTGATACCATGCTGTTCCACTGCTCTCAGCAAGCGCAGGGAGATTGTCAACTATTTGACCGATTATTTTGACCCCAAAATCCAACAATGCCATCGCTGAAATAACACCAAGAAAAAAAGAAGAAAAGGAGATGAATAGGATGATTATTCCCCAAAACAAAAGATCCATGGTGCTTGAAATGAAAGGAAGATGATTCTATGCCCAGGTCAAAAATGAAGAGGAATATTGTGGCAGACAGGCAGAAATCCAAGGGAAAAAAAGGGTATATAAACGGTCCCCGAAACACGGAGGGGAAAAAGTGCGGTAGGATATGCTACCCATAACAAGGGAATTGCAAGAGGAGGGCAGACTACTCTGTGTCTGAGAACTTTCTCTTTCCCATTCCCGGCTTTCGGCCGGTGATGACACGGCTGTTTGAAGTGTTAGCGATGGGCCGAGAATGATAGGAGGGAGGGAGCTTGAGAGCTAGGGACATACACTATGTTATACCCGTGGAATGCACGATTGGCAAGGTCCTTTCTCAGGCCGACGAGGAAAAGCTCCATCTCCTCCCTTGACCAGCCGAGAACTTCGACGAGCAGCCCCAAAGCGTAAGGCTGGAGAGCATCCGAGTATTGAACCTGCTGGTACCGACCGGCTAGCTTAAGCTCTGGGTCCTTGGGCCAGGTGTTGATGGGCAGTTTGAACTGTTCCTCCTTGACGTCTACGAAGCCAGCGTCCGTCATCCATCTCTTGACGTTCTCTGGTGCAGTCAGGGTCTGTCCGATGAGGCTGCATGCTTTGATACAGTTGGACTCCCACTGGCGAAGATGACAGTCTTCAGGGATGGAATTGTCGTCGCAAGTTGCATACACGTCGGTCTCTTTAGCCTCCACATACCCACCAGGCATCAAATTGCTGTTTTTCCCATCGCTCGTTAGCCACTTGGATTACGCCAAAACTCAAACTGAGGGCAAAGATTGGTAGCTTGGGCGGGAGCGGCAACGGGAGAGGCGACGGGAGCGGGAAGGCAAATGCCCAAAAAAAAAAAGAAACAAGAGTAGAAATGATGGGAAAGAAAAAGCAAGGAGAGGGCTAGCTAGGTTCGATGGCTTGCAGTGTGTTGACATACTCGTATATTTGCGAGAAGAGACGGCGCCAGTCACGGATGGCACCGTTGAGATTCGGAAGGAATGAGATCGAAAC